ACTTTCTTACCACCTGCACCTCCACCACCCAAGAAGCCAATACAAGCGCCGTCAGGTTTTACTTTCTCACCTGAGCCTTAGTACACCATAAGTGTTACGTTATGGACATTTTGTCTAGTACCTTTTAATTAATGTTAACCCAAAACAAGTGTCACGAAATTGTTACAATAAAACCGCATACAAAAAAAAAAAAAAAAGTTTTCTACAATCTGGTTAATGGTGTATTTCTGTGGATTAAAGTTGCAGCCGTTACAAAGTAAGTTATAATGCCACATATGAGAACCATCGACCAATTTTGACAGCAGTTTATAGTACAATTAGGAGCTCAAGAAAGTAGTTGATCAAACACTGAGTAGCCCTGGAAGAAGCTGACGCAGACAGTTTTCAAGGAATCTTCCACACTCCGCTGATAGAGACTTTAGCAGAGCTGGCCAGGGTATGGAGATGCTACCAGTGGCAAAGCAAAGAAGGACTTTCAGGAGAACGTCTAATCACTGGCTTCGTACTTGAGGCTCTTTGCAGATAATTCTTGGTCCCAGAAAGGAAGCAAAAGAGAATACACCGACTTGCTGCTAGCTCCATAGTGAGAATTAACTTTCAAGAAGCTCAGAGTTAGATCACAGAATGATCTGAATTTTTGAAAGAGAATAAAACCCCTCACCTCGGTAGAAGGTTCTGAATTCCAATGGCTACCTGTTATTTCGGAACAGTCAGTCAGATGGAGATTAAACTTCGTCAGTATACCTGAAAACAACCAAGACAATACATGGCTGCTATTAACACTAAATCACGCTAAAAGATATATGTATATAGTTGCCTAGACGAAGTATTCTGACCATATATATCCGTCTTACAAAATAATCCACATAGCACTAGCCTTCTATACTTTTACCTTTCTTCATTTACAAGGAGATAATTGACGGCACATAGTGTTTTAGAGGTTTTATTCTGGAGAAGCATGCATTGAAAAGCAACCCTTCACGCATGGTCATTGCGACCAATCGGCGTTGCGACTGATGTCTGAGCAGCTGCTAGACTAATGTGGCACATCCATATTATTTGTACCAGATTTGCATGCCTGCAAAAGAGGTTATCTGGTGACCTCAACTGCACACTTGAATAAACAGTAAATCCTCCAAAGAGATATATAGTATTCCCGTTTACTCTACTACAAGACTAAGTCACATGATTTCATCGATCAAGGTCCTTCTGGTAGGCTCCGTCTATTTTACTTCATGATGGCTAAGCATTATCCACTCTTTCGGTTAACCCTCAACGCGATATTATCTCGCTAAATTTGACACACTACATACCTAGTATACATCCTAAATACGCAAATCACTTCTTTAGATAATATCGGAGGTAAGGCGTAGTAGTTGAAAGTTTAGGATATATATTCCGTACAGTTATGATTTACTAAAGCACATCTATGACCATACAACTTGAATTCAATTTAAAGGACATATGTTTGGCAACTCTAGACCACTAAAAGATATTTAGGTTTTGGGAGAAGTCAAAGATCGAGGCTCAAAGATTAAAGAATGAAAGAAAAGACGTGCGGTACAGCTAATTTATAGGTAATCATGCTTCCACATTACTCTGCTCTGAAGGAGAAGTACGACTCAACCCTACGTGAATCCCTACTGCGATAGGAAATAATTAATAAAAGAGCTACCTTTATGACACGAAAGAAGGCTAACGGGTTCAATGTCAGTTGTATGCATCGACAGAGAAGCTTAAACAGGTGTCTCCCAGCAGCCTCTCACTGTCATGAGTGTAATAAATAGTAAAGTTAGGAGGATATCCGCCAGTTACAGTAAAGGGTAAACAACTTCTATTCCACGGGCACTTATAACAATTGTCAATAAGATTTGATTTAGTCTTCGAGTCTCTGGACTCGTCAATGTGTTGTAAGGGGTTACCGAAGGACACATCAGAACCACAGTTCAAGGCCACTTTCTATCAACCATCTTTAGTAAATTGGCCGAAACTTTTGGTTTGGAGTTTGTTAATTTTGGGTTAAAGGTCAAAGCGCAAGTGAAAAATATTTATCATAATATATAGCAACTCTTTAGGCCACTCGCTTGTGTTCCGAATATTCAATATCTTCTGCTATTGTAAATTTTTGAGATCCATCTCTCAACAATTGGAGAGATGGCCGAGTTGGTCTAAGGCGTCAGGTTAAGGCCCTGATCTCTTCGGAGGCGTGGGTTCGAATCCCACTCTCTTCAAATTTTTGATTGGTTGGATGATTATTTTTGTCGGTTTTGATTGGATGACTTTTTTTTCAACAGAATGTAATGTCGTCGCCTAAAATACAAAATGACAGTTCAACCGAACGCCGGTTCAAGGGGACTTCTTTACCAGCGAAGTCACATTGAATATCCTCTTAAAATTAGATTTCTTTTACATTTTTATATAATAAGTCACGAATCAACAAGTATAAATAGAGCAGTTGATTAATAGAATAAAAAGCAGTTTTTTAACCTCACGAGAAGTTCACTCGTCTGCAGGATAATACAATAAGTCATACAGTAATCTAAACGACAGTAATGTTGAGTTTCTATTGGCTTGTTGCATTCTTTATTACGGACTTGATTGGATAATGCATGCGCTTTTCAATTTTTTTTGTTGGGCATAAATCGTTGCTCGCTAGAAACGAAGACTTTCAACCGCCATAAAGAGTTTTGTTCTGCCAGTATTACCAACAACTGATGTATAAATCCATTCTTAAAAAGAATTTGAGGAAAAGTTATAAAACACTACGTTTGCCTAAGGGTCAGAGGATAGGCTGACCATATAATATTATATCGTTCATGAACTGACAAATAATTCATCCATCATGATAGTGGTAATGGTTATACATAAAGGTAATTGAGGGAGATCTATATTTTTGAATGAGTAATTCGGCTTTTGATCTATGCATTACCGTGAGCATATGGTGTTTATGTGACATGTATTGAACTTGAAATGCTATGATCAAATTAATGATTTGATCTATGCAACTGCTGCGGCCGAACGTCCTTTGAGTAAGGAGATGCATTGATGAAAACCAATATGGAAACGTCTATTATATACCACGCCTTTTCTAATAATCACCATAGACTTACGGTCAATAAAGGCTATTACTATTGCTTCATATCTCCGGGTTGCGTATTGAGAGTTTTAAATCTATACCAAAGTTGCTAACGCTTTGCTTGCATTTTTCAAAATGTTGCTTTACTTTCTCGACTTCCCCATGCTGCGCGGCAAAAGTCGTAACGATGGTGGGGCTATCGGACGATCTACAACAGACATCATTAGTCATATGTCATGATGATTACTACTGTACACGACTGGCTTACTTTGCAACATCGCAGTACGCAACCTCTACCATAGTCTCCAGCTCTCCAGCATTGCTAGGCAGCGAACCAGGATAGTCTAATATCTGAGCTAATGTCTGTTCTGATACAGAACAGCATTCCTTGTCTTCTAATAATGCCATAACTACTGGGGCCAGAGTATTCTCCTGGTCCACGACAAAGAGACAGCCATTCAAATCCATTTCGTCAGACACGACATTTCTATCCATCATGTACACCTGAAACCGGCTCTGGTTTTGCAGGACGTTGTCCAAGACAGTATTCTGGAATATCGTATTCATCGAGGTGTCCGGAAAGCACACAAGCAAGCATGGCTTTAGTCCCGAGATTAAAAAAGCAAATTCTCCATACAAGTAGGAATCCCTGATTTGGAGAGATCCATTACAGGTGAGATTTTTCATTTGCGTCACGGACAAGTTTGCAAAGAAATGTTGCTCTAGATCAGCAAAACGTTGGTATAAGGTTGAGGTCATTATGCTAATGTCACCGTGTGAGGACAGTTAAAATGAGCTCTGGTTGCTGAAGTCGTAGATCGTCTGTCATTGAAAATTTAGTGCTTTCAATTGCTATTGGTAGGCGTGAATTCTTTCACTGAGGTCTGCAACATGACATTCTCGAATATGACTTTTGAGACCGCAATGTAATGTGCATTGGTTAAAACGTCTGTATATTTAGCATGGTCAATATCTTCTAATAACGGCGGAATAAAATGGACAAACGAATTGCAGGTGTACACATTAAAAGGCTGATAATAGGAAGAGGAAACAGGTGTCGAAAAACTTATGTGGTGAAATTATGTGGCCTAACGTTCCTTGGATCAAGAGAGTGGCACCTGCCAGCTTATACTAGAAATAATCGCAAGGCTCGCTGTGGTTCGATTACAAGATTATGTAAAATCTGTTGGTGAGCCAAGGTCTATTTTCTCTAACTCCCAACTACTATTGGGTGATAGACTAAATCACATCCAATCACATCAGACTTTAAAAACTATGGCCCAATCAAATCTGACCAAAAAATCATTCCAACCAATCAAAAATTTGAAGAGAGTGGGATTCGAACCCACGCCTCCGAAGAGATCAGGGCCTTAACCTGACGCCTTAGACCAACTCGGCCATCTCTCCAATTCTGAAATTGAGACCACTAGCTAATATACATCTTGATAATTTATGGTGCTGATCACACCTTGAATAAGTAGATTATAACTGAGATGTTGTGGTAAAAGTTGCTCATGATTGCGAAAATATTTAATCACCAAAACTTTTACAGATAAAATAATGTATGAATTAGTGTAAGGTAGCTAATCTTTAGGCAAGAATATCAACTTGTATAATGTGATGTTGTTCAGTGTATTGTTTGCTTGCCTCCAAACGTCAAAGGTGTAGGATAATGTACAAGTTGGAATTTGGTGGCAGGTGTGGTAAACCAGGATCTGTGACACACAGTTTGGCAGAAATCAAAATCTGCTTATCATTTGAGGCTAGACACGAAAGGCGCTACTCTGTTGACAGGTCCTCTCAGGGCCAATAACGTCTCTCTAAGTAAAGTGTAAGTTCACCACGGGTATTTCGTTGACATTCGGTCACACAATTCACATGAAGTGGGATTAATGATATGGAGTTTATAACAGAACGTATCCATCGTTACGGTAGACAAGGCTCTCCAAAGTGTAGTTTTTTTTGGTTTTGGCTTATTCGCTTTCATTTTTTCGCTGCTTCCACCTAAAGGTAAGAACTCAATATTATGCGGACCTTTTTTTTTTGCCCCGCCGCCCTGATCGATCCCCTATATAACATTTATCCCCCATTTTATTAGCAAACAAGCCACTAAACACTTTGAGATTCACTCACCCCGACCTTCGCTCTGCATTTGCTCCATACATCCTATTCAAGTTCCGGACTCTACTCGCCTTTGAGCGCATCAACCCTTCTCGCCTATGGCCTGTTCTTAATTATGCATAGCACGTATGCTGGCTTACTGTAACAGCCCACTGCTTGAAGTCATAAAATTTGTCTTGATGGCGGTCGATTTTTCGCCCACCTTGTCTTTATTGAAGACGATGATGTTTTGCCAGGGGAGCTCAACTCCGACGAAGCTACAATTTGAGCGGTAGTCATACTGGATCCAGGAATGAAATTCCTTTTGATTCTGAAATTTATTTACATTTTATCGGTTTGAAAATTTCTAATTGAATTTATAGTTCAAGACCATAATTTTTGTTGCTAAGCATTAGAACTCGATTTTGTTGAAGCAGCTGTATCAGTTACTGGCAAGGTTTTCAATTTAGCGGAGTGGCTGTGAGCAGCGGAGGTTCCATCATTAATTGACCTAAGGTACTTTTTAATTTCTGTGGAATACAACGCTAAGCAATGTAGGTAGGGATTTTTAGATGCTGATCCGCAGAAACAGGCACTTGCGCCTGAAGTCGCAGAGCTGTAGCTAGTTCGATTGCAACGAGACGGTCGATCGGTAGAATGTCGACTCTCATATGCAGCAAAGTAACTGTCATTCGCATTGAGGGCGTTTATCAATGATGCACCTTTGCTGGAAGCGAGAGCTGTCGTCAAGTCATTCTCTACCTTGCTCAAAATCTGTATGATATTAACTTTTAGCAAACATAATAACGGTCACGTCATTTTTGATGTAATTACCTGAGCCGATGGATTCGCCAGATATGCATTGTATTCATTTTGAATATTCTTCTTAAGCGTTGCGAGGTGCGGCACTAATGAACTCATCAGTTGGAAATTGATGGCTTCGATCCTCTCTATACTAGTGCAAATAATCGAGCCAATAAAGATGTTGCTGCAATCAATAGTTGGGTTGTAGAATTTCAATTGATCCATGGTAATGTTAGACGCTGCAGCGATTGCGGTGCAGGTTGTATTTGAGCTTATGTAATGAATTCTTGAGCAGGTGATTACTGGAGACTCAACACAAATCTGTTGACCGGCATTCAAATTCTGGCAATCCAGTGAAGGGTTTGTTTGATGCAAAGCAAACAGTGTAATGTTGTACTGGGCAGCCATTGACGTACACGTATCTCCAGATTGGACTTTGGCAACCAAATTGCACCCTGGGGAAGCTCTTGGTTTGATACACATTATTGTAGATGGCTGCATCAAAGAAGTATTAATGCTTGCAATTGGACATCCACAACCATTACTAGAGCTACTTACAGTGAGAGCTGAAGAGCAATTTACCCATGGATTGAGCTGCTGCAGTTGAGTAGTAGTGCTCAAAGAAGAATATCGGAGAACCGAAGTGCAAGTGTCTCCAGCCGATGTCACGTACGTTTGCTTACAAAGACTGAATCTTCCTAAAACGCAGACAGTTTGTCCTACAACCAGGTTTGAGCAAGTCAAATTTCGATTTAAACCTTCAAAATCATTGATACTGAGACCGTTGATTGCTTGCAAGCTCGGGCACCTTAATCGGTGGTTAGTCACAACGAGGATCAAAATTATTGCAAGTTGAAAACTTACGTATCACTGGACACTATCGTCTTTGTTTCTGAGCATATCGAGAAAGGATCGCTTATACAAATAGGCGTTGCAGGCGGTAAAGGTGCCATACAATTGAGCCTCTACGATAAGATAATTTAGCATATGTGGTTTGCCAGTATAAGCCTCAATCATACTTACAGTGTTCATAGCGGTGAAATGGTTCAGGGGAACTGAGGCGGCATTCGCGCAATCCAGGCATGTTTGATTTGCACCACTCAATGCGGCTTTAGTGCAGCCAGGCGGCATCTGTGCAACACCTATGTTCTTTGTGTGAGTATTTGGGCAGGGTGATGAATTATTTTTCTGTCAAACTTACAAATCGTACTCGATGCAGGTAGCAGTTGAGTACAGTTGATTCCGGGATTAAGAACCTTCAGGTCAATGGAAGATATCTTGTTTGGTAGCAATAGATCAAAGCATGATGTGGCAGTTGTCAAGGTTATGTTTTTCACACACTGAATGGGTGCATGTAGCATTGGTACGATAGGTTGCGGCGGTGTGATATCTGTCATGTCTGCCAACAATGGTGATAAGATACATAGATTGTCGCCTGAAATATACACATAACACAAGGTTAATATGAATAACAATGCTAGCAGGTCATGTCATGCAGTGCGTACAACAATGTACCTGGATATATTTCCGTACAACGTTGATCCAGGAAGGGATTAAGCGCCACTAGAGCGTTAATACTAATGTTGGCAGCGATAGCAATTGTGGTACAAGACTCTCCGGCCTTGACAGAAACAGTTTGATGGCATGGAATTTGGCCATTATCAATGCATAAGACTTCTCCAACCTTTGGAAAAATGCACAGTTAAAGAGCTGCTTACGGTACAATGTTAGGCCATCGAACTTACCTGCAAATCTGTGCATAGTCTATTGAGGAACTTCCCATTTAGAACCACCAAGCCTTTGAAGTATCCACCAACTTTGGAAGTGATTGAAGCTATACGAGAGTAGTTAGATTATTGTGACTAGTCAGGCGTCTGACGGTACTTGGGAATACCCAGGTACTTACAGCAGGTATCTCCGCTTTGTACTGTATAGGTCGTAGCACAGCTACTTTGTCCTAATGCTGAAGCTACCCCTTGTACACAGAAACGATCCCTAAATGCAAGACCCAGTAAGTATAAAACAATTTTGGCATGTACAAGTGAAAAGTGAACAGAAAGCTTACCCCACATAGAAATTGCTGCAGTTAGCGAATACAAATGGGTTGTACAGCAGTAACTGAGCCAAAGAGATGTTGTTTGCAGCTGCAAAAGTACTACAGTCTTGACCTTCTACAGCAATTGATTTCTTGTAGCAAAAAGGCTCTTCAGTATTTGAAGAACAGATGTAATTGCCAGGGGTTAACGATGTTGTATTCAGATTAGGATTGTTAGCCAACAGCAGCGCAGTATATGTCCCTTCCTTCTGTGCAATACCGGAAATTGTGTCACCGGAAGTTAACTGATAAAAGCGTCGACAGAGTGGCTGTACCGGATCACAACTGTTACAGACATGTTCACCAACTATTAACCGCGGACAAGTATACAGGCCGGGATTGCAGGTCAGCCAGGCTTGCGTGGTCTTGTTGAGAGATGAGGCTAAACCATAGCAGCTTTCTCCTACAACAGCTTGGTGAATGGATGTACAAACTGGATTCTGTGCAGCACAACTGATGCAAACATCTTGACCGACGAGAGAAGAGCAATTGAGATTTGGGTTGCATTGAGAAAATTGGCTAGTTGTTAACTTGTACGCATATTGTATACTGTTACAGCTATCTCCTGGCACGGCGGTGTACCACTTGAAGCAAGGAGGCTGCACCACTGCCGGTTTGCCTGCCAAACAAATGGTTTGCCCTATGGCCAGATTTGTGCAGTTGGCGTTGATCGACGGGTTGAGCTTATGGAACTCGGCGTCTGATATACCAGTGAGTGCTTCCATACTTGAACATGTATCGTTAGCTTTGATCACGTACGCATAGGCACAGCCGGTGAAAGCGGGAGCTGCCGTGGGTGTCGCGGTAAACGTGGTGGTTTCAGTTGATTTAAGGCACACTGCCTGCCCCACCTTCAAGTTTGAGCAATCACTTTTGACTACAGGATTCAGTGAATGGAACAGAGTGTCCGAGATACTGTTGGCTGATTCAATGCTGGCGCAAGTATCACCTGCGACTACCTTATAGTTGGCACTGCACAAGGCATCTCCTGAACTTACAAGGAACAATGCCGCTAGCGTAGCTGGTAGCAACAGTCGTTTCGGTATCATTTCTAGTGCTATGGCGACCTGATGTATGTCCGCCGTGCCCCTCGTTTTTAAAAGTGTTCTTAATTGTCGTACAATCAAGGATCTCTGAGTAAAGGAACGGGGTTGTACAATTACTATATTGGTTGAATTTTGCTTCTCTTTCTGCCTTGCAATAGTACTATAACAAATTCTATGACACCGCTGTGGACGCAAATCAGTAGTTCAAATTGGCATGGGCATGTGTGATAGGACAATTGGCCTTTATGCCATGAAATTGAATTGAGGGTGGTTAACTCTGGGGTCTCACGCACACCATTTTTTTCGGAGTACTGGCCTAACGTTATACCGGCGGAGCTGTGTACTCACAACAACAGCTTTGAGAGTACAAACCAAAAACCGAATGATGAAGCTGAGACTTCATGGTAATTTCTAGCCGGTGACCTTGCATGCGGCTAGTTGCTCCCATTCTGGTAATATGTGGTTTCTTATAATGGGTAATTTCGCTGACCATCAAGTTTTGTGTTCCTTAAAGCATTGATGATACTTTCAGCTTTTGCAAATCTTTACCCGCTTGAAATAAATAAATGACAACACAAGAAACACAACGTCGGCAATTTTTGGTACAAGGGATAATTAAGATAGTATTCGACTTTTACAAAGGTAGCTAAAATTACATGGAGGCATTATTGTTCTGACCAACAAAAAACCAAGAAAAAAAAAACAGAAAACAAAGAGCAAAACTCATCGCCGTCGCTTGATCCATCCTCTATTAGCCTGCTTTACGTTCATGCTTTTAGCATAAGATCGAGTAAGTCCACTTCGACTATATCGAAGTCGCTTAGCACGAAGAGGTTTGAAGCGTGTGGCAAGAGCACGTTCTCGGTCATCCATAGCAGCAATCTTCTCAGATACTGCTTGACTAGTATCGTATGGTGCCATATCTACATCTTCACTGTTGACTTGTTCTGCCACATTGTCCATTTCGTCAGCTGGAAGCTGGATTGACTGATCTGGATCAAATGACTGGGATGGGTATAGGTAGCCTAGAAAGGAAATCAAATAGGTATGTGAGCAACAACATAATGCCGCCTTGCCAGTAAACTCCCACTTACCGTTGTTGGCCAAGTTTTTAGCGTGGTCTTTGTATTGAATTGTATCTGGCGGAGAGGGAGTGTCCAAGATTTCAATAATGTCGACAGCTGTACCGCCTGGAGAGGAGCCTCTGTAGGTTACTATGCGCTGATCGTCTTTCTTGATCTTTTCTTTTGTTCTTCTCTTGCCACTGGTCATGATCGTGGAACCATTCAGCGATGAATATCCCTCTATATAATTGCCTTGAATGTAGACGTCATCCTCATCATCGTTGAATTGAGGTACAACGGAATCATCAGCTTCATGCGTCATATCAAGCAGTGCCTTCGGTATTATTGGAAGTTCCGGATTCTCAGGTCCATCCACCTCATCCCTGATGACCGATGGAATTTCATTAGGCCTGGTAGGCCGAATTGGCAATGAATCCAAAACACCTTGTTGTGGTGCCATTGTCTTTCGCTTTGGTAAGCATCAATATACGGATATTGACTTTGATTGATTTAACACTTGTCTATATTTACCTTCTGCGACGACCGCGGTACCGTCATGTCATCGGTCTCGGAAGCTTCATTATATAGTCTCTTTTCCATATCATCTTGGGATTGTGTCTCTACGGATTGCGATGGTGATAATGGTTCTATTGTAACATGGTCAATTGACGGATTGATGTCGCCGTTGGTTGTTTTGGCTACTACCGTTGGAGACGGTGATGCAGGAAAAGCATTCGATTGCACCTTGGAATATACTGTTTCATTGATGATTTCAGGATTAGACGTATGTAATACTAGTGTAACTGTTATGATGCGAAAGAAATGTGTAAGGACATACTTAATGATTGTCGCGCATGTCTTGGTGGGGAGGTTGGGAGTTGAGTCACTTCAGCAAAAGGTATTTTATCGGGGCTCAAAGGTTGCCGTTGCAATTCATTATCAAAATTCAAGGCAATACCGGTGTCAGGGTCATGCTCAAGGCCATCGAAATCGCCGGTTTGTCCAATGGGTTTCCAAAGATCAATTTGTGGTCGAGGAATTTCTACCTCCAGTGAATAGTCGTCTTCGTCGGTAACAGAGCCAGCATTGCTTTCAGTAATTGAAGCATGCTTCTGTGCTTGTTTTTGGGTCAGATTTTGAATGTCCCGTTCCTTTTGGTGATCAGGAAGTGCAGTGACTACTTTAGCATATTCCGCTATTGTCAGTAACAATTGAATCTGCTGCTGTTCTGCAAGCAAAACTTGACTAAGCTAAGAACAAAAAGCCATATCAGTACAGATAGCTACTTGGACCACAGTGAATACAAGCATTACCGTTGGCAAATCCAACATGTCCTTAAAAGACACCCAGAGGATCGGACTGGAAACGAACAAGGCGAAAGCGTTGGCATATACAAAAATTCCAGCCTGACTGACATTACCTGTGACTGCCGCCTCCTCTGCACGTCCACACCTCTAAAACAGAGAGCCATACTTTTTGCTAACTTGTGGTTATCATACAGGAATTACATTGAAACAGTCAGCAATAACAACTCGAGTTTTAGGAAAAGATAATGCACAAAGTCGGAAGACTTCAATATAAATGACGTTGACAATTCTAGTCTTGCAACACCAATTTATTCTTTCGTTTGTCGATATCTATTCTATCAGCTACGTAAAAAACTCAAGCATGTATTGAACAAAGACAAGTATGTTGTACACAGTTTATTTGCATTTAGTGACAGTGGGTGGGCTATATAACTAGCAGATATAGTATGAACAAAGAAAAGTATGATTGGAGAAGGGAAGCGTAGAGGCAAAGACATACAGCATCAAGCAGATCAAAATCTTTAGTCATCCTCATTAGGCTTGCTTGGTTGGAGGGTAAAATGAGGAACATCTACAGCATCAGGTTTACTAGTGAAGGTATTTCCATAGGTGTGAGGAGGTTGGGAGGCACCCAAGGTGTAAGGTGGAGTGGCGTCGGTGGGTTCAGTACCAGTGGTACTAGGAAGTCCATGCGAGCCGAATTGTTGTTGAGCGGGACTTTGGCCATAGAATGAGCCCTTGCTTTCGGATTGACTTGCGTTATTAAACAGGATTTCCTCAGGCTGACCAGAAAGCTGGTGAAGCGGAGGCATTGGTCTGTTTTGCATGGGAGGTTGCTGTGAAAAGTTTCCAGTAGCAGCTTGCGCGTAAGCAGGTCTACCATTCTTCTTACGTCGAAGGCGCAAGAAAATAAGGCCAGCAGCACCAATCTATAAAGATGGCAATGTATCAGTGACTGACTATTTTTCAAATAAATTACATCGCTATCAACTTACAACGACGGCAGCAGCACCAACTGCAATACCAGCAATGGCTCCAGTACCGAGTCCGCTAGAGGTACTAGTAGTACCTCCTGAATTGGAAGTAGTTGTATTAGTGCCATTGGTGCCAGATCCTAAAGTTGGATAGCCTGTAGCACTAAATTGCGTAACCCATCTCCAGTTCACAGTGTCTAAGGCGTGAATGTCTGACAAAGATCCAAGAGTATAATCATAACCAAACATGACAAACATAGTGGTGCTCACTTGGACGGCTAAGAAGGTGAAATAATGGGTGAGGGAGTGAATACATTGCTGTTTATGCCGCTATCATGTTCTGGATTCTGCTACTTACCACTGTGACCGGCTCGAGGACTTGGGCCACCGTTGGCGTTTACAGCGGTCCAGTAAGTTTTAGTAGTATCATAGATGTACAGGTCGCCCATCACACTACTAAGATTATTGGCTATGATTATTTTGGGTTGATTGTCAATTCTTTTGTCGGCAATCAATGATGCAAGCTTGTATTGTCTGCTTACCTACAGAGCCTCCAAATACAATGATGGTGTTTCCATCGGCAGCTAAAGAGGAGCAAATCAAGGTTACAAAGAGGTTGAGTTTAGAATATTTGATATTTGGTAGCTTATCTTACCAAGGGTAGCAGTATGGAGATTTCGCGATGGTGGAATGGAGCCAGAAGCCGTTACTAGGTTCCATTCTCCATTATTAGTATTATACTGAGGAACGTCGCTCATGGAAGCAGCACTTAGACTCCATTGAGAACGGCCAGTAGAATCCAAAGTGGTGAGTCTTGTCGCCACTAGGCCACCAACGATATGAATAACGCCACTCGAGGTCATAGTCATAGTATGTCCAACCCGGGCATCAGCATTGCCGGCGGATCCGGAGGTGCCAGTCCACAGCCCAGTCTATACAATGAATAAGTAAAGTGCATGGAATATGAAAAAGCATGAAAAAAAATGAATCCGACGTACTCCGGGATCCAGCGTGGTAAAAGCACCCCAATAAGACTCGTTAGTATATCCAGTTTGGTAATCGCTGTGAAGGGGGATGCGCATCAGCCATGGTTAGCTTTTGCGAGATAATAGGTGTTTTCAACGTTGTAATGTACCTCACACCACCCCAAAGCCAAACTCGGCCGTTTCCATCGATGGCGGCCGTATGCTGGCGGGCTTGAGCGATACCGGAGCTGTTGACGGTCGTCCATGTTTTGGTGACTGTATTGAAAATCGTCGTTTGGTTGACTTCACTTTGGTTGAATGGGACGCTCATACCACCGTTGACAAGGAATGATACGCCATCTTTCAGAGGTACCATGGCTTCAAAACCACAGGCGGTGGTTGCAAAGTCGCCGTTGTGGGTGACGTTCGTCCAAGACGCAGAGTTGATTGAAAAATCTGTAGAGACATCGATCGACCAGGTATCGGACTGAGGGAAGTTTTGAGCAGGAGTTGTGAAGATACCGCCATAACAATAGATGGTTTTTCCAACGGTTGTACACTCTACAGAATGAAGGTTTGTGTTGGATTATAGTTTAATTTCTGTGTAGTCTGTGGGAAAGGAACTGTACCAGATGCCCACCTAGTGGGAGAAGGGGCAATAGCAGCTGTTAGATGGACCAAACCTGAAGTCAGTGCCAGGGCATTTAACCATGACTTCATATTTGCAGTCTCTAAACGAAGAGAAAGTAAAAGAAATAGCTTCGATAATGTAAAGGTGCAATAATAATTTTTTTTTTTGGGTCCAAAATATCGCCTTGTATAACGAGGCGCAGTGGTCGTACAGCAGGCTTACTTTGTTGTACGAAGTTGTACTTTTGAATTTCTGGGGAATTCATTGCTTCTCCTAACAACCAGCCGCACTGCACTGCGTTACATCTCACAGTCAGTATAATCGACTTTGTTAAGTATCAAATGTAAAATATAGGTGGTTTTTTTTTTTAGCTAAAGATCGCTTTGGATGAAGCCACTTTGAGGTTCGATTTATTTTTAATTGATAGGCAGCTTAAAACAGTACTGCGCAGTGAGATATGCGTTAAAACATGGCAATTTAGTTTGACAAGGCCAGGATTGGCAAGATGAGAAGCCTTCTTGAAGAGTGGATTTGTGGCTCAGGGGAAATATTCGAAGTAAACATGAAGCAATATGCTTGAAGAGCCCGATGAAGTGCTTTACATACTTCAATAGACGAAGATTCGACATGTAATGTTAAGCTGAGCCCAGCCCAGCCTAGCCTAACCCCACCTGACTCAACCGAATCGGTGAGCCTTCTTTGTCAAGGAAGCACAATGTGTTTAAACTTACCGTTTCCTAGACGGACTTATCCTGCGAATACCTGGTAATCGTTCTATTGTAGCCTATATTACATAGAAGAATCTTGACAATGTTTACTTTGTTGAGAGTTGCTGCTTCACATTGCCTGGAACATATAAAAATTGTTGCCATGTGATTTACCGAAGAGTGATTGCGTATTTGGTTTGAAGGAAAATGACGGCCGTTGGATGTGACCAAAGTGCTTCTTTATCTGCAAGCAATAAGCGTTTCCATGACAAAATTTTGGCCCATGGTTATCCCAAAAAAAAAAAAACTTCGGACTGCCTTTCGCTGGCAAGGACTGCCAATTTTTTTTGCTGCAAGGCACTCCATTACCATTAATACCTGACAATGGCAAAACTCAAGAAATCCACCGTCAAATTTCAGAAAAACCACTTGAAGCAGACTATAGAAAGAAGAAAAAAGCAGCAGAAAGTCAATAGAGCATTCAAGAAGCGTCAGGAAAGCCGCAACAGAGGCGATCGTCCAAATGGTAATGCACCGATCTCCTTTGACACCCACTACACCGAGATTCTTGTTGCAATATTGACAATATTTTTTGGCCTATTCTAGAAAATGGACATGCCTCGGAAGAGAAAACAGATGCCGCAGAAGGAAAGAAATCAGGATCGTTGGACATTAGGTGAAGCTTCAAGCAAATTTCTTTTCCACTCGACGAGTTTTATCATGGCTAATATCTCAATTTTTTTTAAAGCAAACTGAATGTCAGTGACTTTTTGAATGTCGACTGCCTATTGAACGATGAGGAAGCTCTGGAGTTAAACGATGACAATGTAATTGATCAAAATGAAGCAGTATGCACCGATTTGATCCTTGTATTGACCATGATTGCAATGACTAGGAGGCTGATCTGGATATTCTCGACACATTCAAAGGTATAGAGGATATAAATTTGCCTGAACAGGCCGAAGATCCAAATGAAGAAGAAAGTGATGATGAAATGGATGAAGCGGAGGAAGGATCAACCATTGTCACAAAGGAGATGTTGCAAGAATGGATCAAACGTCTTGAACAGACTCCTACAATCAACTCCCTCAAAGATATTTTGTTGACATTCCGTGCAATGTCACTTATGGATGAAAAGTACAACACTTCATGCCGTTATCAGATCAACAGCGAAACAGGTAAGCTAGACGTGATTATGCTATGGACAACAAGCAAAATTTTACTAATCATTCTGGTCAGTGTTCATGAAGGTACTTGCTACGGTGCTTGATACAGCGCCCTTGCTGATCAATGCAAACCTAATCCCCAAGAAGCAAGGCGGTCCTACAAGTTCCAGCAAATGGGGCGAGTTGCAACCGGTTGCACGACTTTACTGCAACAGTCTGTTGCGTATTTTACATGATGTTGCAGACGACGAACTGTATGAAGTGCTTCTGGAACAAACGAACACTTTGGTCTCCTACATTGCCGTGCTTCCTCTAGCAAGGAAGGCATATGTCAAGGTGAGTTTTCGGTAGAGAGCATACTGTTAACATTCGCGTTACTGACTCGAATGGTCCAGATCCTACTTAAATTGTGGTCTTCACCTATGGTTTCAAGTCCCGTGCGATTGCAATGCATGAAGAATTTGTGCAACTTGTCCAGTGTACCTATTGGTGACAAGACACAAAAGAAATCAACCTTATTGAGTCATGTCCTCAAATGTGTCTACATAACCTATGCACGAAATGGCCAACAAGTTTTCGAGGAATCACCTTCTGCTTTGGATGAAATGAGAACCTCTGCTGTCAGTATTTATCGTGCAAACGACAGGCATGCTTTCCAACACGCTGCTGTATATGTACAGCAATTAACTCAGCATTTGGAGACTGCCACGAAGAGCAAAACAAAGGTATGTATTTAGAACGTATGGCCTAGGGGAGGTACACACAGCACTAACCCTCGAACTCAGGAAACCATGAAGGTTGTTTTGAGTTGGCAATATTTAAATTGTCTCAAATTTTGGGCCACTATTGTTGGAGTCATCTGTAGCACGGCTGCGCAAGAAGGTGCAAAACCATCACAGCTCTCTGAGATAACTTACTCTTTGGTACAAATTTCTACGCAACTGATCAGGTAGGAGAGCATTTGTTACTACGAGCCATGTGTACATACTCTAACCTCGTCTTCTAGATTAAACCCATCCGTCCAATTCCTTCCTTTGCGCTTCCATTTGATAAGAATGCTTATAGACCTTGCGAAAGTCACCGAAACCTACATTCCCCTTGCGCCTTACTTGTTTGAGCTCTTCAATTTGGCTGAAGTCAGAAGTAAGCCCAAGCCTGGATCTATGCCGTCCTTGGACTGGTCGATTATCATCAAGGCTCCAAAGGAATATTTGCACGGCAAGGTTTACCAGGTAAGATGACATATATTTGGGGCATGTTCATGCATATCGTTGGCGAAGGCACTAATGTTTCCTTGGTTGATACTAGAACGAGATTTTGAAAGAGCTTCATAGCTGTTTAATAGAATATTATGCTTGTTATGGATTGTCGATTGCATTCCCTGAACTTGCCATTCCTGCCGTTGTTGAGGTGAGTGCTGCGATGGAAATTCTGCGAGCAAAGGTTTCCCACAATAGACTAATGCATAATGATCTGTTAGCTTTCGGTACAACAGCAAAGAGCGAAGAATCCCCACTTTATGCGACAGATCCAAACACTCAAAGAAAAGGTAGGCTGGCATAATAAGGTGACAGGTTTTGAGCTAACCGTTGTATCTAACATCTCTCATACCAGTTGGAGGAACAAAGCCGATATATTCAGCAGCAGAGGTCTCAAATCGAATACAATCCAACCAACCAGACTGAAGCCCTAGCATTCATGCGAAACGCTACCATTGATCAAACGCCATTGGGTAATTTGGTCAAGTCTCAAAAGCGAGCACAAGCCAACCGCAAATCTCACAAATAAGCAAGCAATATAATGTAACTATAGACACACATCGCACATCACTTTTATCATTTGTTTGTGTTTGATACCAATCATCTCAACTGTGTATTAAATTTTTGACATTGGAAAAAAAAGAGCGAGTGGGAGGGATTTGTTTTTATGGGTTGGGTTTGGTAATAATATTGGGGTTGGATCTGTTTCGAAGTTGAGGCTCGTATTGTTTTAACAGAGTCTGCAAGTCCTTGACTGTGTACATGTCTGTTCCAGAGTCCATGGAGTTGGGGAATTCCCGTATAGTCGACAGCTGCATTAAACATGGTTAAAACGAGCGCTATGGGCTCTTCCATATCTGGCCAAATGTACGTACCTGAAGCCAAAGATAATCTTCAATGCTTGGGGTAACTTCGGGCAAGTTCTTCTTATACAGTTCACATCTGCCCAATATCTTATAGAGAGCAATCTTGTACGGGTCACTTCCCTGGCCGGTATAGCATAGACGTCTGTATGATTCGAGTATGATATTTCGAGTGTGTTTGGATGTTCTGCATCAAACGAATTAGTCACTTTTGCGCTGGTGCTATTCAATTGAAGAACCCACTATCTTACATGTGATTAGGATCCGCAAGGTATTCCTGCAAAAAGTATATAAACTGTGGCTCTGTCTTGAACAATGCTTCATTACGACCCACAAATTCCAATGCAACGTCTGCGCGGCCTGCGCGGAAGAGGAAGAATACGTATGCCCATATGGGAATGTCATGCAGCACCTGCAGAAGTTGATGAGAAACGTGAAACACAGAAGCCGATTAAAAAAGTTGGATGTCATCTAACCTCCAGTCTTGGTGTAGTCCAGAAACCGGATCGCTTCAAGGCAATATTCATATAGCCACGGATCCTGTTCGCAACTGACGGTATACCGCCGATCTTGGCTTCCAAGACATGTTTCGAGAGAGTATCATCCACAAACAGCAAGAATCTAATGGAAGGTCACGTCAAGATACAGATAATACGAAAAACGGATAGGAGTCGATACATACTGCTCTTCCAGAAATGCTTTGGATGACTTAACAAGCGCCATATTCTGTTGTACCTGTTGAGGATCGTTTTGCGCATCGGTCTTCGCTGCCAATAACCGATCAATGAGTTGCCATGCATTCGCCGGTTTGGAGTCTAGTGATGCTGTTGAATCTTTTGCTTGTTGTGAAATGGCGGTCTGATCGGTCTTTTTACTATCTGGTTGGCTGGATGCCATAGCTTGCAAATTCCGTTTTCGGATAGCAGCCAGCAAATTGGATCCCTTCGTGTATGTTGGCTGATTGACACGAGATAAAATTAGTACAGTGCCAATCACACGTTCAATTCCATGTTTCGCAACGAGAAGATGGAGCCTTACCAACTTCCAGGTATCTTGTGCAACTCCTTCCATTTGATTACCCTTCGATGCATCGCTATTATTATCATCTTTCGCTTGCTCTTCAAGAATATCCTTTACAGTTTCACAACCAGGCTATTGAAAAAATAGAGCAGACACGTAAGACGAATGTTATGCCCACCACGTCATAAGAGGCGCACTTACCAAGCCCTGACTGTCGTCTAACACGTTAACTACCGTATCTTGATGAGCATGTCTAAGGAAACCCTGCGCAGAGAACACCATTTCAGATTGAGGAAATGCCGTTTGTCGAAATGGCACGGATCGAGACCCATTACTTACCTCAATATCGGTACTGTACAATGAGGCGACGGGTTCAAGCGACTTGTCGAGTTGAATGGCGTTGAGATCGTTAACAAGTTGATGGGTATTGACACCAGCACTGGCCAGTAAAAAGTGTCTATAAAGCAAACAGTCAATACAACAATAGATAAAGGAAGCAGCTATTGCTGATCGAAGACGTACGCTCTGCTGTTAATGTCGTGTGGCTTTTGAGGATGCTTTGAAGTCTCGTCCAGGAGATTCTTGGACTGCGATTCTATCTGGTCCAGGCGGCGCTCAATGTATGGTAATTCGCTTTCGTTGACCGAAGTGGTCAGAAGCTGAGACTTCTCAAAGAGCTGCTTCAATGTCACGGGCATGCTAATAAGAGGTCTATAGCTTGAGCGCAGTTCAACTGCAAGTTTTTTGCTATGAGCGTGAATTGAAATGCCGCAACTGTTCACCAAAGTTAATTGCACGTCACATCAAGCATAAAGTATCTATGGATTTGCGCAGGCAACAACTCATAATACGAGTAGCACTGCAGATAGAGTCTAACGGTAACTATTCTAATTTTATAGAACGCTTCTTTATTTTCAGGTATACATTAGGCCCCAATAAAGACTGTATGGAGGTAGACCACGCAAGTATAGTGCACTCCTAATTGATTGCCCACAGCAGCTTTTTTACTATGCTGCGCTGTGATGTTCTCAATGCGTGGGATTGATTGAAAGCTTAAGAACGATGACCGATCATCGCTTTAACCGATGAAACCCGCTTTTTTTTATGAACATTGGCTTGACTCGGTGGAAACACGTGACCTCTTATCCATTTTTTCCCCCATTTTTTTACGACTGGTCCCGAAGGTTGTCTAACTACTCCCACACCCATGAACTCTCTCTACATTGCCAAGCTAGGTTCAGCGCACCTAAGCTCTATTATCAAGGGCTCTCCCATATTGAAGAACGCATCAGCATTGGCTTTGGTAATGACCCTTATTTGGACTACCTGAGCCTTTTAGTACAGCCGTTCCTTAACTTTTTTTGTCGGTTTTTTTTTTGTAGACGCAACTGCGAACACACGCAACAACCGTTTCAGACAAGCCTTCACCACCATCATCCTCCCAGTCCGCAAAGTCAAAGCTCGCTGATCTCAAGGAAAAATTAGCCGCCGAGGAGGCAGGATTAGGAGACTTTATTAATCAAGGTAGCGATGGCAAATTGACTGCAGAGGAAGCTTTGGAATTGAAGGAGACTGTGACAGGTTCCCACAAGACCAAGAAACTGTAAGTTGCCCATGATTTGCCCTTAATCAGAAAATCAAACGTGCTAAGTACTAGATCCAATTTTATAGTAAGCAACCTCGTCTTCCGTCCTGGCTCAAGACCGACATCCCCGTTGGCCAAAACTTTACTCGTATTAAGAAGGATTTGCGAGGTCTCAAATTACATACTGTTTGTGAGGAGGCTCGATGCCCTAACATTGGAGATTGTTGGGGTGGTGGTGAGCATCAAACTGCCACAGCAACCATTATGTTGATGGGCGACGAATGTACTCGTGGATGTCGCTTCTGCTCAGTCAAGACCAACCGAACACCCAAGCCATTGGATCCCCACGAACCAGAACATACTGCTGAAGCCATTCGTCGATGGGGTCTGGATTACGTTGTGTTGACCAGTGTCGATAGAGACGATCTTGCCGATGGTGGTTCCGACCATTTTGCTGACACCATTCGTCGCATCAAGCAAAAGTAAGTTGTGTTGGGATAGATTTACAAATTTATAGCAACGCTGGTGACTAATCAACCTATTGTAGAGCTCCTCATATTTATGTCGAATGTTTGACAGGAGATTTTGGAGGTTCTTTGGAAAGCGTGACTAGTGTTGCTCAATCTGGCTTGGACGTATATGCTCACAATATTGAAACTGTTGAGGCCTTAACACCCTATGTCCGTGATCGACGAGCCAATTTCCGTCAATCACTTCGTGTTCTGGAGCAGGCAAAGAAGGCTCGACCAGATCTTATTACCAAGACCTCCATTATGCTTGGATGTGGCGAGACGGATGAAGAAGTGCAGCATGCCCTTGAGGAATTGCGAAAGGTGGATGTCGACTGCGTGACGCTAGGTCAGTACATGCGACCCACCAAACGTCACATGAAGGTTCATGAATATGTCTCGCCTGAGAAGTTCGACATGTGGCATAAGAAGGGTATGTCGATGGGCTTCAAGTATGTTGCAAGTGGTCCTTTGGTTCGATCAAGTTACAAGGCTGGCGAATTCTACATCAGCAATATTCTCAAGCAGAGAAAGGGTCTTCCTGTTGACAAGGCATTTGTCGCCGCTGCTGAAGCTGCTAAAAGCGCATAAACTTTCACTCTGTTCTTGTTTGTATTTTGAATTTTGCTAGCTTTTCTCTCCATTTTTACGCTCTACACCATTTTATACACTTACATGTGCCCTAAAAAAGACCTTGTGATTTTTTCCCACTACTAATAAAAGTGGTTTGCCTCTTCGTAAAAGGTTGAAAGCGTGATGGATGATGTGAATTTTTTTTGGAACTCCCCCAGTAGGGTGGATTTCTATTTTAATGGGTGCGTCAGCGGGAGAGAGGCACCACGGGCTTTAATCATCTCGGTGGCAGCGTTTCATGTTTGACATAATTGCCAAAGTCTTCCTCTATCTTGGCATAGCAATCGTCACGCCAACGGTGGTTGCAATCTTATTCGACGTGTCATTTTATCTGTGGCGAAACATCTCGGAAGCTGTGACTCCTCGCAAGGCAATCAAGACACAATAGATTCCAGCAGCAGCCTGTCAAGCAATCAGCTCAGCTTGCTTGTGTATAATCCTTCGCAATCCTCACCACAGCCATTGTTCATAATATACCATACATTTAATAAATGGAAAACATCGTTTTTGTTGTTGATTCTCTCTATATTACTCTATACAAATGCACTTGACTAATTTCGTCCACGTCGTCTTCAGATAGCTCGCTTTCAAACCAATGCGACGAGTAGTCTAATTTGATCTGCTTGACCCAGCCTCCAAGGGTCTTCTTAACAGGCAAACCAGCTTGTTTCAATTGATCTTGAAGCGAAGGCAACGTAACAATAAGGAGGCCTTGCTTTTTACTCGTTTCCTTGCGAATATATCGCCAGATTTGCTTTTGAACGTCCAAATCATTGAAGAATTGGAACACATTATTCATGACAATAATATCAGCCTGAGCAATCAATTGTGGGACAGTCTGGATATCAGCTTGAACCAACTAAAGGCAACGTGTGAGTCAATACGCTGTGCTGGCCAAAAATATCCCCATTGTCTTTTTGCCTGTCACTTACCTCGATTCGGTCCTTCATCTTATATTTTGCAACTGTATCAACCTGTACATTATGAAACCACGAGTTGATTTCCACACCGATCAGCTTTTTGGCTTCACTAAAGAGGTATCCCTGCGATGGACAGAACATTAATTTGACAGGTTTCCTTGAGGATGCACCATCCACCACTCACAGTGTACAAAACAGCTCCAAGTCTTGATCCAATATCCAGAATGGTCTTTCCGCTTGTCTGGTTGGCTAGCGCTACTTGGTACATAAACTGCAGTTGAAGAACAGATGCCGAGTGCGAAATGAAGTCTGAGGACTGCCGGTCAGTCGATAAACATCAGAACCTTCCCATCTACTCCGTACTTACTCAATGGCTTCACATTCTTGGAATTACAATCCAAGCAGTAATTCCTTGAGAGAGTGCCTTGGTCGCATAAATCATCGACGTCGTCTTCTGTGAATAAAAATCCATCGACGTGTACTGTATTTCCCGCCGTATAACCTTCATACTAGTTGATAAAGTGGGTAAATCTTCAGTACAACGGTCTTCATGCTCTGTCAATCGTTCGCTCTTGCTTACCTCCTCCGTCTTGGGAATAGTGATTTCTTCACCGGGAGCTTCAGCTGACACGGGTACCTTCTTTCGCAGATCAGAAATGATCTTGCCTAGACGATTCATACTTGCAGGAGAGACATTGACAAACTCTGAATCGTTCTCCATTTCTTCAGCGTCGGAATCCTCGTCCATGTCATGGTGGTCGTGTATCTTGTTGTGGTACTCGTCTAAAAGTGGGAAATGAATATCACCCGGAGGTAAAAGTGGTCTCGTACAGTCAACCTTTTGCTGCATTACCTAAAGCTGATCTGACAAAGGAATCAAATTCGTCGAAATCTTCGCCTTCTACCTTGCACAGCAAGTTCAAGAACGCTTCCTTAACGGCGTCGACTCCATTGTCTTCTTGTTGCATGTCAAAAAAGTTTAAGCGATTGACTGTAGGCAGTCCAAAAAATTTCCAGGCAAAAAATAAATTTCAATCTCAGGTAATGGTATAGCCAAAAAAAAATAAAATGCATATGCTTTGTGGGATTAAGAACAGCTTTGTGAGTCACAGACTGAAAAAGCTGAAAATTCAATTGCCCTACTTCCACAACGCTTAAGGCGTGCTATTCTTTACAACATGTACAGGTATAATTTAAAACAAGTGTGGCATCCGCACTGCGGGTATACTATACTATACTAAAGGTTATTGTTTTAGGTATCGGAATGAATATCTTGGTAATTATCCTCATCATCTAGCGATCGCTGGTTTTTTTGCCAAAGACGCTGCTTATCTGCTCGGTTGACTTCCTTGCGCATGATGATGGCAGCTTCAATCAAATTGTAGTCTGGATCAGCGGAGGAAAGAAGCAGTGCAATGATATTGTCGTCGTTCGCAAAGTCAAGGTCGTCATCATTCATGAGCGATGTATCTGACTCTGGTGACCAGAAGGCAAGGTCGTCGTCGACTTCATTCATAATCGTTTTAGCTATCCTGACATATTCTTCCTTATCGTTATTGAAGTCTGCATCGTCATTCCAATTATATTCGTACTCTTGCACCTTGGGTGAATTATTGGAAACTTGCAACTTTAGGGAAGGCTGATCAAATGACTTTAAATATTCCACAGAAAACATTTCAACGTCCTCGTCTTCGAAACGCCAGTCCAGATCGGAGTCGTCTTCTAGGTCGACTACTTTCCGGTCAGGAATGGGAAAGGCTGTGACGACGGCAAAGGCAGCTAGGATGGGCAAGGCTATTCGCATTCTTTGGGGGAAGTGGAAATAAAGAGGGGACCAAGGCCAAAAACCTGGGGAAGGAATAAAAAAAAAACTTTCTCAGCATATTTTCTCTGACTGTACAACACGTGTGGGTACTTTCTGAGAATTTTTGTCCCACACATCTGATGCTTGTGCGCAAAAAGATTTTCCCTCACTACTACGAAGACGATACTTTGCCCTGCCCTGAGGGGACAATCTATGAGATTTTTTATTTCATTATTTGCAGTTTGCATTGGGAGAGTGAAAGGACGGTAAATTACAAGCGAGAGGAGTGTGTAAAAAACTGAAATGGTGGTTAATACTAAATAGGTGGGTGGGTTCCATATGGAAATTAAAAAAAGAAAATTAAAGGAGGAACCAAGCACAAGCGGCGGCACCAGCCATAAGGTATCCAGACACACGGGCAACGCTAGCTGAGGAAGCAGCTTGCTTGTTGACCTTGCTAGAGGTGGAGGGCATACCAGCTGGTGCACGAGTGGCACCGGCGTTAGGAGCATTGGACAAGCTGCTGAAAGCCTTGCCAGAAGCAGAGGCAGAGGCAGACTCGAACATAGACTGGGATGCGGAAGCAGCAACGAAAGGATCGTTGGTAATGAAAGGAGCAGCTCCACCCATGGGCTTGTTTCCTCCCTTCTTATCACTGCCACCTTTACCACCCTCCTTGTTATCATCACTCTTGTCGCCATCTTCGTCGTCGTCGTGCTTCTCCTCATGATCCTCATCGTGATCTTCGCCATGGTCACCATCATGGCCACCCTCATGGTGATTGTTGCCGCCACCGTTGGGCTGTTACATTGGAAAACCGATTAAGTAATTAACTTGAGCTTTCATGAAAACAAAATTTTTACTTACACCAGGAACCATGGTTGCGGCACTGACCTCAGTGGTGAGGGTAGTGTAGAAGATGGCGATTTTGGTCATGGTGACAGTTGCCTCATATGCGGGAGCAGGGACCACACTGCTTGCAAGGGCAGCATCAGTAGGTGTGGCTGACACGATGACAGCTGCGGGTGTGTAGGTGCCTCTGGCACCATCCAAGTATCTGTACTTGGCAACGGGCTCACGGTTGGGGTGAAGAGCAACAACTTGAGCGTCTACAAAGCGAAAAGATTAATTGGAGAACATGATGTTTCGCATCATATAGCATCAGATTTACCGGCGGCAAGAACGGCTGATGCGGCGGCAACTGCGAGGAAAATAGCACTCTTCATTGTTCTAGTAGTAGCAAGAAAAAATAGATGCAGATGCTTAAGGGTGTGCTTTGCAAACCGTGGCAAAATCCCTCACTATTTATGAGAAGAAATATTCCCGATGACCGTCCTTTTTGTGCCCTGCTCTTCCATCAACAAGAATGATATGTTGCAAAGTCTTAACAAATTTTAAACATGACCTTGTAGCCAAAATCATAGCTTCATATTAAACCCAACCCTCTTTACAATCCTATTTAAATCTCCGCCATCAAGAATTTTTCTGTTTCCATCGCGCTTAAGTACACTTCATTCTTATTTGTGTCAAATAAAATGCAATCGATGCTATGAGGATAACCAGTAATGCGCTCGTATAATTATTTTTTAAGTATAAGCGGTATAGACATTAATGGCTACAATACTCGCCATCTTGCGCCAACTTTACATTTTCCTGTTCATGCAGCTTGGGCAATATACTGTCTTTGGTGTTTCATCCAATATACGAGGTCTCGTTTTCGTCAATTTTCATGACATGAAAAAAAATGTGTATTGTATTGAGTATAAATTTTTATATTACAACTTTCATCGATACTGTTTTGACGTCTGTTGAACGTTTACATTGCTCGTGATAATCTTTGCGTTTGAACCGAGCCCATGAGCCGGTGTTGTGCCGCTACATTCTCGTCTACACTCTGACAATGATACAGTATGACTTACTACTTCATTAATAACCGCTGCTAGTAAACAAACTTGGACACTCATTCAATAACAGAGGCAAATTCACTGCAGCATTGCGTCGTTAGTGAAGTAGATCACATGAACTTACTTTGACACGTGAAGAAGTCAGACTTAGACGCAGCTACCAGAGCTCCTTAAGGCAATTAAGATGGTACCAATTCCTATACGCATATAACTGTAGGTGTTCGGCTTGTATATTCACCCTAGAAGACATGTTTCAAAGCTGAGATGAGGACGGACTAGATTCGGTCTCACTTTCGTGAAGCATGGGTGGCATGATTGGTGGCTCATTGCGTACAAAAACTAGGTTAGGTAAATGATCCTCAGTGTTTACTCATCTTCCTATCTATGTCTTCTCAAAAACTCCAAGGAAAAGTCGCCTTCATCACTGGGTCTGCGCGTAACATGGGTGCATCCTTTGCCTTAGCGCTTGCTAACCAAGGAGCAAGTGTTGTAATCCATCACCGTGGCAGTAGTCAGAAAGAAGCTGAAGCGTTGGCTGCAAAGATCCAACAGCTGGGCGGTAAGACACTCATCGTGACCGGTGAGCTTGCAAATGTACAAACTATCCGAGATATCTTTACCAAGATCAAGCAGTCGCTTGGTCGACTTGACATTGGTAAGTCCACGACTGGCGAATAATCACCCTAACGATGGACACAATTTACCAATACTTGAACTAAAAATAGTCATCAACAACGCCGGCGAGGTGTTGAAGAAGCCTTTCACTGACATCTCTGAGGAAGAGTACGATCGTCTTTTTGCTGTCAATGCAAAGGCTCCTTTCTTCGTGATGCAAGAAGCCTTGAAAATTCTTGAGGATAATGGTCGCATAATCAATGTCGGTACAACGCTTCTCGCTGTCACCACTGGATGTAAGTGAAGCTTCAGACCAAGGCCCACGTGTCAGCATTGCAATATGTATTGAAATTTTTTTCCCGTGGGTGCGGATTAGTCTACTCCGCCTACGCAGGAAGCAAAGCTCCTTTGGAAGATTTTACACGAGCTGCAGCACAGGAGGCAGGATCTCGCGGTATCACCGTGAACGTAGTAGCGTGAGTTCTTGTGCGTGTTTTGTTGAAAATGGCTATAAAAGTTGAAGCTAATATTTTGCTCACCTATTCTAGACCTGGTCCAATCGATACGCCGTTCTTCCACGGACAAGAATCCAAGGAGTCAGTTGACTTCTTTACCAACGCAACTCCTCTCAAGCGTCTAGGGAAAGTCACTGATGTTGTGCCTGTGGTTGAATTCCTTTGCCTCCCTGAATCGCAGTGGGTCACCGCTCAGACCATCCTTATCAACGGTGGTCTCATTTCTCGCTAGATGAAGTTCCACTGCGTATACAGTATATGCTTATAATTAAAACTTCATCTTCAATTGACCATCGCAGCATCGTAATAGTAGATCATAAATTAAAAGATCTTGTCATGATAAGTAGCCAGTTTCCTACTGATGACTTTGATATATCTTTCAGCTGTCTGAGCTTGCCGAAGCATGTGATCTGACATTGAACATTTAGTCCATATTGATTTAACGTTGATCTTGGAGGCGGCGGTGGTAAGGCGATTCAAGTGAGGGACGTAGCCATCGAAATTCTCAAAAATCCATTGTATGCGGGCTAGGCGCTAACCTCATGAAGACGGTGTCCATGAAAACGATTTGGCATAACATTCCCAGCCCTTGGTTGCCATACTTAGAAGAACGTACATGCGGGGTTTTTGCTTGACCTTTCATACAACGAGATACACCGCTGCGGAGAGGATGATGTCTGCGCAAGTTCACCGCTGTAACGGTTGGCTGGAACCACAAAATATTGAAAACAACATGATTAAGCACTGATAGATCATCAGTAATTATTCTTTTGTGATGTAATGATGGCTGCTAACTTAAATGTAAAGTTTGCTACTTAGGCAGTATTATTTTTGGATCCCAGCTTCGCCTACTGCGCAAAAATGAAAGCGTCTATAAAAACTCCCAGTTTTTGGTAGCAGCCGAGCTAATCACCATCCAATGGCTGTAAATCACAATCGACACGATCTCTTAATTGTTTCCACGCACGGTCACATATACTGTCTTCAAAAGAAGACTGGAACCCGGATATGGCGGCAAGACTTTCCAAGTAAGAAAATTATATAACTGGTCCTATCGGGGACACTATCAGCCATATAGTTCCACATAACTAATATGAATATTTTCGTCACGGCAGGCAAATACACTGGTGGATTAATATCGTTGTTTATTAATGATGCAGATCAGCTTATTGTAGCTGCTCAAGGTAAAACCTGTGCTATGGACCTGTTCACAGGCACTCACCGATGGACGAATGATATGGAGGTTAGTGCAGTGCCTTTGATGTCGGACATGTACTATATTCGCACATAGAGGCTGACTGGCTTCAACGCTTGATAGGGAATGGGATATCATGAGATAAGTGTGATATCCACGCCGACCATGAACCATGGTATGTCATATGAACCTCCAGCAAACGAGAAATCAGGTTGGGGAGAGGATCTGAACGAGCGACCGCCTGAGTATGCAGCGAGCGAAAAGGGCGTGGTCGTTGCATGTTCGTATGGAAAAGTGGCTGGAATTGACTCCAAGTCTGGCCAGACGCTTTGGAAATTTGATTGCCCAAGCGGTGGATATAACCTTCCTGTGGTTATTGCAGAAAGAGACATCATCTTTATTGGATGTGGTCGAATGGTGTATGCCCTCAATCCCAAGAATGGCAGCACGGTTTGGTCGACCAAGGCTACTAATGGTTTAGTGGGATCGGGATGGATGACCATGGCCACAGTATGGGGATCTCGACAAGCAGAAGTGTAAGCAGCTATACAATCCAATTCTGTGTCTTCTCAGGAACGTACCAAGACGTTTAACCTTGTCTTGTCCTATCTAGTCATACCGGCGGGATTAACTGTCCAGTGCCACAAACAAAGATAGCAGAGGATGCCAGGAACAGAAGCCAATAGATAATTCGTTGCCCACCGTGTTCAATAAATATATATATGTATATTATTCGCAAAGCTGTCTTCATACCTTGTAATTTCCAAGAGAGTGTTAGGTTGTTCGCCAAGATGCAGGTCTAAGATAAAGTCTGCCAAAGAGGGTAAATTTGAAGATGCTTGTACAATGTGCTACTGACTTATTGCGGACATAGAGAGGTTCTAGCGAATGTTCCCATAGTTTTGTTCAACGTTGTGCCGAACGGCATCTTGTTGAGGCAGGGTGCCACATGTGCCAGCCACACTTTTAGCCACATCTGGCGCAGTGCCAAGGCACATATATTCAAAGCTTACTCGCTCCATATTTCATCTGACCGTACAGCAAAGGCTATTAAGAGTGCCGCATATATTTGATTATCTTTTATTTCAATAATGTGCTCGAGATACGCTTGTATATCCATTTGATGGGCTCTAGTCGAAGATAACCCACATTGCTTCGCACTAAAGTCGTACATTGTGCACCCTATGAACACACTACCTATTTCAGCCGCCGGCCCACCCACTGCGCCATATCTAGAGTCTATAAAAGCCCTGCTAAAAACCCTCAGAGATATTTTATGGCTTCAAAACTCGATAGAAACGATCTCCTTGTTGTTTCCACACACAGTAAAATCTACTGCTTGAACAAGAAAACCGGTAGCCGGATATGGCGAAAGGAATATTCTGGTAAGCTGGCAGGATCTTTAAGGCTTGACTTGTTTTGTCCAGCATAACGACGCCTTGTAAATCATCCTCAGCTAGTGTAAAGGGGCCGCCGATCTCGTTGTTCATCAACGATGCCGATCTGCTTATCGCCGCCGCCAAAGGAACGGCTTATGGTTACGACTTGTTCACAGGGTCATTCAAATGGAAAAATGAAATGGATGTAAGGAATGATTGCGCTCTCATGCAATCAATGGAAAAAGACAGGGAGACTGACTAATAGGTTGATTCTCTCAACAGGGTATGGGATTCCATGATGTAGCCGTGAGTTCGACACCGACCAACAGTGTTGCACACTTAGCACCGAGCTATCAAGCATCAAGCGAACGGCCGCCAGCGTATACAGCTAGCCACAAATCCGTGGTCATCTTGTGTTCGCATGGTACGGTTATCGGGGTTGATTCTACGACTGGTAAAAAGATATGGCGATATATGTGCCCGGATGGCAGTCATGATATGCCTGCAGTGATATCAGAAATGGACAAGGTGTACATTGGCTGCGGACGAATGGTGAGCGCTCTCAACCCAAAGAATGGGCAAAAGATTTGGTCTGTACATGCTAGCAACGGTGTGTTGGGATCCTGCGGGATGACCATGGCTACTGTATAGGGCTCCAGACAAGCAGAAATGTAAGTGTGAACATTTTAGGCATGTTTCCGAATGGGTGCACTAAGCAAGTTATGGACTCAGTCATTCAGGTGGCAACAACTTCCCGGTACATCTCGATTAGAATGAACAAGGTTGATGGTATGAAGGCGTTCAAACCTGGGTCTTTTGTAGATAGGCAGGATTTGTACTTTTTTTTAGACCACTGATATCAAGCGAACTGGTCATCGCAACGTTCATGCTTGATGAGGGTTACTTTTTAGCGTTGTATAAATATGGAATTTTTTTTCAGAGTTTACAAGTGGGATTGCTGGGTATGAACGAGGTGTAAAGTGCATTTCGTTGCTTCATAAACTTTTTGATCAAAGCATTTAGTCCCGGTGAAGGGTCCACATCGATGCTGGTCGGGTCCACATAGTCCGCACTAGATAGACATTCAACATCACAAGGCACTTTCACCAATTGCGGAGCCTTAGATGGTGCGAAAGGGGTGTTAGCATTCGCCACTGCCTCAGACCACGAAGGCAATCCAGCTGATGGTAGTTTTGCTGTTGAATTTGGTAAACCTTTCGACGAACGTGAATTCCAACCTGAAGAGTATTCATTAGACATTCTATTTCACTCACGAAGCCTTTCCGCTAACCACTCTGGCAGTACTCACCATCCAGCATGCTGAGAATGCGTTCTTGATCTGATGGTATGATACACTCTACGTCCAGCACATAATCATAGTCGCTCCAACCAAAATTAGTATCTGACATGCTATCACTCTGTCAAACTATCAGCAAACCAGCAAACAACATTCGCCAAAATTACCCAGAATTATAGGTAGACACGAACCTTTACCACTGCATGATCCAAGTTGTCCAGTTTTGTTCGTTTCACATGTGCACTCAGCTCTTCTTGATCTTTATCATCCACACTTTGATTGTCGTCCGCCAAACTTAGTAGCATATGAGCGTCGTCCAGATCCATTTGGCTGTTCGTGCCGTCAGATACATCTGATACATGTTCATTGTTATCATCCTGTCATATTGTCAGTGGCTGCTTAAATATAGCAATAGACAGGATGAATTCAGTTACATACCTGTGACATTGACCGCTTGATCTGATCCAACGTTTTTGGTCGTTCTTGCATTTCATCATCTGAATAAAGAAAAGCATGAGATGGTGGGGTTGGTAATAGATCAATCCTGTGTTAGACGCAAGTGTACCTGACATGGAACTAAACGCAAACAATTAGGCGATGCAAATGCTTAAAAGCTTTAATAAAGCAGCTCTCTTACCTCAATTGTCTTTCAACTTCGTTCAACCACTCCCGTATCTTCGGATTATGATTGATATTTGTCAATCCAGGTGTAATGGAGGTTCCATCGGTGAAATGTAGATAGGCATGAACTCGAAGATAGCACCCAATCTTCTCTTCAGGCACCATCCAGTAGGTTGTCAGTTCAACGAATTTGGAAACGATGACGGCTCCTTCAGCTACTTTAATAGACGCTGGCCTGGCATATCGGTGTCAATTGAACCCGGTTTGTTGAGTTAAAGTGATAAGTTCGATACTTACTCATCATCGTCCGAGGTAGGTGTAGGGAACATGGGAAGTATTGCGGGAATAGTGTGATATTTATCAGAGAGTTCTACTAGAAAGAGGGTTTCGTCGGGTGCCGTGTGGATCTGATCATGAATCTGCAATCGGTAGTGGACTTAGATTAGCATTTAGCCATTGTCGTCTCAATGGCGGATCATGCGCTACGAACTTTCCAAACTTGCCATCGCTGGCTCTTTGTCGCGGCAATCTTGTGCAGCTGTCCTCTAAGCTCTAAAATTCGCTTTTCTATTTGTGGCTTTTTGAATCCGTCCATGGCATATTTGAAAACGAGTTGGAAAAGACAGCTGTAACTGACTGAGAGACGAGCCGAACGCTAAGCGGACCTTTTCTTTTTCCTTCTTCAAATTGTGCCCGTTGCTCTTGATCACAGAAGCATGCATCAACAGGCTGGTAACTTAGCTTTTATCTTCATGGAAGAAGAGCGATATATCAGAACGGATTGATTTTTTTAAAATCTTTTGATTTCTATGAAAGACTGTTCATAAAGGTTCTGGTGGATACAGACAACCAACTTGGCACACTTGTAACTAGGTTGGTAGTTCTTTTTCGGGATTACATTCAGTGGTGAAGACGTGAGCTGGCGAGCATTACGATGTTGATAATACCTGGGTTTTATCATCCTCCTGTCTCACTTTCATCAATGGCTTAATACTGTCTTTCTCGAAAAAGCAAGCTACATATTGTATGAAGGCATTATTTCAGATGGAAGTAAAGTTGAGCGAGTTTGTTTTACTAGATGATAATTACAATTTTGCAATATCTAGGTTATTTGCAGGAACAGTAACATATGTTTGAATGAATGGGCAACTCTCAATAACTTTACTGTAAACTAAAGCAACTCAGACTATAAGGCGAAACTGGCCAAATGTGTGTGGGCGGAGATTCGATCTGGCAGCCTGGAAATTCGTAAAGGCATCCGAGCCCGGCTACTTGCGAAACCCTCTCTTACCTGCAATGTAAGTATCATATCATACATTCATCCATCCATCCATTGCGATACATCAATCATCCACAGCAATAGAGAACGTACCAACTTCGACGCATTGCTTTAGCATTTTCGCACATTCGACATTTTCGACCATGCTAGAAAAAATTTGATTATTGAATTCATTAGAAAAGTGTTTCTAATTGCCTGCTTCGACATTCTACAGTTCAAATGGTTACTCCTGCTGTTAAACACACCATTGTGAAGAAGCGCACTGCTCACTTCAAGCGCCACCAGTCTAACCGCTTCATGCGCGTTGGTGTATGTATATTTTCTTTGCATTGCAAAATTGTGCTATGAGCCATGACAACTAATTTTACTTTTTGCAATAGGAATCCTGGAGAAAGCCCAAGGGTATTGACAGTCGTGTCCGCAGACGCTTCAAGGGTCAAGCTCCCATGCCCAAGATCGGTTACGGATCCGCTAAGAAGACCCGCCACCTTCTCCCCAACGGTTTCCGCAAGTTCCCCGTCTCCAACCTCAAGGAGCTCGACCTCTTGTTGATGCACAACCGTACCTACGCCGCTGAGATCGCCCACAATGTCTCTTCCAAGAACCGCATTGCCATCATTGAGCGTGCTGCTCAGCTCAACGTCAAGGTTGTCAACGCCAACGCCCGTGTCAGATCCCAGGAGTAAACACAGAAATCATCTTTTTGTAAACCATCAAAAAACCTTATATAAACAGGAAGTAATCGCCTCGAATTGTTTTGTGAGTGTTACGGGATAGACGAACATAATCGTCCTCGTGCATGTTTGGTGTGAATGATGGGTATGTTAGGATGTTGGGTATCAGACCACTCGGTTGTATTGCCTGGATTCACCATAGTCGTGCCGGTTTCCAGTTATATGTGGAACTACATGCTCAATCATTATTTGATAGTGCTAAGTGAATAGTTAGAAATGGATTCAAACGGCATTGTCAGTAAGAGTTATGTTGTACGCAACTCCACTGACAATTGCTGTAAAATTGCACGCCTTGACCCAAATTGTTCATCCTTTCTATAAGCATCTTTCTATCGCCATCCACCTTGTTTGTTACTAATGAACACGACGCCTTACACTTTGAGTACTGCTGATCTCCACCACTGATTCCAGCGGTCATTCCTTGTGCAGTTACTGTCGTTGTTCAAAACCTTGCAGCTCAGGGCTGTAGGGACCAAAATGGTGGCATGAGAATGTGTCAGCGATAATCCGATTGAGCCAGGTAGGCTCAATTAGCGAAACTACCTCATTGCATTTTATAAAGACCTGAACACAAGCCATTTACAACAGAGGCTTCTATCAAACGGAACTCTTTTGAAGCTTGATCGAGCTGCAACATGGGTTCTGAAGATCACAACAAAAATCCAAGTGTAACTAGAGAATTCGTAAGCAGCAATCATAGCTACCCCATCACAGTAGATGGTATCCATTCCTATTGAGTGAGATAGAGAATAGTGAATACAAAGGTTATTCTCGTCATTAGCCAGTTTGTCCTTATTACTTTTCCAGCCCCGCACGCTCACCCAAACCAACTTAGGGCCCATCATAGGCTTTTCTTTTTTTAAAAAAAACTTTATCAAACAGTAATAAAGAGACTAGTGTACAGGTGACGGCAAAACACCTTGCCTATGTAATAGCGAGAATCAGAAGCACCAGGTTTCCTCTCCTCCTTCATACTTTACACTCCTTACAACTTGGCAGCAGGCTTGCGGGCAGTGGTGGCAGTGATCAAACCAGAGGGGTCAGCAACAGGTTGGAAGACATCAAGGTTCTTGTCAGTGTTATCAATCTTGAACTTGGACATGTCAACACCGAAGTAGTGCTTGTTGGGAAGAGCATAGTCGATCTCGGCAACAGACTTGTTGTCACGGAGGATCTGCTGTTGCATCTTGTAAAGAGTGGCTTGAACAGAGGCAGAGTCATCCTTGGCGAAGGTATCCATGGTGATCTTCTTGACGGAAGCGTGGACTTCAGGGAAGTTGACCTGGTGTCTGAGGACAGAGGGCTTGGTGCTCTCGAATCTCCAGGTGGCGTCAACAGAGGTGGAGAAGATACGGTCCCAGACTTCTGGGAGAGTGGTGTACTCGTCTCTGTAGAAGCTGTGGAAGGCAGAGCCGGTGGTCTTGAGGACGAGCAAGTTCTTGAGTCCAGACTCGATGGTGATCTTGTTGCCATCACGGTGGTGGATAACGTGGGTGGTTTGGACATCCTCGCCATCACGGACAAAGGAGTGAGGGTGGAGCTCACCGTCAATCAACATACGGGACCACTTGTGCTTGATAATTTGAACGTGGGCAACGTGAATGTGCTTGTACTGCTTAAGGACGTGCTCAGTAATCTCTTGGGCAAAGACTTCAATGTTATCAACGTTGGCACTGCGCTTGGCCATGATGTAAACAGTGTTCTTGCAGGTATCTGTTAAGAGGAGAGGTAAGGTCCTGAGCGTAACCCTGCTGCCCAACCTTTACAATGAATGACTTACCAGTAGTAACAACGACAGAGTTGTCAGCCTCAGTGTAGGAGGTCTCGATGTCTCCTTCCAAAGTAAGAGCAACCTATGGAATATGAGGCGTTGAGTTTATCGATCTACTTTTCCGTTATCCTCTCCAAACCAAACTACTTACGGTCAACTCAACACAGGTTTGCCACTTGCCATCACGGTAGACCTTCATGACCTTGACCTTGTCCTTGCCATAGCGGGCTTTCTTGAGGTAAACTTGGCTGGAGCTCATATTTGCGTTGTGTATAGAGAAGGGGTGTTGATAAAGAAGAAAGAAAAAGTTGGAATCTCTGGGTTGGTTGGCTTTATTTACTTCTGGGGCCATAATTTATACCTGCATAGGTGACTGTTAATGATTGGTTCGGCGGGTATAAAATTCACTCTCACGGCTGACTACATCCCAAATGGGGCACCCGTATATACCCACACAATCAATCTCCGTTCAAAATCGTTTCATAATCTATAAACGGAAGGTGTTTATACCCACACTTGTTATACCCACTGCATTCCTTTGACCCGTTAGCAGGGCGGTATCTTGCCTCAAAATTGTTAACAACGAACTCGTTTCTCCAACAGAAAATTTTAAAGCAGCACTGATAATTTATATTGGATCATTCAATGATTATCTGTCGTTCGTTTCAGTTTAGTGTCTCTGTCATCACATCCGGGAGGATAGAAGCAAGTTTGGAACCGTGGTAACTCCGAAAAGAAACACATGGTTTCGTAAGAGGCAGGGGACATAAAGTTTTGTGTTTATACCCCAGTTAATTGTGTCATTACTAGTAGAAAATACCTTTTCAACCTCCTCTATCAAATTGGTTTTGTAGCCAGGGTATATACCATCATGGAGCTTTGAAGGACGTGAATTTCAATATTTCGAGCTCTGAAAGCAAGTCGACCCACCGGAAGCATTCGTTTGACTGTATAAGGAGTAGCTGCAACGAACTTTTTCTCACCCAACGACTTTATCAAGTTCAGGAACAAACTTTAGGCGTGGCACACACAAAATATTACCACGGCTATTTCTTAATCGCCACATTTTTGGGTACTTCTGAGAATATTCCTGAAACTCACTCTTCTCTTAAAGTGAGATACCTTAGACAAACAAACAAATTCATAGGCATAAAAAATCTTTCGATAAACCGATACAACACGAATTGTTGGGTACGAATGATGTTTGTGAATTGAATCATTAAGGTGAAATATAATTTTTGTGGGCCATCATGCACATCTAATGCTGTTTACCTTAGGGTTCGGTTGGTCACAAGTGACTGTAAGAAAGCAAAAGTGGGATATTTACATAGAAAAGAACAAAACAAATGAGAGGGAAAAGAAAAAGACGGAATGCGTGCATTCTTGCCACTCAGCTCCCCATACGAATATTCCTCGTTTTTTTTTAAACAACAATAGTGGCAACGATAATGGAATCATTTCCACACTTGATGGTTTCTCTGACCGTCGTCAAGCTATTGACTGTAACCGGAGTGTCTAAGGTGGCAGGAACTCTAAAGTACAGCGTGGACTTGGCAATTCGACGTTCGTTGAAAGTGACTTTCACGTTATGGCCGTCCATCTCCCAATGTTGTATTTCTGCTGCCGGTATAATGTGTCCTTGAGAGCCGATAAGAGTCACGGATTGATTGTTGCTACTGGATTCGAAGAAGGTTCTTGTTTGGTGCGATCGGAGCATCAACTTGGCACCAGATGGCCATACGAAGGCTTCGATAGGGTCAAGAGGGCTGACAGACTCAAAAAATGTAGTGGGTTGATCCCTTGTATGCATGTTGACCCAACGTGGTATGGGAGCCATATTGACATAAGTAGTATATCGTGTGCCAGGTGCTTGGACGCTTGGTATCACGTATTCAATTCTGTATACCTCATCTTCAATTTCCTTGACCGATTGGATCACTGCATTGACCTTTGGAAACGTGCCTGCATATAACAAATGCTCTTTATCTCCGTACTGACTGACATTGTCGGATGTAAAAACAAGGTGTCCAAGGACGTTGTTCAATACACATAGAGTATAACGTTCATCGGATGTGAGCTTGTTGCCTTGCGTGCGAAGCAAAATAGCGTCTGGATCATTTCCAAACATGTTGTTCATACCCCAGCGATTCAATGTGGACAGCAATGAGTTTGCAGTTGAGACTCTTTCACGCACATTGAAAAACTTGAGCTTGGAATCTAGCAAATGAGATTTTTTTTAGAAATTCACCCACGTATATGCAGCCCTCATCGCCGATGTGACTTACCTTCCCACCAAGGAGATACATCTGAACCAACCCGGCAATATGCTACACGACCCCAAGCAGATGCTAAAGGAACACCTGAGCCAAGTATGATCTTGTCACCCACAATTTCTTGCAAAAGTGTGATTGCGTCCCACATGATCTCACCGCGGGTTTTGCCTAATCGCGGCACCATGGCAGCTGCGAACAAGAAATCCAACTTGACAAGACCAAATCCCCATGCATTCAGTACAGTATCGAAAACGTTTTTCAAGTGATCTCTAAATTCCTGGTTGTAAATATCCAAGGCATAGAACCCACCCCAATTCGGACCTACATACATAACAATAAATAATAAGTCTCTATCAGTAACAGGATCATATGGGCATGCACTAACCTGCTACCAGATACTCTGATTGATTGTCTGGCTTTCGAAGTACCCATTCGGGATGAGCGGCGACAACAGCGCTCTTGTATTGAGCGGAGAACGGTGCTAACCATAAGCCTGGCGTATAGCCTGCATTTTTGATTCGATCTGCAATGGCTGCCATACCGCTTGGAAACTTGGCATTGGTATCAAGCCAATCTCCTATCATTTGCTGGTACCCGTCATCGATCTGAAAATAATCGATGGGATATTTTTGTGCTTGCATGGCCGCCAAATTGTCCATAATGTCCTTTTCGGTCACAGCTTCGTAATAGTTATACCAACTCGTCCATCCAGTAACAGGTGGCCCGAGTAGTTCACCTTGTGTATAATAACGGGCATAAGAGCGCCACATACCAGGCAAGTCATAGCCTTGCGAAATGAAGCACTTGATGACCAGTCTATCATTTGCTTTCAAATGTTTTCCTTCAATATCCTTGTAGATGGTAAAGGAATTGTCATTGAAATTTCCCTCCAGATAGGTGTAGCCGGACTCTTCAGAAATCGATCCAACAAAAAGAAATTGATCATCAGGGAATCTAAGGTGAGTGACGGTACTAGAGAAGATATTTCCAGTGTCGCCTGTGTAATTATAAAAATCGTAGTCCCTGCATAAACGGAATTAGAGGGGCACACTAGAAAAACGAGAGAGATATGAGCATTTACCCTTGAAGATCGAATTTAGTGATCCAAGCAACTGGATAAGGTATTTTGTTAAGTCGACCATATTCATTTAATTCCCTTGTCTGACTCCAGCTTTGATAACCATTGGCAAGCATTCTGATATCTGTCAAATCTGCCCAATATGTAGCCTTGAGTGTATGGAGCTCGACGTCCACCATGGTCCAAAGCTGTAGTGTCAACTCGTAGCCATTTTCGACCTCTCGAAAAGAATTTTCAACAGTGACTCTGTCGTCTTGATTACTGCTCAAATACACTTGACGCTTAGGTTGCGGGTCAGACAAGGCGGTGTAGTCAAGTTGTATGACAGGGCTTGAAAGGTTGAAGCTCAATGGAGAAATGCGAGCAAGGTCAGAGTACATTATGGTCTTGTTTGGCGCAGGCGCAAAATACGTAGCGATCAGGAGAATGATCAAGGGGAGGAGCAGCATGCTATATAAGTCTTTTTTTGTCATTATGGCTGGTTGGTAGCAATACTGATTCAAGGGAACAAGGGCTCCGCGTGCTCTCCATGTGACGCGTTTTTTAAAAGGTTTGGCGGAACCAAGACGTTTAGAAAGACGCTCGCGTTTTTTCGCGTTCGAATTGGTACCAATTTATCCCAAGCGACATGTCAAAATCAAAGGATAAGCCGATGATTCAATCCAGGTAGCTTACGATTTCGACTGAAATGAACTAATTAACTGGGTTTCTCCTCACTCATACCAATTCCACCTTAGGCTATCCTTTTCTGTCCTTCCACCCACTGCTCGGTCAAAAGACCAGTCGCCAGACTCTACAGCACCTGATACAAGTAATCAAGCAAGCGAAAAGCAGTCTGGATCTGAATATGATTTGAGCAAAGATGTTGGTAAACTGTCTGTGCAAAATAAACCATCCAAGGTAAAAAAAACAGTTGTGGCCAGCGAATCTATTGTCAGCTGGATCATAATGTGCCCTATGGGTACCGTTTATCCCTTAACCGATTTAAATTTCCAGCAAATTACCACAACCAAACCTCACTGCCATCAGCGACGCCACCATGTAAGTTTCCTAGGTCCTTTCCCTTTCTTTTTAGCCGGCTTAAGCTTACAAACAGCCGGCTGTCATTCGCAAACAGGAAAACTACCAAGGAGATATGATTAGATGCACGGCAATCGTCAAAGGAGATCAACAGTGTGATCTATATTTTTGTATTAAATGCCTGGCTGATCACTACAACGAGTCAGCTGAGGAAATTGGACATACCCAATCAGCCGAATTTACAGATCAAGGACGAAAAATAAATCATGTAGCTGGCAAACAAGTCACCTGGGCATGTCCAAAATGCAGGTATGACGATGGATTCTCTATTTTTTCACACATTCTCTCATGTAATAATAATGCTTGATTGACATAGGGACATTTGCACGTGTAAAGTATGTAGCAAGGCTCGAGAAGAGAGACAGAATAGTGGATCGAGATCCATCATGCAATCGTTTGTACAACAAAAGGTAAGCTACACCAGATTCGCTACCACCGTAAATGGGAACATACTCACCGGGTGTGGAACTTTTGGAAAATTTAAGGATAGCAATGCCAAGATGAAGCCATTGATTGCACTTCAGCCACCCAAGTTAAGTAACTTGGAACTTCAATTTTCCGAAGAAGTGGTTTGGCAACGCTTGCAGATCCGGGAATTCGTGTTTCGGTTCGAAAATCTGCTGGCGCTAACGGCGGAAGACCGAAATTTACTGCAAGATGCACAAGGCGACTGGGTAACGCACAGGATGCTAAAAAAATTAGTATGCAGCCTGATGGAGCTTATCGCCCACTACGGGGTGGAGAACGACACTGATCAACAAAAGATGGCCAAACAATTTTTACAAGACGAACACATTGCTTCCAGTCGACCTTACCTCAGTCTTCAACACTGGCAAACCATCTCTGCTACACTATTGGCCGCTGGATACGAAGATACCCCGGTATTTAATGATGAAGAAGCTATCGCAACATCTGACGCACAACAACAAATGGACTGGCTTCCTAGTTTTGTGACACGGTCCATGCAGGCCAACGGGACGGGTCCAATGCCAATTGTGAAGGATGCCCTCAAAGAACTCAAGACGATTAATCTGTTGAGCATGTGTACACTGTACACGCCCTGTATTCGAAAGGATTTATTACAAGGCTCTGTCCAGCTCAAGGACGAAGAGGATGCGCTGCACGCGCTTCGGCGGCAAACCATGTCTGACGAAATGCATGCACGTACCACGAAAAATACACTATTGCAACAGTTGGCCACGGCAGAAGAACAGGATGCTATTCAACAGAAAATTGAGGATGTGGACAACAAAATCGACGAACAACGACATTTGCTTAATCGTAAAGAAGTTGATGTATATTTGTTATCAAGAAGGACCAGCAAGCGGTTGTCAAGTGCCGGCACGGATCAGCATGGAAATCAATATTGGCTGTTTGGGGATCTGCATCATTATCAGGACGATCAAGATCAAGATTTCTGGGGTCGTGGGGTGATTATTATAGGACCAGGATGTCACGTAGACGACGAGCAACCCTCAGAAGAGATTTCGAAGGATGGCCACCGATCTCCATGTGTAGCCAGGCTGACTACGAATAATAGTAAACGATGGTGGTACCTAAGCGGCATAGAAAATATCGATATGCTCGTTCAGTGGTTAAATCATCACTCTGAGCCTAAGCACCTTATTAGACAACTTTCCTCCCGAAGTCGTTATTTGAACCACCTTCTTTCATAGATGAAACCAAAAGTTTCGGTTTCTAGACGTCTTATTTTTTTTTTTTCGGAAGGGGGGCAAACAGAAGGCCCAATAGATATTTTGGGTTCCAGACTTGTTATTGGCTGAACCAACCTATTCAATACAACCCACTCCAAACTCTCACTGTCCCATCGTTTATTTTCTTCCGTTTCTTCTTTGTAAATACTTTCCTTGCCACTGCTTTCATAGCAATCGTCCTCTGTATTATCTCTCTCAATTATATCATTTGTTCTGAACTGTCGGTGTGTGATCCATGAGCAACTCTTCAGCCCACTCACCTTATCCTACCAACACCAACGTAGACCAAGAAGGGCTCTCAAGGAAACGGAAACAACAACAAAATGAATTCGTATCACACGTGGATTTACAGTATGCAGAACCACCTGCCAATAGCCACTTTGACACCATGTACCCAGCTCCTACTCAGAATGATTTACAGTGGAGTCTAATGCACCCTCCCACCACATCTGATCAGTTTTCGGTGGATCCCATGTTTGCCTTTCAGCCTAACCAAGGGATGGAATTTGAAAATAGCCATGCTTTCGATGCACACGTTATGCATACTGGTAATCAACATCCGCCATCTCATGTCCCACCTCCGTTCCACGAGATGCATGGCGGACATGTCACTGACCATGACTTCCAGTCCGATATGTTTCATATGCCTCCTTCTCTGGTCGATCAGGCTAACATGCGTAGACACTCTGTTGCGGTGGGAGAAATACTACGTCAGCAACAAGTCGATCCCAACGCTTCTTATATGGACATGACAAACCAAGATTACGATCGGTTCAGACCACGCCATATGTCCACTACGTATGATATGAGTCCTTTTCAGCTTATGCAGCAACCGTATCAACCGTCACCCTTATTCCATAGCGATGACCCATCGGCTTTGTCAACTCCGCCTCATACCGCTACTCCCATACAGCGAAGACAAAGCAAATCGGCGACTACGATAACCAAATCAAAAGCGAGAACCAACCAGAGAAATAGAGCCATGTCATTGCGTTTGGACACCAGTGGATCTCCTTCTGCTCAAGCTGTTCAACAATCCTCCCCTCTCACCCCGGCTTTCTTCTCGCCAGCTTTTCTGGAAGCTTTGAACGCAGATACCCAAAGTTCTGCCGATGAGGCTGATGTCTATCCCTTCCCTGCCCATGACTCGGAATATGTCGATCCCTCCAAGACCATGAACAACGCACGGACCAACCCTGAAGACTCGACCAACCATTTTTATTCATCGGCTTCTCCTACCGATTCCTCAGATATCAAGCCGTCCCCATCGTCGTCCTCTTACATGATGGAGCCGAAACCTTTTCTGACTCAGCAACACACCACGCCAACCATCATAGAAGAAAATGAAGAATTATTCAAAAACCTCGCTGATTATGGCTCCCATATGCAACTGCCCACGCAACCACCCGTCAACGGTCTGGGGATTCGACGCCAAAGTGATCATTTCCCTATACAAGATGCAAAGATCCTTTATACTAGCCCTTCGGGCGGCATCACCGATATGCGTAGTGCCATTGGTCACTTTTTGAGCTCTCCGTCCTCTTTAGCGGCTGGCGAGTATACTGTGATGCTTCTTACTAGCAAGGTTGCGCAGAAGAGCTATGGTACTGAGAAAAGGTAGGTGGACCCATTTTTTTTTTAATAGAGAGGGTTTCCATGCGCCTTTTTGATTATGTAACACCGACTCATTTTTTTTTTTGCTTGGGTAGATTTTTATGCCCACCGCCCACCACCATCATCCTTGGACCTCACTGGTGGACTCCAGGTTCCGATAACAAAGGAATCACTTCAAGCAATACTTTACATCCACCCAAACTTGCCATTCATATGTCTGGTGATGCAACTGCCATGAGCTCAGCACAACCTATTCAACTCAATACGTTTGAATGGTCCACGGCTGCTGGTGATCGTATCGATGGATCATCCAACGAGCGATTTACTCAAGGGTCGAAATCCAATCCTGTATCATCCACCGTGGTGACGTCGACCAATGAACCTATTCTGTCTGGCCGCTGCGTGTCCAAGAATCTCTATATTAATGACGCTGATGAGAAACGAAAGCGTGTAGAAGTCATGGTGAAGATCCAACTTGCCAATGGATTCAATTTAGGAACGTTTGCCAGTAAAGGGATCAAAGTGATCAGCAAGCCGAGCAAAAAGCGCCAAAACGCCAAGAATATGGATTTGTGTATCCACCATGGATCTACCATCTCGCTATTTAATCGAATCCGTTCACAAACCGTATCCACCAAATATTTGGGTGTATCGACCTCCAATAATTCAGCTATTCGATATGGCGGGAATGTACCACTTGACTGGCCGGCGCCTGGGTTTTCGGAAGAAAATGCCAATCTAAATAATTCAACCTGTTTTTCCGTTCGCACCACGTCTTGGGACCCATTTGTCATATGGATTGTCGATACCAGCGGTAGGCAACAAGCTGATCCTGATATGTTCAATTCTCGAAATCCAGGGTCCTCTGCACCACGACGCCCCACGCCTCCGATCATCGCCTTGCAGGATAAGCCCGACGAGCCCATTGCCATTCATTACAATCAACCTGTGGTTCTGCAATGTCTGCATACCGGTTTGGTGAGTCCTGTCATGATCATCCGAAAAGTGGACAAGGGAAGTTCTGTGCTTGGAGGTATTCGAATGGAACGAGGACCTCAAATGGCCGATGAATTCAAAGCTGGTGGTGAATATGGTGATGAAGGTCTAGGGGATCCGGTATCGCAGCTTCACAAAGTGGCTTTCCAAATTGTCAATGATCCATCGACCACGCTTGGCCATCACTCTAATTTCGGCAATCCGCCTTCGTTCAACAATGAATCTGATTTCCTGCCCAGGTTGACTGAACCAGCAACCTATCTCAACTGTGCAAGCGATGTGGTGGGCATGCATCAAGTTTCGGAACCTCGCAAGTTGAACCCTGAAATGAAAGCTGAACTGACCCATCGAGCCAATGCCTCCAGAGTGGATGCAGAACAATACGCTGCCGCTAATGGAGAATGGGATTGGGCTTCCATCAATGAACCTTTCTATAACCCAGAGATGATGAACCCGGCCGACTCCGCTATCGTTGCTCATGAAGGCGGTCGAGTGGTTCGAAAACGGCGCGTATCGTGCGATATGTCCAGCGGTGACATGCCCATGTATCGACCCAACGATCGACCCATGTTCACGGGTCCTGGAACACCTCAAGGATCCACTTCATCGCCGTCGCCTGTATCGGTCAATGCCGCGGCCAGCAGTCGACGACGCGTGAACAGTTTGAACGATGTCACTTTATCGAACGAGTCTCACCCTCGATCTTTGAAAAAAGAACCCAATCAAGGTAGACGAGCCAGTGTTGCTCAACAAGGTGCCAACGTCAATGACAGAGCATTCTGGACGGAAGATGTGTCCGATGCAGCGATATGGACGATTGTTGGAACAGGTACGCACACGGAGGTTTACGCGTCCCATGGGGCAGTATGCCTGGTCACCACATGAAACCCCATTTCTCATTCTTATCAATTCACAGATAGCGTTATGTACTCATTTTGGTCAGCATCTGAACAAGTTGGAAATCTTTACTCTGGTCTCGACACCAATTCTGCACCTGTTACGCCTATTCCACATATCTCTCACTATATTACAGATGCAACAAGCGATGCATCGGCTGTACCTTCATCGACCAACAGTCCTTCACCTATGGTGATTGCAGAAGAAACCCCTCCGCACATGATGAATTCCTCCCCAGGTCCCACGAATGGAAAACATACATTAACACTCTATGGACAAAGCTTCAGCCCAGAGTTGACGGTGTGGTTTGGTAATGTTCCCTCCCCGAGAACCGAATGTAGAAGCGCCGAGGTTTTGAAGTGCGAATTACCCGATGCTAGCATGTGGTTCAATGAAGATGGAGGTGCATTCGCCGTTCAACAAGATACCCTCAAGGTACCGCTATTGTTGGTCCGTAGAGATGGAATCGTCTATCGCACGCGCCATTGGTTTGATCTTACATCCTTTACCGTGAAGCTCCAACCAATGCATCAGGGATCAAATGCAGGAGAGCAATCAAGGTCCTCTCTAAAAGTCTAACCCCAAAAAACCTGAAATGAGGTTGTAGAAACTTTTTTGTAATGGATATAATTTTTTTCCTGCCCCGGTTGTATCATTTTTTCTTTTGTTCTTTCTGCGACCTGCTTTTTCTTTCTCTCCAATGTAGTCTATCAGAAAAAGGAAGAAAAAAAATTAAATCAGGTCGTCCTCATAACGCAGCTCATATCACCCTGGGCCAGCTTGCATGCTCTAGAATTTGAGAGGTATCATTGTTAAAGGGTTAAGAAAAATAGACGGGGAAGGGAGGGAAAAGGGAGAGGGATAAGAAAGTGAAAATTGGTAGGCCAACCGGGCTTGACCCTCCTTGCTTCTGAGTAGTAAGGGATGGTTTTTTTCTAATAAACCCCAGTTGCAAACACATCGTTTTTATTTTTCTCTTTTACCTCTTCCCGTTCCTTCTATACCTCATTCACTCATTCATTTTTAAATTTTTGTGTTATATCTGTTATATGGCCCTGTACACCACTAGAACATTGTAGACAACCAGGCAACAAATAACTCAGTATGATGTCCGTAGAACCAATTCCTCAAAGGTCGCACTCACAATCCCAATATTCGCCACGATATTCCAACAAACCAGCTGGCAATAAGCAACATACAACACAGACCATGAACCAACGTAGCGGCCGACGACACAGCACTATATCGGTGTCGTCCACTCGATCAGCGTCTCGGGAACGACCCAAGAAATATGTTGGAGACTATTACCTTGGCAGAACCCTCGGCAAAGGCGCATCAGGTGAATGTTTGGTCAGGAGAAAGAACTACACCCTAAGCAACCCACTAACCCGTCGAATGGGCTAGGTCGAGTTAAACTGGGTATTCACCGTGTCACTGGAGAACAAGTGGCGGTGAAGATAATCAATAAGGCGTATTTGTCGGCTAACCCTGCCATTGACAAAGCTGTCAAACGCGAGATTGCCATTATGAAGCTCATTCATCATCCAAGTATCATGGGCTTACATGATGTCATTGAAGATGATGAATCGCCAGAACTGTAAGTTGGTTAGCTGCCGATATATTTTCATTTGGCCCACACACTTGCTTTTTCCCTACGCCATACAATGCCCCAAAATGTGTAACTCTTCCCTCAAAATAGATATCTGATTTTGGAGTATATGGAAGGAGGAGAGCTTTTTGAGTACTTGGTGAGCGAAGGTAGACTGCCTGAAAGCAAGGCCAGAAGTTATTTCCAGCAGATTATCTATGGTGTTGACTATTGTCATCGACACTTGATTTGGTAACGTACCAGCCGTCAATGGGAGAAGTGAAACGAGCCGGTTGACCCAAAGCTAATTTTTATTATTATTATTTTTCCCCGTTGTTTTCTATTTTTTCAATGTGTGCACGCACTTTGTCAATTTGGTCCCTATTCTTTCGGGTAGCCATCGAGACCTTAAACCAGAGAATCTTTTACTGGATAGGAATTTGGATATCAAAATTGCAGACTTTGGCATGGCTTCGCTGCAACCCATCGGTTCTCTTCTGGAAACCAGTTGTGGGTAAGTCGCTGTGGTTTCCTACACCCCGATGTCTGTCAATTGGTGACTATCCATGCCTAACCTCACCATGTTCGTACAAAGGTCTCCCCACTATGCCAGCCCCGAGATCGTCACGGTAAGAAAAAGCTACTTTACTTTCCCCTGCAGATCTCCATAACACAGTGCCTCGAGTTTTTCAGCTAAATTGTTCTCCTATTCTACTTCTTTAGGGTCGCCCATATGACGGTTCATCATCAGATATCTGGTCATGTGGAATCATTTTGTATGCTCTCTTGACCGGCCATCTCCCCTTTGATGATGAAAACATTCGTCTATTACTGAAAAAGGTAGCTACCCTACGCCATGCCTCCTTTTTGCTCCCCTCCGTCTTAACGACGTTTGTCTTTCATGCTAGGTCAAAACCGGTCGGTATGTTATGCCTCACGATATATCGTATGAGGCTCAAGATTTGATTCGGAAAATTCTAGTCACCGATCCAAGTAAGCGCATTACGGTGAGTTACATGATAACTATGTAGTTATGAAACGATCGGCTGGTTGACGTTTGAGATGGTTAGACGGAGGAAATCAAACGCCATCCTTGGTTCGCGCAAGATATTTCACCAAAGATCGCACAACTTCCAGAGCCACCCAGTGCTCAAGAAATAGATCAACCCATCGCCGATATTACTCAGGTTGATGATCGCATTGTTGAGACCATCAAATTCCTGTGGGGCGAGACGAAAACCGAAGCGGTGATGGATGCTTTGATGTCAAAAGAGTAAGCGGAATGCAAACCAGCATATGACATAGTGGGAGAGTCGCTAACGAATCAACTGTAATCCATGCATTGTCACTAGGCACAATATGCAGAAGGTCACTTATGTTCTTCTTCGACGGCATGCGGAGAAATATTGGGAGTCCAGGCATGATGAAGATGAGGATGCCGCGTATCAAGGTAAGATCCGTGAACACAAGATGACTTCAACTTGTGCACGTCCTTTCATGCATCATACCCTTTTTTTTCCTTTTCAAAATGCAAGCCGCTCATCATGATGTTCCGTGCAGATACCCAAAGCAGAAGATATAGTACAATGAGCAGCCTTAGTCGCCGCAGAATGTCTATGCATGCAGAATTTACTTCAACCGCCGATACCCCGCCTGGATTTGCTCCAGAAACAAGGAGAAGAAGCTCTCCTTCCACCTATCGACGCTCATCTCTTACACCCGGTGATCCTAGACAGCATTCTGCCATTCACCCCACCGATTTACCACCGTCTCCTATGCCGTCTCCACGGATACGATCCAAGTCGAGTACATCTCGTGGTGATCTTGGATACAATCGAATGGATTCTGATATAAGCGGTAGTACTCGTCGTAACTCAGCCAAAGATGGGTAGGTGTATTGTTCTGTCGTCCATAAAATAGGCTAGATAAAACTAACGGTCATGGTGAGCGGCTTACAGTTCTCGAAGATTCGATACAAAGAGCATACCTCCGTCACCAAAGCCAGCACGAAGTTTACACAACTTGTTCTCAGCGTCAACTTTGGGTCGAAAGAACCCTTTCTCGGGCATGTTAAATGATGATAATAAGATACCCAATAGGCAGAGACGAAACACTCAACCACAACAAGACACTGGAACGGAGAAGCCAGTTTCTGAGCAACGCAGGAGACTACACCGCCTTTCTATGCCCGTGCTCGACATGGGCTCACTTGGCATTGACAGAAAGAGTATCAATTTTTCACTACGAAGAAAGGATGTCTCCACATGGAAAGAAATGGCGTCCCCTACATCTTCCATGATGTCTCCCCCCATCTCTCCTTCTCCACCTATGAGTCCTGCTCCAGCTCGTAGTAAATCAGGTAGAAACACGCATCTGACTAGCGATATGTTCTTCCCTTCCGTGCCACCCACGCCAAAGCCTTCTACCGGTACTGGCTACATTACACCACCCAGTAGCCATGGAAGTTCCAACAATGAGATTGCTCCCAATCAACCGGCCAGTCAGCCCGCATCTCCAGCAGATTCCAAGTCACCCTCCAACAAGATACCTTGGTTACAGAACCTCTTCTTTTTCAAGCAACCCAAAGTTGTCTCTGTCACCTGTGAAGCTGTAGACTGTCACCAGGCTTTGCGCAGGATACAGGATGCCATGCGCGATGTGAGTATCTTGGGGATTAGAGAAGAGGGAGTTCAGACAGTAGAAAGCACTATATCACTTTGCTGTGATTGACTAAACCCAATTATTTAAATCCGTCTATCAGGGAATGGATGCTAAACTTCAGACTCGACTTGATCGTGATGGTCACACGCGATACCGCGGTGAGGTTCGCATTGTTCACGGTAAGTGCAGTCAACCAGAGGGCTTTGATAAGCGGCACGCACGATCTGATAGCAGATGATTACAGGTGACAAGACCAACAAAGTCAAGTTCAAGCTGGAATTCGTTGTTTGCGGCGTGATGGAAGGCCATCGCAAGCTCTTCCGAGTCGACTTTATACAACAACAAGGTAATATATACTTTATTCACTGCCCCGCCTAGCCATGTCATCTCACCCACTTCTGTTCTGCAGGAGATGCACTCACACTGGCAGCCATCACTAAGAACATCCAGCTCACCCTGGATCGACGTGGGTCGTGTAGCACGAGCGGATTTTCGTGGTCCACCAGTACCACCGACGGTTGATATTTGACCCTTATTCACATTCGCTAATCTCCCCCAACTTCGTAATAATTGAATAGCAGGTACCCAAAATAATAAAAGCAAAAGCACAAAAAAATTAGAAAAAAATAACAATTGCAAGTTTATATTCGGTATGGGGGTGATGTGAAGAACCTCTCTATTGTACATGTCTATATTTTGAATCCACTGTGGATGGCAGCAACACCAAACGTCAAGTCCTCCCAGCCTTTACCGACGGTAGAGAAGCCAGCGTCGCGAATGATTTTGGCAAATGCAGGTTGGGGAGGGAACTGGCGGATACTTTCAACAAGGTACTTGTATGATTCTCTGTCATTAGCAATCATCTGGCCGAGAGCGGGGATGACATCAAAGGAGTAGAAATCGTAGATCCTGGAAGAAGGGTTCGATTAGATACGAAAGTAGCCTGTGTTTCACTGGGACACTATCATGCTACTTACTTGCTGATGACTGGGTTCTCGACTTGACTGAACTCCAAGCACATGAAGCGACCACCGGGCTTCAATACACGATAAGCTTCCTTCACAACACGGTCGACATGAGTACAGTTACGGATTCCGAAAGCGATGGTGTAAACGTCAACAGATTCGTCAGGTATGTCATCCAGATGTTCTGCGTTCTGCACCAAGAAGGACACTTGGTTGGCTGCAAGACGGGCCATCATGGGTTTAGATCCAACAATCACACGTAGGCACATTACATATACATCACTCACTGTTCGCATATGGGGTACTCTGGAAACGCTGTTCGCCAACCTTGAGCATCTGAGGGTTGATATCAACCAACTTGACGGTTGCAGAGGAGTCGTTGTGAATGTTTTTGCAGTAATCGAGGAACCGCATAGCAATGTCACCTACACAACCAACCAGCCAGTATTAGCAAATTACCATATCCACAAGGTCCACCAAAGTTTTTAAACGACTTACCAGTGCCGCCTGCAACGTCCAAAAGAGTGGTTCCAGGACCAGGTGCCATGGAACGGATAAAATGGTCCTTCCACAATCGATGGACACCTCCGCTCATGGCATCGTTCATAACGTCGTATTTCTCAGCTACGTTGGAAAACACCTTTCCAACTAACAAAAAGTTTCTCGGTTTAGTGCAACGCCATGACTACACATCCATTCACTGGCATTCTAGAAGCGAGCAATACCTAGCTGTTCTTTCTCGCTCTCAAGAACGTCACGGAATCCAAAGTGAGTTTTTTGCGCGGTGGTGGAGTTGCCGGCGTCAGGCGTGGAATTAGGACCCTGGGCATGTGTGGTGTACGCGGCGATGGAGCGCATGCTACGCGCAGAAAGAAGGGCACGTCGTGCTGGCACTGCCATGGACGTGAATGCTCGCATGGAAGACATGTCAAAAGGAGAGAGGTGGACTGTTATTTTTTAGAAATCTCAATGTTTTAATTTTTTTTTTTAATCGTCGTCTTCATCCCTGTCATCCGCTATAAACTTGGGCTGCTTAGCAAATTTCGAAGGAATACGCTCTAAAACCTCAACCTTATCTCCTACTCGAATAGTGCCACTCGTGAGTGGAATACTATCGCAACAGAAACATCCTCCTCCAGGCATCTCGTCAAATTGTCGATTTTTAAGTAAATATTTCATTGGTCCAGGCGTACCCCAGGTATCCTTGACACCGGTGTCCTGATTGATTCCCGGTACTGCGGAAACATTAGTGTTAAGACACATATGGGCCCCCCGACTTGTCTCTAATCTAACTTAACCTACCTGGGCATCGGGCAGTGGGCTGCATCAAGTAGAAAGTGACCTCTCCGACTCTATTGAGCAGGGGTGAGCAAACAATGATATGGAATCAAACAGTTAATTTCCATTGCGCTCATTACCTGGCGACAAGCCATGTATCCTCTTCCCAAGGCTCAGTACCAGCAATGGTTAGGTTATTTCGGAATCGATTCATAGGAATACGATGTCCATCGCTCCACTTTCCATCAACCAGACCATCATTAAGAGCTTGAAGACTTCCTTCAAAGCCAAACGATACCGGTGACCAGTCTGTGAAAGGGGAATGAAGCCCGGGCAATTCAGGGTGGGCTTTTCGTTCATAGCCTTTGGAAAGGTCTAAAGTGACCAGTCGAATATTGGTGGGCCGCTCAGCTCCCCCATCGGTGTCTCCATGTGTATTACTTTGATCATGGCTCTTGTAAACTGTAAAAAATTTCTCTAGCCAGTCTGCTGCTGCGTCGCCTACATCAAATGCTTGCAGCTTATCGGACCACAGGGTGACAGTGAGGCACTTGAGCTGGCTAGTATCGGGGTGAAGGGGCAGTACCAAGTCATCGAGTTTCTCAGCCGTCAAAGTCAGAGTGTCATTTTTAGCATCGAGTAATGGTCGGATAAGACTCATGGATGCATAGACACTGTAACGATAAGAACTGTCAGAGAGTAAAACGTATAGCGGTGGGAAACAGTCATGACGGGGAATTTACCGCTGAGTAACGAGTTTGTTGTTATCGGCATTAACCACCATAAACCGACGGTCACCTTCCAAGCCAAGACTGCCTACTTCGCATTCAGTTAAATCGATGCGATGGCAGGACTTGATAGGATGAATGGCGATAGCTTCCAAGTGCGGCATGAGGATTGAACGAAGAGGTCAGAAAAAATTCAGCGGCGGCCCCGTCGGTGTTAAAAAATGCAGCAAAACGCGTCTCACATAAATTTTTCGTCGCCTCCTTCCCGCGTCGCCGTGTGCTTGCCCGATGCTCGACCAATGGCAATTTACCGACTTGTACAAACAGTCCAACAAACTCTGTCGATTCTCGCCTGATGGAAACTATGTTGCCGTGGCAGTGGAAAAACAACTTGTTGTGCGATCTCACCCGGATCTAGGCATCCTCCAAGTATACTATTGCAAATGGCCCATTGATGCCCTGGCATGGAGTCCAAATTCGAAAATGATTTCAACCACCAATTACGCCGCATGTGAATGCCAATGCTATACCATGGAGGATGTCGGCTGGTCATGTCAGTACAAGGACGCGTCTCGGCCTATTGCCCATATACGATGGTCACCGGGATCCGACGCGGTGATGCACACCGCCTCAACAAAGGTATAGCCGATTTAGTTTGGCCGGCCGGTGACTGAATACCCGTTGTTTACTATCAACTTACGCTTTACTCGTTTATGAAGGAGAGGCTACATATCATGTCGTTGCGGTATAACAAGCGGTTCAGCCATATCAAAAACGTCAAGCATAAGGATAAAGGTGGGTGGTACAACGCGATGGACCGTCGTAAGCGATGGTTGGTTGATCTGATACGGCTTTCTGTAATCAGGATACACAAGTAGTCCGGATGCAAAGTGGTTTGCGTACTTGCGCCGACAAGACCTCAAAGATGTCGTGTCGATTTATGACGCCGAATCATTTGAAGTCATCAAGGTATGCCGGCCCTGAATTTGCAATCAAAATATCCTAACCGATTGCCCGGACGGTCTCTTACTCGTATACTTTTGCAGAACATAGAACTTGATACTGTCGATGCACAAGATATAATCATATCACCGAACGGCGGGTTTATAGCAGCATATGATGTACCGTTGCTTGTAAGTCTCAGTGCGCGTCGTAACATGTTCATTTCCGTATCTAACCTTTCCGCTAGTATAAATTATCAGTCTATCGACCGGATGGTACAATGGAAGCGTCTTTCTCTGTTGATGATGGTGGTTTGGGAATTAAAAGCGTCTGTTGGTCTCCGGACTCACAATTTCTGGCTGTCGGTGGCTATGACCATAAGGTACGTTAATTCGTGGACCGCTAAACAAAAAGGTCAGCGGACTTCAAGGACTTATCCTTTCGACAGCTACGATTACTAGATACGTTTACGTGGAAACCCGTCAGCACATTTACGCATCAAACAAGGTACCCGGACAATCCTGCACAGGTAAGATGCAGCCAAATGGGTCGCCAGAAATGATGACCAAAATATTAACTCCTCTCGACTTATCATCAGGAAATCCTTATTGAAAGAGAAGTGATGAGTGGAACACCTCATGCTGGTTGTAAGTATTTCTACAAATGATGGTTATGCACATGAGATATGGAACTTCAGAAATAATCTTATTCACCGCACGCTGTTCAGACGATATCCGTCATGGCATCCAGCATATACCGATGCTTCGGCCCGACCATGATAGGCCAAATCCCAAGACGTCGATCACGGCTAAATTCAACAACCTTGGCAATTTGATGCTCACGACGAGTGGTAAGTTAAATATATGTCATCGGTGCCAACGCTGATCTCCACTCGTCGAAACTGATGTCTCTACCAGAAACCATACCTACCACAGCTTGCATTTGGAACATGACTACCATGAAGAGCCATGCTATCATTGTCCAACAGGAGCCTATCCTGACAGCTCTATGGAATCCCAAGATCAGTTCTTTGCTAGCTATTTGTTGTGAGGGTGGCCGGTTTTACCTCTGGCAAGATCGCCGGCATGAAAAACACCGATCTCATGTCACAGCCATCAACATACCAGCAGGTACGTTCAAACCATATATGCTGCGGGCCACAGTATAGAGCGCTCTTCTGACCCTTATCCTTTCCAGAGAAATTCTCGATATCCACTGTCAGATGGAGTCCCGATGGAAAGTCCCTGTTGTTGATGAGCAAAGACATGTTTTGTCTGGCATGGCCCATTGACAGCTAGGATGCGCCTTTCCTTCTTTCACCACATTATGTAATTTGAAAGTTCGTAATACTGTATATCTTGAAATATTGTACAAAAAGTCTACGTAGTAAAAAAAAAAAATCTAATGGAAAAAAAAAGAGTCGTATGCAGCCAGCCTTTCATCGTCTGTTGATCGGGCCGACCGTGGCTCTTACTGACGCTGAGAAGACGCTCCTCTCCGTTCGTGAAGTTGAGCGAGATATAAGCTTGGAGGATTGACTTTCTTTCCTTCTGACTCGGTCCACGCCCATGGATGCTGTGGCATACGTGGTTTGCCCTTCTTTTCAGAGCTACCGACTATGATATCATGGTGTAAGCAATGTAGTGCACGTACATGGTTACAAAAAATCGTTTAAAGTACTTACTGACGAAGTTCTGGGCTGCAGGTGGTTGCTGAATGATCATGCCAGCATGGGCCACCGTGTTCCAGACTACGCTATTTGCTCCCGACCAACCGTGACCGGAGCCAGCGTCAAAGCGATCTTGGATAATGAGCTGACCTTCGAAATTACAGTTATCGTACAACTGACCGGATGCTATGCAAAGAAATAAAATGAAAAAGGGATATTTAGATCAGTGAGCATTAAGAAACGAATGAAAAAATGTTAAAACTTACACCACTTCATGTGGGGACCAACATCGCCTGCTCGACCAACCGAGGTAGATTGGTGAACAACATTGGGACCACAAATTCGAGCCTTGTAAGAATATGCATGGAAACTCATTTCAGCATGGCAGCGTTCGATCAAGATGAGCTGGCCAGATATTTCAAAGGCAAACTGTCCAACCAGGGATGGATTTTTGCTCGGTGCAGCTGCAGGATAGGTATGATTACACCCCTAATAGTATGGTATACATTTTTTAGGAACAAAGTCATTCAGCTTATCGAATAGTTATGAAAACTCACCTCCAAAGTAATGGCTAAAGTGTTGGTGCCCAGCTGGGCAAAATTACGGAACCACACCGATCGAACGTTACGAATCCAACAATTTTCGGCATTATCCATCTTGAAAACGTAATTGGCAAACATTTCTGTGGCAAATCGATAATCCTTGACTTTTTTCTTTTCTTGGCGCATCATTTCGTCGGGACCTCGATCCCGGTTGGTAGGATAGGTGAATTGCAAGTCTTCAATACCAACTAATGCAATTCGCTTGCTCTTGTAGGCTTCAACATGGCCGCCTCCTGACCACTTTGCAATAGCGGCGGTGAGAGGAGCGTTCAGATAGAGTTCGCCCGAGTTGACATCGACATGCATGACTCGGCGGAATGAATCAAATCTTCCTGGTTTCCAACCATTGTTTTTGGTTGTGTCGCCTTTTGGATGAATAACATCCATGCCAACTTTGCGAATCCATTCTAGATTGAAATTAGCGGCAACTACGATCAAGTCACCGGTTTTAAATCGTTTAGGATCGGCGACCTTGACTCTCATGGATCCAACAGGTACATATTCGTCGACGATAGAAATGCGCTTTCGGGCCATCTCATTTCCCTCTCCCGAAATGCGAATCAAATATTCGGCTTTAGTAGGATCGATAGCTGATGTCGCTTGAATGGTTGTACCGCCTGCTGCATCTCCTCGCATGATAATACCAGACTGGCTGATTTCAATGGGATGGCTGACATAAAAGATACCAGCATTCAGAAAAAGGGATCCTCGGAACCCTAGTTCATTCAAAGGCAGTTTTGAAATGTGATTAATGGCGTCTTGAATACGGTCAGCGTCGTCGGATTGACCATCCCCAGGACTGAGAGTGACAGTTGCTTGACTGCTGGGGTTGGGTAGAGGAGTCCAACCTTCATTATACCCGGCATACGAGAAGTCAAACAGATGGTCACCTTCCTTGTTGTAGGGAGGATAAACAAGCTTCCCGGTTTGCTCGTTAGGGTATACAACAGAAGGATAGCCTACTTGAGGATACAAGGAAGGTGCCTGGTAAGTCCACTGGCCGGGGTGATAAGCGGCTGTAGTTTGGTTCGGTGGATGATATGAGTTGGCAGCATGGTTTCTATCGGCAACGCCTAGGTGCTCAAGGCTGTTGATGGTGTGTTTAATGACGGCTTCGAATGATTTCATTGCAGTCTTTCAAAGATGACACTTGCTTGGCACCAGCATAGGTGAGCTCATATCTGCTTTTGGCACAGTCAAACATTGAACTCCGTGGAAAACAGTCACGTTTTTCAAGTTTTCAGTTTGGAAAAATTGTATCGGTTCTGCGGCTCACATTCCTCACATTCAATCCATGGACACTGAAGCGAGAACCGAAGTCGCCCGATTGTGGCGTGTCTACAAGACCATTCACCAACTCGTCAGCCATAGGGTATGTTGAGTAATGTGCCCCTTTTGACCCCATTACACTGGCCATTACTAACTCGCCATTTAGGGATACTTGGTTTCTCAATCAGAATTGGAGATGGATTTGGATACTTTCAGAGACACATTTGCGCGAACATCAGACATCGAGTACGTTTTCATCCCAATCGCTTGATTCAGTGTGGATCAAATCCCATTTCCACCTTTCGAGTTCGTGATTTTGTAACCCGATTTCATTTTTTTCTACTATGCAGCCGGGATCAACTTACTTTCTTGGTTCAAAAGAAGGACGACCCTGCTGATCAGTTGTTGGTGTTTTTCCCAAAAGACAAATCCGTTGGTGTTAAGCCAATTAGAAAGTAAGTCCACGCTTTAAGGTATCGATCGATATATTATGGTTCAGCGCTGATTATTCTGCCAAAATTTTTTTTTGGCCCACTCCTTGCTTAGGTACGTCGAACGTATGTTGACACAAAACATCCCCAAGGGCATCATCATTTTCCAGCAGACCATGACTTCTTCAGCAAATAAGGTACATGGTCGATCTTTTTTTTTCCAGCATATATCGGTTAATTCTCACCTTACCACTACGTTGCTTAGGTCATTCAAGGAATGTCGGCTAAATATCACCTTGAGTCCTTCCAAGAAGCCGAGCTTTTGGTTAATATCACACAGCACGTCCTCGTCCCTATACACATCGTTCTTTCTCAGGAAGAGAAGTTGGCCTTGCTCAAGCGATAGTAAGTCTACAGCGCCGACCATTGTAGAAAATTGCATCGATAACTGACCCATCTGTCTTCCAGCCGACTAAAGGAAACTCAACTTCCAAGAATACAACAAACTGATCCAGTGGCACGATACTATGGTTTGAAGCGTGGACAGGTAAAATGAATAGCATGGTTTGGTTGGTTTTGGTTCAATCAGAGTTCTCACATTTGTGCTCTAGGTCGTCAAGATCATGCGTAACAGTGAAACCAGTGGACGCTATGTCAGTTATCGACTTTGTTTATAGAGAGGGCACATTCACAATAAAATTTTTTTCATTCATATCTTAAATCAACGTGATTATTTCAACAAGGTACATGTTCACATCTCATTCTTCCACTTGAGCAGGTGAACAAATGTATGGAGGAAAACCGTTGATAACCAGTGAAGAGGACAAGTGCGATCACATGGATCCCCAAAAACGACAGCATTGGGCTCCGCTTGAACCAGCTCAAAAGTTACAACCCCATTGACAAAAAACGTCGCTGGTTCTCCTTTCAATCGCAAACATGGATTCTCTCATCGACCTCTCAAAGAATTCCCTTTACATTTCCTTGGCATCCATCTTCTTCAATCCTATTTTCTGGAACATCGTTGCCCGAGCAGGTAAGATCGCTGCACTCAGATCGTTCTCGGGAGGTCTAACACTCACCAAATTTCTATTAGAGTACCGTAACCAAGTTCTTACCAAGTTGGCTGGTGGAAACCCTTACCTTGGATGCTATGGCTTGGCTGTTACCATCTTTTCTATTGGTATTATCCGCGATTACTTGTAAGTATCGATGGTAACGTATGCCGTACCATACCTGTTTTATTTATCGATGATGTCAATAGGTATAAATTAGCCCTTGAGGAGCAGCCTGCACACCCCCTTCTCCAGACCGAAGTTGCCAAGCTGGCAGCCGTCCTGATTTTTGCCACCGGCAACGTCTTGGTGCTTTCATCTATGTGGGCTCTCGGTGTTACTGGAACCTACCTCGGTAAAGTGATTTTCGAAAGGGTTGTGTTGGCTCGACCTGGGTGGCACTAACGCGTATTTTCAGGTGACTATTTTGGCATTTTGATGAAGGAGAGAGTCACGTCATTCCCCTTCAACGTGTGCGAGAACCCCATGTACGTTGGCTCTACCTTGACTTTCTTGGCCACCGCCCTATGGTAAGTGAAATTTGCTGGCCTCTGCGTGATTCGAGCCCAGCCTGGTCCGCTCACTAGTCTCGTTTTGCAGGTATGGAAAGCCTGCTGGTATCGCATTGTCTGCCATTGTCTATATCTTCTACCAAATTGCTCTTACGTTCGAAGGGTAAGTTCAATAAAGGAATCAGAGGTATATATGCGAGAATACTAATATTGATATATCTTCCACTCTTCAGACCTTTCACTACCATGATCTACCAGAACAAGGACAAAGACATTAAGCGACGTAAGGCTGCTCGTGCCAGCAAGAAAGAGCTCTAAAAAAAAATACCTGCAGAGCCATTAGAAAATACAAAAGTTAAATTCTTTAAAATAAAAAACAATAAGATCCTTTTCAAAATACTTCCTTCCATGCTAGACGTCACATGACCTAGGCTGGTTGCAACTTACAACTCAATTTGAAAAATGGCACTTTGTACCACACTCCTTGCTCAAAAAATACCCCATTGAAAGATCTATGATGACCAATGATCAGGATAAAAGTATGCACTCTGGCCCTCATCATAAGCTTTCAAAGGCTTTTACTGACAGACCTTCAGATGCAGCTTTAGCCGCCACTTCCATTCTTTCGGCCCATGACGGAGCAAGAATTCTCTGCGTCGCAGATGTTCGTGGTATGTTCCATTTCCATAGACCTTACTCAGTGCCTTTTTCATCCCTTCCCGCGATAGTGGAGCAGCCCGATGGCTTGTGACTCGACCGTTACCCCTACACATAATTGACCGAGCGTTATCCTTCGCGATAGGTGGCATTTCACAGCTGAATCAATTGGCGGAGAAGGCCAATGCGCAATATATCATCCATACTGGTGACTTTGGATTTTACGGTGAGTGGAAAAAAATAGATGTCAATCCTCGACCGAAACTCAATTCCTTCATGCATGGCGTATAGATGACACTAGTCTCGAACGGATCAGTGATCGGTAACTGCATTTTTCCAAACAAAATTTAACATGCATATCAACAAAAAAAAATTGTCACCTTGCTGACTTGACTTGTTTGCGAATCAGGACGTTGAGCCATCTTCTGCAGTACAGCACCCTCATTCCATCGCAGGTCAAGTCGCGTCTCGCGGATGCTCCTGTCGAGCAACTCCGACGCACGATCGATCAAAATCAAGCCTATTTATCGGAATTCTCAGACTTCCTGTCGGGAAAGAAGAAGTTGAATGTGCCTGTCTTCGCAGTTTGGGGAGCTTGTGAAGATGTTAGCATCTTGGAGAAATTCAGATCCAAGGAATACAGTATACCGAACCTCAATATATTAGACGAAGCTTCCTCTCATCTACTGGAAATTGGCGGTGTCAATCTACGCTTGTTTGGACTCGGCGGTGCTGTTGTGCAGCACAAGCTGTTTGATAATGGAGAAGGTATAAGTATCTGGCATATTTGGTTTCAGCTGCTGCCCCATTTACTCAACTTTGCTCTCCCCTCCAGGTTTGGATACCATAGCCGGCGGATCTGGTACAATGTGGACTACTGCTCTGCAAATTGGTGAACTTGTTGAAACTGCGCAGCTGGTAGGTTGACTGAAACCGGTATAAGAATTAAAAAAGGTTTTAGTTATTGATGCTCGATCACAGGTATACGATCCATCTGAGACGAGAATTCTTGTCACCCATGCTTCCCCTGGCCGAGAGGGTCTATTAGCACAGCTTGCTCTCGTCCTCAAGGTAACGAAAAAGGAAAAATTAGAACTCGAAATGGTAGCCATGTTTCTCACACTTCGTCATCTTAGGTCGACTTCACTATATCCGCCGGTTTACATTTTAGATATGGCATATCATACAATGAGTTTTCGTGTCAACCAGATCAAGAACACTACCGTAATCGCCTACTTGAGTCTCAGCAAGGCTTTTTGCAGCTTTGGGAATCAATTCGGGATCAAGTTGAGAGTTCTGTCGAGTAAGTATCCACGGCTTCGTGCCTATTCTTCGCAATGGACTGACCACTTCTCCCACCCAGTGATACCCAGAGCGCCTTGTTGCAGAATGCACTTAGCGTCGTCAATAGATTGCCCCCTTCACTTCACGATAGGCAAGATGATGGCTCCAACAGTTCGCAAACCGATCTGGAAGAACAGGGGTTCAAAAATATGTGGAACTTTAACCTCCCCGACGCTGCATTTGGCTGGGTTATTTTGGACGTTCACCACGGCCGCGTCAGCGCAGAAACCAAAGCGCAGGGCTTCAACTTTGCTTACAGAAAGAACAATGGATATCCAGCATCCTCCGCAACCTCCAGCCAGAGAGCTCACTCCATAGCATCAAGTGAATATAGTGGACATGAGCAAGACAACCGAATGCGTGAGCTTCCTCAGGATGGTCAGTTACAACCTATGAAGGACATGGAGGGTTTTCATTTTTAACTTTTTTATACCCCTCTTCAGATGATAATGTCAGCTCCAATGCTGAAAGTGTGGGGTCACGAAGCAACCGAAGACAAAGCATGGTAAATTCGAGTGATACAGAACATGCTTAATATCCAACCCACTAAACTCACTACATCTAGTATAAAAATCCTTTTGTTGCCTACGTCGGTGGACTTTCCAACACTACCGTGACGGAAGAAGAGATTAGAGAATTTTTTGGCCATAAATCTGTAAGATTTACGCATGAATAACGTTGGGCTTGCAGGGCATCTATCTAACTCAAGCTCAATTTTTGCAGGTGACAGGCGTTAAGTTCCCACTAGACCACAACACGCAATTGCCCAAACCACATTGTTACGTCGATTTTATTGATCAAGCGTCACTGGACGAGGCAATAGCTAAGAATGGCCAGGTAAGTGAACCAAATTATTCCGTCAATACACGTAATATTGCCTTAATGGTGATTGACATGTTTCTAATCGTCACATTCCCTTGTTGTCTAGATGTTGCAAGATAACAAACTGATCATCAACAAACCTAATCCTCATGTCTATGACGGTCGTGGTCGCGGCCGTGGACAAAGAGGTCGAGGTAACCGAAATTCACGCCTGAGCTTTGATCGTGTTCGAGAATAAAATAAAAAAAAAGAACACTATCGAATTAATGGTCCCAAACCATGCATGGGTTCAACACAATTTATGCCTGAAACATGTTCCGCCTATTTTGATAAATAAAAAATAATTCTATCTATAACCTTACGATTCTATTCTCTCTAACGATGCAGAAATACTTCTTTAGTATTTTATTTCTTTTATCATGAAGCTAGATATACAGATCGATCCAACTTTCACTGGTACATTGCAGGATTCTCCTTCACAACAAGGCACCACTCGCCTAGATGGAGTGTGCCACCTGGAAATTGATAAGCCTATGAAAACCAAAGGGCTCATGGTTCAATTTATTGGTATACTCAAGATCGATGTACGGCGAGGTATTACTTTGAAAGCAGATGTATCTGATGGTAAGTCCAAGCTTTCATCCCAACATCTTATGCTAAGCACTTGTTCCCTGACATACGTTTATATCAGCGATTGAGAGGAGATTGTTAGTCGATGAAAGACTGTATCTGGAAGGGGATGGATCCTACAACAGCGTCATTCCGGCAGGCTCACATCAGTATCCTTTCACCTTTCATATTCCAATCTCCCTACCCCCATCCTTTCAAACCGATCGGGGGAATATCAGTTACAGCTTACGAGCAACGGCACAGCGAACACTTTTAAGCGATACAACTGCGGAAAAACCAGTTTCGCTGCGAAAATGTATGACGAGAGGTCTATCGTCTTTGCTAAACTCAAGGGAGCACATCGAGGGATACCAAGATGGTCTTGCTTTTGCGATGTCGACGCCATCTATCGTGTTTCGGGAAGGTGGCCAATTAAAATTAGCATTTTCATTGTCATTACCCGATGTTCGAAACTGTAAAATTAAGAGCATCGATTGCGGACTTAAGGAGTCTATCATTTATCGAACATCTGGCAGCCAATCACTCCATCGAGAAACTCGCCAAGTTTCAGATACATCGTTTCCGTTGGGCATGCAAAACATTGATTGTTACAATTCCCACCATACGCCAAGATGCTATGACGTTGACCTGCGATTAATTCCCAAGATCCACACAGATATGTCTACCAAGCTTCTCAAAGTAAGGCATTATGTGCATTTGCTGGTATCCGCCGAACGGTGGGATAGCCGGTCGAGCCGCAATGTGACGTTTACAAAGAGGTACAAGATAGAAGTGCCTGTCATTGTCAGCTCCAAAGAATCATTTTGGGATGGTCAAATGCCCCCTCCGCCAGCATACAGCCGCTACGAAATGCCTCCTTGCTATGTGGAGTCATTGACCCAGCTACCACCTGCCCCGCCGTATAAATCACAGGAAGCGGAACCAACTGAGTTAGTGAATGTGAATGTACATAATTAGATATAGCTCTCCGTGATATGGTTAATACGCTTTATCACTCAAGTAGTCACCGTATATACAAAATAAAATCTAAATTAACCATATTAAACACAGACTACAACGTAAGACGGTCATCAGAGAGAAAAGTAGGACTTTCTCCGGCTTTGATGCAAGAGAGTTCTTTTTTCTGTAACTGTCAGCGTCACTACTCAAGTACAGCTCGAGGCGATCTCGAACAATCTCTTGATGGATGCAAAAGGAATGATATGACTTCTAGCATGTTGCCATGCATTTGATGAATTTAGTCGTGACACTCATCAACGCTTGATCTATATCTTATGATTTGGATGTTTCTGAGGCTTCCTTATCGTACCGATCATACACCATACTGAAAATGTCCGTGAACATACCATACCAAGGTCTATAAGTGAGAGACCATTGTCCATGTTTTACAACCAGCTATGAAATGCCCGAGACACATTAGGCCCCTAAGCTAAGATAAGCATAGCCTTTATCCGACATCTACATCACAAAATAATCACCGTATAAATGCATATTTGAAGAAAACAATAAAAAAATTATAGAATTCAGCCTGCTGGCTTCACAAAAAGTAAACGTTTTGGGTCGTACGAGATGTTTTAAGTCCCCAAGAAAAAAAAATCGCTGAGCCAAAAAAAAAAATGAATGCCTTCTACCAGAATCGAACTAGTGACCTTCTGCTTACTAGGCAGACGCTCTGCCAACTGAGCCAAGAAGGCTTGTTATATCTCAGTGACCACTAAATATTATTTGTTTGGAATAAAATAAGTTTATAATGGTATTTACTCTTTCTTCTTTGCCTACAGAGTGGCCGTTAAATAGCGTTCAAAAAAAAATTATGAAGTCAAAATATGCCTTTAAAAATAAATTGATTATTTTGGAACCTCTGAATAAAATGCTAGGAATTTTGCTTTTGCGAGGTGTTCGCTGAGGGCAATCTGTAGTGTAACACTGTTTGCACCACCTCATCTTACAAGACCGCCTTTTCTGAGACGGTTATTCAATATTTTTTATGGCGCTAGTTACGATAGTATTATCCCTGCTTGCATACAACGACATTCAATAATCATCTGATCGATCACCTTTTCTGCCACGGCGGCGATACTGTACTTTGTTAACAATACGAGTACCATCCACCACAATTTTTTATTTTTTATTTCCTGTTTACTACTTGCTTGTCTATCGTCTTACATTATTTATACTGACTTTGGCCATTGAATTTGGTGATTTTTGCATGGTGCGTGATAATTAATCTCATTCGTTTGAACTACTATATACACGTTGAAGCTAGAATAGTCTGTCGTGTTGGGAAATGTCATCATGACAGTGGCATGTCCCACCAAATTCTATTCAGAATTTTTTTTTTTCACATGTCTGCATTCTTGTTAATGATCCTAGTGATTAGAAACACTATATTGGCATCTATAAGTGTGAAAAGGCATAACACCACCGCCATCAGGTCACATCGATTTCCGTATGACCAGTACTTTTTTTGAGCCTACTGACAGCTTTTTCATCACAGAAAGATGGTTTAAATTTTTGCCTGAGAAAGTAACTTGAAAAGGTTAAGCAGTATATTTACAACGCCGTCTCTGGAGAACGTCGCCTGGTACCAATATTATTCAGTGTATCGAGTCATATGAAGGTGTAGGCAGTCACGATCCGATGCCGTAACCAAAGCGCTGGTAGAGTCATATAATTAACTTCTGTAGTCGTACAGTGGTCATTGGTCATACTGATATTAATTTTTTTTTGCTTATTTAGCCCTTTAGCACAGGGTCTAAAAGTAGTGTCAGCCACCAGTTAACATTTGCTTACATGTATATTATCAATGCAGTTCAATGTCATTTTTTATAGCTAGATTTCAAATTAAAATATGTCTTTTGAGCAAATCTCGCAGACCTTGTCCCAGGTGTACATTGTAAGACGTTACCATACATATTGTCGCTATTTTTAAAAAAATAGTATTAGGACAAAATTTTGTTATGTTTACACAAACTCAAAAGGTAAGTACTTGCATCCCCCGGTAAACCTGGTTGCTTTCCACGTCGTTGCCCATGCTCTAAAAAAAGGGAATAATCAAGATTGACCATACTTTACATTGACATAACGATCATAGACGTGAAAACTATTACGCTCGACCTCGATGTAAATATGAAAGCAAGTTCAGCATCGAGAGCGCTCCCTTGGCATTACATTGTGACAACAACTTTTGCAGTCCTTATGCAAGCCAAGACCTATGAATAGCCCGTCGTGCACTTTTCTTTGTCAATCGTTGAGCTATTTGTTATTGCATTTCGGCTAAATCCTTGCTCTGATTAAATCTGCTATCCTTGACTCGGCAATACGGGCCACTCGCAAAATGGCATTCGAAAAAATCTAAAATATAAAAAAGGCAATGAAAGAGAACTCAGAAGTCATACAACAAACATGTCTCGCTTCACCGCTATTATCGCACTCGCCTTGGTCTGCCTCTTTGGTCTCGCTCAAGCCGATCCCTTTTACTTTGGAATTTGCTCTTGCTTTACACCTTCATACGATGCTTCTTGCTGTATCCTTGCTCAAGGCTCCATGAGTGAAAATGTTTGCAACACAGGAGATGGAAATGCCACCATTGTTGCTTATCAGAACTGCTGCGCAGGTAGTGGAGGTAAATCGAAGTGCAAGACCGGAGCTCGTGCTGATGGCATTCGTCCTTATTATGAGGGAGAATACAACTGCACTTCCAACCCTACTATCACTCCTTAAACCAACAATGTATATTCGCAATAAACATAAATTCCAACTAAACGTTGGAGTAAAATTATACCTTACACGTAGTACTTCGGCTGGCAGATCGTCTGCCCAGTAAGCGAAAGTCCAGTTTACATGTCAAAAATGGTTCATGAACCTATCTTTAATCCAAACTTGTACATTTGAAGTATACCAATAATGTGATGGACTTATATCAGGAAGTTTCTTCTGAGCATATAAGATACGTTGAGGTCGGAGTGTTTTATGAAGGATTCTTTCTTCGCTTATCCACAATGTGTGCATGCACCTTGCCGAAAACAAAGTTGGATTTTTTTAGTCTGGTTGCCCATCTGTCTGATAACTACTACAGCAACTCCATGCTTACACACAATAGCAACTTATTGATTTGATTGTTTTATATTTTTGCGTTCCATAGTTTATTATTTTGTCTAGAATTAATTTTGCTGATTTTGGCAATGTGTTTGAACGTTGCCACATGCTTTTAATGATCGGATCATTCGACATAAATACAATGTAAACATCTACATGATTTGTACCAACGAGTTCGCCATTTTGGAAAAACATCATCAATGGCCCTCATCCTATCACCTTAAATTTTTATAAGGTAATATTCTCAAATTCAGATTCTTGTTCACTATTTTTGTTTTCAAAGTACTGCCACAATGGTACTAGAAGTGACAACGAGGCTTGACATCACCAGGGTTCAGTCATATAGTTTTCTGTCTGACAGGGTAATTTTTTTAAACCTTTGCGACCATTGCTTACTGCTATTTTTAATACAGACAGATGTCCGTAAAATTTTTTTGGCTGTGAAAAATGACTATTCAACAGGTTGGGCGGCAGGTCGCAAGGCCATCGCTGCTGCATTATCTGAAACGTCTCTAAACATACTCTGGCTTTGGATTGAGTACACCAAACTATAAAAGATGTGAAGAGCTGTTACCTGGTACTGCTATCACTCACTTGGTTGAAAGACCATAAATTTAAAATTCTGGAATTGTACAGTGGGTATACCAGTCTGACACTATTTGATTATTTAGGCCGTAGAACTGAAGTGGTAGAGCCACCAATGAGCACCTAACTTTTTGTGCATATCAATGCTAGCAGTCAATGGCATTTGGTTGCTAGGGTTCAATATTCAACACGAAAACATGACCGTGTATTTCATGTATGCTTTGTGAGACGCTGCTATATATTCCTATTTTTAAATGTCATTGTACAAAGTTCGCTAGGCTTACACAAGCTTTCGACAACGAACAATTTGTCGCATCGCTCAATATCTCTTCAAGCAGTTACATAGCGAGAAGAGGAATCAAGATTGGCTATGCTCTATCATCACTCAAAGGTATCAGCCATACAGATCGCCATGTTCAGCCGCAACATAACATACGAAACGAGTTCGGCATTGAGTTATATGCTCGGGCCTACATATAAGAGCAACTTTATTATCGTTGTGCAAGGAGGCTCCTATGAATAGCGCATCGTGTACTTTTCTTGGTCCATTGCTGAGCTATTGCTATTACATTTCGGCTAAATGCTCGCCCTGAAATTGTATCCTTGAAACAGTAATATGGGCCACTCGCAACATGGCATCCAAAAGATCCGAAAGTATAAAAGGGCAATGAAAGAGAACTCATAAGTCATACAAGAAAACAAATATGACTCGCTTCACAGCTATTATCGCACTTGCCTTGGTCTGCCTCTTTGGTCTCGCTCAAGCCGATCCCTTCTACTTTGGAATTTGCTCTTGCTTCAACCCATCATATGATGCTTCATGCTGTATCCTTGCCAAAGGCTCCATGACTGGAAATGTTTGCCAAACTGGAAATGAACACTCTACCGTAAAGGCTTATAAGAAATGCTGCTTAGGTAGTGGAGGTTATGCGAAGTGCAAGTCCGGAGCTCGTGCTGATGGTATTCGCCCTTATTGGGATGGAGAATACAACTGTACTTCCAACCCTACTATCACTCCTTAGAACAGCAATGTACGCTTTCAATAAACCGAACCCAACTGAGCGTTGGGACAGAGCTATATCTTACAATATATCAAATGCCATTTCTGTTTCATTTCGTGCATGTTCAATTTTTTTTTTATTTGTCTATATTTACAAGCGGTTGACTTTGTTTTCTTGGTTATCGACTGATGGGACGATTCCATAATTTTGCCGTCTGTTGCCACAGTGATCGTTTGGAATGAGACCGTTGATGCACCATTGGGCTGACAAGCGATGCACGATGGTTGGTAGAGGCCGGCTCTCCAATCATGGGTGTTGTGTGATTCTCTTGGTCACTGAGACCATTCTCCGCAATGTAATGATGTAAGCTAGGCGAGGATGCTGTAGAGAACATGGACAACACGATCTCTTCTGCTTGATTCCAATGTGCGCAACATAACGTGTATTTCACAGGAATAACCTGGTTAGGTGGTTGCCTCTCATGCAGCATGTATTTATCAATCGCTCCTTCGTAGCATGGCTTGCAACACATGCTACACTCCTTCGCTGATGCCACATATGATTTAACATGGGATGGAAGGTCTGCATCGAGGGGTATACGGTGACGGACGACGGTTCTGGCACAGGTTTCAAGCAGACTGAGGGTTCGGGCCATATGCGGTTTTGGTGTAGCAGACAGGAGCGGACATCGAGTAGTAATCAAATGACAAAGGTTACCTAAGCGTAGAATTTCGGCTGGTAGAACGGTGATGCGGTTATGCGATATGTCGAGTACCGATAGCGAGGAAAGTTGCCCAATTTCTTGTGGAAGTTCTCTCAGAAGGTTGTTTCTAGCCTGCAGTACCGTGAGATTGGAAAGTGATCGAATGGATTTTGGTAAACTCCGTATGCGGTTATGAGAGATATCCAAATGTACCAAAGTTTCCAGGGACCCAATATTGTCTGGGATAGAACTCAGCAAGTTGTTGGAAAGCTTCAAGTGTGTAAGGGTGGATAACGATGGGTTGATGAACATTTTAGACCTGCAAAACGAAAGGTCAGACATGCAGGTACCGTTTCTACTTAACAAGACAGACAATAACTTACGTGCTGACTTTCGACAAAGGTGGTATTGGCATAATGTGAGCAATATCATGTCCGCTTAGATCTATGCTGTAGCCGGCATGGCGATGCAGTGGATTGCGTGATTTGCCTGGATTGACGGTGATGACAGCCGAGCTCAAATCAACCTGTTGTTCGTCAGAGCCGTGACTATCTCGTTTGGCCTTCGACTTGAGATGGCGGTAGTATGTGCGATTGACATATTCAGTGTCTGTACACGCTGGCATGGTTTAGTGGCAGTAGCAAGCTCAACGCCAGGTAATTGATGTAATTATTTTTATTTATTTATTATTTTATGAAACTCCAGTAACTCAGAAAGTAGGCGACGTATTAGTGTCAATGAGGTCGATCACAACTCAGAAGGATTTCACGGTGCTCCGCTACTATTCGCTGTAATTGTCTATTTTGACCTATACAGATTTTAAAACATATAATGGTTAACACTATACATTATTTCCATGGTAGAACTTGCTCATTCACTTACTAAGAATTGGAAGGATGCTTTTTAGCAGGGCTCGCTTATCCAAGGTACCCTGAGTAAAAACAAATGAAAGTCAATTTTTTTAGTCGGCGCCGCAAATTGGTTGGGTCTGGTTTGGTCGATCAACTTACCAAAATCTGGGTCTGACCATCATTGGCTCTACCATTGTAAAAAAAAATGTTGGTTAACCATACAAGTGGGATGAGAGCCATAAACGTAGAAGGACTTACGAATAAGTAGGGCCAAGGAGCCATCGACATAATTCGTCCACCTTCTCTGTCGCATTCTCCGTTGCAAGCCGCTTCGCGTAATACATCATCCACTGCCGATATTCATCCGGAGAGTCTAACAGGACTGCTACTGCCAATTGAGTCTGAAAGGGAAGCGAACGATTAGAAATCAGCAATGACCAATTGACGAGAATAGAAAATTAGCTTGCCTCAATGTGACCAAGAGTGATGATACTGGTGGCCTGGTGGTCCATTCTTGCCAATGTTTTGGCATGATGGCCAATGCTGCTGGCTTTGTGGCCCACTGTGGTGGTTGCTCTAGATAGCCAGCCCAATGGGTGAGTACTGGCATCCATATTTTGACTCCCAGATCCCCATAACTCTGACAGCATTTGCCAGGCGTCACAAATACGGGTCCATATTTTCATATTCAGGTGGTATGCAAACGCTTGACTGTGATTAGTGATGATGATAGGAGTTCCATTTTTTTGTATCCGGATGTCTTTGATAGTGGGTGCTATGTTCGCTGTATGGTCCGCTGTAGGTACAACGGTTGCTACTTGCAAAACAGGAGCTACGGATATTTCGGACAAGAAGCTTGTTTCATTAATTACGTCCCTGTGGTTGCCGAAAAAGTTTAGCTTCAATCATTCCATGTCGATCATGCTTCAGTTAGTCAGGCTCACCATATATACAAAAGGCCAGTAGCTGTCAAAGCCAATAACCATCTATCCGAGCAAGACATCCACACCGGCGTACTCTCTAGCATTAAAGGAGGCAGTAACCTACGGTAAGAGGAGGGATTAGAAGGGTTCCTCATACCCAAGGATTACCATATTGGTCATCGTTTGTTTACCTTCTTCCTGCTTGAGAGTAAATAACGATACTACCATCTTCACATCCTACTGCACAAAAGTGCTTGTTACCAGTCATTTGTAGAACAGAACTTGGTACATAATCTACCCATACTGGTGTTCCCTTGTTACAGTAGATCACCTTGGCATGATCTAGTAAAATTTTCTGTCAGTGGCGGTAAAATATAAACACCTAGAAAACATGCTTGTTTCGTACCTCTGTTACTAGAGTTTTGACATTCTAGAACCCAAGAAGGCTCATGGGAACTTCCACGTTGAGTCAAAACGGATTTCACCTTCGGCACACCTAATCGAAGCTGGCTTTGTCGGACAATAGGTGGAACAATGGCAGCATCTATCCATGATGGTCGATACAGTGGTTCTGAAGTGCTATTTTGATCAATATCCACCCGCTTGACGGAATCTTGGTCTGATATTTCTTCATTGGGTTTTCGCTTTGTTCCCACCACTGATGTCGGTATGCCGCTACTTGGAAGATAGCTGGAAGGGGAGTCGTACTCTGTTCCATGTACATTGCCATTTGTACGTACTCCGTTTTCACCCGTGTGATGTATCGCTGTCTCGTTGTCATTGACCGATGGCTTGTTGGTATCAAGTGAATTGTGGATAGAATTTCCGCTGGTAACAAATACTGGCCGAATACGTTTTTTACCGTCCTTTCCAATGGTGACCTGCTGTTGTTTAGCGACATCCATAGCCGGAGGCTGCTCTGTCACGTTGTTGGCTGCAACAGTCTGGGTTGGTTTTTGTATATTGGCAGGGGTGGTGGTAGAAGTAACGGTTTCTGTTTGACTTTCAATATCTCCTGAGGTCTTAGTGGTATCCATGACATCTTCTCCTTTATCAGCCAATTTCTCAACCGGCTTAATGTCCGTCATCGAAGTGTCCGGCTGATCACCGCCCATCAACTGTACTATTCGTGAAGAAGACGATGATTTTTGCGATATGGCGTTCTCCTCTTCAAGTTCTAGTTGCACTGGCGCTTCAGGTAAAGTAACTGCTTTACGCTTGTATCCGTATTTCGACAGCAACTGAATCTGAGTACACGAAGGAAGAGTACCATCTATTAGAATCGAAAAATACCCAAGACACTGCATACAACATTGTATAGAACATTACCATTTCATCATCCTCAATAGGCGTTCCTAGCTCTTCGTCTAATTGCAAGAATGCAACTGTACCATCTTGTGAACAGGCAACAACATACCGTCCGTCAGGACTCCAAGCCAAATCGTAAATATTGTTCTGAAAGACATCAGTTGCGACACAGAGTGGCCGAGAATGTTTGGTGACCCAGATAGAAACGCTGCGATCTTGTCCACCCAAAGCACAAACGGATGCAAGAGTTCCACGTTGTTCGTCTGCTGGTTGTGCTGAGCTATCTGAGTCTATCGAGGTAAAGTAAAACAGCTTTGGATTGAAGCACTGTTTGCGGGTGTCAGCTAGGCGTCTTGACAACATCAGGCTAGTAAATAATATAACCACTTACGGCTACTTCAACAGGCAGTTCATGGCCAACCAAGGATAAATCTGAGCTCCAATTATCTCGGCTGATGACAGCTGCAACACACTGCATACCATTGACAGCATTTGCTGCAGCGATATGTGATCCGTTTGGCGCCCAACTAGTCAAGAGAGAGAAAAAAAAGGCAGATAAAATAAGTTGTCCATTCATGCCACTGGATGTCAATATAAAGGAACATACCTCAAACGACGAAAAAATGTAGTTCCTGGTGCATTGACGAAAGGTTCTCGAATATCTCTTTCCAAACTCCAGTCGGATGTCCGCCAAATTTTAACCAAATTATCATCACTCTGCAAAAGAAAAAATATACATCCTTGTAAGCATTCTTGTAGTTCACCATGCATGCCTTTTGTGCTACATACCTGCGATGCTAGGTACTTGCCGACAGGATCCCAGGTTACGCCTTTTACAAACCCTCCGTGCTGATCAATCTTTTTCACTCGATCTGCAAAGCATAGCATTAGAATTGGAACAGCATCTGCATTTCAAGCAAACAACCAAGCATACCAAAAGTCAATCCATCCCAAACAATGACGTGTCCATCAACTGCACAAGATGCAAGATATTGATTGTCGCTAGACCAAGCCAAATCTTGAACGTCTGTGTTTTTTTTTTTTTTTTAAAAAAAAAGGGATGATATGAGCATAGCTTCAAAGAGCGATTGAGTGATGATATCAAATCCACTCACCAGATTCGTGTCCTCTGAGATATTTAACAGGTCGCCAACTCTCGTAATTAACATCGGTGGAGCCGAATACCGTTCCTCGCGTAACAGATCTATAAACGTTAGACCCACAATTCGCCAATACGGACATTCCACATAGGGCGGTCGCCTCACCTATCCAGTTCCCATATGATGATGGTGTTGTCGTTGTCCGAGCCGGATGCTAGGTATCGGCCTTCAATATTGCTCCAACGTACACAGAGGACTGCACCTGTAAAATAAAAAGCGATTAAATGATGAACGTATAAAAAAGCGTTGATATTAATATATATGTCGACCGAAACCTACCATTGTGCATAGTCATAGTACATAGAAGTTTATGGCAATTAGGGTCTTCCTCGGCTTCCTCATTGAGCACAGGAGCGGTATTCCATATTCGCACCTTGGTGTCTACAAATGACTAGTAAGTACGTAGAAAAACGCAAAGGTTATGCACCAACCTATTGGCATACCTAGTCCTCCTGTTGCAAGCCTTTCGCCATTAGGATGAACATGGACCGAGTAGATGCAGACTTTCTTTTCTTTGGCATTTTGCGAGCTGTCTGTAAAGACAAGGTAAAGGTTTAGCGTACAAACACTCTGAAACCGGCCAATGAAGGGATGGAGACGAGAATTTGCCTGTGTGAGTGATCCAATCTGGCTTGCAGATCAGCATTGAGAACTACTGCGTTGGTGTCGCGTGTTGGAAAAAGCGGCCTTGACGACTTTTTTCTGGGTCTGTCTTTGAATGAAAAACGGGCTCGTGCCTGGCCTTCAGGCTGTGACCACTTTCCAATCATGAATGTTGACAAGACTCGAACATTATCGCTATATAGGAGCCTACTAAGGGTATGCACCGCTACATTGACTTATGTAATACTTAAAGGATTATGTCTAAACACTGTGTTCATGACTACCGCGTACTTTGCAGGTTGCCGGGCAAATGCCATCGCAAACGAGGAAATCTTATCTCAGAAACAGAATAAAGGGAGAATTCCGTAGTCCTACTAACAAAAACCTGGACAAGAGCGAATATGAATTGAATATTCTTGCTGGCGAGACTCAATTAGAGACTTTACAGGTATGCATAACCAGCATTGGATGATAGGATACAAGAATTCCAGTCCACGGTGCTAAGAAATGATTTTAAAACTAATTTGCAATTGATTCCAGATACAATGCGCCCATCTGAAGAAGATGCAAAGCGAAAATATCATCATCCCTGTTGACTTGGATGCCAAGCCGTCTGGAAGTAATAGCCGCCGACCGGGCAATCGCTTCATGTCTGGGCCAACACCCAGCTGGCTACGGAAAAAGGACCAAAAATAGAAGACCATAGATTCAAGTTACGATAATATCCATTCTGTACAGTAGAATAAAATGCTATATCTTTGAGTTAAAAGAGTTCTGTCAGCTATTCCTTTCACTGCTGTCATTGAAAGAGCGAGCATCCCTTCTAAAGGCGAGACTGCTTTCTTGAAAGCGAAGCCACAAAAATTTTCTTGTCCGCTTAAGCAACCTTCTTTTTTTTTTTCTTTGACATTGAAGCTTCATTCTCGAAAAAGCGGTCTAGAAACATGTCGACAACTACTTCGACAACGCTTCCGCTGTACTGGGATCTCGCCTCGTTCGATCCACAAAAGAGAACCACTGCGGCTCAAACTTTGATTTCAACCTTGGCCAACTTCCAAGCTGAATTCGAGGAGAATGGCGTAAGCGCCGACTCTACTGAAGATACACTCGATGCCACTTGTGCTCCCGACGTTTCTTACGCCCTCAAGCGTTTAATTAGAGGTCTTCCAAGTTCTCGAGAAGCTGCTCGACAAGGCTATTCACTTGCTTTGACCGAGGTAACTACTCGTGTTCGTCCGACTAGCAACAGCGAAGACTTGTGCTAACCCTCCCCTTTTATAGTTGCTTGGTTTGTTGAAAGATATATCAACAAAGCAGACCTTGGATTTGTTGCATCAGTACACAGAGAGAACAGGTGCAATGACTGGTGAAGAAGGTCGAGATATGTTGTTTGGCAGAATCTTTGGTCTTCGATCTATCATTAGTTCCGGTATCCTAAGCCGTCCAGCTACAATGCTCAAAGACTTTGAACAGATCTACGATGATTTGTTTGAAATTTCCCAAGCAAAGCCTTACCTTTCTGAGGTTTGTTATCATGTTGCCGCCTCAACCCTCCCCATCGTAAGTGTAGCTTTAAAAACGATTGCAAGTGCCAGACTAGAGTATTAAGCATAGACCGTAGATCTGCACATTGGATTTCAAGGAGGAAGCATTGGAAGCACTTACTTCCAAGTTTTTGGAGGATGGAATCAATACACCTGATCAATTGCAGCTTGTGTTGGCCATTCAATCGGCTGCACCGGATTTCGACTTGAAGAAGAAGTTCGCCACTTGGAAGAATGCTGATGCTCTGTCCGTTGCAAATTTACCAAAACTTGCTCGTATCTTGAAGGAAACTCCTTCCGAGGATGAAGAAGTTAAGAGCAACGGCAGTAACTGGCATCCTCAGCTTCACTCCGTTTGGGATATCTTGCTTGAACAAATTGCCAGTGGTAAGGCCACTAAAGGTAGCAAAGCATCATTTCAAGAATTCTGGAAGGTCACTGTTGATGGTATGAAGATATTTCGAATAGAGTTTAAAAATGACCTGCGAAATCTCTTTAACCGCTATATTTACTTCCACAGAGAGTTTGTTTGAGGCCAACACCTCGCACGAGCGAAAATACTGGGGTTTCCAACTTGTTGAAAAGGCTATGAGCCAGGTTCCTACTGATCAAATCGTGTTTGTTTTTACCGACAACTTCATGCGCACGTTTATCAACAACATGTCCTCTGAAGACCGATTCTTGAGCAAGGCTGCTAGACACACCGTAAGTGATAAGTCCTCGAGCGACGGCGTTAATCTGGATGAAAGGAATGCTCACACAAAGTCTATTTTATCATTATAGATGCAAGAAATCGAACAGCTCTGCACCAAGGACAGCAACATTGGTTTCGGTCTTATTGCCCAATTGGTTGGAAAGTACGGCAACCAAAAGTTTGACAAGGCAGTCAGAACCAAGATGATCGATAGTCTGTTGACTAACATGGATATCACTGGTATCAAGTCATATATCACCTTTTTAACAAAGTGCTTCTTGGCTCCCGAAGAAAGGTTAGTATCTAATCCAAGAGTTCAATATCGGTTTGTGCCTGATTTAACAGAACTTGTTTCGTTAGCGCCGACGATCCTGTCCGTGCCGAAGGTCAACGTAGCTGGGTTGCTGACCAAATGGTTGGACTTATCCGAAACACCAAAGTCCCCAAAGACGAGGAGTGGATTTCTCAAGTACTCGAGTTCTTGTTTGTTCATGCTTTCTTTGATGTAGTTAAGGACGGCAGTAAGGTTTCAAAGGTAAATAGATTGTGGCAGCGTTAATCCTAGTGAGTCAGTAGTATTCTAATCACTTATATACAGGCCAACAATGCCCCCACCCCAGCTCTCTCCCCTGCTACCAGAACAGTGTGCCGCGATCGATTCTTCGCTATTTTAGGCGAGGTATCCACCATGCCACCTGTTGCCAAAGTTGCTGAGCTCGGTGGCTCTGTCCTCAAAACCCGCAAATTGAACGGCACCATGAACAATGGAGAGTTCTGGGCAGATCATGCTGTGCAGCGATACAGAGCTTTAGAAAAGGACACCAAACACTACAAAAACATCGCAGAGTTTGATGAAGAATCCTCTCAAGCAAAGAAGGACGCATTCAAAACCATCGAAAAGATCAAAGCTGATGTAAATATTGTTTTACACTCTGATGACACTTGCCTAAACGCTGTTTCCTAATCCACGCTTTTGATTCTTTAGATTGCCAAGTCTACCGCTGATCAATTCAACTCTCAACTCCGTGCTTTCGAACTATTGTTCTTGCACTTGGTTCTTCAACAGCTCACTGATCCCCAAGAGAGCAACGATGTTCTTGGTGAATTGCAGAGCTGTTACCAAAAGGTTTTCCATGCTCCAAAGGCTACTAAGAAGACCAAGGCTAAGGCAGAGGAAGAAGATGAACCTCAACCCGTTGAGGTTGTTATTGATATCCTTCTCAGCTTCTTGTCCAAGTCCTCTGCCTTGTTGAGAAACTTGGCTGAACAGGTCTTTGAAATCTTCTCTGACAAGCTCACCAAGAAGGCTCTCCATCTTATGCTTGAGGTAAGAGATTCTATAAACTGACGGTGATCATATGGTTGTTTTGTATATTAAACACGTCCACCACCATCAGATTCTCGAAACAAAGGAAAGTCAAGCTGGTGAAGAGGAACTTTTTGAAGTGCGTGATGATGACATGGACACTGACGACGACGAAGATGATGATGTTGAAGTGATTGACATGGAAAGCACTGCAAATGAGGAGGAAGATTCAGGAGACGATGAAGAAGAAGAAGAGGAAGACGACGAAGGTGATGATGACGTTGAGATTGACGAGGATGATGATGAGGAAGTAGACGAAGAGCTCAGAATCAAAATCCAAGAGGCTATGAAGTCCCAAGGTATTCTTGCTGGTTCTGACGATGAAGATGAGGATATGGACGATCTGGATGATGATCAGATGGAGGCTTTTGATGAGAAGTTGGCTGAAATCTTCCGCCAAAAGAAGGTGGAGAAGAACGATCGTAAGAGTAAGTAACAAAAATTTCTAATCATCAACAAGTGATGGCATAGGATACTGACTGTTTCCTTGTAGACTCGAAGCAACATGTTGTTCACTTTAAGAACAAGGTTTTGGAACTCTTGAGCATCTTCGTTCGCAAGAACCCAACCAATCCTCTTATATTCGAAATGATCTTGCCCTTGTTGAATGTCATTCGTACTACTTCCACTTCATCATCCACAAAGCACTTTGTGGACAAGACCATTGCATTGCTCAACAAGCGCTTGTCAAAGAATAAGGAGTATCCTAAGCAATTTGATATTGAGCGTGCTGCTCAAGTTCTTAAAGGTGTACAAGAATTTGCAAGAACCTCAGCTCAAAAGCAGATGCTCGAAATTTGTGGTTCACTCTCTTTGTACATATCCAAGGCAATGTTGAGTGTTGAAGAGGCAAAGCTCGGTGCTGCAAAGGAACAAGTCCTGACCATATACTCTGATTCACTGACGGATTACATGACCAAGAAATCCAGCCATATGCAACCCAAGTTTTTCATTGACTTCCTCAACCGATTCCCACAACATTCGTGGCCATTGTTCAACAAACTATTGGCATACACTGACCCCAAGGAGACTGTCAAGAGCTACCGTCAAAGTCAAGCCTACCAGATTATGTCCGTTCTGATACAGCGAACAGTCAGCCTAAAGACCGATGAATGCAACCAAGAGTTCCTCAACTCCATCCCAGCTATCTCCGATAGTTTGATCAAGACTTTCGAATACGCTCTTGACGATAAACCTGAGCCTGCTGCTAAGCAAGTGAATATTCAACGAATCAAGGAAGTGCTCAAATTTGCAGTCACTGCCATTCGGTTAACCAAGAACATTGAGAAAGACACAAAGGAGGTACGTATTACCGCTGTGGTTTGTCGATGTCTTGCAAAATAGTTAACAATTTAAAATTTTAGATTTCAAAGCGATGGAACAGCGAAAAACTTGGTCCCCTTGTTGAATCGGTCGCAACTAGCACCAAGTACTCTGAATCACCTGCTGTTCGTTCCACCTGCAGCCAAATACTCAGTTTGCTTGATACTGGTATTACGTAAGTTACTCATCGTCTGGTGCTCCAGCCCAATGTTCAAATTCACTCATGTGCTCTTTTCCCTGTAGTCTTCCACCTAAGGTCAAGGCAGAGGGCAAAGTCAAGGCTAAGGCTACTGCTGCCAATGGCAAGAGAAAGAACAATGCGGCTCAGAAACCAGCCTCTAAGAAGGCCAAACTCTCTAAAAAATAGATCCTTTCCCTCTTCTGTTCATGTCATCTAGCATTTTTCTTTCACATTTTTCGTTTGCACACCATTCTTCTTTTTGTAATATGAAATCACGCTACACGCTTGGAGAGTGTGTATGGCAACTGTTCTTTCATTAAGTAATATATCGTTTTTATTTTCTTCTTTTCTCTTCAAAATAAACACAAAGGAACAATGAAGAATATCATATCTCGACCCATCTCTATTTCTGGCCATAAGCTTTCTTAATGTCATCCTTGTAGGCATCCTTGATAACATTTCGCTTCAACTTTCCACTGGTGGTCATGTAGCCATTCTTAGACCAGTCCTCATTTGAAAGGAAGATATCATGGATAGTTTCCACTCGTGAGCATCCGGCATCCCGGGCAGTCTTCTGCAATGCTTTGAGTAACTGATCCTTATCTGCGTTTGAGGAGCTAGGCTCCACTACAGCCAAGATGAAGTCCTTTCCATTCTCGGCAACAATGCAAATGCTCTTGATCTCTTGACAATTTCGGTACTTGCTCTCCAGACTCTCGATAGCAATGTATTCTCCGTGTGATAATTTGACCAAGTTCTTAATACGATCAGTGATAGAGATAGTGCCGTCGGGATTGATCTTGCCAACGTCACCGGTCTTGAACCATCCATCATCCGTCAAAGATTCTTTGTTAACATCAGGGCGCTTGTGGTATCCTTTGAGCAAGGATGGTCCTCTCAACCAAATTTCACCAACGCCTTCAGAGGCCTTGTAACCTGCGTCTTCAACATCGACAAATCGAAATTCAATAGAAGGAGAGGGGTAGCCGATTGTACCAGTAGTGGTGGCGCCCATCCAAGGTAACGTCACCGCACCAAGACCGCAGCATTCTGTGAGACTACAAAGGAAGAGTTAGAGGTGCAGTTTGTTTCCCAATTTGTACAGCAATTAATGTAACAGAACATACCCGTATCCTTCCAAAAGTTGACAGAGTGTGGTATTGACGAAACGATGGGTCTCAAAACTAACTGGTGCACCTCCAGTAACGCCATATTGCAGACGACCACCGGTTACCGCGCGGATGGGGGCAAAGATAGTCTTATTAAATATATCGGTGATGACATTGTTTTTGCCAAAGAACTTGAGGAGCTGCCATTTAACATTGATAGCGACTGTAGGCCCATGAAAAAACTGTCAATGACTGCTTGAGTAACATCTCAATAGTATATTCCCATTGCACTTACCATTGAAAATTGTTTGTAAAATAGGATTCTGCTTTGCAACCTTGGATTCGATTCCCTTTCGGATACGTTCCCAAACAGCGGGCACACCGCACATGATGGTTGGCCGCAATGCACTCAAGTCTCCCTTGCCCTTGCCTTGACCATCCTTACCAACTACACCATCTTCCATGAGAGTTCGGATGCTGGCATAACCAATGGGAACAGTAAGGTTGATGAACATGAATTCCAGTAAGAATTCCAAGACGTGAGCCAGTGGCAAAAATGCAATATAGTAATGTTCGTCATCGGCAACGATGTCACGCGCTAAGAAGTCACCAGCACTTTGAGCAGCAACCATATTTCCATGGGTCATCTCCACTCCTTTAGGATTGCCGGTACTTCCAGAGGTATACATGATCATGGCCAAGTCATTTGTTGAAGGCTCAGACGACGCGAGCTTGGAGCTCGTATGGCCTTCACTCATCACTTCCTTGACATGGTCCACAGAAATGCCTTTTGGAACAGACGATAGAAATTGTTCCAATTGCTTCTTGTTTTCGATCTCCTTTCCGCTATATAGAACGATTTGGACTTGTCCTTCTGGGGAGCCTTTGAGTACTTTTTCAAAAGTACCGATAAGTGATATCTATTTTAGGATAATCCCCAAAGACGGAAAGCAAACAAAGGCGTCAGATTGTTGTCTTTTTGAACATGGAATACGTTTTCACTGCTTTTACCTCAGTCAATACAACTTTGGATCCAGTTTCCTTCAATACATGGAGAACATCGTCAGCAGGCATACTGTCATATGCAGTTGTGACAATGATACCGGCGGCAAAACATGCTAAATGAGACAATCAAAAGTTCAGATTTTTTCCTTTTTCGCAAAGAATACTAATGGTGACAGAGTTAAACGAGGGAAATAAGCTTCTTACCCATTGCTGTAATCATCCACCATTGCCTGAAACGCCAAAAAGATGATATTGAGTACTCAAAATCGAATATGCATAACATAACACATTGCAGGGTGGCTTACGATGTTTTGGCATACAACAGGATCGAGTCACCAGGCTGGATTCCCTTCTCCAACAAATACGCAGTTACGCTGTCGCTCCATTTTCTTGCCTCACCGTAGGTGATCCACTTGTAGGTATCTGAAAGCTCGGGTGTGTACCACTTCTTCGTCTTGCCGCTTCCGTCCGTAGCTGGCTTTTCTTCCACGTGCATCTGAGTGGCAAATGTCAGGATATGACAGATCAAAACGCTTGAATATGACTAAAAAACATCTGGACTTACTTCCAGCAACTCGCGTTCGCCAAACCCTGGCTTATCAGCATTAGTGTCTGTAATGTATCTCCAGATATGGCCTATAGTGCGGTCGTTTTCTGAGCACTCTGGGACTTTGGGTCCTTTGATCAGTTCGTGTTCTGCTATCTTGTTACGATAAATGTGTTGTTCAGCATCGACTTCAACCAAGCGATTGTCATGCTTAGGAAGGAATAAAGACGATAGATATTGTGCCATAGTGGTATAGCAATGGAAATAAAGAAAATAAAAGGGCGAGAAAGAATGAAATATTTTATACGAAAGGTTGAAAATTGGACATTTGCATGATGTCATGCCTGCTGGAATACCCCGCTGGCTGGCGCTGCCTGATCCGCCAACCGGGAACGATTTTTTAAGCCAGTATTCCGTCATTCACCTACCTCGACGTTTTAACATTCCTAAAAATTCACCTCATCATACCATGGAGGTCTCAAACTCACACAATGACACTCCAGGTGTACCAGCAAAGTTATTGTTTTCAAAATCAAAGGTCTTTGTTAAGCCCTCTGCAAACACAAAGATACCGGGCATACTTGCTATTGTAGAGAGGGTAGGCAAATATATTTCACTGGGTTTGTATACTCGACGTTGTCGCTAATAATCCGACTTGCAGTCTCCTGGCGACTATCTCCTGGCATGGAAACCAGAATCAAGTATTCCTAGCGATGAAGCTCAAAAGTTTGACGAGGCAGTGTCAGATGATAAACCAGGTAGCTTACATCTTCATGAATAGCCCACCGAAAACATGGTGAACAAGGCTGACTTTTTTAACAGCAACCGTGACCGTACCTGAACCAACTGTAATTTCGGAACAACAATCGCCGTATGCGTTTTCGACGGGCTTGAAGGCGATTAAATCTATTTCAGTGAAACCGCCAAGTCTAAATCAGTGGTATGGTAGCATGGTGATCAACTTTCAATCTGGAGAGTCATCACCGCCTCTGTGGTTTCACGATGACGAGAGTCCAAGCACCATATTACAAAGGAAAGCGGGACAAGAAGAAACGTCGGAGCGGGATAACAATAGTACTGTTTGGGGAGGTGACGAAATAATCAAGAGGCTCGCCAGCCTTGTCAACGTTCAAAAGTACGTTGATATTTTTTGCCTGGACAAATTAACTCTTAACTTTATACACTAAATTATGAACGCTGCTAGGTCCAATGAACAAGGCTATCTCTATATTTTGAACAATGACCAAAACTTGACTCTTCCAACCGCTCCAGTGAAGAAGCAGCGGCCGTTATCAGCTTCGTTTGCTGACGCACCCAAGGTTGACAAACAGGCTGCAACATCATCTGGCCGAGCTCGATCAAGTTCATCCTCATTCAACCAAGCTTTGTCGTATGGTGTTTACCCTATGCCACCGCCTAGCTTTATGGGAGGTATCGCTCTCCCGCCTTCAGCAATTGGTGAAAGTGTCTTTGACCCACCTCGTATGGATCCTTTAGTTGCGGTACGTTGGACGATCATCTTGAACCACAGGAATTTACATGAACATAGTGCTTATAACTAGTTCACAGACTTTGAAGGAGGCAAAGTGGAATTTGTTAGAAAAGTTTTCGCAAGTTACCCGCTTCTCGCGAAATACTGCAGGTACGCATTGCTCGCTGTACACATGATTCACAGGCCAGACGTTTAATGCGCATTCGACTGCACCAGCTCAATTTTTAGATCATCCACTCACTCGACCCATTGTTCCTCTTCTCCCACCAAGTGTGCAGTCCTTGGCCAACAATGAAACCGTCAAAGCTACGATGGACGACTACGATTCTGCTAGAGTGTTTTTAGCAAAATGGGCAGCAGGATTAGCCAATCAGTCAGAAAAGTCCGAGCCTTTCGATCAGCGATATCGCCATGTTGGTATTTGGGGACACGATGACTGGGAGGAAGAGACAGCATTGGGTGTTTTTGAAGTATTGAACGTAAGTTTGAAGGTGCTCTGTGCTTTTTCACTCGGCGCCAAAATTATTTTTTTCAAACGTTACTGATGTTTCCAAAGTCCGACAGCGACAACTCCATCCCAGTACACACCAGAACCTCACCTGTGACCCTCGAACAATGGAATTCCTTTTTTGATGAGCAAGGGGTGCTATCTGTTGGTCAGCCCTACGTTCGAGAAGCAGTCTTTAGAGGTTGTCTTGCTGCAGATGCTCGCAAAGATGCATGGCTATTCCTGACAGGCGTGTTTCCATGGGACAGTTCCGAAGAACAAAGAGAGTTGATTAAGAAGGAGAGAAGGTGAGGAAAAGTGGTCAGCTGTGATTTTTAATCAAGGAACGTACTCATTATTTTTTTGTTAGGGATGCCTATCAATCATTGAAGAAGCAGTGGCAGGATGTCCCCGAAGTCACTGGAAGCGAAGAGTTCTGCGAACAAAAGCACCGTATAGGTATGTTGACAAGCCTCCAGATAGAACCTGAATCCATCACCTCTCACACCTTTCCCTTTCAGACAAGGATGTTCATCGTACAGATAGATCAGTCAGTCTTTTTGCCAACGAGAACCTGCCAAACCCAGGCTCCAGCATGTATACCAGCACCAATCATCATATGGAGGTTGTGAAAGATATTCTCTGTACCTACAATGTTTACAACAAAGAGCTCGGTACGTGTCTTCTCGTTTAGTTTTTCAAAGCCTAAGTATAGTTTAATAACGCGTGCATGTTGAATGCAGGTTACGTACAAGGCATGTCTGATTTACTGACCCCAGTATATGCGGTTGTGATTGAAGAAGAGTTGGCCTTTTGGGCGTTTGTGGGGTTCATGGACCGCATGGTAAGTTGCTGCTAACACGTTTATGTTTTGAATCAGATTCCTTTACTAACACCTGTGCTGTAGCAGGCCAACTTCTATAGAGACCAGTCGGGAATGCACCGGCAGCTTCTTACAATGGATATGATGCTTCAGTTCATGGACCCAAGTCTGTACAAGCACTTGGAAAACACCGAAAGTTTCAATCTTTTCTTCTGTTTCCGATGGCTCTTGGTCTGGTTTAAGAGAGAGTTTTCATGGGAAGACGTACTCTCGTTGTGGGATGTCCTCTTTACAGACCATCTGTCCACTCAATTCCATTTGTTTGTGGCACTTGCCATTCTCGACCAGCATCGCAACGTGATTATGGATCATTTGAAGCACTTTGATGAAATCTTAAAGGTACAAAACATACATGAGCTATGAAGTAAATGCGTAACATTGTATTAACACGCTATTCTACTTGTAGTATATAAATGATCTCGCATTGACCATCGATCTGGATGAAACGTTACAGCGAGCCGAAATTTTGTTTCATCAGTTCCAGCAGAGAATGGAAGCAGTTGATAAAAAGCGATCGGATCTCAAGAAAGACATCAAGGAGCACCCGGGCTGGAGCGATGCCGAAAGAAGAATGAATACCAAGAGTGAGATGGACAAGCTACCTCATATCAACGCATTACTTCGTAGTCTATTGGACAACAGCACATCATCAAACAGCGAGAACACACCATCTACTCGATCTAGAGCGAACAGTATGTTATCGGATGATGCAAAATCTAGAGACGACGATAGTTTTGTGCACCTTGAAAAATCTTCGCCTCAGTGACCACAGACACACATTCTCGGCCCTTGAGATGATTCGATTGTTTGTCCACCCCATTTCCGCCCTGAAAGCACGAATGTCAAACCTATCTTCTTATCTGTAAATACCCTTTCATACAACATATCTATATCATAAATTATAAATGAGCGCTTTTACACAGTGTACCATATAAATATAAAGTCCTTTTTCAAGTAAAGCCGTGAAGTTGAGTTTACGTTCGAAGCCCTTCACACCGCTGGAAATTTTTTGGATCAACCGCAAACTCTAACTTTTCAGGCTCAGTGTCAGTTTAGGACGGTGGAGTCTATATAAGAAAGATGGTCTCATAGAGAACCAACACACTACCCCTTTACACAATGTCTTCTGCTCCTGTCTGTCTGGATGATTTCGAGAAATTAGCTCGGCTTTCGCTGCCAGCTAGCGTCTTCGGGTACTACTTCTCTGGAGCCGACGCTGAATCCACTCTACAAAGAAACAAGGACGCTTATGACAGGTAAGTTTGGAATGGTGAGGGAACAGCACTGAATTAGTGGAGGCTGACATTCTCATTCGTCAGCTTGTTGATTCGACCTCGCATTCTCGTTGATGTCGAGAAGGTCACTACAGAAACCACCATTCTCGGCCATAAGATCAATTCTCCTGTCTGTGTGGCCCCTACTGCTTTCCACGGAATGGCACACGACGAAGCTGAAAAGGCAACGGCCAGAGGTACAGTATGATATGAAAAAAGGGCTAATTCAAGCAAAGCCATGGTATTGACCTTTTTATATTTGATGGGGTTTGTATGAATTAGCTTGCGCGAGTCTCAAAACCTGCTACACGCTGGCGACGTATAGTAACACGAGTATGGAGGACACCTATGCTGCAGCCAAGCAAAAGTCTCGCAAGCAAGATCCTCTTCATTGGTTCCAGTTGTATGTTGAGCAAGATCGTGAAGCTACCAAGCAATTGGTTCAACGCTGTGAGAGAGCAGGATACAAAGCGTTGGTTATTACAGTCGATCGACCTCGACTTGGACGACGTCTCGCGGATTTGAGACATGCTTTCAAGCTCCCCAAGCACCTTTCTCTGGCCAACTTCATTGCTGATGAAACCCGATCTGGTGCTGGTGCTTATGCTGGAGGAGCCATCGACGCATCTCTGAACTGGAAAGATATCGAATGGTTCAAGTCCATCACTAAGCTCCCCATTGTCATCAAGGGCATCTTTAGAGGAGAGGACGCAAAACTTGCTGTCAAGCACGGTGTTGACGGTATCATTGTTTCTAACCACGGTGGACGGCAGTTGGACAGCTGTCCAGCTACTGTAAGTTTGGAAATCTGAATCCGCTTGTTCGCCCGCTCTTTGTTGTTTTTCTAACTCCTACGTCCCATAGTTGGAAGTTTTGCCTGAAATAGTAGATGCCGTCAAAGGTTCGAAGGTTGAGGTTTATGTCGATGGCGGTATTCGCAAGGGAACAGACGTATTCAAGGCTTTGGCTTTGGGTGCACGAGCTGTCTTCCTTGGTCGTCCTATCGTCTATGGCTTGGCATACCAAGGAGAAGAGGGTGTGCGAAGTGTCCTTTCACTCATCAACTATGAGTTCAGACTGGCTATGGCCCTAGCAGGTACGGCGGGAGCTGAGCGTATTGTTTTCACTTTCAACTGGGTTTTTAACCAAATTCGTTACTTTTTCTTTGTATAGGATGCACCTCGACCGACAAGATTACTCCCGACTACATTATTCCAGCCGAGGAAATATCGCTTGCCAGGAGTTATGCCAAATACCATTCCAAGCGAATCGCCCCCAAGTTGTAATTATTTTGATTAGATGTTGATGTGAAAATCTTGATATCCTTTCCTTTTTTCCTATATAAATACTATCTCATGTATGCTTAAGGAAGCAGATCATCTAAGATCTTCTTGTTTGCAAGTGGATTGCAAGTAGGCAAACACCGCACGGGCCTATATTTCTATGATAAAACTTCGGTTTACGTTTCTCTAGGCTATGCCTGGCCTTCTAAGATGATATTGGGTTCATGTATGAGAATCCCTTTGGCTACTAGTACTTCCGCATAAATGTCATTTACGAAAAATGGGAAGTTTGAACGAAAACGAGATATAAGTGCATGATTGTGTCCCCTGTCACCGAACGATACAGCCAATTGAACACATTTAGCGCTTTCTGGTGCCTTTAGCTACATATAGTGAAGAGATGAAAAATTCTCAATTCATCAATCTTGCCGCGGGTGGATATTAGCAATTTTTCAGTAGCACTGATACGCAAATGGTTGATCTTTCTTGCCTTGTGTTCATATTTTGCAAGCCATCCGATGGTGGATGAGACTCCATAGACAAGTTTTGCATACAGATGTGTATCAGCACATTTTATTTTCAAGACCTTATGCGCTTTATATACTGCATATACGTGAAGTGGAAGCTCTGACCTTCAATTTACTCGACATGGTAAAGCGATGCAGCAAATTGTTCACGTGACTTGAATATTCCCCTAAATAGTTGCTTTTCAATTGCTCGACTGACCGTTCTCTTTCACATCACATCGTTAAATATGGAAAATCTTAGTTTCCGTGGTACTCTTGAAGGTATGATACATGGAATCAGTAGATGGATGGATGGATGGATGGATGGATACGTAGATGGATGGATGCAGTCATCTAACTCTTTACTTGTTTGATTAGGTCACAGTGGCTGGGGTAAGTCTCGCGTTGGATCTCACAACTTCAACAACAAAGCACAGCCTTACACGATACCTACTTGCTTTACGTAGTCACTGCTATTGCCACCACCTTTGAAGCTCCTGATATGATCCTTTCTGCTTCTCGCGGTAAGACACTTGTTTTTCATCAACTGTATCCACATAAATTTTACTGACATTGCTCCTTTTAGACAAGTCTATCATTGTCTGGAATCTTACAAGGTTTGTATCAGCGCTTGCCCAGGGGCTAGCGTTATATAACTAATTCGCATGATACCTCTTAGGTAAATTGCATTTTCATTTTCGTTTAGGTGTTGGGATACAAGCAAGCGCGATGGGGAACGGTGCTAGCTAACCACGCCAGATGTTGAGTGATTGCACTCACATGCTCGTCTTTAAGACGAGAAGTGAAGTCTCACGATTGCCCTATTGATTTTGACCTCGCGCTTTCAAAATCATTCTAATAGGGATGAAACCAACTATGGCATTCCCCGCAAGTCTCTTCTCGGTCACAACCACTTTGTCCAGGATCTTGCCATCTCTTCCGATGGTCAATTCGCTTTGTCTGCCTCTTGGGATAAGACTATCCGTCTTTGGGATTTGAACACTGGTACTACTACCCGTCGCTTCATCGGTCACACCAACGACGTCCTGTCTGTCTCTTTCTCTGCTGACAACCGACAGATCGTCTCTGGTTCTCGTGATAAGACCATCAAGTTGTGGAACACTCTTGGAGAGTGCAAGTACAACATCACTGAGGGTGGTCACACCGAATGGGTCTCTTGCGTCCGCTTCTCACCCAACCCTGCTAACCCTGTCATTGTTTCTGGCGGCTGGGACAAGATTGTCAAGGTAAAGATCCTATCTCATTGAATCCTTTTATCTTCTTCAAAAGCAATGTGATGTTTTTTTGTTATATTTGCTACTTCAGAAGTCGTATCGCAACGACTAATGAGACACATACACCACTCTGATTTGCTTCCATATCTTATACCCTATCCTGATCTCCTCTTTTTACGCAACCCTGATACTAATCGAATTTCTTATGAACTTTAGGTACTGTACATGTTTACTATATCAACTGCTGTGGTTCCTGGTGTCCCAAAAGATGTACTTGATATATTTGCTACTTCAGAAACCTACGGGTTAATGAGACATATACACCATTTCTGATCGGACCTTAATGGACACAGCAAATTGATTGCTTCACATGTTTGTTTCTAAAACTAACCTTTCCAATTTGCAATAGGTTTGGGAGCTTACCAAGTGCAAGTTGAGAACCAACCATATTGGCCATACCGGATATATTACCTCAGTCACCATCTCTCCCGATGGTTCTCTCTGCTCTTCCGGTGGCAAGGATGGTATTGTCATGCTTTGGGACTTGAACGAATCCAAGCACCTCTACTCTCTTGAAGCTGGTGATCTTATCAACGCTCTTACCTTCTCCCCTAACCGCTACTGGTTGTGCGCTGCCACCAGCACTTGCATCAAGATCTGGGACCTTGAGTCCAAGACTCTTATCGAAGAGATCCGTCCTGAGTTCTTCGAATCTGGCAAGAAGTCCCAAGACCCTCAATGCGTTTCCCTCGCATGGTCTGCCGACGGTACCACCCTTTTCGGTGGATACACCGATGGCCTCATCCGTGTCTGGCAAGTCACCCGCACTCTCTAAGTGCATTATCGTAATATTGAAAAGCTTTATTTTGCAAATAAATACAATCATTGTGTGTAATATACATGAGGTTTTTGGACTAATGGGAGGGTGGGTGATATTGCCATGTGGATCTAAACGCAGAATTGGATTATGTTTCTATCGGTGTCAGTGTACAAAGGGAAAGCCAATCCCATCCTATCTCTTGGAGATTCCGCATCATCTAGTGCAGAAAAAAAAATGCCAGAACTGTTTAGAAACATTGGTTTGACAGGTGTCATGTAGAAAGTCGAAGCCTACCTTCAAACGAAATATCGTATTGTCATCCACTTGATAACGCGTCGGTAACAACCAGTCTGGAGCCACATCTGTGCGACCCTCGCTGGCCTGCCTCCGACTCGCGACTAGATCAGGATGGAAGTGCTCTTCGAGTTCCGCGGCCATTTCAAGCGTTGCCCAGAGTTGTTCACCGGCTTGTTGGACCATCATGACCATTTCCTCCGTATCGACCTCTCGTTGAGCTGCTGTGGCAAGTATGTATAAACTTTCGGCGTCACCTGCCACTAACGCTTCTCGTATGCACTCATCCAGTGTTCCATGCTGATGCGCCTCTAAATAAATGCTAGTAATGGCGAACAGAAGACCAAAGAACCTGGCAAACCGCAGTCGTTTTTGTCGCTGATCAAGTAGCTTCGTATCATACCACGGCTGCAAAGTGTTTTGACCCCACAAGCTTCTGGATTCCTCGCAATGCAATCGCCATATCCACGTATAATCGCGTGGTAAGAATGGAGCCAATGGATGTTTTGTACTTCGTCTCCGGTATTTCTAAACAACCAAGGTATGATTGTGATTAGATCCCGCAAATCACGCTAGATTATCAGTTACAAAGCACTTACTGGATCATGAAGTATGCGTATAGATGGGGCATGGAGATATATATGTCGTATCCTCAGACATAGCCGAGCGTAATGGTCTTCACAGTTTGGAATTTGAAGGACTCGGTGCACGACCAAGTTTTGCATAATATCGAGCTTTTCACTGAAAACAGCGCGGTGTTCATAATGTGGCATGGGCTCAACAATGTCGCAAATCAGTTGAAGTAGATCGTGGGCAATGCTGTCGGTGCTGTCCTTGTCGGTGGCTGTACGTTCGAAATCAAGCATGCGTTCATAAACGGCTGCATGGAATGCGAAATTGGAGCGAAGGAAGTTTCGAACGGCCGGTTGCAAAGATCGATGAGTAAACTGCAGGGATAAAGCGTCATGAAAGTCCAAAAAATCAAGTATTGAGTAGAGTAGTTCGGCTGGCAAGTCTGTTAACATGGTAGCTATACTGTGTGGCAAACCATGAGCCAGCGGAGAAGGACAGCAGGAAACCGCGGGGCAAAAATTTATGGCTGTATTTGGACCACACTGCAAGTCATGCGATAGTTGAAACTTTGGAACATCAGATGTGCTTGATAAACGACGCATAAGGCGGATGCCGGTGCAGTCTTGCCTGTTGCCAAGCCATAATCGACGTTGTAACTATAGTTTTACTGATCCTGTCTCCAGTATATCACAGTAAAATGTAATGTTTAGATATGTTACGAGTACATCGTTGATCTCAGTATTTAAAATTGAAGTGAAATCTCAATGATTAAATGAAATGTAGAGGGACAATTGAACTAGAGCATATTTGAGTAAAATAGTGGTAATGTAATGTTATCACACCAGATGAAATCGGCCAAGTATGTCTTGGTAAAAGTTAAAAAAAAATATGCCGAATCTCGTAAGCACATTGCTTCTATCGTCAGCTATATATCATAAAAGTGCTCTGATCAAATTTTTTATTGTCAAGCACTTTATCATCCGCCATGTCTCGAAATCGACCTCCTGTCACCTCCTGCCGAAGTATGCAGAAGGCTCCCTCCAGCAGTAACACAGAATTTAGCATGACTTGTGCTAGCGTATTTTACAGTAACCATGTCTTGATACACATCAATAGTGCAGGGCCGAGTATTGTCCCTAACTGTCTATCATAATTCTGGGTAAAATCTTTGTTTGTGCGACAATACCGTTGCTATCTTTAAGAGGTATTACTGCCTTTTAGCAACGTTGGTGCTCTCTGACATAACTTGAACGTTATTAAGAAATTACCGTACATTTTTTGAATTCAGTATTGATATCATCCATCACTATAAAATCAAGGTACTTTTTCCTTCGATCAGATAACCTTGTTTTAGGCGTTTTACCGCCATTTGATTGTCCGATATTACGAAAAGTCCAAAATATAAAAAATTTCGCCTTCTAGATAGTCCAGCTGTCCTTTTTTGTTCAGAGATGACTACCGTGACCGTAACAAGCACCGCCGAGACGCAAAGTCCTACGCTGAATCACCCATACGTTGAGGCATTCAACCGAAATGCAATAGGATCCTCGACAGCTATACAATCCGGAAGCTCGGCTTCACACCGGTCCATTTCTGTAGCTGATAATGCATCGCTGGAGAGTGGTGAAATGAGTCAGCCCAATGACCCGCTCTTATTACAAAACATGAAGAAAAATGAAGAAGATATAAAGCTTATTCGAAAAAACGGCGGCTCACGACGAGTTCAAAAGTTTTACAGAGAGCAGAACAGTCTTATCGACGAAATGCTTGGCCCTTTAAACCCAGAGAGCGCTGAGGACGAAGAAAAACGGCTACTCAAGGTAAGTTGGTCTAAGTATAGCATCGCTCCTACAGTACGTTCTTGATACTAAAATTGAATCGCTTCTACTTATTTAATTTTTACAGCTCAAGATAGCTGTATATGGGTCCGTGGTAGCAAATGTTGCACTCTTCGCTCTGCAGCTGGCTGCTGCTCTATTATCTGGATCCTTGTCCATTTTCGCCACAATGGCTGATGCATTTATGGATCTTTTAAGTTCGGCTGTCTTGTTGTGGGCTACACGACAAGCTGCCAGACCTAATTTGATGAAATATCCAGCTGTAAGTACCCATGCAGTTCGTCATGTAGAGTCGCATTTTTATTGATGAGTTCTGCAGGGAAAGGCTAGAATGGAAACTGCAGGCATTATCGTTTTCGCATGCTTGATGACTTGTGTTGCTATCTTTTTGATTGTAAGTGATTGTACAGAGCGGCTTATGGTAATTTGTTGTGCTTCGCTTCTCACATAGCTTCCTAGATTGAGTCGGCTCAGAAGCTCGCGTCTGGTGGCCATGAACCCAATCTTGATTACAGATCGATTGCCTTTGTCGCCACGGCATTAGGTACGTCATAAACGATAATGTCCTGGTTTCAGCTCCGTGTGCTCGGTATCTCACATTTCCTTTATTCATTGACAGGTACCAAGTTCGTCCTTTACTTATACTGCAGAACCCTTGCTACACATCAATCGGCTCGTGTCTTGGCACAAGACCATCGCAACGATCTTCTCGTCAACTCTTTAGGTCTCCTCACCGGTATCTTGGGTTCAAAGCTTGCTGGTTGGGTAGATCCTGTTGGATGTATTCTCATTGCCTTGATCATCATGCGAAGTTGGATCTCAACGTTGATAGGTAAGTAACATGAAGTTCAGGGCATTGCATATCTTGATATCAGCTCCTGCTAACTCGTAACGATTCTAGAAAACATCCAACTTATCGTTGGCAAAAGCGCTGATGTTGCTTTCCTTCAACGCGCTACATACATTGCTTTGACTCATCCTGGCGTCACTGCTGTCGACACTTGTCGTGCATACTATGCTGGCAACAACCTGTTTGTTGAAGTGGACATTGTGCTCCCTCCTGAGATGCCTCTACGAGAAACCCATGACATTGGTGAAGCGTTGCAGATCAAACTTGAAAGTCTTCCCAGTGTCGAACGTGCATTCGTGCATGTCGATTATGAAGTTAGCCATAAGCCCGAGCATTCCAAAAATGTATAGGTTAAGCCATGTGTGCTGTAGGAGGCAGACGATATATCATTGAAGTGCGATTAATTCGGTGCGTAAAGAAGGCTTAATATAATTACATAGCAATAAAAACATTTGCGAAGCTACATATTCGCAAGATTGCACAGGACGTTTACTCGTCCATTACGTATATAACATCTGAAATCATTGGCATAGCTGGAGGCGAAGGTTTCGTAATGTATTAACTGTATTTATAAAATTTAAGAAATAGATTGAGCCAACTAGCTGAATAAATACTGGTAGAGAGAGTGTTCTCTGCCGATCATTTAAGAGAACAAATTTTGAATGAAGGAACGACACTGTGTATTCTGTAAGGTATCGTAGTCGTTCCTATCTAGACGTTACTTGCATAAACATGAGCCTGAAGTAATAAGGAGAGGTTTACATGAGAATGCAGCAGCAGCCACCGGAGCTGCGATGTTCTTCTACTTCGAATTGTTGACCGCCGTAGCCATTTCCGTTTCCATTAGCACCGGGTGCTCCACGGCCGCCATCCATTTCCTTGTTGAAACGTCGGATATCGCGAACAACGTTAGCGAAAGCTTCATCGACATTGATTCTTTGTTTTGCAGATGTTTCGATGAACGCACAGCCGAAACTCTTTGCGAGATCACGACCCTCTGATAATAAAAAAATATACCACCGTTAGTAAAAGTGGTTGGTCCAAGATAGGCCATCTCGGTATGGACCGAAGCTAAATTCGAGGTCTCAAATTACCTTGGCTAGAAACCTGGCGATCATGCTCTAAATCACATTTGTTTGCCACCAAGACCATAGGGAAGAAGTCGCGGTCCTTCACTCGTCGAATTTGCTGGTAGAAGGTGTTGATTTCATCAAAACTGAGGCGACTGGTTATGCTATAGACCAAGAGAAAACCTTCGCCGTTTCTCATGTACTGCTCACGCATAGCACTATATCAAACATAATTAGCTGAGGTTAAAGGTTATGTTCATCACAGCAGAACCATGCTTACCTGTATTCTTCTTGACCGGCTGTATCCAACACGTCCAAAAGAGCGGTTTCATTGTCTATAACGCACTGCTTGCGATAGGAATCTGGGTAATTTAGAAAGACGACGATAAGCAGCTGTAATATTTCCTAACATGGCCATACAGAATGTGGTAACTGACCTTCAATGGTGGGATCATATTCATCAACGAAATGGGACTGAATGAATTGAATGGTCAAGGCAGACTTTCCGACACCTACAATAAAGAGAAAGGTCAATGAACGGATTGAAGCGTGTTAGGTATGGTGGCAAGTAGGGGTGCGGATTTGAGGGGGGTACGCTTCCATCATAGATGGCTATTGCAGCCATCTGCAAAACTACTAATTCTCTGCAATGGTGCCCTAAATCGTTTATAGCTTCGGGCATATAGCACGAGAGGATGCAAGATATAACAAATACTGACCTCCTCCACCGACGGCTACTATTTTGTACCTGAAATGCAAAAAAAAAAAAAAAAGTTTCTCGGTCAGTGCCAGTCATGGTCATTAAGTACGATGGCTCAATTGATACTTACTCTCTCAAGAATGAAGATTTGCTCATGTCGTTTTAGGTGATTCTAAGGATTGAGATGGGATTGAAGGGAAATGAGGGACTGATGAGAAAAATGAGAGTCAAGAGATGAATGTTGATGGACCCAAAAACCAAATTTTCGATGATTGGTTGCACAACGCCTGTACAACCAGCCAAACCAGCGACCAAAAAAAAGCAGTACAAGTCTTTGTCGATATCTCGGCTCAGTGCATCTTTTTGCAAGTAGTGGCCAAAAAAAAAAAAATCCCGGCTGTAGGCCATCTGATTTCGTCGCAACCGAGGCATCCAAGGAGCCAAAGTTGAAAAAGGCATCACAAGTTGATAAAGATGGACTGGAATGAAATCAAAGCATGTTGCGTATCAAGGTGACAAGCTCACAGGATCTTCGCAAGTCACCTGAATAGAAGTAAGATTCGAACAGAACAAAAAATGTGAAGCAATACCGGGTTGTACAATCCTTCAAGTGTCATCCTTGCATCATCCAAAAGATATTGCTCGGCTGACTGAAGAGAGACGCTCGGACGGTTCAAGGACCCTGAATTGGAAATCCCGAAGTCTCAAGGTCATTGGCAGAGCGTCAGTGGTATGGTTTAAGGCTCATGACTAGTTCGTCATTCTTTCGAAGCCTCCTTCGGATGTTCGAGTCCGTATCTTATCATATACGCTGTATTTATCCATTTTCTATGCTTGATGTCAAGTCGCCTAAGCGAAGTCCTAGTCCGTATGACGATAGTGAAGTGAACAATCTCCAAACCCACATGCGCCCAAAGGAACAAATGAAATAGTAATTAGCTACACGTGCATACGTGTCAGCTCAAGCCTATTCATGCCCTTGCTGCGGGAAGGAAAAAAAAAGCCGTCAGTTGACATCTGGGATACAGCGTTTGGGAGGAAACCTTCTATTTTGAGGCTGTCATCTTGTGGCCTATTAATTGGATGGGCTTTTGTGTTCATTGATACTCCCGGATATTGACCGTATTGGTCATGTCAGATGGCCTTACCCACTGGATGAAGCAGCAATTCCATGTGCTCCAATGTACAAATTAGACGTTTTGATAAGCACCAATCAAGCTTATTGGTGTAGCTTTGTGATACCTCCTCCCAAATACCATCATTACGGGCTTTTTTTTTTTTTTTTAATAAATACCCTTTGTCTACCTTTGTCCATTGGAATTTCTCATTTGCTCTATCGCAAATTTCAACATTTCTTCATTCCAACAAAGCCTGTTTGGTCAGCGCTTACATCCTACCTCGCCTGTATCGTTTTGTCCTGTTTGGAGCTTCGCCCATTAGCAACACTCTACTTGACAACTTTCAACCCCACACAGCTGCTTCTTTCAATATCAATGCAACGTGCTGTTCATCTCGCCTATACTGATCATCGAATACAATGGATACAATACCGCCGCCCTACGTGTGTGCTAGAAGTCCTGAGGCATTGACTTGTAAGTTTAGAAAAGCAAATACAAATGTCTTCATTAAAAACCCTGACTATGCAAAACTCAACTTTTTAACCATTTTTAATTTTTACAATGCCTGGTAAACAGCCTTCACCACATCTACTGCAAATTCTCTATTGCCTTGCTCGAAGCAAAAGCGCCTTTCTCATATCGGTCGACTCCCTAGCCTTGGAAAGTTCATCGACAATGTGTTTTCTAGTTGCCAACTACCAGCCCCAGTATGTTTGGTGACCTTAATATACCTACAACGACTTAAAACTCGATTACCAAAATGCGCCCGTGGCGATTTCGATACCCCCTACAGACTTTTCTTAGCCGCAGTGTTGGCCAGTTCCAAATACATGTGCGAAAGCGGAACCGAGTTGACCTCTCATCAAATCAGCGTCGCCACTGAAGGCATTTACTGTGCCCGAGATATCAACATTATGGAACGAAGCTTTCTTGGACTGATGTCTTATGACTTATGGGTTCATCCTCATGAGATAACTGAATTCATTGCTCTTTATGGCGACGTTTTGGAGATGGAGATGGTGAAAGAACTAGCATTAGTCTAGTGACTTTAGTAATACCCCCCGCTCAACCTCACTACGCGCGACTTTTTTTGTACATATCGCCTTATGATATATTTTTTTTCCCTCTGTATACTTTCTCATGTATTAAGATAACCTTTTTTTATCCGCATTATGCAAAATCCTATCCTAACCTATCTTTACGAACTACAATAATAAGAATTAGACAGCCCTTGTTTACCTATCTTTCAAAGTAATCAATCCAATTTCCTTAATCAACAAAAATTGCCAGTATGGTCGTATCAAATGCTGAGCAATCAGATTGATTGGGTAACCCCTATCAACACGTCCGGTGATTGGTGCCTGCTTGTATTGGACATGACCAGTTTCAATACAACCAAGTACTGACGATACTGCATAAAATTACACCCCCAGAGGTTGTCTGATGCACAGTTGACAGCTGAATTTCGTATATATAAAAAATAACTCGTCAATCACGTTACAGATAACATCATAAAAGACCCACCCCTCTAGACATTCTAAATGTTCGTCATTATATCTCTACATGCTGCAAAAGGCCATATCTAAATGGAAAGAACGGAATTACTTCTGTTGGCATTAAGATAGTGCTTAAATCTCAGCTCCAAAAACTCCCTTCAACAGGTCAGCAATACCCTATGTTTTTCTTTTTCTTGGCCTGCTTGCTGTTGCTTTTCAGATTAAAAACTTTTTATGTATATGTACACAAAACATAGATCCCTCTGAGCTTATCCCATTCCATTCTATTCTAGATGAAATAAATAATTACATCCAAAATTCCTGTGTCCTCTCATTACTAACCGTCCCAATGGGTGAGTCCCTGTCAAAGCCAAAATAAAGATATAGAACAAAAAGGGATCAATGGAACATGCTTATTTCAGAATAAGGGTGGTTTGGTGATGACCATAGTTGATCACTTTTTTTAGCTATACAGGTTTAGCTCACCTGTACGTTGACAATTTTAAAATTACTTCTATCAAGTTGGCCGGTATGACCGTAATAGGCGAGATGATCGACAACGAGATGAACAAAACCAGGAACACCACCGCCTTCTCCGTTAATCGGAATTATCCATGTTGGGAACGTTCGTATGGTTTCGCTGCCACTTTGTATCACCATCATGCAAAGCATAAGGGAACGCTGCTTTCGATCGGTCTGAACCCCATGGTTTCTTTCCACACGATGTTGAATATAAAAAACCGATCGACGATCGTGCCTTTTGCTTAATTGCCTGTATTGGAGCTCCCGGGATGACTCGTATTCTCTTTCTGGGACATACCCGTCCTCGAAACCCTTGGGTTTCTTAAACACACAACAACAACACTAACAACAACACTTACTTCACGCTTTCACGGACAGGATTAATATGGTAGACCCGGCGAGCCCTCCCACATGAAAGAAAAAGGAGCCCCCCCCATACCAAAGTGCATACTCTAACATAATGCCTGTTTGGGTGTCACTTTAACATCAACGACGTCAAATATTTCGATTCAATATGCTCTAATGATGGGGGGGGGAATGACCTAGTGCAGGATTTTCGATTGAACCAGAGCCAAGATAACGAGTGACCTTGCTAACGTTGGTCTGGGCTAAGGCAGGCCGTTTGGGATTGCCCTCCCCTCCACCCATTTAGCAACCCCGCGCCTCCTGACAACATGACAAAAGTAAGGTTGTTTGTTATCTTTGTAAACCATTTTTGTGCCAACATGCGAAATGCGCCTATCAAATTTACCTATGGTGGTGCGCGCATACGAAAAGTTTATATATAACCCACCCTTTTTTCCTTCCAACCTAGCCACTCCCATTATTATCATTATTCACCATGCTCTGTACTGCTACACCTAATAACACTCCACAATATTACTCTCCACCCGCGTCGCCTACCCTTCCACAACGACTCCCCCAGGGTTTAACTGGTAATTATTACTCATTTTCACCCACACCAAAATGGGGATCCTTTTTTAACTCACCCATTTTCTACAGACTTTTTTGCTCAAATAATATGTGATATTCTGCCAACGCCGTCCTCGCTACAATCTAAATCTTCTATCGTCTCATTACCCGAATTGCTCTTCTTTATCGAAAAAGTAACTCACCGTGCTGGTGTGTCGTGCAAAGTCATCGTCTACGCCATGATCTATCTTGAGAGAGCAAAAGAAGCTCTCCCTAAAGGCGCTGTCGGCAACTATGGCACCACGCATCGTTTATTCCTTGCTTCCTTGTTACTGGCCTCTAAATTCCTTGAGGCGGATGCCGATGATAACATGTTCACTCAACTGCCTCGCCTCAATGGCAAGCGTTTAACGGACCTCTGTGGTGGCATTTATACCCTGCGGGACATCAATACCTTTGAGTCCTCGTTTCTTAAGCTTATCAAGTATCGTTGCTGGGTCGACGAACATGACGTTGAAAATTTCCTGCGAAAAAACAGCGTTCAACTTCATTTTTATTGAGGTCGTTCTTTTAGCATATTCATTTCACACACACATTCATTTGTACATACCATCCTGTGTAGTTTAGTTAGCTACTGCTTTTTATTTTTGGTCTTCCATTTACCCAGCCATTGTACGCATTTTGCCCACCTTTTTGGTCTTAACATTTTTGATAATAAGAAATACAACGAGTTGATCTCTGCTTGATACCTTATCATACACCCACCGTCTGCTTTTTTTTTATACCCAATTTTTCATATCGCGCAAATGGGCCAACGCAGTGTGTTCCAATGAGCGTCGAATAGCCTATCAGCACGCACACGGCGGCACATTAAAATAAAAAAGCCAAATTCATTGACCCAACTACACGTTTTTTTCCACACTCTCTCATCCACCGATCAAGAAATCATGAAGTTGTCTTCTCTGTTCACAGTAGCTATCTCCTGCCTGGCGCTTGGCGTTTCTGTCGAAGCCCTTAAAGAGCCACCAACCACTCTCCAGATCGGTAAGTAAAGAAACTGAGTGATTGCTTCAATTAGCCTCAGTAACTGATGTCGGCCGCGGCTCTCAGGAATCAAGAAGAAAATCCCAGACGCGGAATGCACAACCCGTACGAAGACAGGGTATGTTTAGTTCATTGAAACGGACAGTGTTTGAAGAGGACTGTGGGCTAATGTTTTAATGGACAGTGACAAAGTGTCCATGCACTATACGGGCACTCTCTTTGAGACTGGCGAGAAATTCGATAGTAGCTTGGATCGTGACGACCCTCTGACGTTTGTCTTGGGTACCGGTAGAGTCATCCAAGGTTGGGATCGAGGTTTGCAAAAGTAAGTACCAGACCTGTCCGCTATTCAAGTCGTTGTTCTAAATCTAATGGCCGTGTTATAGCATGTGCGTAGGCGAAAAGCGAAAACTCGTTATCCCGCCTAATCTTGGTAAGTCGCATACTACCTATCTACCCATGCTAGTGTTGTTTAGTGACCCTTCTTCTAGCTTATGGAGACCGCGGTGCCCCAGGAGCCATCCCCCCTGGTGCCACTCTTGTGTTTGAGGTTGAACTCGTTGCCAATGACCCTGCACCAGACGTCAAGCCTTCCAACCCACAAGCTACCGACTCTAAGCAGGAGAAGGTAGCTGAAAAGCCTAAAACTGCCCAAGACGTTATGCAGTAAGTATAGCATCATAGATGGAATGATCCAGTATACCATGCCTAACTTCTATCTCATTAGATCACCATTGTTTATTGGTTCTACCGTCGGTATGATCGTCTTGTTCATCGTCATGTTCTACCGTGCCACCATTGCTGAGCGAAAGTGGGCAGAAGAAGAAGAGGTTAAGCGTAAAGAAAGACTTGCTGCCAAGAAGGCGGGTGCCTCTTCCAAGACAGACTAGTGGGGGTCAGCATAGCGTGAAAATTTTACTCTTTCCATCATTTCAACGGTGGATTACATCTGGTGTTTCTTGGGACTTTTTTTTGGCGGCCTCTTACGATCTTACTGCCAAACATCCTGACCTCACGAGGACACGTTTCGAGCAAGATTGCTCATAAAAGGAGAAAATAAAAAAAAATACTCCCAAAAACTTCACTATGAACAAGAGTTTATTATAACAAAAAGGTTGTGTGAAAAGTAGATATTGAAAGCAAGCAAAAATGAGAAGGTAGAGGTGAGAAAGAAAAAAGACAAGAGATCACGAATAGATCTCAATAATAGCTAACATGGCGCCGGAATTACTGGTTCTGGGGAGCAGGAGCTGGGGCAGAGGCAGTAGCGGTAGCGGTATTGGCCGTTGCTGTACCAGCTTCTTCCTTTTGGTGATGCTTTCCGGTGACTTTGTCGAATCCGGACTTGAGCGATTCAGTGAAGCTGCCATGGCTCTTTGGAGCGGAACTGGGAACTTGATCGTCGTCGTAATCGCCGACCTTGAACAATCCCTGTCCAAGGGGATGCTTCTCAGAGCTTTTTCCGTATGGTTGTTTGAGGTTTCCTACGTCCATTATTGTATATTGGAGAGAGAAGGAAGAGAGTGAGAAATGGTGACCTCAGGTTTTTATGGTACTGGCTGATTTGAGCCAAGCTCTGGCTGTTTCGGAGATCGGCACGCATGACGAAATCTTCCCTGCCCCCAACTTTGGATTTCCCCTCACAAGCCTAGCCCAATGACGGTACCAAAAAAAATAATATTTTATATATTACATTGCCACTTCATAGATTATATAAGGCCATATCATTCTGCTGATGATGACATTTAGAAGGGGCTGGGAGTAAGTCTGAGGTAAGGCTTAACGACCTTGACACCCTTGGGGAACAACTTCTCAGCTTCCTCAGTGGAAACGCTGGGGTGGACAATAACATCATCACCCTTCTTCCAGTTACCGGGAGTGGTGATGCGGTGCTTGTCACCGAGTTGAAGAGAGTCAACAACGCGAAGGATTTCGTCGAAGTTACGGCCAGTGGAGGCGGGGTAGGTCAAAATAAGACGGATGCTCTTCTTGGGGTCAATGATGAAGACAGAGCGGACAGTGAAGGGAATACCCTTTCCGTCAACGTTGGTAATATCCTTTGAATGGCAAGATCAGATGTTGGTTAGCACCGATCATACTACAAGTTCTTGTCAAAAGCCAATAATCTTACCTGATAATCCAACATGTCGTACAAGGCAGAGATTTCACGCTTGGGGTCAGCAATGATGGGGAACTTGAGATCGACATTGTTAACCTCGTTGATGTCAGCAATCCACTTCTCGTGGGATTCCAACTCGTTGGCAGAGAGACCAATGACCTTGACGTTGCGAGCATCGAAGTCTTCCTGGAGAGCAGCAACGAGACCGAGCTCAGTGGTGCAGACAGGGGCTGTTTACGAGGAAAACATCGTGATCAGTCATTTTTCAGCCTTTTGCCTCGAGCCACGCGTTCTACTTACTGAAGTCAGCAGGGTGAGAGAAGAGGATAACCCAGTTGTCACCGATGAAATCATGGAACTTGATGGGACCCTTAGTGGTCTGGGCTTCGAAGTCTATTTACCCCACAACGGTTAATGAATAAGAGACACCATACTATGTCAGATTCATCACTTTTGACTTACCGGGAGCAGTGGTACCGAGTCTGAGGGAAGGCATGTTGTGTTATGAGAGAGAAACTAGGGAACGTTTAGAGTAGAATGTCACTTGCGTTTTATGTGTTCCCTAAAGATTCGACACAACAGCAGTCCGGTCGCGCCATAGTGTCTGGCGACAAATTGATTGGACAATCTTGCAACAAGCATATTGCGCAATCGGCCTGGCGTGGCTGTTGGCTCGCCCACACACATTTGTGTAAGTGTACAATCCAACACTTGAATGGCAAAGCCTATTTTCATGTCGTGTTCTCTCGGGAAAATGGCGTTATTTGCTATCTTTATTATATAGATACCATCGCTACATTGGATCCATCGTACCATCTCATACCTTACCATAAAGATAACATTCTATGACTGGCTGGGGGTAAGCGTGAACGTTAGAAAAAGGCGGGAAAGTGTATTACGAATCACAGTTTCGGTGGGATAGATGCTACATGACAAATTCATGAAACCCCTCCTGTTGGCCATTGATTCACTGTGAAATGACTGGTATATTTTTTAAAAAATAAAAAATATGCGGCAACCACGGTTGAAGTCTCTCCAGCTTCTTACACACTGGCACTTGTGACACTCTGGTTGACACATCACGCATCGTATCGCTCCTTAAACAGTGGAGAGCCTATGGGCTGCCTTCCAATCGCCTATTTCTAGACTTGAGATCTGAATCTGCCTACCATGCTCACCGCATCTTACCGTCAACCAATATCCCTATGCCTGGTCTGGAGTACCGATGCTCTGAACTTCCTGCAAAGCAATGGCCATTTGCCATCATGGAACCGCTAGATCACCGTGGAACCGCAAGTCAGTGGCTGACCGACCGAGGTTGGAACTGCCGCTGGATATTTTGGGAAGGAGATTTTATACACAATGCCGAATTATGGAATGACCTCCAGACTCTCGGTCTAGCAGAACACAATGCTTCCAATCAATCGTGGCTGTTATTCACTCCTTGTCCTATTCTGGAGACGAGTATCGACCTTGTTGAAACCGAGCTGCGCAAATTGTATCGCGAACCTCTTTCATGTTTGGATATTGGTTGTGGTAGCGGTAGGGATTTGGCTTGGCTGTTGGCTCGCAAGACAGACGCCAACGTTCCGATGTGGCAAGCAGTGGCCATTGATTCGAGTGAGGGAGCAGTTCAACGGACCAGAATCATTTGCAAAAACATGGCTATGGCGAATCAACTCATCAGTGGTATCAACGCTAAGGTCTTAGTAAATGGTGATTGGAGGTTGGTGGAGAAAGGGAACCCCGGCTTGGCCGTCAAGGATGGGCAAATGGAAAGACTAATGCCTGGCTATCCTACATTACAATTCTTCACCCAAGAAATTCAGCGATTGCTCAACCATAATATTCCTCCTCAGTATGATATGATCATCACCATTCGATTCTTGGTGCGTTCCATCTTACCCCAATTACCACAGCTATTAAAACCCGGTGGGTTCTTGATCATTTCGCACTTTGTCGACCATGAAGACTATACGTACGATCAGCCTAGACCGGAACATCGGCTTCAGGTTAACGAACTGGCGAATTTATATGGGTCGATGCCAGGTATTAGCATCATTGTAGATAAATTAGAACACGTAGAGGACGGTCGACCTGTCAATTCCTTTATCATCCGAAAAGACAGGGGGGTTTGACAAGCTGTGAATAAAAAAAAAGAGACTTTTTTAATTTGCCGAGTCCGGAAATTTGGATTTCAAGGAACCAACTTCCCCACATGTGGCTCAAAACAATGCATGCCAGCCGACCCAATTGCTTTCTATCATTGACTGTCTCGTTATCCTCACTTGACGTACTTAACGATGATGATCACTTCTCTGTCTACCTGTTCCATACTGGTAAGACACGCCGGACCTAACCGAGGTTTGAAAATTTTGACGCTTTGGGGATCTTTCTTTCTCCTCCACTGACATCATAATCAGCTGTAGAAATTTTCTTTAACTAGATTCTTTTGCTAACCACTTGCAACTATACATCTTTCCTTCCAACCTTACAAAATGGACAAGCCTATCCTTTCACTATCAAACCCACCACCCACTTACTGGAGACAGTTTTCCTCCAGCGGTAGCTCCATCGTTGAAAAGCCTGCCATTCACCCAGTTGCAGTACCTAATACACCTATGACCCCTCTTATACTGGAAGACAAAGTCATAACAAGGACAGATTCCAGTTCCCAAGGTCTAGAAGCTCGTTACAGTCAGGCAGACTACTTTGGCACTCGTTCTCGCCATGCGCATTAACTAATGTTAACTGCCACCACGACTACTACCCACACCTTAATACTGTAAATTTAATTATGCCTCAATAATAGACCCATTCACCTATCATAGCCGGTTCTGATTTCACATAGAAAATAAATGAAGCGGTTGGGAAAACGGGGCAATCTGCTTTCCTCTTGAATATCATTTGGTTCATGGGCGTCCTTCGCACTTTGTAGTGCAAATTTTATACTTTGCGGGGTTGAATTTGCTATATCATTCGACCGCCAAGGTGCCCTTGTCAAGTCACATCACGAAGTGGTCATACCCGCAAAGCGTATTTCTACTTTTACTTTATATGCTCTAGTTTGAGAATACGGTAAAAACTGCAGTGCTAATAAAACAGTAAGCTAGGACACGGTAGTCGCTAGCTTTGCTACCCACATTATATGGTCTGATGCTCCGTCCGTAGTATCGCACTTTCTGGCCACCTATTCTACCAGGTGTATTTGATGGACCGACCTCACAGATCAAGGTTTGCCCAGTGGTCCACAATGTGGTGTGATTCACAAGGGCGTAGCACGTCGATTTGCTCGATGGCCGCATATAACGCTGTCCGCTGGAACTCGACTTGACAAGCTACACCAGTGGGCTAAGCGCACGGTCTCTATCTGCATTGAAGGTGCTCAATATAATTGCCACACTTATTGTTTTGGTTGATATACACTGCTTTTTGAACAACTGTGGCGCATATTAGGAATCCGTTACCAAAAATCTCTTCAGCCACTGAAGGCAACTCTCGGACAACGAATAAATATCTGACACGTATTTGTTGAGCGACGGCCGTCTACTTAGACAATAATGTGTAACTTGTTTACGCACAAGTACGTACCATCCTATCCGCCATTAACCTTGATGAAATGGCATGATTTTAGAATGTCTTTCTAAGCTCAGTATGCACGGCAACGGTAAAGTGAAACCGAGGTTAGTAAGCTGTCTGCGCAGAAGGCCATGTTTATGCAGTGCACAGTTGGCAACGGTAGATTTTCCTTACTAATCAGTTGCCTTCCATAGATATGCCTTCAACAAAGGCAGTAAATGCTGACGCGTACAACTGACTTTTGGCTTACAATGCGGACTGTGTATGACCCCGGCCGGGTTAAATTTTTCCGTCATTGCCAGCATTAAGGACAAGCAGTTTGGCAAGTGCTGAGGTCTGTCTACCTGACCGCTGGGCTGCCCTGCAGAGCAGGAATAACAAAAATTGGGAACTTCCTTATTGTGCATGGTAAGGACGGATAAAATTCGACCGCTCTCTAATTGACTTCCCGCCTTTGTCAACTCAAGTTTTCTTGATATAAAAGAACCGCAAATGGATCGACTTTAGCAGCCCATCATCAATAAAAACAATCACCCATCCTACCCTTGGATCAAATCAAATGTCTAAAGTTTATGTCATCGGAGCTACCGGAGGTGTTGGCAATCAGTTGGTCAAGATATTGTTAAGCAGAGGTGTTCAGACCACCGTTTTGGTTCGTGATCCTTCCAAGGCAGCTGGATTGTTCGGTGAATCTGAGCTTTTGACGGTCATTCAAGGCGACTACAATGACAACGACACCTTCAAGCAATCCATTGTCGGACATGAGAGACTTTTCATCCTTGTCACTGATTTCGTCAATATGCCTGCCATCAAGATCAACTATGCTAAGTTGGCTTATGCTGCTGGCGTCAAGCAGATTGTCCATCTCTCCTCTGGATCTGTCAGTGGTCCCTGGAGACAAAGCCATATTGCCACTGCTCACTATCGCTCTGAGTCTGCAATCTTCGACCTTCCCGAGAGAGGCTCCTACGTCGCTTTGCGTCCCACTTCATTCTTCTCCAACCATTTCTTTGGCGACAACATGACCATCAAATACAAGAACAGCATCTTTGGATCAGCAGATCCTGATACCAAGATTCCATGGATCTCACCTACTGATATTGCTGAGCTCGCCGCCAACGTCCTTACTGAACCTACTGAGAAGCATGGCGATATGGTGTACGACATGACTACTTTTAAGTTGTCTGGTAAGGAAAGAGCTGAGCTTCTCTCTCGTGTGCTTGGAAAGGAGATCAACTATGTTCAAATCCCCGTCGAAGCCGAATACGAAGTATGGTCTGAAAAGGCCCATATGCCTCATATTCTAGCGTACGCTTTTGCCGATGCTGATTATAGTCATTTCAACGTCAACCGCGCACTTTCTATCGTCTTGCACCGCCAACCTGAAACGCTAGAAGCATGGGTAGAGATCAACAAGGACAAGTTCTAGTTTACAGAGGCATTTTTTTATATACCTTAAGTTTTTATTCATCAGTATATTGGAAATAAAGTTATTAAATGATTGATAACGACTGCGGAAGAGGCATGAGGAAATTGTGACCGCCTATCGAACATCGAACATATTTATCGCGTTTTTCTATTTTGTTCCCAAAAATTGTCCCATTGCTCCGGAAAGGCTCCCCTACCTATGGCATGGAATGCAAATATAATTGAAGTCACATCCTACGACTAAACGACGTAGTGGAAGGGCAAACGCTTAACCCTCGAGCATCAACAAGGATACCCTACAGCATACTCAGTGTGATAGGTGACTCAGAATTCTTCTTCTTACCCCACAATGTATGCTTACGCTCTTCTTAGTACACAGTGGTAAAGCTCATAGTAAGAAGGCTGCGGTCACGCGTGCATCCAAATTATTTTTTTTGCACAGTGCAGCTAATACGGTTATATTTATTGTGTACAAAGCTCGCAATCTCAATATAATATGTCAACAAAACGCACTCAGCCACGACCTCGAGCCAATTAGTAGACAAGCCTACTCTTCATCCACAACGCAATGGTGATAGTACCCACACTAACCGCCTAAACTCTACCGGGCTCTATCTTCTACAGTCTATTGCTCACAAGTAGAAGCAAACTTCACATTATCAATGCTGTTCAGAACGACCTGCAATAGTGCTCTACCCAGTCTGACCGCTAAACCGCTCCCCATGTCTACCTTGAAAAGTCTGTCAACTCAAAGCTAAGCGTTTATCACACAATGGCAAATTTGAGAGAAATAGAATCGGACCCGAAATGCGCCCTGACCGGATAAATTTCGTCCGTACTTTATGGTCCAAGTCACTCGGTACAACATCTTAAATTTTGCTATAAAAGAGGACCACGGTTGAGACTTATTTAAGCCGAACATCAAAATATCTCGCCCCTCTTTCAATCTTGGCCAATATCTTATATAAATGTCTAAAGTCTACGTTATTGGAGCTACCGGAGGAATCGGCAACCAGCTGGTTAAGACGTTATTGAGCCGAGGTGTCCAAACCACCATATTGGTTCGTGATCCTTCCAAGGCAGCCGGACTGTTTGGCGAATCTGAAAACTTGACGGTTGTTCAAGGTGACTATGCTGACGACGCGGCCTTCAAGCAATCAATTGTCGGACACGAGAGACTTTTCCTCCTTGTCCAGGATTTCAAAAATATGCCAGCCATCAAGCGCAACTTTGCACAGATTGCATATGCTGCAGGTGCCAAGCAGGTTGTCGATATCTCATCTGGATCTGTCAGCAGCCCCTGGAGACAGCATCAAATTGCTACTTCTCACTATTGTAGCGAGGAAGCCATCTTCAATCTTCCCAACAGAGGTTCCTATGTCGCTTTGCGTCCTACTCAGTTCTTCTCCAACCATTTCTTTGGTGACCATCAGACCATCAAATTTAAGAGTGCTATCTTCGGCTCAGCCAAGCCCGATTCCACAGTGCCATGGATCTCACCTACAGATATTGCCGAGCTTGCTGCCAACGTTTTGACAGAACCTATTGAAAAGCATGGTGATATGGTGTATAGCATGACTAGTGAGGTGCTGTCTGGTAACGACAGAGCTCAAATTCTCTCTCGAGTTCTAGGAAAAGACGTCAAATACCTCCAGATTTCCGCCGAAGAACAATACAAGGCATATGTTGAACGCGCCCATTTTCCTCACAGCGTAGCTTATGGGTTTGTCGACGCTGGTGAGAGTAACTTTCAGATTAGCCCTGCTCTTTCCATCGTCCTCCATCGCCCTCCTCAATCATTGGAAGCTTGGTTGGAGCTCAACAAGGATAAGTTTTAACTTGGAAGAAGGTGGAGCATATTTATGTAATATAGCATGACGTTACCCTTCACAATATACTAGAAAATTGTATTTACATATGTACTGTTTGTTTGAAAGATTGGAAGTTCCAGAGTGCATTACAATGAGCGTGGATATGGGTGGTCTGAAAAGAAAACATAACCTTTATCTTTGTCAATTTGCTTAAATCCATGTATTGTCACTGATAGATCTACCAGTACGAAAGTCTCGCAGTTGCAGGATCGAAATTGGAATAGGCCTCAAGCGGATAAATTTTATCCGTTCTGTTGTTGGAATGAGGCACTTGATGCAACCTGCTCAAACTTGCTATAAAAAAACCCCAAAGACAAATATTTCGTGCGCAAACATACAAAAAAAGTTTACTCTTCCAACCCTGGTCAATAGCATTTCAAATGTCTAAAGTTTACGTTATTGGAGCTACCGGAGGAATCGGCAATCAGCTGGTGAAGATATTGTTAAGCAGAGGTGTCCTAACCACCGTATTGGTTCGTGATCCTTCCAAGGCAGCCGGACTGTTTGGTGAATCTGAAAACCTGACGGTTGTCCAAGGCGATTATGCTGACAACGAGGCCTTCAAGCAATCCATTGTCGGACACGAGAGGCTTTTCCTCCTTGTCCGGGATTTTTACAGTATGGCAGCCATCAAGCGCAACTTTGCCCAAATTGCATATGCGTCTGGCGTTAAGCAGATTGTCGATGTCTCCTCCGGAACCGTTAACGGTGCCTGGAGAGAGCATCATATTTCTACCATGCACTACGCTTCCGAAGAAGCCATCTTCAACCTCCCCGACAGAGGCTCCTATGTCACTTTGCGTCCTACTCAGTTCTTCTCCAACCATTTCTTCGCTGACCATCAGACCGTCAAATTCAAAAATGCTATCTTCGGCTCAGCCAATCCCAATTCCAGAGTGCCATGGATCTCACCTACAGATATTGCCGAGCTTGCTGCCAACGTTTTGACTGAGCCTATTGAAAAGCATGGTGATATGGTGTATCACATGACCAGTGAGGTGCTGTCTGGTAACGACAGAGCTAAGATTCTCTCTCGAGTTCTAGGAAAGGACGTCAAATACGTCCAGATCTCCGCCGAAGAACAATACAAGGCATACGTTGAACACGTTCATGTACCTCACAGCGTAGCGTACGGATTTGTTGATGCTAGTCTGAAAGACTTTGAGGTCAACCATGCACTTTCCATCGTCCTTCATCGCCCCCCTCAATCACTGGAACCTTGGTTGGAACTCAACAAGGATAAGTTTTAACATGGAAAAAAAAATAACAACGTATCTAAGTAGTATGACTTGAATTTCATGAAAATGTCTCGAAGACTGAGCAAAAAAGCTGTGCATCACAAAGAGCTTGAAATTGAGTGGTTTGAGAAAAATAAAAAATTTAAGAACTTCATCTTTTAGCAAATTGCTTAAATCCATTTTTTATCACTTGCAGATTTTATCTTCTTCAATCGAACATGGTTATACATGATAGAATTGATGACATCTAAGTGATCTGACAGCGAACCAGAAGTCGCTACCGCCAAACTCCAATGTGAATGGAGCAATAGCTTAAACGGACAAAGCTGGCCCTACCTATCAGCGGCATAGGAAGATGCTTATGTGTTCGGCGACAGCACAGTGAGCCAAGTAACTAGGTCAATTTCGTAGACGGCCCTTTAGCCATTGACAGTTCCTCGGGACAGAAATATCTCTGATTCTTCCTACGAGTCTAGAAAAGGATATCGAATATGTCCAGATCCTTCTTCCAGAAGAACATAAGGCATACATTTAAAAATCTTACATGCCTCGCAGTTTGGTATATGAATTTCTCGATGATAGTAACACCGGCGATACTATAAACACCGTACTTTCCATTGTCGCCCACCGATTTCTACAGTCATTAGAAGCTTGCTTGGAGTTCAACAATGTCAAAGCTGTTTTAGACAAAATCCCTTCGCTGCACTGGATTGAACACTTAGTCAGTCAGTATATTTTTGGACTTCTCATCAATATATCGCATATGACATCAATAAATACAATTTTAGAAGAAGAGTTGGGGTTTTTCTTATTTCCAAAAGGTCCTTTCAAAACAAGGTATATTTATCGTTTGTTTGAACTATACTTATTCATTTAATACGCATAATGGAAAATATAGCAAGCAAAAAAATCTGGGGAGAATCCAAAGATGAACTCTCGACCTTCACTCCACCAACAAAAAACGTGAACAGTGGACTTATTGTGGCCGGACCAGTAGAGCCGTTTTATTGCCCCATATGCTCGTGCCTTATGTCTACAAAAGTAAACAGCCATGGATGAGAACTTTGAGCTATGTATTCGCTCTGATTCAGCCTAAACACCAGAGAATTCAACGCCATACATAGATATATGACGGTAGCAACCTACTGGGCCAAACCTTCGGTCAGTCAGTAAGCGAATGTATTCGTCGTCTACAACAACGAACATGGCTGAATGAAAGTCCAGCATTTAATACGTAGTCGTATAGGAATCACTTTGGGCTGTGAAACAGGTTTCCACCCTTCGCAATTTGGACCTCCAGCCGCTACCGAACTTGCCAATAGCCTAGGCCAATTTGGCTCAGCCCATATGTACGGCTTGCAGCATATCGAGCCAAAGTTACTTCCTTCGAATTCTAGACTTTCTGCACAAGAACCCCCCCCAGCACTCTACTGATTGACATCGACTTCAACATATTGGAGCTCGACAACCCGGCATCTACAACAATTTAACCAGAGTCATCGCACGACTTCAATATCCTTTTCAAAGGCCAAGCGGTATTACTCAGATGAGGAGCGTTGGCTGCAGCAGTTTGTGTACGTGAAATACCTCACTTGATCAGATAAAAAATGTTGTACTTGTGGTCTGTTACATATGTGATAACTCATGTGTCCGCTACAACTTTGGATTTCAAATTGTGTGTGTGAGAAAGGCGTACATCCTCATGGATTGACCAAGATTTACAAAAATAGGGAGTGTGTACCAACACTATGGTTTCGCTTCAAGGTAGCGATGTTGCGAAGTCATTCACTGCAGCTTGTATGACTGTTTATCACGATAGAGTTCTGGTTTCCTCTTGAAGCGGTGTACGTTCACGATTTGAATGCCCTTAGCACTCCTTCTAATGTCCACAAAAGGAAAAGCGTGCAAAGGATACTCCGAGTACAAGTCGAAATATGTTCAAAACTGAAAACCAATCAAGATTTTTGATCAATGTAAAGACACCATGCAATTTACTGGTGGTGGTTTCTGCATGGAGTCCATGGCATTGAAGAAATAATCCATCTGTCAGCACACTTTACGATTAACACTCCTACTGTTCTAAAAATACGATCCATCGACCCGCTCTAGTGTCTCGGCCAGCAGTCTGCGAGTTAGTCGAGATTGAAGCATGCACGCCCACTTGCTATTTCTCTGTTGGAATTCCATTCAAGCTTAACAACCGTGGTGCTCAAAGAATACAATATAGCGAATGAAGAACGTTCACCCGGTGGAATGCCCACAATTGGACGCCTCAATGGCTTGCAGCATGACGCCAGCACATTGATGTGACACGAATGGACCGAGGCAACTCGCCAATATCTTCTCATTCATGAGTAAGGTGCGTTGAGTTATGAGTATGTGCATGCAACGTGATCATTATTCAGGTTCAGTAGTCGCAGTCATTCGCTTGTCGGTCTCCGTGTATACATTGGAATTCAAAGCAAGTTGAGAAAATTGTCTTGGCACGCAAGCTTTTGTCAGTGCCGACAATATCGGCTTGCTACCGTATGCCTCGATTTTTAATATTAGTGCCGTGACATTTCATTTTAATGTTATTGCGCTGTAACAAAATTTTGCATCCTAGCCTAGCTAGCAACTTGGAAAGTGATGGGTTGTGGCCAATTAAAAAAATTTAATTGACTTAGACTCTGATATTGATCTCATACTCTCATTTATCATCCTCCCTATAACACGAACAAAATAAACAGAAATAATTACACAAGCCATACATTAATTGCTTCCTATAGATCATCATTCTGTATCTTCCATTTAGTTATTTCACTTATCAACTGAATCTAACACACTGATTATCACAGACACACTACTGCCTTCTCTCCTATGAACGAAGATACGACCAGCTCATGATCACATACGTTCAAAGCAGAGCATATTCGTTTTCTAAAATGGCTAACCGACGGATAGCGCATTTGGATAAAAACCTCGAGCTGCCTAAAGTGTAGCGAAGGCTGTGTGTACGCCACTGGCAGCAAAAGGCACAATAAAGTTGCGCCACCTTTTTAGACATGGGTTGGCGGAGTGGAGCTCTTTGTACATTGACTCCTCCATACAACGGGACAAGGCAGCGAGTTCATCAAGTATATAAGACGACACGGATTGTGAGGTTTTTCAAGACTCATCAACAAACAACAACAACAACAACAAGTAACAATGGTCGTTCAACTCGGAGATACCTGCATCATTCCTTCCCCCAAGAAGTTCATGGGCGACAGACGCACTGTCCATTGGAGCCAAGACTGGGGTACGCAAAAGTCTGTCGACTTCTGCTTCATTCCCTTCACCTGCCCTAAGGATAGCTCTGGTGCTTTCTTGGCTGTTGAAATCGCTAAGATGAAGGAGTTCCAACAATCGTGCAAGGAGACTCCCTCTGATCCCGATGACTGGACCTGCGATGAAACCACTTACCAGTTCACTGTTGATCAGAGATTCAAGTACGGTCAGAACAACGAACAAACTTGGAGATTCTTGGTCTTCCAGAACCCCGATTACAAGCCCTTCCAGCACAGATTCTCTGAAGTCGCTGACAGCACCGATGCCATGACCTTCTTGGGTAACATTAGCAAGAGCTATGGCAAGTACGCTGAAATGGTTCCTAACGGTGGCTCTGTCCTCTCTGCTCTCAAGTCCATCGTCGGTGATGATCTTCATAGCTTCTAAATGATACTGATACCAAGAAATGTAATTTGTAAAATCACTAGCTAGCTGATGCCAACTTTTTGCTGTTGGCCGAATTTTACATTTCTTTCCCTATGATACCAATTTAATGAAATGATACTCAACAATGCTTTGGGTTCTCTTCTTCGATTTACTTAAAGCTGCCAATTGAGAAAAGTCTGATTTAGTATTGTTGTAGTTAAGAAGATAAATTATTGATGGCTACTCCTAGTAGGCTCAGATTGTCGAAAATGGAACAGCGTGTCAGAGCAGTCCAGATTAATGCAAACTATTCCGCAGGAGGACCAGAGCTTGAAGTTACGATCAATGATACAGCAGCATTAGCTTATGGAACGGCACATTGTTAATAATATTATCTGGTCAACAATTCCATGCGGGCAAACTAAAATGATAATACTAACTGTGTATGGAGTCTAGTGAGTAAAAGTGGTCTGTAAAAGAGCAGGCTGGTATGAATATTATCACAACCACACAATTACAATTCCAGCATCGTTCCTTACTGTTTATCACTTCGTCAACAAAAGGAAGGAAAAAAAAAAAAAATCCAATTACCGTCTTTAAGAAATGCAAAAGTATAGCCCGACGTGGGGGTCGAACCCACAACCTTGAGATTAAGAGTCTCACGCTCTACCGATTGAGCTAGCCGGGCCTTTGTTGAAGGGAGGACCACCTTCTAATTTTTGAAACCTAACATAAACAGCGAGTACATTCATATGGACGAAAAGATGTCTCTTGGTACAAGCAAGCCATCAAAGCTCAATAGTAAAGAAGCTCTACTGGCTTTGAAAAATTATATACATATTTTTTTCTAAAACTGTGGCTCTTTGGACTGCATCCTGCCATTTTATATGCTATCTTTCAAGAGGTTACCATGATTACTGGTCGATGTCGGATGCTGGTGAACATGCCGTATGATGGGGAAGGTCAGTGGTGCTCTATAAATTTTTTCTAAAAAATGCAATTTTATGACATGACATGAACATCAAGCATTATTGTAGTATGTAATGATATATACAGTGAAGTATTCGTGAAATTGCTGCTCCGTGCCACAGAAGCTTTCCATTCATTTTGCGTCGACCTTAGCCCACATCCTTAATCTGGTAATTGCATCTCTAGAATCCGCCTATCAGAAAAATCCCATTACGTATACAATTAACTGCTTAGATGAGACCATTTTTCTAAACATCAGCTAAATATTATGAGCATGTACTATGCAGCGTCGATTCAACGTAGGTCCATATTATCAACGAGTACGTCAGCAATACAAAGCTCGCTACCGGTAGAAGTCTGGATAAAATGCTCAATATATATTAGAAACCAGATAACCTTCATTCTCTGGTATCAAACTACACCTGCTACAGTCACTTTCCTTTCGTCGTTTTCACACATACGGTGAGAGTCAGAAATCGCTACCGCAGTCCTCCGGTACATATATCAAATTTGAGTCAGCTTCCAGAAATCAGAAATAAAAAAGTTTTATAATTTGCGTACATTTTGATTCAAAGCACCGGGCGCACGCCTTGATTTAATATTAGTGTAAAAAAGGGTGTATTGACAGCCGCCTCCCAAGCACGTGACCAAACATTCTACCCGAGTGCACGTGACCAAATATCCCTCATTGGAGGCATTTTTTTGTCCAGAAAGTTCTTTCTGCAGAGTTGAGATCGATCAAACATCTTTTTCACCTATTACTCATCTTTAAAAAAAATGGAACAAGGTCAGTGTCTCTCACCCTGTTGCTGATTGCCCTTCATACATTAAGACTGACATACTGACATTCCCAACCTTGTTATGGCTTTGTTTCTAACTCATAGACTGGAACGTTACTGTTTTGCGCAAGCGTGCTGCCGACAAGGCCAAGGTTTCCCGCACCCAATCTGAAGTCAATGCTGCTAGACGTGTAAGTTAGAGTGCTATTGTTGTTCATCAGGCGGGCTTCTGACTAGAGCAGTGGCAATGGGAGCCATGATGGGACTTGATTGTTGGGCTCGCGCAGTCGATCCGTACCTACATAGCCATGACTAACACTTGAACTTTCTGATCTTGCTTACAGGCTGGCGCAGTCGTTGCTACTGAGAAGAAGAGTAAGTTAGCAAAACCTAAATATTTAGCTCAGATCATGGAAAACTGACGTAATTACTTTTGTAGCCACTACTAACGCTGGTCATGCCAACACCGACCATGCTCGTATCGCTAAGTTGGATCGCGATAACGATGTCACTGCTCCACCAAAGATTGACGTGTCCGTTGGTAAGGCTATCCAAAAGGCTCGTGGTGATAAGGGATTAACCCAAAAGGACTTGGCTCAGTTGATCAACGAAAAGCCTCAAGTTGTAAGTTTTATCCTATCTGATATCACAGTGTTGCGATCTTTGACACTTACACCATTTTTGTCAACCAGGTCAACGAATACGAAGCCGGAAAGGCTGTTCCTAACCAGCAGATTTTGGGAAAGCTCGAACGTGCTTTGGGTGTCAAGCTTAGAGGAAAGGGTATCGGTGAACCCTTGACCTTCGGCAAGAAGAAGTAAATTGCCCAATTTTTACTTTTCGCTTGATCTCTTTGAATCAAGATTAGATTACTGGACGGTGCGTACAGATGAAAAGGAACACCACACTTTCAATGGGTATTTGTGACAAACCAAGTTCGGAATATCTATGTAGTTTAAAACGATGTCCATCAGTGTATTTTATTCTGTGCCTATTTTTTTTTCTCTTTCGCTCTTCACCTGTTCATTTTTTAGACATACCAAATTTACACCACTTTTCTGATTTTCTAAAAAACCCTTTTCAAGTAAACACAGTAGGAAGCAGTTTTTGACCCTATGATGATGAATGGCTAAAATCATTTTTTTTATATATGTTCAATATACTGGGTGGCAAAGCTCCGCGACAATGTTCAAGAGGACGTGGAAAGCTTTAAAGGGTTCATTTTTTCGGCATTCCTTTTTCTCAAATAGACTGCTGGTTACTAAGTTATAGTGCTTTTTTCATTCATTCTTTTTTTCTTTGTTAACTAAGGAAGGGGGTTCGTTCTATTTATCGGGTTTGAACCAAATCATCTATCTTGAGAATCATCTTGACGGTTTCAGCAGCCAACTCGATTGCACTGGTAGACACCAAGAGGGGTTGAATGACATTTTCGTCCAAAATATTGGTGATAGTTCCCTTCTTGACGTTGATACCAGCAGTCTTCTCTCCATGAGCGTGCTTGTTTCGCAATTCAGTGACGATGGATATAGGGTTGAGACCGGCGTTCTCGGCAAGGGTAGTGGGAATGATTTCCAAAGCCTCAGCAAAAGCTTGGAAACAGTACTGTTCCATACCAGTGAGGGTCTTTGCATGCTCCATCAATCTCTGAGACACTTCAATTTCAGGAGCACCGCCACCAGCAATCAATGCCTTCTTCTTGACAAGACATCTGACGACACAGAGGGCATCGTGAAGTGAACGGTGTGACTCCTCCAAGACAAGTGAGTTGGCACCACGGCAGAGAACAGACACAGTCTTTCCAGCGTGCTTCATACCGGTAATCTTGACGACACGAGATCCAGATGAATCGACTTCGTCAACAAGGTCAGCATAGCCAAGCTTATCTTCAGTGAAAGATTCCACATCGGCAACGGGCTTGCATCCAAGAGACTATTGCCCAAATGATCGTGTTAGAGGGTTTACATGTAGAATCCGCATAGCAAAGAACAAAAACTCACCTTGGAAATAAACTCAATTTCATCACGTTCAATATCCTTGATAACCATGATCTTCAACTTGGACAAAAAGTGCAATGAAAGATCGTTGACGGCATCACGCAAGATGGACTTTTGAATGAGCAAAACATTGCATCCAGACTTCTTAACCTTTTTGCAGAGGTTGAGGAGGTACTGTCGCTCCTCCTTGAGAATCTTGTCCATCTGTCGGTAGTCGTTCACAACAATCTGGTTCTCCATCTAAAGTGAAAATGAAAGGAATCGTACATGAGTACAATGGTGCTGTAATGCGGTTTCATAGTAGCTGCAAATGCTTACATCAGGCTTGGGAGGAGAGAGCTGGAACTGGATCAGACCGATCTTGGCCTTCTCCATACGGGTGGGTCCACCAGCACTCTTAACGACATTCTGAGTGAGAACGAGACCATTGACGAGCTCGGTGTCGTCGATGGTACCGCCAACCTTCTTGACAACACGGATATCCTTCAAATCAACGTTGTGAGCAGTAGCGGGATCAATGACTTGAAGTACGGCGTCGACAGCAATAGGAGCGAGCAATGATGAATATTGGGAAACGATCTGATACAAAAGGAAATGTCAGTACGCATGAAGGGATTTGAACGGTACTATAAAGCATTTTGCCTATGTACCTTAGAGTTAAGAGAGGTGGAGGCGGCGCGAAGCAAAGATTGACGGTCACCGAGATCCAACTGAGTAGACATCTGGGTGAGGTATTCAACAGCCTTAGCTGCTGCTCGCTGGAAAGACTCAGCAATTGTGGTAGGGTGAATACCTATGAGAGGAAATTGAAATGATTCGTCAGCACTAGTTTAGCGCCTATCGACCGATGGTGAAGCATACGTACCCTTGTTCAACATCTTTTCGGCAGCAGCAAGGAGAGAGCTACACAATACAACAACAGATGTCGTACCATCACCAGCTTCAATATCTTGAGCCGCTGACAAGTCAACAAGCTAGAAAGGTTGAGTCAGCTACGTTACGTTTCTTCCATACATTGTAGTTCCTTTTCGCCATACGTACCATACGAGCAGCTGGATGAAGAACTGACATGTGCTTAAGAATAGTGGCACCGTCATTAGTGATGACAACTTCGCCGTTACCAGCTTGGATCTATCGATTGAAGCGTGATGTTGGATTAGAACCGATATTTAACGAAAAACCTGATGACAAAAACGCCAGACGATTCAACGCACCATTTTGTCCATTCCTCTGGGACCGAGAGATGTACGAACAGCATCACCGACAGCTGAAATAAGTACAAGATTTTGTTAGATTATAGGTTCCAGATGGGGTTGTCTGCGCGAGATCATTTCGGTTTGCGGATCCAAGATTGACACGATGTCCCTGGGTCAGTTAGAACATACCTTTAGCAGCGACGATGTTGCTCAAGCGAACTTCAGTTGGCTTGTCCTTATCATTGAAAGATTTAGGTTTAACGGCAGAAGCGGATCTGGTTTCTGCCATCTTTGCAATTGATGAGTGATTAAAGTGACAAGAATTTAGAGCTTTAACGCGTGCGCTTTGAAATTGAGAATTGGGACTTCGGTGGCTGGGGCAGTGCCTATCACCGCAAAATTGCTGGTGAAGTGTTGGAGTCCGCCGCCGCCGCCGCCCAGACAAATTGCATATAGAGCGAAGTGTATGCTTCTATGTGCTTGTAAATTAAAAAATAATAAAAGTGGGGGTTTCCAAGACGAAAGAATGTGTCTCCAATGCTGCAGAGCTTGACAAACGGATACAGCCAGAGTTTGTCCTTGAGCAAAATGACCTCCCCATCATCTCGACGGAGTTTGAAACAAACTGGATTGAGATGTGAGCCTGGCCGGGAGGGAGGTAAGTTCTATGGTTTTGCCTGAACAACAAACTACGCCTCGGTCATCACAAGAAGAAAGCCATGATAAAGAACTGGAAAAAGAGTTGAATAACTTATTTTGTGAAAAAGAATCACCCATTACTCATAATGTCGACTGGATTGACACTGATACCGATGAAGACGAAGATTATCTCCCACAGAATTTACATCATCAGCTACCTTCTCCACCACGAAAACTGGCAGCCCTAGATTACCGAACACCCTCTCCACCTCCGAGTGGAAACAAGAGAAACAGAGTTGAAAGTATGTCTTGGTCACCATCGTCAGCTCCTGGACCAATGAAGAAGGCTATGCACCAATTTCCCACCGCCTTTTCACCAAGCACTCAACACAGTCGCCGCACTGTGCGAACCGTACAGCAAGCCATCAACGATGCCATCGATAATGGTGCTGATATGGTGGATTTAAGGTAATGTCATGCAATCGGTAATCTCTTTTTGCTCTAAGAATTTGTCATCTTATATCTTTTCATTTCTTTTTATGTGATAGCAATATGGATTTGACAGACATACCCGATGAGATACGCGAATTGCAGCATATTACCATCTTATCCAAAGACTTGATCAATAATTCCTCACTAAAAGTATTTCTTTATGGAAATCGTCTTACCAAGTTGTCCATGGAATTGTTTTCCCTTAAAAATCTCTCCGTCCTCAGTCTCCGTAAGTGTTTATCGTACGTAGCCTGATAGGCCCAGAAGACATTGTACACCATACTGATTATGACTGTGCCACTTAGGTAATAACAAACTTGAAACGATACCACCAGAGATTGTACTTTTACAGAATCTTTGTGAGCTTTCCCTCGGCAATAATCTACTGGTTAGTGTTTTTGAATGTTACGAAAATATACCAAACACATAACTCATTCCTTGGCTCTTTGTGCTTCCATCTCTAGCGTTATCTACCCGGAGAGATCCTTCGATTACGAAAGCTCAATATCATATCCGTTCTTCCAAACCCCTTTCAAACTATACCTCAAGACAATACCAGTACCCCTGCAAGACAGATTATCCGATCAGTGCCTACCCCATCGCTCTTTGAAATATGCAGCAGAGCTGTCATGGCATCGACGAACCGCTATGATAATCAAAACATGCCTTTTCGAATCACCGAACATCTGGACGCATCAAAAAACGTTAAGAGATGTCAAAATTGTAAATGCTACATCATCCAACCTGATATTGAAGTCATGGTCTGGTGTAGTCTTCTCATATGCTCCAACGTACCGGCTATAGTCGGTTTTTGCTCAATGCATTGCCTGGAAGCATGCGACTGGAACAAAGTTGGCCTGTTTGCGGGAGATATCAATTGCTGATTGCAAAACAGATCTAATGCTTTTTGGCAACAAGTCTATCTCTTCTTCATCATCATGGTCTTAGGCTTTCACAATGTACAGGATGAATAACTACCACTCTACCATGTCCACTTCCTTCGTCTTCTCTTCCATTGCCCGACTTTAAGGCACTTCAGTGTACAATTTTTCCTCCCTCCCCTGACCTTACTATGGGTTCATTTACATAAATCGAGTGGCTCAAGAAAAGAGAAATAGTCTGTTATTATTGTGGGAAGCTATTAATTTTCAAGGAAAAAACGGAAGATTAGGCCATTGCTGGAAAAGCTATAGAGTATACAGGGCAGAAAGAAAAAATGTGGTACTAGTTTGAAACGAAAATGCTTGGATAAAGCACATTAGAGTGGGAATAAGTATTTGGTAGTGGGGCTGAATCTACTGCCGTCCTGCATCCAATCCCATTCCTGTCACTTCAAACAGGATGGGGATGGCATGGACCGCTAAAGCACCGATACCAGCGTACACAATTAGTTTGGTGACAATGTCTACGTCGTATCTCAAGGGAGAGTCCTCGACAATAAGGAGTGAGCTTGGATCATAGTCATCCGTGGTGTTCTTATCTCGCAAGGCGGTAGCTACAAGGGTTGGGGTGGAAGGTGTGTTTGCAACCTTCTCGTCTATATTATTCTGGAAGCGGTGACGAGCTTCAAACACTCGCTTTTCGTGCAAGTCGATACCAGACTGAATACCGACATGATCTGAAGCTTGCACACTGGATGTGAGCCCCCTCAAGTCTAGTACAGATGGAACAGGATGAATGCTAGCATGTCTCAAGTTTTTGTATGTTCTATAGAAGCATGGCGTTAACAGATGATAAGAGAGTGTGGAGAGATTTGTCTCCTTGGCTCATGACATACCTGGCACCGATTTCAAACTTTCTATGAGGCAAGTTGAATGCTCGGTAAATGGGCGGCAAGATGAAGTAACAAACAGTTTTACAGGCCATACGCCATGTAAACAATATGGCAACGCCTAAACAAATACATGCTATCAGAACAAGTATACACAAACATTACGCTATTGGTTATGATACCCACCAATAACTACTTTGACAATCGATATCAAAAATACAGTAGAGCCAGTCGCTGTGCGGGATCCTGACACAATACCAAATGCTGCCTGAGGGTAAGAGGAGTGTGCAGTTACCCAACTAGCAGGTAATAAACCGATCAAGACGCCCAAGAAACAAACACTAATGACCAAATCGTATTAGGGAAGTGAAAGACACCAATGACGGAAATTTCTAATCAACATACCTATCTTCAAAACAGGGGCATCGCTCTATAGGATCAGGACTAACGTTCAAGTCAATAACATGATCGTCACGCTTCAAGAGTATTTTTTCATACTTACTGGATGCCAACCATTAAAAAGAGCAATGGTATCGAAAGGAAAACTATAGCGTACATTCGTTAGGCTGTACCAATCTATGCATCAATACTCGTTTCGTAGTACTTACTCCAATATGAGTCGCCAGTAACAATTTCCTCGAATTGTGCACGGAATGTCCAATGGAACCAGTATAGGACATAGGCGAGAGCTGCACCACCGAGAAGGTCTATTTACAAGTCTCGTGAGCTTACTTGAAGTTGAGTGAAAATAAAGGCCACAAGTGTACTTACCGGTGATACTGTGCATGCCACAATAGATTCGTCCGAACACAACACTGACGGCATAGACGCTAAGTGTAATAAGTCCTGGCAATCGGAAGGGATCGTCTGGTGATACATGCTCCTGAATCCAGGCCATTAAGAACAGGGCAACGGAAATCGAATTGGTGGAATGAGTGGAAGGAAATCCGTATTCCAGTGCAACTGAGGAAGACATGGTAAGACGATGAACGGGCGGTGATAATGGTCGGGGTAAACACATAAAATCCTATTTAGATCAAGATTATTAGAATTGCGGAGACGGCTGATTCGTCCATACAAATTGCCTATACCAACCTTGATGAAACCAGACCAGAAGACTCCAAATGCCATAACGGCTACCAAGCTGTAAAGACAAATCTCGTCAATGGGGAACGAGCAGAAATTTAAAGTTAATTTGCGCGAGTCATACCTTCTGCCTAATTGAGGATAGCCGAACCAAAAGAGCAAGGGTAGGAATATCATGAAAAAGGTATGCGTGCCAAGGTTGGCTGTCCATAGGAAGTAGACATCGAGCATTGGAGTTCGTATTTTATTCTGTGATACCAATGTCAATAATGTTTCGCATAAATATTGGGGAAGAGTATAGTCTGGCAATATTACCTGGAACGCAGCAATGTAAGGCGTTTCCATACGGATGAGGGGTAGCATTATTCTTCTGAGTCGAGCACGCCATGGATGTAAGGCTTTGTCGTATAGACGGTCGTCATGTAGCCCGGCATCTATATCATCCGAGATGGTTTTAAAGACCTTTTTAGGCATGTGTGGAAAAAGAGAAGGATGGCCTCAAATATTGCGACGAGGACTTCTTTTTTTTCATTTTTCCGTTCCACATCTCCATGACGTGACGATTCAAAATCAGTTGACATTGACCCTTGATTTGGATTATTCTTTTCCGGAAATCCTCTATCTTTGTATTTGTTAGTCGTCTTTGATATGAGCAGCAAGTGATAAGCTCAATAGATGCGGTGTAAAACCTTGCCATACCATGGTTTTAAGGCTATGCTGAGCGCACGACTTTCATATGTTACACTGGGTGAATCTAACAATTCTACACGTTCTTATTACCGCCAATTTTCTTTTACACTGTATCGTCCTTTTAGCAAAGTATGGCTCCTTCCGAAATTCATTCATGCTTATACCATCCTTTACTGCCTTTTCATCTTGGCCCACTTACACATTTGATAACAATTCGCGATTTAAGCTTTCATATTTGCAACATCCGCGTTCAGTCATGGGGCTCTTGCCTTACTGTTCCACTCAAGATGAGCATGAAATGAATAATATATTAAATTACATTTATGGCTGTATCATAGAGCCAAACCGCTTGCTTCTCAATTAAATTGCCAGGAAGCCATACTTGAAGAATAGGCCAAATGTTCATCTGCTGTATTGTAAGCGAGAGTAACTTTCGTTTTGTGAGATAGGGTTGGTGGATTATGGTAAAGTGATCGACTGTCACGCATAAAGTCACTTGAATTGATCGAAAATAGATTCCACAACGCAAAAAGTTTGTTTTCTGTCACGCACTCGGAGAGACAGTCAGATGTACCAGCAACCTTCCATTTCAAGATAGAAGGTATCTTCTGTCACGCATTCAAAAGATTGCAAAGAACGTGTTGAAGCAGGGAATATATATTTGCACACCATGGTCACTGGCATTTTCAGGTTGGAAAACATTATCCTTTCACAGTTTGTTATGCAACTGGGGGAGTCATTACCATGCGTTAATCGATGTTCAGCCCATTAAGCACGGCTGACAAATAGTATGATCACGTTCACGGAGGCAAAGCCAATGGCAATCGCAGTTAGTCAAGGATATAGTTTGAATGGCTCTGATGTTTATATGAAAGTGAGATTATTTTTGAAGGAGATGAAGACAGACATAATTGGAGTTGACTGTCGGAGCGTTTAGTTGTGAAAGGAGACCTAACTAAAGCATTTGAATTGAAAAATGGTTATGACTTGACTTAGCATTGCATGTTTTTTAATTGACAAGTGTTTCTTTCTTTCACATCACACTAACTAGTTGTCGCAAACCCTTGAGCAGAGCAATTTTTTAAGCCATGTATACTACAGGTACGATATTCGAACTGGTAAGATCCTTCCAAGATCTGGCCAATGGTTACAACGTGATGTGGGAGCGTTGGATGATGAAATGAATGCAACTAGGTTTCATCAATGTTGATTAATGGTAGTGTGCATGTAGAAGGCTGTTTTGATTGTTGATACTGCTCTAAACATCGAAGTATATTGAATAAATCGCAATTGTAAAACATGCACTGCTGTCACATAGTGCATTGTAGCAATGTGTAATGGTGCATCTTGGGCAATGGGTTGCATTCGTTCGCTCTTGACGGTATAGAAACACGTCGGTGGTACGCAAATGGACCTGCACATACTGCCGATCTATCGTTCAGCATGTACTAGCCATTGACATATTTTAGATATTACTTGCAGCTGACAGAATAAATTGAAAAAGCGAATCCATAGACTGATATCTCTAGATTACATGTTCATTTTGTTCACAAAATGTGACAAACGCCGTCGATAAGGCGATGAAAGGATTGACATTGGCCATGATCGAGGAAGTTGTAAGCAATTGAGCGCTAGCTCTCCAGCTGAACAGCAGCGTGCTAGTACAAGATCCTCATCCTGAATTCAACCGCTGCACCCAGATATCCTGTTGCTGCAACATAAGAATGCTGTATAATGTATCACCGTAAACGTCACACGCTAGTAAGCATGAGTGTAGCATGGGCGACAAGCCCACTGATTTTGCAAGACAGAACAGCAATCATGCTCTACTATATGTGCTTAAAGCCATTGAATTCACAGATTATCTTTCTAATATAAAAAAATAGCAGTATACTTTCCATAAATTTCTACCCATTAACTGATTCCCGCTACAAAACAAATTTCCAGTTCAGCTGTTGGTCTGCCTACACCGTACAATTTTTTTTTATACACCGAAAAGTCAAGCATTCTTTCCTTTCAAACCTGCCAATGTCAGTAGCAGAAGCACCGCGCGCTGGGTTCGCCGGAACTCCACTACCACCGGGATGGACTGAACATCGTGCACCTACAGGACAACCATATTGGTATCATTCGTACACTGGAATGAGTAGCTGGACACCGCCGTTTAACGGACCAAGCGGGCCACCGACAATGGGTCGCCCTACACAACCATTCAGCTCTCCAATCCCACAGCAACGACCGCCGGAGAAGGAGAAGCCTGCTGAGCGGTACGTGTTTCATGATACGTAAAGTTACTCATCACCAGACTCTAACTTCCACATTACAGCAAAAAGATCACAGGTACTGAATGGCAACTGATCACAACCAACCGTGGTAACGAATTTTATTACCACAAAAAGACAAAAACATCAGTATGGGAAATGCCACAAGAACTTCAGGATGCTATTCGTGCTCTGAACGAAGAGAACAGTAAAAAGCGTAAGCTTGAAGAAGACGAGGAAAATGAAGATACAGAATCAAAGAAAGCGAACACCGAAGAGGAGGAACCCACAGAGTATATAGCGTTTCTATTACATCTTAACGCAAGCAGCATCACGTAATATTCTAACTGACACGTAAACTAGGTTTACTGAGGATGATGTATTGTGGCAGTTACAAGCTATGCAGGAAGAGCAGGAGGATGTGGAAATGGAGCAAGCAGGCGAGGCCGATGAAGCAAGTGATATGGAAGATAGATCAAGCGATGTAGGCGAACCTTTAGACGGTGGGAAAGATGGTGATGAAGTTCCAGATGAACAAGCAGTTGAAGCTTTTACGGTAAGCCTCGTGATATCTCACGTCGATCGCTTTCGCATTACCAACCTTGTTGACCAAATATCAGGAATTGTTGAGTGAAAGCAACATATCGCCTTTCGCAACATGGGAGATGGAGCTTCCAAAGATCATTGGTGACGCGAGATACAAAGGTAAGCAATGGCGAACTACCTAGTGTTGCTTTCGTCTGACATGGCCGTTAAATTTGGTTTGCAGCCATCAAATCATTGTCACGGAAGAAGGCTCTATTCGATAATTTCTGCAGAGTTTTAGTGCAGCAGAAGAAGAACAAGCAGCAAACTGAAAGCAAGAAGGTAAATTAGAAAAGGCATTAACAAATTTGAATAGCGCAATGATGATTGACCATGACGTCTTCAGCATGTTCCCACTCCGGAAGAAGCTTTCCAAGACTTGTTAGATCGGGAAGTCACACGGCATATGTACTGGAGTGATTTCAAGTACAAGTTCAAACGTGAAGCAGCATACATAGATTTCCTGGATAACAAGAAAAAGGAAAAAATGTTCAAAGAGCATATCAAGGAGGTAGAAAAGCGAAAGGAGCGATCAGCAGCTGCCGAGGATGACTACAACGATCTCTTGCGTGAAACGAGAGAAATCAATCCAAAGTCTCGATGGAGAGATATCAAGAGGGTTTTAGAGAAAGATGATAGATACCACGCCATACGGTCGTCTCATAAGCGAGAGGATTTGTTCCGCGACTACCTGGAAGATCTAGACAGAGACCGTCGGCGGCGATCGAGGACGCGGTCAAGAGAAAGGTAAGCGAACACGTTAATCTATTTGAGGGGTATACCGGTCCATGTAGAAATGTTCTAACACTCTTTCTTGTAGACGTTGATAATTTTGTGACGATCCAATCCAACCGCACCAAATTTTAATAAAAGTATGGTCAATTACAAAAAAAGCAGAGGGTAATTGTGGGGTATTTCTTAGCAAATGACAAACATCGGTCGACACACATAATGCAGGCTACCTTACGATAGACTACATTATCTATCACTAAACGATTATATTAGTTGAAAGCCGTCCTCTGTTTCAAAGTGTTCCAGTTCACTGAAAAGTTCATCTAATGGTATATTAGTCTTAGTGGTTGACGTGGAAGTGCTCTGTTCGGTATCTTTCTTGCTTGAGGAGCCCAAGCTGGCAGAATCCAATAGATCAATAAGATCTTCGCTAGCAGCTGAAGGAGCCATGGATGGAGAGCTTCTGGCACTTGAAGGAGAGTTGGTGACTTGAGAAACGGAAGGCGATAATGATGGAGACTGAGACTTTATGCTTAGAGCAGGCTTGCGAGATGCCAGAGTTTGGCCACTAGCAAATAGATGATTAAAGATTTCTCGTCCAAGGCTCTTTTGGCTATCGACCAACGCCTTCTTGAGTGTAAAGCTCTCTGGAAAGTTACTGGAGAAGAAAATCTCCAAAGTTTCGTCTGTGAGCACTACCATTCGGAAAGACGGTAAACTGAGCTCCAATGCATCTGCGCCGTTCAACATCACATCCAAATGCATCATAAGTGTCTCCAATGGTGTATCATCCGCCAAGGTGTATTTTGCTACTCGTTCTGATCGTTTGTCTTCCGAAGTTTCCTGTCCACTGACAATTTCGTACTGCTCATACGCGTTAAGGAGTAACGACGTTATGCTGCTTAAATGCTGGGAATCGAGGATTTGCATAATGTGGTAGAGACAAAGCAGCTCTTTTGACATTTCCAGTAAATCCTTGATGCTGAGAGTGCCGTCATTATCAGAATCGTATAGGTTGAAAAATAGGTCTATTATGCTCATGATGCCCTACAAGAACGAGATGTTATGATGGCTGCACTGAAAAATGATGATTCACGAATCACCAAACTTACACCATGGAATACGTCGCTAAGACCCAGCACAGCATCTTGCAGTGATACGCCTTCCTTGCTGCGATCGAAATGAACATATAATCTATGCACAAAGCTTTTCTCCATGGCAATAATCTCGCTGCTGTTGTTAGCGCCTGGTCGGAACCCTTTATCCACCCAAGTGGTTATGCTGGCCAAGAAGCGTCTAAATGTTGGCTCGTCCATGGTAGTGTCACTCTTGTCTCCCTTCTTCTCAGTGTAGTACAGTGCACCAAAGAACTTGTCGTAAATGTCGGATACCTCATCTTTGGAGAAATGCGCTGTATCCTGAAGATTTCGGATACCTGTTCGTTTAGCAAAAGACTCAACGCCTGCTATCACCTTCAGCTTGTGAGTACGTCGCAAGTCCATCACCATCTCGTCTGTGACAAGAGAAAATTCTCGGTACTAAAAAACCATTCATATCAGTATATGATAGTCTATGGGTTAAAAATCAATACTTTGCTAAGGCAAGTACTTACTGCGGTTCTCATGAGAATAGTAAAGTTCTGGAAGCGATTGACAAATTTTGTAATATGGGTAAGCAATGTTCAGACTAAACAGGTTAAAGTATGTACAAAAGACTCACAGTAATCTTGCTACGCGACTTGGTTCTGAGTTTATGTCTCACGGGCTGATCCAGTGTGGTGAAATAGCTCTTCAGAATATCGAAAAATTGACCATCGTCTGTAGTCTTCAATAATTCATCCCCATTGACCTTCAGAATGGCTGCAGAGTATAAGTTAGTCATGTAACCTCCTGACTATATGCAATTGTTATTATCCTCACCAAGTCTAAATGAAAGTATTCAGGATTAGTAACATGTACAGCTTGAATCTGTTCCATATCGCTATGGTTTAGAGGAGTTATAACGTACCCAATCTGGAATAGAATCCTGGGTCCTTCCATAAAGAAACAATCCAGCACTCTAAAGGCATATAAGAGAGGCATGGAATTGACGAAAAGACTTAAAAACCAGGGCAGGCAAGCAATGGACAGTTGGACGTCAATCTTCTTGATATGACTATCTAGTATGGGCATAGTTTTCGCCACCAAGTGCTCAAAGATAATTTGATCGAGCATTGCACCATACATTGAAGTACTAAACCCAAGCGCTGTTAAAGCGATGGAGCTCCATGACATGCTTCTGAACGGCTCATAACATACCTGTAATACCCGGGACAAAAGTTATCAACGAGTGTCGTTAAGGTCCAGAAAGCTTGCTCTTCGCTCATATAGCTATATAAATTTCACATTAGAATCTGCATACATATCCAGTCAAGTCATTCAAAGATCATACATCAGTAACGCGGAACAAACGATGTTCATAGCTTGACAGTAGCCCAGCGCTGGGTTCTTCCATGAATAAGCGGTTAATACACGCCGCAACTTATTAATCCCATCTTCGCTCTGATAGGCGGCATATTCAGGTAAAGACCTATTGAGATCTTTCTCGATTTCTTCAGTCGACTGTGAGGTTTCGCCTTCGTATTCCTTCAGTATACGTTCGTATTCGCCTGGATTGTAGAACCTAAGGTAAGCGGAGCCAGCACACATTTCCCATACTTCTCCTCGAAGCGTGTTTGGTAGTCCAATACGAACAAGTTTGCCAAATGTCGGTAACCGAATCATCGTCAGGTTACGACCATTGCCTATAACAAGGATGAAAGATTGTTCAGAAGCTGGGGCAGCACAATTCTCTTTAGTTTGCTGGACTAATAACCTTCAAAATACTGCTTCCACATGCCCATTTTGTCTCTATCCTGCAGTTCTCGAACATCTCCTGGGAAGCCAAACTGTAGTCCTAATCCACCCCTGAGCGGACCGTTGTCGTCTGTAGGCCATGCACTGCTTTGCTTCAACAAGAATTCGGACCAACATGTCGCTAGGAAAGGTTTTAGTCGTTTCATCAAATCTACCTGATCCTTCAAGTTTGTTTTCAACGTGCTGCAAAATTGTTCACATTCAACCTTCTCTGCCTACAGTGATGTAAAAGTAAGTTATTCTTTCACGGGGATCCCGTTGTCAACCCCCCCTCTCTTACCTGAAGATCGAAAATTATTTCCATTTTGTGCCAGGTAGTGAGAGAAAGCGAATATGCGTAAGATCCGCTGTTCAAGCGCTCAACTCGTCGTACGGTAAACAGTGGCATAACAAACCAGCAGGCGGGTGAGTTTTGCTGAGGTGCTGGCTGGCGATCTGCAGATTCAAAAGCAACGAAACTATCCGACAGATATACAGTGCCTTGATAAACGTCGGTTTTGCGTCCTTCTCTTTCGTTTGGCCGTATGCATAATACATTGACCGTCTCATGCAAAGTTTCAGTCAGAGGTAGTCTGAACTGCTTTGCAAAGGCCTCGTTTCGCTTTTGAGTCTCCATCTTTATTCGAAGCGGTGCGGTCAAGAGGGATTCTGACGTGGTGGTGGCACTTTTGGAAGGTGCTGGGCTGCCTGGTGCATTTCCTGACAAGTGTGGCGAAGAAGGCGTACCTGGAGCACGAGTGCCAGTGTTTGTTAACAACCTTTCAATGGCCAACCCGGTTAGCTGCACCAGAACATCGTATGTCTAAAACAAGAGGGCAATTAATTTACTGTCATGCTGAGGGCTTTCGCCAGAGTGACATACCTCATCTCGCCTGAACAAGTTCGTGAAATGATGCTGCTCAACAAAAGCCGAGGATGGGTGGGGGAGGATTTGCAATCAATATCAAATTTCTTCGGATAAACATATGCACCAAGACCCAAAACGGTACCTCCTGCTTATCTTTGGTTGCTATTAACAAAGAATCGGAGAACATGTTTCGCTTGGACTTTTCCTTTTTCATATCTTGAATATCCTTTAACTCAACCAACACCTTGGTCTCCACTCCAAGCAGAAAGGAATAGAAGCCCAAGTAGTTCTCACTGATATAGAGCCAACCTTGCCGACCATTATAGGCACAGGAATAATCTATAAATAAATAGCCGCAATTGATCGAGATTAGAGTCAAATAGGCCGAAGAAGCGATCAATGCCCATCTTTCTTAGGAGAACATACAGCTCACAAGTCTTTCAGTGGGTGGTATATCGAAGTTTTGGCGAAAGCTGCGGGATGCGTTACGGACTTTCTCATCGGCTGACGTCTCATCTCCTCCTGCGTCTAGAAAAAGTAGACTGAGTACACTTCCTACTATCTCGAACTATCATCCAATATCATACCAATGTGGGTTACTATATGTTGTATTTTGGAAGCTACCCATTCTTCTTTATCGTAGGGGTCATCGACGTGGTCCAGTTGCGGTATCATTTTCTCCACAATCCAATTCCATGCATTTTCAATAACACTTTCAGTTTCGGCCGTTGCAAGCAGCAAACACGTAGTATTAACTTCTCTTTGAAACAATATTCGGTATGGTGGTTGGTTTGTGTCAAATCTAACATTGGTGAAGCGATAAGTTTCGACTGTGCAACAAAGAAGCATAGTGAGTCTTGAAGACAGCGAGGCTTACACATTGGCAATGGTTCTCAGTACGTTCTTGAACAGAGGTGCTCCGGAAGTTGTTGACTTTTGTAGTATAAAGTTCTCATTTTGTCTCATGGTCGACCAGAATGGGTTGAGAGACATATCAGTCGGCGTTGGTAAGGTGAAGACCTTTGCAGGAAAGTAAAGTTAACAAGCGTTCCAACGTGAGAATCGGTTTCGGAAGCTATGCAACCGCGAAGGGGAATCTTACATTCCGAGGAGGATCTGACAATGGATTGTTTGCCATTGGGAAAGTTGTTTCCAGTCAAGGGCAAAAAAGCAGCTGGTACTTTTAAACAGACGTGTCCACCCCCGCCCGCTCAACCCAATTTTCTAATTTTACCGCTTGATTGAGGAGCTTGGCCAATAAACATACCACCTGTTTCGGAAAACTTCCCTTACTTTTCTTTGTGGATTCCATTTGATGAAAGAAGTGAGTGCTGGTCTCTTCCTTATTTTCGAATGGCCAATATCTTTGAGTAAATAAAGAAAGGCTTAATGGTGTCGATATTGAACTTCACTGCGATTCTACCACCTATTACAGAATTGATCGATGGCATTCTGTTCTATGGATGTGCACACATTCTTTTTCGCGTGTAAATGATGAATTTATGAGGAAAGAGTCATCTTTTAAGGAGAGAGATAAAGCATAACTTCATTGACCCCAGAAAATAATAGGCGCCAACTGTAAATTTACCCGCCGAATTTTTTATTATTTTGTCAGTCCAACATATTGGCAAGCCAAAACGCTCTTCCTCATATCACTGCACACCAAGCCAGCCAGCTTCTCACTTACTCAACGTTACTTACAACAGTATAGAGAGCTGACATTGAGCTGCGCTTGGTACTAATTCTTTGGCAGAATGGGTACCATGGGCAAGAATTCCAATGAGAGCCGTGGTGTTGATGATGAATCCACAAAAGTAAAGAATGCCAAGTCTCCAACACAGACGTACAGCCTCTTCCGTATTCCGTCTTCTACTTCAAAGTCTCCTTCTTCTCCACGTCCTTCTGGCGTTAAAAGTCAAAAAGAGGAAAGAAAGCAAGACATGCCAACGTACCTTGCCGCCCCTGAAGTCAAACAAGGTCTCACTTTACCTGAAAAGGAGTTACCATCAACCTTGTCTCCATCTGCAACCATCAGAGATCTTTACTATCAGTCTCAAAAGTTGCAAGAAGACCATTCTGAAACGGTGCGACCTTCTTATCAAACGCAACAAGAAATAGTAGCCAAGAACAATGGCCACCAACGCAAATACGATGACAATTCCTCCATATACGACCTCTCATCTCATATTGGTGATGAGGACGACGATGAGGACGATGAAAATGACTTTATCTACCGTTCTACCGCAACGTTCATGCAATTCAAGGAGGCAACGCCTAGTTTGTACAGTCTAAGTGATGCTGGCTCAGTGTTTTCCTTGAGAACCATATACAATGACAATGACGAGGGTAAAGCTGTTCCTCCGCCATCTTCAACATTGGGAAACACAGACCGCTCCAGAGTGGAAGAGATGCGTGCCGTCTCACCTATTCCGTCGCGATCGTCCAATATCATTGCTAAAAGAGCGCTCGAACCCAAAATTGTCATCCATCACAAGGAAGAACCACGTCCACTTAGCACCAGTAGTAGTAGCAATATTTTGTCAAGGTTTTCCAAATCCACAGCGCCAGCTCGTGCAAAGTTATTCAACACCGCCCCTCGTACAAGTAATGTCGGTGATGAAATGCTTTCATTCCCTAGTCTGCTCACTAATATCCATTCGTTCTTATAGATCATTTGCGAGCCGGCTCCGCTTCGTTAACCGTTCCTTCTAAACATTCATCTGAAAACTTACGACAGCATATTCCACGCCCTCGTGTGATTTCCGATCATAGTTTGGAGCTAGCAAGGCTTAAAGAACATCATGCCAAGCATCTTCAGCATTCTAAACCTAAAGATCAAGTCCCGCTTGTATATCCAGCATTGCTCTCCAAAGTGGCTATGGCGTTCAAGGAGAGGGTAAGCCTTGGTACAAAGGTGAAAGATGGAATTGAATATGCGGAAGCTTTCGATGGTACGGAAGCTGTGGATAAGATAGCCTATATCATCAAAACGTCCGACCGCAATTTGGCTGTTTTGCTTGGCAGAGCCTTGGACGCACAAAAGTTCTTTCACGATGTTAATTACGAACGTCGTTTACGAGATGAGGTGTTTGAAGTGTATCAATTCAAGGAAGTGATTTCCACACCTCTACCTGAAGACGCGGCAGGAGCAGATACTCCTAACGATGATGACGATTCTTTGATGGATAAATCAGAACCCGGAGACCGTGCCACGCCGTCCGATATGGATGCCGAACTACCGACTGGCGTATTTACACTATTGACAGAGTGCTATTCCCCGACTTGTACGCCGGACAAACTTTGTTATAGTATAGCGTGCCCTCGCCGCCTTGAACAACAAGCAAGAGCCAATCTATCTCTGAGTTCCAGTCTAGAACGGTCTATCTCGAAATCGTCTGTGCCTGAAGAGGATGAGCGTCTGTGGATTAACACTGTGAGCAAAGATGTCGTTAAGACCATCAGCAAACAAGAACGTAGACGCCAAGAGACCATCTTCGAGCTTATGTACACAGAAAAGGATTTTGTGCAAGATCTGGAGTATTTAGAAGATTTTTGGATCAAGCCACTCCTGGCGTCCGATATTTGCGAGACACCTTACCGAGAACAATTTGTAGAAGAAGTATTCTGGAATATTACCGATGTTCACCGTGTCAACAGCGCTTTATTGGCCGATTTGGAGAAAAGACAAGCTGAAAACCCTGTGGTCGATCGCATTGGCGATATTTTGTTATCACACGTTGATAAGTTTGAACCTTTTGTTCAATATGGTGCTCACCAGGTGTTTGGAAAATTCGCTTTTGAGTCGGAAAAATCAAAGAACGCAGGATTTGCAGCGTTTGTCAACATGGTCGAACGCCAAAAGGAATCTCGAAAGTTGGAGTTGAATGGTTATCTCACAAAGCCAACCACACGATTGGGACGTTATAACCTGTTACTCAATGAAGTCTTGAAGCACACTCCTGAGGATCATCCAGATAGTATTGCCATTCCCAAAGCTATCGCCATCATCAAGACGTATTTGAGCAAGGTCAATGCTGAGACGGGTAAAGCAGAAAATAAATTCAACCTGATGCTTCTCAAGGAAAGGTTGGTGAGCAAGGACGCTACTCAATATGTAAGTTACTCCAATGGGGTTTGTGTTTTCTGATGCTAGACCGTACTAATCTATTTATCACTTAGAACTTGGAGTTGGACGATGAACACCGCCAGCTTATTTCAAAGGGACAATTGAAAAAGAAGGGAACTGGCTCCGAATCCTCTGACTTGCATGTCTTCTTACTAGATCGCTACCTACTTATTGTGAAACAAAAGTACATGCAGAAGGCTGAAAAATACAAACTTTATAGACCAGTAAGTACCTGATTGACTATGGCATTCATGTCTATAGAAGTGGTAGCTAACATCTGCAAATAGCCGATTCCTCTTCAATTATTATCGGTTTCGTTACCTGACGTAGCGACAAAACGTGTGAGCTCCATTTTACCATCAACTGGAACTGGACGTCTAGCTGGAGCTATCAAAAGTCAATCAACGTCGGACTTGGCATCCATGGCGATGAAGGCTAGTTATCCGATTGTTTTCTTACATCTTGGACGTGAAGGTGCTGCTCCCGTCACCTTGTACTGCTCGACCTCCGCTAGTCGGCGCCAACTGGTCGACAAAATCGAAAAACAAAGACAAACCCTCACACAAGAGCAAATCGTATTCCGTCTGGTGAATATCAATAGCAAGTATTTCAGCGGACTGAACCGAGTGCGATGTGTGTCCATCTTATGTAAGTGATATGGCTGTTTTCTTTATTGGTATGCATATGCGAACAACCGGCTGTTGGTTCCATAGTATCTGACTTTTCTTGTTTACTCAACCAGCCGACCGTACGCTAGTCTATGGTGCTGATCAAGGTGTGTATGTACAGCGCAGTCAAGCAAAGGGACCGCCTATGCGAGCAATTGCTCTGGACAGGGTATCGCAAATTCACATTTTGGAGGAGTCCCGTTTAATTCTTGTCCTCTCGGACAAGACATTGTATACATATTCAATTGATGCTATCATGGCTGGCGACACAGCACCCAAGCGTGGACGCCGCGTGAGTAAGCATGTATCATTCTTCAAAGTTGGTTTCTCTATCGATAGAACGCTGGTGTGCGTGGTTAAAAGTAGTGCCATTACATCCACTATTCGAACGCTGGAACCTGTAGCCACCAATGACCTCAAGAAGAGCAAATCCAACTTTGGCCGATTGATTAGAGGATCAAGTGAAGCTCTGAAGATTTATAAGGACCTGTATATTCCTGGCGAAGCGACGTCACTTCACATCTTTCGATCCAACATTTGTGTTGGCTGTGACCGAGGATTTGAGATGGTCAACCTTGCCAGCATGCGGAACCAAAGTGAGTTGTAGACTACTGGATGACTGAAGAGTGGGGGTTATTTCAGTTCTAATCTCTTTTTGTTCCTTCAAGGTGTATTGGATCCATCGGATGAAGCTCTTTCTTTTGTCTTCCAGAGAGAAAATATCAAACCTATATCTATGTTCAAGCTTCAAGATGGCGAATTTTTGCTTTGCTATAACCGTAAGTGAAAAATGTACCATACTAGACTCCTTCGTATACACATCAATCAATCTTTTTTTTTTATCCCTCGGCCAGAAATTGCGTTCTACGTGGACAAGAAAGGAAAACGAGCAAGACAGAATTGGATGGTGGAATGGGAAGGTCACCCGTTATCATTTGCGCTTCGATATCCTTACCTTGTTGCTTTTGATACCACGTTCATTGAAGTTCGACATGTAGAAACCGTACGTGCCTTTCCATATGTATTGCACCAGCGTCCTTGTCCGTTTAGACTAATCTGCTCGTTTCATAGGGAACACTCCTTCAAGTTATTCCTGGGGCCAATATTAGATGTCTCAACCCAGAGTCAACCGGACCAATACACTGTGTCAGTGATAGCAACGGGAGCGTGGAATCGATCTTTGAACTTGAGTTGGAAGTGAAAATTGAAGAGACGAAATAACAGGCATACATGGTCCAGCATTATGTGTTTTTGAACTCTCAATCATCCCACCCCTCCTCCCCCTTTAAAAAGAAAATACCCAAATCATACCATTGGTTGGCACAACCTGTAGCCTACTCTACTCTGTGACAACACTGTTTTTTGATATCTTTTGTAATATCTTTATGGAAAACAATGAGAAGAATGTTATTTGTACAATAAAAAGTTGGGAATTGGCCGATTGGCTGATCATTGATAGAATCCTGCATGGAGTATCATGTTGTATACCAGCTAAAATTGGGTTGGAGAGTTTTGATTATTTCGGGATATAGAAAAAAGTGTTGGGAGTGTGAGAGTAGTGTTAGTGTTTATGATTGAGCAGGCGAATGGGCCATCTAGCAAAGGGTATACGTTCAGCGACCGCTAACATTTGGTGCACGTGGATCTAATACCAGCTGAAATATGGTCTGATAATCTGGTTTGAAGGGGTGGGCCATACACCCATGAATAGCTGGTGATGCAGATGCTTCGCTATAATGAAGACAACGATTAAAGCTGCCTTGAATGATTTGTATCAGGTTGCCCTAATAAGATCAACGAGTAAGTAAAACTGGAGCCTTCATTCTTCCAGCCTTGTCTGTAAACTTACCGTTTCCGAGTTGCGAATCTCGATGAAGTTAGGGTCGAACCCTACGACATACGAGTGATACAATATCACTTCTTGTGGTGTTCCTTCCCATCTGATTTGTATGGGGTCACTGTATCGAAATGGTGTTATAGATAGAACATGTCAGAGAAAAGGAGCCAATGGTTTAAGTTTACCTTCTACCACCACCAGCTGCCAAGTAACCGTGGTTGTTGACATAAAAAGCGAAGTCATCGTAACAGAGAAGGAATTTGGAATTGGTACGGAACATCGATAATGGTTGAAGCTGTTCGGCCTTTGCTGACAAGAAGTTGAATTGACTATCTGAGAGATCGGGTAGATTTCTGTTCATATTCAAGTTTTCCAAGTCCACAATTTCGAACCCTTTATCACACACAACAATGAGCTTGGCCTTCAAAAATTGCACTGCAGTGGAGTTAGCTCCGACGTAGAATTCCTAGCAAATGGATGATATTAGACGAATGCTTCGAATGCAGAACCACCACTTTGAGAGGAATTTACTAACCTTATAAGTCTTGAACCACTCTGGATTCTTGCTGAGGAAACTACTACGGCCAGTCCTGAATTTGGTATTTTTTGGGTCTCGCAAGTCGCCACAGATGGGTTCGATGGCCTTGAACTGACTGTCCATTCCCTTTTTCTTCATGAACACGACCAAAGTCTTCCCATTACACGTTCCACAACTAAAATATGCCACATGTTGACCAAGTTTTTGGCATGTTCGTTCGTTGCTTTTGAAGCTTGGTGACCCGCAAAGGGAATCGATAGCGTAAGCTAGCAGTTGTTTATCTGAGTAAGCAATGCAGTTAGCAAAATAAACAAAGAAGGTCACGACGAAAGTAACAACAAGCTGTCTCACCTGCTAGCACGATTAGAACCCCCTGCTCTTCCAAATAGGCAAGCTGCGTGACATTTTGCAGAGACAGGACATGCCTGTAATCACCAGCATTGCCTTCAGTGCCGATCCAAACACCTTTGCTTGTTCCTATTGCCACCATTCTTCGACCTTGTGGGCCAGCTACATGTTCATTGATCATAAAAAATCAGCGATCATGCCATGGAGTCTGCTTGTTCATAAGTCAACTTACCGAACGGAGAGGAGCATAGCACTTTACCATAGTTCAGAGAAATACTGCTGTGCGATGAACCAGGGAAAGTGGTATCACTCAAGATACGAATGTCGAACACCTCTTGTGAAGCGTATTTGACTTCCCGTACTCGTTGGGCTTCTGTGATCTTCTCCTTCCAAGCTAATTTATCAGCCAAACAGTCAGCGGTTAAAACGTAGATGCCGCCATGGCGTCCAAGATGGACCAAAGCAAAAGTACTTGGGACTTGCAAAGCAGGTAGCATATTGGCATAAGATGTGGTTCCAGTTGAGCTTGTGGTGGCTGACTTCAAGCTAGAAAGCTCTGCCATCTCTTGCACCTTTAGCAAATTGAGAGGGATAGGTAATTTAGAGAGCCAAAACTCCTCTTCGCCTGACAGCGATTTCTTCACTTTGGTCATAATGACTGAGTGGTCGAAGAGGAAGACTCTAAGGTCAATGGTTTCCACACCGGTATGGCTACGTCTCGTTAAGTGACCTTCCATGAACAGACGCCGAGATGGATCGGTGAGCTGGAGCTGATCAATGATATTGGTATCGCCTCGCATACTATGTGCAATCTGAAGAACACGAACTCTTGCTTTCGTCATGGCGGTCTGAGCGTCCACTTTAGAAGCCGTAAGACGAATGACATCCAATACCTTGGTTATAGCCTGGTGATCTGGATGGCCCACTGGCGTCTTCTTCAATACCGAGTTGAGCAGTAGAGAATAGCGCTGTATTCTGGTGACGGGCAAAATCAAAAAATGTCGAAAGGGTAATTTTCGAACTTCAGCTTGCTTTTCCTTCTCACGTATAAAGTTGGTAAACAACAGATTGCTGGATGTCTCCCTTTTCACCATATACTCAGCCAAGACGACGTTGGGACCGTAGGTAAGGTAGGGCTGACAGAGCTTTTCAACATGGCGTAACAAGATATCTCCAATTTGATCAACAAACCCGGCTTCGTTTTGACCCTGGCAATGCTCTTGCCGATCACTCAAATCTCTGTAAAACTCCAAGTTGGCTTGTCGCACATCACGATAATTCAAGAACACTTCGTCAGTGAACTTCGATCGACGTTCAGATGGAATACATGGCGCAGTGGCCAGCGGAGTTGCGAAAAGCTAAGGGAAATTAAGGTTTAGCATGGTTTACAAGGAGTCAAAATTTAATGGGGAAAAAAAAATTACCTCATCCAACAAATTAAGATCACGAACGTAGTCTTCTTCAGTGTAAATAAGTTCATGGATGGCCTCTTGGCGCTTAATTTCAGGTTCTGGAGTGGCCAACAAAATCTCCCGAGGCACGTTGGCAGACCATGCTCTTGAAATCGTCTAAGTTTGAAATAAGCCACCAAACATTTCATTTGGGCTAATGTTGAAAAATGGTACTCACCGAGTCCACCGACGATGCCATGGACGACGCCAATGACATGTGGCGCTGCAAATTGCCAGCCGAGGACTTGACATAAACGACATTAGAACATCATCCATTTGAGGCCATCCGAAGCGACGTTCCCTTACCTGGACATTCACAGCCACTCCGATGTTTGGACACCGAGGTGCATAGCAACCTGTGCTACATGTGCTGACGTAGCAGTTGGTGATGGGAGTAAAGATGCCTTGAGGATACTGCTTCTCGGGGGAGGACGCTTCATCCAAGGTGTAGATTTCGCTGGATGAGTTGTAGATGGCGTTCTTTTTCAAGGATTTTTCTGCATAAGAAGTGGGAAAGAAAAGTGGCGGCTCTGCTTTCATCAAGGCGCGCGCCACTCGTAGACAGGCAGCATCTGAATACCCGTTTGGAATGAGCTGCTTGATGATCATCTATTAAAAAAAAAAAAAAAGTAAATACGAATGGGATGTTTGCTGTTGTGAACAGGTGAGTTTGCTCACTTACCACAGCCTCACTGCCAGTAAAGCTCTCTGGATATTCAATAGTGCAGAACAATTCTCTCATACCAGCCAGTTCTCGAACTCTGGCAACAAAGGCAGTAGCAAGTATCGATAGACAGGCCATGTTCTCGAAAGGAGGCTCATCAACTTCGATCTCAGGCACTTCATACTTGTCCGAATACAAGGATATTTCATGTCCGTTCATGTTGACCCTTTCCAGTCGTTGTGGCTGGGTTCGGATCTCTTTTAGGGCAGGTTCGGAAAAGGATACTTGCCAAGGTGCGGCATCGGCAGTCGATGGTGTTGGTGCAGGCGATATAGGTGGCGAGAACTGATAACTATAGGTCTTGTTGTATAAATGCGGTGGGGATAAAGGTGGCAAGAGGTCAGTGTGGTTGCCAAAATTTGGAGGTGAAGCCGAATTAATTTCATATTGATAGATTGTGTCCTCTTTTGGTATGTGATATACTGGCGATTGTTTAATAGGTGCCTGTGGAAAAAAAAGAAAATCATCGTCAGTTGCAACCTCTTCCGCGAGAAGATATACCCCAAATATAAAAAAATATATAAAAAAAAAATATAGTTGGGGCTAGCTAGTTGAAACCAGTATTGCGCATAATGTACCGCACTCCGACTACGCCTTCCTTACATTGGGATGCACCGGTAATGCATCGGATTCCAGTTCATCAATGAATGAATCTAGATGCTGGTAGATATCGTCCAGCTGTGAGGACGCATTATGTGGTCGTGTAGTAACGTCCTGCATAAGCAACGTAAAGAAGTGTGCAAAAGAAAGAAAATAGTTGTAGAAGAGGAAGAAAGATAATCAAACTGTCTGGCCTTGTGCCACACTGACCGAGCCCAAAAAAAGGCTTGAAAGTCACAACTTCTTTGCCTGGCTTTGCCTCTTTCGGTCCCTCATGATACATAAGCCTCTCGTAGGGCTTTGCCTGCTTTTGCAGACATTGGCTCCTGTCATTGCCTATTTGACCCATATTGAAATCACAAGCTGTGGAAAGGACGCAGTATGTCCCACTGTACCCGGTTACAGGACATTACCCGTCAATCTCAACCTAGGCACAGACATGGATTCCATTTATTTGCACTTGCGTAACGATCATACTACTGAGCCAATCACAGATGTCAAACTGGTCCAAACTCCAAATCCAGCCGATATCGAGGGATGGACTGTCATCAATGTCAACTTAAATCAGGATTCCCGACAACCCCAACACGTCGATTCAAACGCCATTTGGCTTTATTATACCAGGAATACAACTATCTCCAACCGCCCTGTGACAAGCATTGTTGTGAAACAAGGCAGTCATCCTGAGAGCGGCGTCGGCTTTAGACGCCTACCTATTGATTTAAATGCTGGCGTGGGCGGCGAACATTTGTATCTTTTTTACCATCAGGAAGGGCCGGTTGATGCCATCACGGCCATAACAGCAAAGTCATGCTTCTCCGACGATTGCTATATGGAGGTAAATGGCCTGAACATCGTTTTGGCGCAGCCTCCTGTCTATCAGGGCTCGCACATCTAGTTCGCGTTGGATATTCATGCCATTTATAATTTCTAGGGTTGGGAGCGGGTACCAAAGGATTTGAATGAAGGTGTTGTGGTTGGCTTTAGAGTGTACCTGTTCTACCAGCGCATAAAAGATCATCCTCCAGTGACAGAGTAAGATGGCAATTGATTTTTTTTTCCCATGAGGTTTCAACTTGGTTATCAATGACAATCCGCTATGGTTACAGTATAGTTATCATTGTCGATGATCAAACTCCGCCAGAAGGATATACCAAGGTGGATGTCGATCTTAATCGTGGTACTATACGTGGAGCTTCAATATATCTTTATTACAAAGTCAAGGAAGACGCCTCCGAAGAAGATAAAGCCACAGCAATTCAGGAGCTTGCTATTGAGTATGGAGATGCAGCTGTTACGCCATACAGTTGGAACAAAATAAGCGTTGACCTGAATTCGAAAGGTATTGGTTCATCTGAAGGATTTGGAGAGCCAACATTCCTTTTCTACAGACGTGCATATTCAGGTTTGGCAATTTTTGTAAACATGTCAGTCCCGCTATGCTGCCTGGTTAACAAATCCCCCAGTACCAGACAAAGTTGAGCCCCTTAAATTTCGGCCAGACGGTTCGTTCAAGATACTTCAGCTTGCTGATCTCCATTTTTCAAATAACCGCGGCAGTTGTAGAGACGTTTCACCCGATGTAAGCGGTTTGTTTTGATGACCTTCGAAGGTTAGCCTGCCAAGCACTAATGGATGATTTAGACACCATGTCAAGGTGATGCTACTACAATAACCACTATTGAACACTTGCTGAAATCTGAAAAGCCTGATCTTGTTGTCTTTACCGGTGATAATATAGATGGCACAGGAGGTATGTGGTTTGCCCCTATTTTAGATGAAACCATAATCTTTTTTTATTTTGTTTGGTGGCAAAGCTAATTTTAAGGAAACAGGTGTTAATGACGCTCGAGCTGCAACGTTGAAGTATTCTCAGCCTGTCATCGAGCAGAAAATCCCATGGGTAAGAACTCGACGCCAGCAGAAATTCGTTACAATGTCTTCATACTCATAGTGCTAAAAATTGTCTTAGGCAATGATATTCGGAAACCATGATGACGAGAATGATCTGACTAGGGAAGAATTGTTTGAGGTTGTGCGAAATATGCCGTACTCTGTTAGTGAAGAAGGCCCTATGGAGGTTTCTGGCATCGGCAATTATGCTTTGAAAATATGGAGCAATCAAAGGTATGTACGTGCACATAGTCAAACTTGCTTCAACAAGCGATATTAATTTTTCTCAGTCAAGCGGAAGATAAGCATGCATTCACCCTCTACTTTTTCGACTCTCATGCCTATGCAAATCCCGAGAAGACAGAATATGATATCATCAAACCTGACCAGCTACAGTGGTACCTCAATGTATCACAATCATTTGCAAAAGATGACCAAGCTCCCCCTAATGCCATCGCCTTCTTTCATATACCGATACCGGAATACGGTAACTTTGAAAAGGACAGTCGAAAGCGACCTATTCTTGGAGATCAACGTGAGACTGTTTCAAGCAGTAAAAAATCAGACGCCGGAGTGTTGGCTACTTTTTCGAAAGGTGCGTTGTAATCTGTTGTCGGTATCAGTGAAGAGTGACCATTGACACAAAAGATATATTTTGATTTTGGCTAGGTGGAGATATACGTGCGACCGGATGGTAAGTGCTATTGACAGGCGATTTCATTGAATTATTCTCTTATATTTAACCCTTCTCTTAATTAGTGGGCACGACCATGTAAATGACTATTGCCTGGATGTGGACGGTATCTCATTATGCTACGGTGGAGGCATAGGTGTGAATGGATATGGTGCTGGCCATCTCGGATGGCCGCGTCGAGCTCGTGTTTGGAAAATCGAGGACGAAGGCGCTACTATTCGAACATGGAAGAGGCTGGATGATGACAAATTATCAATGTTGCACTACCAAACTCTCTTCTGATGAACAGCCCCTAGATACTGTATATAATCGTAATCATTGCTTAAACCCTCATTTGCATTGAAATGCAATACACCATTTAACTTCACCTGCACTTCATTGAAATGCATTCCATGCCATATGATACCGCCATATCAATCGTCAAGACCAAACATATCAATACATTTATGTAATAAAAAAAAACATATTGAGAACGACATTAAATACAGGAAAAATTTCAGGCTCGAGGGTTTATGTTATTTACAATCGTAGTAGTCTCATTGAACCAGACCTGGTGTTTACAACCTCCTATCTGGTGAATCCTCACTATCTTTGACTATAGCAACCAGGACACTAATATCATCTGCCTTGCCGCCCTTCATCAAGATAAACAGGATTAGCTACATTGTATAAACTCTCTGCAGCTATATATCTGTAACGTACCTGGTAATAGAGACCTTCTTGGATAGCACGGCTCTGAAATGGACTATTCACATTTCGAGAATCTTCACTGATTGATTTGGCTCGTTTTGCTAGCGCATCTGAGATGGTCTGCGGCTCCAAGTTCACAATGCGTGGAGCCTTATTTCTACCTGAAGTTATAGTATGCGCAGCGACATGATGGCGTACAATGTCCAATATGTCCTCATCATATAAGTTGTCGAACAGACCGTCTGATGCCAAAATCACTATGTCTCCTTTCTCCACCGTAACGGAGAACCGCTAGTAGAGTGAACTGTCAGCAAAACGCCATGCTATATTATCACAGCCTTGGAACATCAGCCTACCTGAGCATCCGACGGACTGTCGGATGATCCAGTTCCTAACTGGACAGGAAAATTAAACGAATGTTGTTGCTCTTCGGTTCGAAAGATGTAATCGTTATGTCTTATTATGGATACTCCGCAGTCTCCAATGTTGGCGATTCGCAGTTCATTATTCCTCAATATCACTACACAGGCCGTTGAAGATCCCACAATACCCTTTCAAAACATAAATGAATGATATTAAAGATTCTGCACTACCAAAAGATATTCCCAAAGTTGTCAGCTTACCTCTTTTTCGGCGTCTTCCAAACAGTGTTCATAGCTCGTCTGTAAAACCTCTACTGGATCTGCTTTGTCGTAGTCGTAAAACGAAGGATCATCTATGTTGTCAAATCTCTCCAGCTCCAAATACGCATAGTGCATGAGTTTACGAGAATACAACGCAGGATTAGCACCTAAGCAAGCATTAGTCCGTTTGCATGATGTTGGTTGGAAATACAGCAAGCCCCCCTACCTGTAGTGCCAGTCCAACCTCCAACACCATCTGCGACTCCTAATGAATCGTATCTACGAAAGTAAGCATCTTCACCAACTTGTACGCTAGCATACTCTTCATCCTTGTCTGGAGAAACCACTCGCTTGCCAGACTTAGGGAACCCTGTTGCTGCGTGAGTGAAGATATAAGACGGTTTTGGTTTCTCCAAGCTCTTGTCTCCCAAATAATCAAACACTGAGAGCTGTAGTGGATCACCTTTTGACTGCTCCAGTTTGCTATTGGTTTGCACATGTCGTCGTCTGATTCCATTCATCGCTATTGATTGCTGTTGCGCATGGATTGACTTTGACAGGTGTTGCATAGTGTGAATCTGCGCCGTATCATTTGTTTGTGCGTTCAGGTGCTTGTAGTGTTGCGCAGGAAACACAGGCACAGCTGGAATGTTCAGTCGACTGGGGTATAGTATGGCTGGTGGCCTGAATGGATGCGCTAAAGCGCGGGAATGAAGTGACCGTGGTAAGTGGCCGGCGAACGACGCGTAGCCGCGCCGGCTTCCACTAGCTACACTTCCGCTCACATAATGTCTGTAGCGGGCAAGAAGAAGAGCTCGCAAGGATTTCTGGGCCATCCAGGTAGGGAATTGGCGAGATTTTAAGCTCATTAACTTCTTCTACTGTGAATGAGGCTGGAGTCTGCTGATTTCAACGTGGCTGGGCTTGATTTCACGTTTATTCCCATTTTTTCTTCATTTCCGTTTTTGCTGTCAAAAATTTATACGCCTAAGCATCTTCCAGCTTCTGCCGTATAACCCAATAGCATACCTTACATACACTGTTGTATTTCTAGCAGAATGAGCGATATTGCGTATGTCATTGAACGTTACACTAGTCCGGAGTACCCCAACAATTACGGAACATGTCCTTTTTCGTAAGCTTATAGCTCTCACGCTACGCCAGGTAATACGTAAGGACGCGAAATACGACTGCGGTGTATTATACTTGTTATGCTTTGCTGTTGGCAACTTAATTTCTTTCAGATCAGATGTATTATGCCTCCATTGTGGTAAGCTGACTTTTTGTCCACCAGGGGAAGGTGGGATGGTGTAGTCAAGGCACCATACTCGCATGTTGACGATGTTTCAAAGTATATCAATCATTTTATTACTGGCATTAAATGATTTGAAATAAATAGCTCATTCTGAAGAGCTCAGTTTACATGCAAAAGGAATAGAAGAGTGAGTAAGCGAAAGCGCCACCAACAATCGAAAGCCTAATTGAGGATCAAATGTTTACCTGTTTAAACAAAAAAATTTTGTTACCTTAAAAATACGGGCTTTTATCGTCACTTCAGCTTCCTTTACCAGCAAAAGGGATATTATCTTCACAAGAAGAAATAAAAAGATTGCGCTCCCGGGAAGGCTCGAACTTCCAACCTCCTGATTAACAGTCAGACGCGCTAGCCAATTGCGCCACGGAAGCTTAACTTGCTGTGGCTTAAGCCCGCTAATCCATCTCGATTTACAGCATATAGATCTAAGAAAACCTTGAATCTTTTAACACAAGGCGTTAGGAGGAGTTTATAAGTGGCTATTCTCACCCACAGTTTTTGTAGGAGATAGCTAAAAAATACTGCTTAAAGCATACCTCTCATGGATCCCATCGACCTCCTCACAAGTTTGTGACTACCTTCTGACATTACTTTGATACGTACGGTGTTAAAAAATGCGGTCTTTTTTTTCTTACCATCCATACACAATACTGTTTAGCTTGTGCTTGGAGCTCATACAATCTTCTTTCTGTTGGTTCTGAGAGGAGACAAAAATTCTCTTCATTCTTTTTAGCTGTACTTCGCATGACACCTAATACATAATGATATTTATGGCTGGCTCTTTGAACAATAAAGTAGGGACTTTTTGTCTCCTCGGTAAAATTTAGTTCAATTTTTCCTTGGCCACCTCTCAAGTCCTTTACACGTGACTCTTCGTGTGTGATCCGATTTGCTCGCTCACTCTCTTTTCCTTTTTATTTCTGTTCCGTTGAGCTCACTCTGCCGCCTAACCTTTGGTCAACGTTGCCTTACTTTATGCCTTTATCAACACTGCATTGAACAGTAGCGCCAAATTCTGTGACAAATGGACGATATTTAGTGTGCTCACAGCATTCCAGAAGAGTCTTATAGAAGACCTCAATATGGTCAGTGCAGACGTACGGTGAGGATATGCCTTAGGCATAATGCATATATGTATTGAACGATCTGATAGCCGAGAGTATCGATACACACGAAGTAAACATAAAAAGGTCGAAGTCGGCGGGTTCGATACTGATGCGGATATGGAAATATTAGTATTTAACTACTAATCACCCGGCAACACTACCTGCTCTTCTAACAAGTATTATCTACAGCTATGCTTCCTACAGCACCACATAGTGCAGCTTACGCGCTGGTGAGTGGTTACGACTGTAGATGGAAAGAGCATATTAGAGATCATTACCATGCAACTAGACTGCTAGCACTCAAAGCTGACTGCATGTTCTGTTTATGAAAAGACCTCTTTCTGAATACGAGATGCAAATAAACCGCAAGTCCGAGAGCAGCTGGCTTTTTTCTGTCTGCATATGGTGAGTCAATGGTTGATGGCTTTACAAAGCAGTGGCCTGACACTTGTGCATACTGTCTACATCATATCATATTTTAACAGGTCATTCGAGGATTTTATTGGATGAATGCGGATTTGTCAATTCATGTCGCTCTAATGAGCTATAATGAAAATAAAACATGCCCTAATTCGTATTTACGCACTCTGCGGCTCGAAACTTAGACGTTTTTTTGTCGATCTATTTGCTTGAGCTATCTAATATCATGCACTTAAGGTACTGCCTCGTCCTTTCATGTCATTACGGCGAGTCTCTCAAGACTTGAAAAAATCTAGCGACCTCGTATTTCAGATATAAACGCAATGCACAGAGGTTATAATGCTGCATTTACCGTTTCATTTGGTTCATATCATTCAAGAGCCTTATTTCAATGGCTTAACAAAATATAGATTGTATCTCAAAAAGATGCTTGATGCAGGTGTAATGGAAGCTGAGGAGGAAATTTCACTATCTTTGTAGGTGATATTGTTGTGCTTAGACCTAACTTCAATCCCGGTACAATAGGTGCTTCGTTTTACCAATCTTTACTTAACTCGCGATCTACCTACTCATCGCATTAACATTCGGAATTGTGGCAAACTGAGCCAGGCGATTCTGATAGTGAGTTCATGCATAGTACGTGAAACGACAAGTAATGCGGTCAAGTTCTATTTTTTTGTTTATTGTACATGTGGGATGGATACATTATTATCCTCTAGATAACTGAGATATTTTTGGGGAACTAATAGCGAATCATCTTTTTGGCATATTCTGAAGTCTGAGCATTTCTCAATGTACCGTCGGATTCACGGACAATAGGGGTCTTTTTACCATGAACGCTGGTGTCGACAAACAAGAATCCAAATCGCTTATTAGATTCCTTCTGGTTCTGTGCTGGCAATTTTTCGATGCTCTCTTTCTCCGACACCATCCACTTGTCGCCCTTTGCTTTGGATTCACCAATGAGCAGATCCTTTTGGACGTCTGCGAAGGCTCTGCGGTTCAACACCTTAGCAGCATCCTAAAATACAATCACCTATGTTAGATATGCGGTTCATCGCTTGAGCTGTACACCTCCTTGCTGATTTAGTTACCTCGGGAGTGAATTGACTCTCTTCATCAATAATCTGGTACTTGGGCTTCTTTACATCAGGCTGGATTTCGATCAAAGTCTCTCTCAAGTTTCGCTCAGAATGCTGAACACCAATCAGCTTTTCCATTCCCTTCGAAAATTTAGTTTGCAATGGGACACCCTGTAAAAAGGACAATTAGAACGAAACCAAAACAATGGAACAAAAATTTAATGGCCATGACACGTACCTCGCCCATCATTTGCTTTTCTTGAGCCTTGAGCTTGAGAATAGCATCAACTCTTGCCAAAGAGAGACTGTATTCAGTTGCCAACTTGCGCACAGTCCATTTCTCAGGCTCGGAAACATACTGTTGAAAAATCTTTTCACGTACGGTGTCTGATAGGGGGAGTACGGGCTTGAACAAGGGGTTCATGGGGAATGGAGTCTGGGCAATGTAGTTGGTAGTTCCTTGAGAAGGTTCCTTATATTTCTTGCCTTCACCATTGGCCCATTCGTGGAACTTTCTTCTTCTTCTTGAGAGCTTTACAGGTTCGGTCTCTTCAGCGGGCGATGATTGCTCAGTTCCCTCTTGTGGAGATTCTGTGTCTTTTTCTTCTCCATTGAAAGTGGTGGAGTGAAATTGTCTAAGGGCAATAGGAGCGGTTCGCTGTGTTGCACATTTGGAGGCAGTAAGCCCAATGATTCGAACACTGCTGGGTAACATGATGGGTAGACTAATTTGTTTCGACAATTCGTTGGTTTCTCACTTTGAGAGCCAGAAAACAAGGCGGAAAAAGCAGTCCATTTGTGTGGCTTAGATGTGCTTGGTGGTGAATGAAAGGGCGCGCGCACTGCTACTGGGGCCGCCCTACCCAAAGTCGGCCGGCCACCATTCAAGATGCTGTCAGTAATCAGGACCAACGCTCTTCGCTCATCGGCTCCTCTCAAGCCCTTTTCCACAACTGCATTCCTTTCCACTAACCGGAAAAGCACTCCAGATAAATGTAACTACGCACACAAAAGGTGAAAATAGTCTTGTGTTGACTCTCCGCTAAAGTACCGAACAGCTCGTCCAGATGTCCACTACTATGCCGCAGACGACAATCAAGCTGGTTCAAAGAAATATCCAGTTTCGTTTTTGTCTGATAAGGAGCTTCCTTCTGGGAGCGCAATTGAAGACTTCCCTCGTGCCGTCATAGGTTGGTCAGCAAGTGAAGGAGACATTAACCCAGGAACGTTCGCCGAGAACGAAGAGTTTGCCGACCTTTTGCACAAGGTCATCGGCGACAACGTTGACAAGGTGGATGACTCTTCATTGAAGGGAATGGCGGAATGGCAGCAAGAGGGGTAAGTGTTTAGCAATGATCCACTTAGTACGTATCAATCCTGGTTGTCTCATATTTTTGCCAGCTGGTTACATGTTGCAGATGAACGCAATCCTCCTCCGTGGGGTCGCATACCGCTACCTGAGGATATCTTTGGAAGTGTTTTGTTGAGTAAAGGAATCATCCAGCCCAATACATATCAGCGTATGCCATCGCACCGATTTGTAACATCCAATGGGCTCTTCCAGCTCAGCCCACCCATGCAAAGCATTCTGCGCTCGACGTTGTTAGAGGAAATCAAACAATCAAAAAAATAGAATGAAATGAAATAAATGTCGTATAATCCTTTTGTGAATTTATTATGAATGTATGGTTCGATATGGTATTATTTTTCTAAGGACAGGAAAAGATGAAGATGAATAAGAAAAAGACACACACTCTATTGATTTTTTTTTTTTTTGCTTTCTTTTTTTTTGATAGTTTCTTTCTCTTTTTCTTTTTTTGGTGTCATGTTAAGCAATTGCTTTACGATATTCCCTTGCTCTTCTTTTGTTTTTGTTTTAAACTCTGTACATTAAGGTAAGAAATGGGAAGTTTCCAGCCTTTCTTTGATGAATGCTATGTCGGATTTAGCTTGCGGATATCGCTTTAGAAATTCTAACATATTGGTGATCACGGTTAAAAATAATATGTGGTCAGCATCTGAAGCGTCAGCTAGAGAAGCCTCTAACTGGCGCTCAAAAGAGATTACGCAAGGTACATCTTGAAATGAACTTGCCGCCAAGGCCTCGTTCCATACTACAATAAAAAGCGGAACGGCGTAACTTTGGTCGCTGTGATAACGCTTAGCAAAGTGATGTCGAAACACTAAGATAGGCACTCGCTCATAGGCACAGACATGAAAATAGCAAGCTGCCAATAAAACCTGATCGCGTAGCTTCATAGCAGTTCTCACCACTGAAGTAGACGATAATACTCCCGCAAGAAGCCGTTTGGCTGCCAGTTGCCGGTCGTTGGCAATAAGGATAGCCGCTTGCCTACAAAGGATTTCCAACAAGGTGCTTGATCTTGAGTCGTCGTCTAGGGAATGCGATTAGTACACTACGGTCAGTTGTTCATGATAATGCCTACATGTTTTGTTCTCTTGCAACTATACCGATTGTTTTGATCGCCTCGTCGCTGTTGAAGTATCGCAGTAGATTATCACTTGCTGTTAGTTGGTCTTCAACTGTCGATGCCAACAGGACGTTATACCACATGAGATCCAAGCAATATGGAACATTTCTGACAGCCTGCTCCATTTCACGCTCAAACATCTTCTCATCCCCTCGGTACATCCAAAGCTCTACATAGAGGCACCATAAAAGGTCAGACGTAGGATTTCGTGCAAGCGCTTGCCGTAAGATGTTGATAGCAGCATTCAGATCCAGTGATTTCGAGTTCGCCTTGTCATAGTCTGCAAACTGGCTAGATGGTAGAGCTTGCACAACAGCACGTACCCAGCCAGGGATGTTCTTGGCGTCAGTAGGATAATTCCTTTCGTCCACTTCAAAATACCGCAATTCCACCGTCGAACCAGGAATAAGCATAGGTTGCAGTGCGCTTGTCATGGGTAGTTTTTGTGCCACTGGCTTAACAGTGTGTTGTCCTCCTTTTTTCCGCTTGATCACTTCTTGACGTCTTGCTGGTGATGGTATAAAGCTAACCTTCTGAAGCTGATTACCAGATAGGTTGCGGCGTCTTATGTCTAGAGCAGCACGCACATAAGTAGCTGGCTTTTTTGTCCTGGCAGCATCCATAGTGGCAAACATTCGCTCTAAAGTCTTTTGATCCTTCATTTGCATTCCATCGTTTTCACCACGTGAATAGGTCAATAAATCTTGCATAACATCAGTCGGGGAAAGGTCAAAATCACGAAAATGCCGTGATCGGCATGTATCGTCATTGCAAGTACCACCAGCAAGCTCAAATGCACACAAGTTCTTGGAGGTATCTACTGGATTGCTGTAAGCCATGGATTTGTTGGAAGGTCCGCCAAAATATTGAAATGATCGAAATCGATGAAGAGGTGATTGGTATGGTTGGAATTCAGTCATATCATGGGATCGACCGTGATCTTTCAAGTTGACAGAAACATCTGGTTGATTGAGAGAAGGGGTATCTAAGGTTTCGTTTTGAGGCGATGGAGGATCCATGTAGTATTCTAAAAAGTCTTGAGGCCGTTTGACAACGCGAATATGATCGTGACGATTGTCGGTAAGGTGGACAGACTTTTCCTTGATACGAAATCCCTCTGTCGATATGACTTTTGCCAAACGGTCACGAATTTCATTAAAAAGTGGTAACGTATCGTTGCGGGGGTAATGAATGATTTCGTCCATGGTGATTCGTGCCGCTTCGACATCGGCATTAGGCATGCTTTCAACAACAGGTCGGTCGAACTTTCCACGTTTCGCTTGATGTCGAACTCCCGTCCGTGATAATGATCCATGCCGCATTTCTCCTGTTGTGCTACTTTCCTCCACGTAAGGAGACGGCCGTTTTGCTGGTGATGGGCTTGGCTGAGTGGAGGGATTCTTGGAAGTAGATACAGGTGATTGTATCTTTGGGCTAGCAGAAGCCCTTTGTAGCATTGATAACTTTGCTCGAACACCAAGTGCTTTCGTTCTAGCCAATTCCTTTTGCAATCTCATAGTTTCCTGTTGCTTCTTCATCTCTTCGATCTTCGCTTCTATGGAACGAAGAGCTTCGTCTTGGTCATCTTCGAGCTGCTGCAATGACTTCAACTGTTCTTCATATTCAGTGAATGGAGAGTTGAAACTGCTTGTTCCATTTTTGTCGCTAACCGAGGTATCAGACATGACCACGTCTTCATTTGCTAATGCTGTTGAGGAACTCTTGTCTATCATGCCAGACGAAATATCACATTGATGGTAACGCAGTTTCAGTACGAGAGTTATCATTTAGAATGTATATGGAAATGTTTCCTACCTTCGCGGATTCCTGTTGGGCTTTCGTCGTTTTGTTCCAAACTCTCCAAAAGCTGATTTACATTTTGATCATCCGTTGCCTTCAGAGCCGACAGCTGTTGAGCATTGGCAGATTTGACCACTACCTGTGCTCGAGCAACAAGCTCGGCCGCTGCCTCCTGCATGTCCTCGTTTAGCGGGCTACTTGTAATCGAAGGGGTATTTGTTGTAGACTGGTCATATATGGCTGAAGGCTGCGGGGTGACTGAGCCAACACCAGAAGGAGATGGTGATTCTCCATCCGAAGCAAGTATTTTCTCCTTCTTCTTAGACTGCTCCATTTGTTCAATCATCTTCTTCATATCCGCAATCTGTTTGAATCTTGCCGTCAATGCATCTGTATCGGTGGTCGCAGCTACTACTGCCGCTGTTGCCTCCTTTTCTCTTCCCTCCGATGTCCTTTGCGGTTGCGACTCTAGTTCAGGCAGGACGGGCCGGAAGTACTCTTGCGCCAAGTCGGTCATAACTTCAGAATCACGAGAGACATCCAGGAGAAGATCCATGTTGCGAGCTTGTATTAATGAATCCTGTTGCCTATGGGACTTAGCTTGCTTATTGATCTTCGCGGAAGGACGTTGAGCAACCTTCTTTGCTTTTTGATCACCTGTTTGTGCAGTAGACTTGACTATGTGATGCAAAGATGGACCGGTTGTCAGCTCTTGATGAGTTTGTATTGATTGTGTGCTTGAAGTTTGAGTTTCTGGATCAGCCCAATGGTCTCCTGAATCCACTCGTGACGCAGTCATTATGATAGTACTGGTTCCAACCGAATCTTCTATTTCCATATCTTCTTCAATATCACTATCCGATGCATGCTCTAGCTCTGGATATTCCTCTCGATCTTGGTCTTGGTCTTGGTCTTGATCAGAAATATCTGATATTTCCATGTCACTTTCGGTATTCGAATTGCTCTGGGCTTTAAGGTCATCCGTACTTGGGTAAGGTTGAGGATGAGTAACATCATCTGTATCAGCGCTGTTATATTGTGCTTGTGTGTTGCTCAAATCAGTGTTGTATGTTTTGGGATCTTGCGCAAATGCATTTTGTTGTATTGACATATTTTGGATGCTCTCAGCATTAGGTTCTGGAAACCGGGGTATCGGAAGACCGTACTTTCGGCAAAAAGCAACGATGGCATCTTCAGCGATTCCAAAATTAATGAAAGCTGACGGTGCTATACCCATATCACTCAAATTGACTAATTCACTTTCAACGTCGTTGTCTAATAAATACAAAGATCAGCTAAAACTGAGAGCCTACTGGGTGGCGCAGAACCGTTAAAAGAACGTACCGTCTGAGGTGATACTTGATACTGGTGATCCTTTACTGTGGTGTATTGATAAATTTCTCTTTTCTGAATCTTCCTGCGACGTATTGACGACTGATTGAGGTATGGTTGTGCTGCTTAAATAACAATTTTCAGAATCACATTTGTCTTATGGACCATGCCGTCATTCAACAATAGCTTACGATATAGAAGGTTGAGACCGATATGAACGAGTGAGAGTATCTTCTTGGGTTATCCTATTCGACATATCTTTTGAGAGATGTAAATTTAGCTTGAATGAAAGGCAGTTTGGCTCGAATCGTACTGACGACTCTTTGCTTGTACCGATTTTTGCTTTAATAATTACCATGTGTGTTGTGATTATGATGGTCATGGCTACCAAGACTTGTGGGATCGAAAATCTCGCCCTCCTCTTGATCGTCTCTATAACCATTGTCGGATGTAGTTCTACGAGTCTGTAATGCGGCAGCTCGCAGGGCACTCAGATCCAGCATTGCAGTGGTTGAACAACCTGACAAAGGCAGCAGTATTGGCGACAAAGAACGGATTCAAATGCGAAGTCACAAATTCTCAACAGCTCAAATTTTCAATCCGGTGGCAGGGATTCTTTACGCGCATGCTTACCGAGTTATAGCATATGAAACAACTTGACGTTTGAACTTATCAATGGATCGTTTTGAAGCCTCTTTACAATCGAGAGCTTCTCGGTCGGAACATCAAGACTTGAAGATGGGTCATAATGAGGAGCCTGCCGTCACGAATGACAGATCTCGAGTGGTACATCCCAGCTCTTATTATCCTGTCCCATCGGCCATCTTACTTGGAAGAGAATTTTTGGAACCCCCACCAACTCGACTTGATCCACAAGACGAAAGCATGTTAAGCTTTGATATGCTAGAATTATATGAGGTAAAAGATCGTTTGTATGACTTGAATCGCCCAAGACACCAATGATAACGGATCTGATCTCGTTAAAAGTCACTATTACCCACAAAAGAAAGCCATGTACATCGACTTCAACTTGTAGAAAAGATCAACAAGATCTTGAAAAATGAATGGCCATCCTACGATATATCGACTCATGTCTTTGGGTAGGTGACACACACTTTAATTAATTACCAGTCAGAGTAATCGTGTCATTAAGCTTGCTCTCTACCCTATTTCAAGATCTTCACAAAATAGACTTGCCACGACGTACTCGGATGTAGATATTTGCATAGAAACGAATCGAAAGGAACTAGAGAATGTTCGAATACTTGCCAAAAGTTTTAAAAAGCGTATGTGGGGTCAATTGATGACTTAGTTATCAGCAATAAGCTAACAGTATTTGTTGCAACTTCCTTACATAGATGGCATGCAACGAGTACAATGCATACCATGGGCAAAAGTACCCATCGTGCGACTTTGGGATAAGGATTTGTGAGTACTATTTTCTGTGGCAGTCATGAGTTGTAGGATGCCAGAGCTAACAAACGCTATGGCGACTTAGGAACCTAGCGTGCGATATTAATGTCAACAATACTGTTGCACTACACAATACGAAGATGGTTCGGACATTCATTGACATTGATCCACGAGTGCGGCCACTGACTATGATCATCAAACACTGGGCGAAACAAAGGCAGCTTACCGATGCAGGCAATGGTGGCACCTTGTCGATTTACGCATGGATTTGTATGATATTGAATTTTTTGCAAATGCGGCAGCCACCCATACTGCCCATTTTACACGACACGGAAGGAAAAAAGCCTGCAACATGGTTTAATGATGACCTCGATTCATTATACGGATTTGGCACCGCTAACAGCGAAAGTGTTGGTGGGTTATTGTATGCTTTCATCAGACATTACGCTGTTGAATTTGATTACGAGAAGCAGGTCATATCTCTTCGACATGGCACTCATCTTGATAAGAGCTCCAAGGGCTGGGACTTTGGACGAAATTACCGAATGCTGTGTATAGAGGAACCGTTCGATACGTCTCGTAATCTTGGCAACTCAGCCGATGACATCTCTATTTTTGGACTGCGTCGAGAATTTCAGCGAGCGCTTGCAGCTCTTAGCGAAAAATGCAGTATAGAACTTCTTTGCAAGCCCTACGTAGCCCACATTGCACCTGAAGTTTTGAACTGGGATGGCGACAATGTGGAATCAGAAGAAGCTGTTGTGTCAGTAAATAGGGAAGAGTATGACACGGAAGGCGTCCAAACCACCAACAAACCTTTGGAAACGCCAAACACGAGAACTCCCATAGACAATGCCCAACGGCCACCAGGTTCTAAAATGGATTTAGATAACATATATACTGATACCGTAGCTCGTGTAAAATTACCTTCCCGTCATCGTTCAACTGCTGTAAAAAAAGATTCATGATTTGCCCACTCCATCGGAGCACGTGTGTATGTGTTACTTGAATCCGGCACCAGTACATTTTTGCTCAATCGAGTTCTTCGTCGACAATGTCACAAAGAAGACAGGAAATGCCTATGCCTGGCTACCCTCAGGAGGGTCAGTACTCGCAAAGAATGCCTCAACCTCAAGATTATTCAAACTATAGTGTGTCACCCCCTGTCGACGAATTCAACAGGCTTGAGGTCAATGAGCACAGTCACCACCGCCCTCACCACCCTGGCCAAGAATCGCACGCGCACCATTTCCCAACCGAGACCCAGCGTCAGACAGAACAGCAGCATGAGGCTCTTCAGCACCATCCTAGCAACGTAGTCATCGGACCTCTACTTCGATATGATCGTATCGATCACGTTGCAAAGGTATGGCGAGGTTCGTGTCTCATTGTATCGGATGACACTAGCCCCCCGGTTATGAGTCTTCATATTGGCTCAGAAAGAGGTGCTTCTAGGACTCTGCACGCCCACCCAGATCTCTTGGATGTGTACCGAAATGAATTTCACTTTTGGCGTTTCCCTCTGGAAATCCCGTTGGCGGAGCATGACCAAACCGTGGTTTACACTGCCACTTGCTTCGTGACTAGAATGAACTTCACATTTCATCTACCAGCGGTTCAAGACAATATGCGGTTCATGTTCTACTCTTGCAATGGTTTCGCTGATGTTTCTAAACCACTTCAGAAAGAGCTTGGCGCTCCCAATCACCCATTGTGGCAGGACGTCCTCGACAAACACGCGACTATGCCATTTCATGTTCTGATTGGAGGCGGCGATCAGCTGTATTCAGATGATATGATTGAGGAAGAGTTTATGAAACCGTGGATTACCGAGACGGATATTCCAAAGCGAATGGCTTTACCTCGCAGCATGTTTGAGGAACCAATGGAAGCATTTTATTTCAACAACTATGTTAATTGCTTTGGGTAGGTTTTCTCTGTGCAAAAATCATCAGAGCTGTGACCCCAGGTATCTTTGAACTAATTTTTAGATAAATTTAGGCCAAAGGGAAATCCATTGGTGGCAGAAGCCTTTGCCTCTATACCTTCGGTGAATATGTGGGATGATCACGATATCATAGATGGCTACGGCAGTTACCCTAATGACATGCAGAATACTGAACTCTTTCAAGGTAAACAAATCAATATTGCGTACAAGCATGGAATCTTTAGGGTTTAACATGGTTTCCACTTTTCCAGTGTTGTTTGCCAATGCAGTTCGCTTCTACCTTCTTTTGCAACACCACACTACCCTTAAGCGAACTGAAGCGGATGGCCTGATTCGTGGTACACTACCCACTTGCAACAGCGTTCTTACCAACCTGGGACCTCAGGTCTCATTACTGTGTCTGGATGCTAGAGGAGAAAGAACAAAATACGACATTTGTCGACCAGAAACATACCACCGTATATTTGAATGTTTGTACCGCATGGTCCCGCCTACCACCCGACATTTAATCGTGGTGACCGGCGTACCTATCATCTATCCTCGTCTGACATTATTCGAAAGCGCCATGGGTGGAATCAGGGATTTCAACCTCGCTACTTTAGTAGGCAAGACTGGAGCACTCGGTGATATTATTAATGGACAATTGAATAATTGGAACGGTGACCCTGAACTATTGGACGACATGAATGATCGTAAGTTTGAGTTGTTTATTCAAAATATGCTATAACTACATATTTATGGACATTTTGTCTTGCAGACTGGGGAGCTGCTGGTCATGAGTCCGAACGTAAATTATTTATCGAAAGACTTCAAAAGTTTGCAAAGCATCGATCGATTCGTGTGTCTTTTATTGCCGGAGATGTAAGTGAATTTTTTTTTTTGGGTGAGAGCGGAAATACCACCTCAAAAAGGATCATCAGCTCTAACATCATAAAAATTCCTGTAATAGGTTCATTGTTGTGCGGCTGGCAAGTTATACTCAAAGGATATGAGAGAGAAGGAAGAAGGCGATCCGCATCTTATGATGCAAGTGGTCTCCAGTGCTATCGTTAATGCGTATGTAGTTTTACTTTGGGGATGTATCCTGAGAAATTCAGTGTACTCACATGTTCCGTTTTAGACCTCCTCCACAAGCTTTACTCACGTATTTGGGGCAAAATGCTAGTCCTGTATCTTTCAACGGCAATACGGAAGAAAAGATGTTCAATATCTTCAAGATGTCACCTAATGGCAATTCTCGCACCAATCAAAAATTGATGGGTCGAAGAAATTATTGTGCTGGCTATTTTGACAAGGAAGGCAGCAACAAATTATGCTTTTGGATTCAAGCTGAAATTGATCCTGGTGAAAAGCACACCGCTGGTTATCTTTTGGCAGTTCCTCAACTTTTATTTGGACCTGCTGGACTCCAGCATCTTGCTTACCATTATTAGTTTCTTCCTCTGCTTATTGTCTATATGTCTTATGAATTGGAAAAAATACATCTTTTTGGCTTTCTTCACACTGCCCTGAGATTTTACCCCACCTGAGTTTTAACCCATAGCCGGCCTTTCACGTGAAATCCCAACATAGCAAATTACCCACTCGTTCCTGTTAGGATTCGTGTCCTCTGCTCTTTCATCACAAGCATGTCGGCCCCATCACAATTATCCATCGGGGATCTGTGTAGATCCAACGACGAACACGAGAGTCGGGCTGAAGATGGCCGTAACGAAGACCAAGCTTTGACTTCTTCTCGTCACAGTCATTCGCGGACGAATAGTGGTAAGTAAAAATAAACTGAAAAGAAACCGGTGGGTCCTACGAACGACAAGCAGTCAATGATAACATTATGTGATCTTTCTAGATACATCTTCACTACCTTCATTGTACAATGGATCGACAACTCACAATACTCCTCTGACAACCCCAACCGCCACCGAATTTGCATATGATCGATTTCCGTCCAGTCAACAAACGTCATCGTCCTCATGGATGACTTCAGCCTATAAAGCCTACGGACAAAGTAAAGTGATGCGATACGTAGAATCGGGTGTTCGATCTATAGCTGTTCCTATTTATGGTCGAATTGGCAAATCATTCCGAGACGATAAACCGGTTGACAAGGTAAAACCGACGATAGGACTTTATTTTTTATAATTTTTACATGTGGTTGCTGACATATTTTGTCTTATCTTTGTATTGTTTAGATTGACATGCAATTGAGGGATGGTAAAAGCTCTTCAATCAAAGCACTTATGGAAGATGAAGATATGCCTATTACCAAAGCTCTGGCAAATACATCGCTCGAAGGTTCCAGACGAAGGGCTCATCGAATGCAAAACGATAGCACTACATCAGGTATGAAAATAATAATTTTTGTAACACGTGAAAATCTGTCAACTCCCCTCAAGGGTCCGAGCTTTTCCTACTTTACCCTTTGTCATCAACTTCTCTACTTCTCTTTTTTTTTTATTTCTTTTTTTTTTACCTCTCTCACCTTTTGTAATGTCTAACACTTACATTGAACTAACGTAAGTTACTCAAATAGATTTACTGCCCAAGCCTCGTGTGGCCACTAGATCCATTTCACCTCATCGTTCAGCTCCGTATTCAACTAACGCTTCAAATAGATCACGATCACCTATCCTTCGCCAGTCTTCGTCACAATCTAGAAGCCGATGGCAGCAGTTAGTAGTGGGTGCAGGATCAGCTGCAGGTACTACAGCTGCTGTTATTAGTGAAGAGAGTATGAAATGCTTGAAATACTGCCTCAACTGGCTTCAGTATGCCGTCAACCACATTGACCAACAAATGTCAATACTACGAAACTTCTTGGTATCTCTGGCCACCTCATCCAACCCTTCATCATCACAGACCGTAGCGAGACCATCATCATCCGTTCTGTCGTCTGTGAAAAAAGAGATTATCGACACTCTGAGAAAAGTCGTCGAAATCATCAGTAAATATGCCGGCTCCTCGTTACCAGCCCATGCAAGAAGTGCTGTGAGGAGTTTTATAATTAATCTGCCGGGAAAATGGGTATGTATTTTTGCACTGGCTGTATGAAAAATGGACTATATTTGCTTGATGTTTAACCTCTGCGTGATGGCAGGCTCTTGTCAACGAAAGTAGATCGACCACTGTCTCGCCCGTAGCTTCACCACAAATGCGGCCGTACGGTATGGAAACTCAACAACCAGACTCTAACTCCCAGGAAGCAGCAGTTCGACTTTTGCAACTAGGTGGTGAGTCGGTGGAGATGCTCCATTCAGTGTCTGGTATCTTCAGCGATACTATAGACCGTGCAGAGCTCTGGTTGGATCGTTTGCGGACGGTAAAAATGGCTTCAGCTGGAAATGAAGATATTAAACTGCCCGCTCTCAAGGCTGACGAAGATTACTCCAATATTTCTTTACCGTCACTTCACTCTGTCACTGAAAACCAACTACATCATCGTCCAGGTTTCATCAATATGCCTGCTCATGATACCGACATGGACTATTAGTTCTCTGCCTGTTTGGGACTATACCCTCCTCACTCTCCTTCATCCATCCATTCTTTTGAAGAAGGGATATCATCTATAGTTTATCTCTTGCATTGTATCTCTTGTATAAGACGGAGAGGAATTTCTCTCTTTCATGTTATTCTTTCATCTGATGTCTGTGGGCTGGCTGTCACTTTTATGAATATCTATTTTGTAAAGTACTCAGAACTACCAGCTACTTTGCACACCTGTTGTGTCATCACAGCAGAACATTTATCGGCCTCATCGCCTCAGTCTCTATTTCGTTTTCGTATTGACTTTTTTGCTTTATCTTAATTTGTAATAACAGTATGCCTATAAAGTGTTTCTTTGACAATTTTGGATTGGGCCCGAACGTCCGCATCTGGCTGGCTCAAAAATCGTTTGCAGATGCATGTGCTATTCTCAAATGGCATACCTCTGCAAACGTTTATTTTATTTCCACTAAAATATTGTCTACATCTCATCTCCTAGCTTCGTGGCTCAATTTCAGGCTATACCCCAAACTGCCATCATTCTTACACAGGAGTCGACAATAACAGCACTATTTCTTTTAAAAATGCTAGAGCTAGTTTAAGAGTCAACTGTTGATAAGCAGAGCAGATAAGTATGATTAATTGTTTATGAAGGAATACTGTATATTAAAAAATCGATACTGAATAGTTCTGATAGTTCATCTTGAAGAAAAAATAAAATAAGGAGACAGAAAATTATTCGTTGGTATATGCCAGCTTGTGACAGAACCTTAAGAATAGCAAGTGGCTTCATTCAAAGACAGTTTGCATCGTACAACTTAATTTAGATATAATGAGCCAGATGGTTTCCCTCAGCATCATAAGAGTCTGCTACTTCGTGGCCAGTGATACCAGAGACATTGACCCAGCCGCCGCCAGGAAAACTAATAACCCACTCTTTGTAAGTAACGAAGCCTTTAGTATTGCTCAGTTCAACCTGTTGAAAATAATAATAGATGAAATCTAATGTGTTTCTCATAACTAGAATAAAATGATGGCTTACTTACGGCCATTTGGATAATGTGGGTTGGGTCACCTCCTGCTACACAGTCCTTGTTGTGATAAGAGCAGCAAGCACGGTTACCACCATCCAAGTAATCGTATTTGAATGCTCTTCAAGTACAATTAGTATGAGAGGGGAAGGAAAAAGAGCGCTTTATGTCATTGGAACTTACGAGGTTGCATCATTCCCAAAGCCATCAAATTCTTCTAGATACAGTACGTTTCCAGGATCCATGCTGTTGTAGATACAGAACCCGTGCACTTGCAACAAGCGAGCAGCGAACACTAGAAAGGCCAATGAGAGGAAAGAGAAGTTTTTCATGATGTAGAAAGGCGTTGAGGAGGGTTGAATAGAGTACTTGTTAAAAATTCTTGACACCTCGTCGTTCATATATAGGTATTTTCACAATGGATGTTCGAATGCGGTAAATGTTAGGAATTGTGCACGGTGCTGCTGCAAATGAGAGCACAAAATTAATTGATGGTGGTGATACAGTATTGAATGTTTTATTTGATGAAGTGTCCTATTTTTTTCTCTGAATCACTTGATGGATACTATCGAGCCTGAGCTGGCGTTCACCGCTGCTCAGGTTTATCATAACGCAGCTGAGGTAATGACCGAAATGATTATAATACATCCACTGACACACTACAAGGTCCTTCGTTCTTGATTTCAATGATAAAAAACAAAAGCCACCCTTAATGCAAGCTCATTCGTTTGTCTGTACATTCATGCCTGGATGCGACCATCTAAGTAAGCAAAATGTGAAAAAAAAATCCTTAGAAGACACAAAAAGGCAGCCCGACGTGGGGGTCGAACCCACAACCTTGAGATTAAGAGTCTCACGCTCTACCGATTGAGCTAGCCGGGCATTTGTTGCTGTCTTGAAGTCGTAAAAATTACTAAGGGTTAGAGTCGTATGTTACCTAGTCATTCCGTGGCGTTTTTAATAGAAATATCTCTGTGCAAACGACCAGTTTTTACTCAAGAGATATTACTTATTGACTATAATTCCACAATATATATATATACTTTACGATTTCTGGCTGTCACTACCTCTGTTTTATTCACAACATTTATTATTCCTACTTGTCTTTTAGCAAGTTGGGATAGTATTAAAACAGGAGTGAAAAACTTTTTAATTGCTTTCTTAATTTTAGAAACTTTATTAACTGCATTTTTCGTTGTTTTAAATCTACCATTATTCTATACTTGTTTCGAAAGTGTTTTAATTCAAATCTTCTTAATTATTTCGTTCTAGAAGTTTTCCCGTTGACATAGCCAAATTATACTAGGACTTCGTCTACTACAAGCCATATACTTAAATCCGACCACAAGCCATATTGGTCGTGGTGGCTGAGGCTTAGTATATGTATCTTCTCCGTTGCTCAGCCAAAGAACATATATATATCTATTACCCCAGGAACCCGTGGTAACAAGTCAATTCCTTTTCCAGAGCCGCAATGGGAGTACAGTAAACTTCCATTTAGTATTTGCCCTAAGCCTCGATTGAAGGTCGCAACGGAAGTCAGTTATATCCGCCGACGCAGTGAGTTCTAGATAACTCATTTTGGAAGTTAAATCAATCAGTCGGTTGCTCGAAGCAGTAATCCCAGACACAGGAGCCAGTGCTAACCACGTAAATAGTATGAAAGTTGGATACTGACTTTTTGTTTTGTTTTGGATATCTCAAGAAGTAGCTTGGGTTGCAAAGACATTACTAGAGATAAATAATTTATTTAGGAGAATCAAGAATAGAACAGGACGGACGTCTCAGAACGTCCATATCACTTACCCAAGTATACATATTGCTGAATAGTACATCTCATTAGCATCTGTTCCTTACATTTCAGTGAAAAATTTACCAATGTCATAAATAAAGCCAATTTTGATCATAAAAAAAAGAAACAAGAATAGAACAGGACATTATCGAAGATGAAAATCCTGTTCCCATGGATCTTGGGCCCCTAGGAGAGGCAAGAGTTTCAACTGTGGAAAGAAAAATTTATGTCGTCCGCGAATGCACATGAGTTGCCAAATGTCAATGTAATGTGTACGTCTCCCTGCATCGGATTGGCTGAATGGGTCTTTATGGGCCCATAGGTATCATGTAAGAAAATGGTAGTGTTATGGCGATGAATTTATTCTTACGAATAAAATAGTTACATAAACCACAGCAGACATAGACATAATCCCAACATAATTGTTACACCCGGTATACTTTATTGCTTTGTCGGGTATAAACCTGTCTAATAGGGGAGGAGGTTATTGGAGATGGGGATTTTTCATGTTGAACAAATTATAGCTACAGGCTGACGGAAACTTGAATGCAGTGAAGAGATACAATAATAGCAGACTTTCCTTTAAAAATAATAATATTAGTCTACAGAGAAAGCGATGGCAAGGGATGGAGTAAGGGATGTGATCATCAAAGTCTGGCTTTTAAAGGTTCCAAACGGAATTTGATCTCACGCAATTTGGCGCTTATTGGATTCCATTTCTCAAAGAGTGTTCTTAACCTTTCCAGTTCCTGGTTCAAAATTTTGTCGTTCAGGATTCTCGCATCATCACAGATACCACGCATGGCCCAAGGCAGATAGAAAGGATTCAGTCGGAGTCTAGCCTGGAAGGCTTCCATTTCTGGCTCTTCGTTGTCACAAGAAGGTAAACGCTTGGTATTGTATACTGGGGCTGACTCGCCTGCCTTGATTATGTCTTGTTCTGGTTTAGCTAATGGTGGTGGAGGAGGTGGGGAACAGGCAGCAATTGTCATTTTGCCAAATGGAGGGGTCTCAAATAGATAGCGAGCAGCCATGGTGTAAACGCCTACTTCTTCATAGATAGTGGAATGGCCGCCTTCTAAAGCATATAAATTTCCGGCTAAAACCTCACTGACATGAATTAGCAAACCATGGTCTGAGACTCCTGCATTTCGTAAGCGCAGAGCAAATATAATCAAGTTGATAAGAAAGTCGTCTTCGTTGTAGACATGACCGTCAATATAGATAGCACGGAATAGATTTGGATGAGATGCGCTCGACATAACGGCTGAATAAAGAGGCACAACCTGATCTTGCATAGATCCAACAAGCACCATCCTAACACCTGCGGTGAGATTGCTGGATAAAGATTTACGAAATTTCTTAGAAATCTCAGTCGAAGAGTCCATAAATTCAAACAGCTCTCTGGCTGCATCCGCCTCAAAATACTGTAGAGTTGATCATTAGATGTATGCGTAAAAATCCCAGCCGACGAAATGCCAAACACCATACCTTGACAATGAGATTTCCTTTCAAAGCTGGAAACGGACCTTGGGAAATACCCGCCATAGCTAACATAGCGCACTGCTGCCTTCCCATATGTATGTGACCTTCATGCAGTAGCCTGGCGAGAAGTAGTGAGGAGACCGGTGTACCCTGTGAGTGAGTAGCCCAAAATATCACATCTGCCGAAGAAATGGCATCTAGCCAACTTGAATTGCCAACCAAAGCATCATACAATCGCTGGACTCTATCTTCCACTTTTCCCTCTCCTTCCAATGGAATGCTTGTAATCGCATCATCTGGTATAGATATACCATGCGTACTGTTGAAATATTGCCGGAGACCTTTGACCATTTGCTCGCAAAACTTGGTGGAGGTTCCAGTAGGCTCTCCAATCATACTCCTTACAAGCTACAGGAAGAGAGAACGGTTAAAATTATTGGCTTAGATAAGCTGCTAGTATCATTCCACACGTGGAAGCATACCTTCATAGGGAACCACCTGAAAATTATACAAAGGTGCCAATCAATATAAACGTGCTCGGGCACGTGGGATATTATCATAAGAAAACAGACTTACCCATGAACTCCAACAACGACAAATCTTTTGCTGGCTACTGTATCAGGTTCCAACTGTATATCTTGTATAAAGTTGGCCATTTTCTCCCGCACACCTCGCAAGCGATATAGATTATCACTAGAACTGTAACTCTTGTGAACCTTGCTGGCGAATAACCCATTAATAGCATTTAGAGCCTTGTTAATTAAAGTTGTTGGAGTCGAGTTATTCGCCGCTATTTCCATGGTGGGTGTGTATTTGAACTGCGAGTTGAATGTTGGCAATACAACATTTTTCGTCGATGTGCTCTTGCCCATGCTGATCTCAGACGATGGTGCTAACGATGCAGTGTCCCCCGCCTTATCCTGACTGGCGGATCTCTCTATTATGACCACCTGCTTGGATTTATCCTCTGCATTTGTTGATCCTGACACTGTCCGTTGACTGGTCGTAGGTCTGCTAGTCGATGTCAGGGAAGATAAACTGCCTTTCTTCTTCACCACCGTGTCGTCTTTGATTGAAGACACGTTCGATCTTTTATCAACATCGATGCCAGAAAGCTTTGGGCTACCTTTCAGTTGCTCAGACTTGGCTGCATTTACTTCCTTTACACTAGCAGTGCCTGATTTAACAGACTCGGTTTGGGAGGTGGACTTTTCCATAGGGGTGGCTTGAGATGTCTTATCTGAAAGCGAAGTGGTTGGGAAAAAGAATCCCCAGCTTGAGCTGGTTTGGGATGTGGAATGACCTGTTGTCGATTCTGGGGTATTTCTAGGCGATGGGTGAGCAGCTGAATGACTGGAGTTGTTATCGGGTTCAGGTATATGTATCGATGGTGTGGGTTGTCGATCATCTTCTATAGGTGTTTCCGACGACTGCGGTTGAGCATTCATGGTCGGTTTTTCCTCTTGCGTCGGATTGGTGGATGCGTCTTTAGGCTTGGCAAACCATGACCAAAGTGTCGTGGTTGAATCGTTAGTCGGTTTCTGTTGTTTTTGTTCTGAAGACAGATCATCAGAAACCTTTACGTCGTCATGGCTTTCATGTGTCTGCTCCTTGTGAGAGTCATCAATATCGCCGTTTGTTTTACGTTTTTGGCTTTTGGCATCGTCATCATCATCACCTCCACCACTGCCTCCACTAGTACCTTTTCCTACAGGTTCAGGGAGGGGTTCGTGCGGTGGATCTGCTTCGTCGTTTGAATGACTTGTGTTCGATTTCAGGTCTAGGCTCTGAGTTCTGTGCAGTGTCAGCCGGTCGACAGCAGATAAAGCCGGTGAAGCAGTCAAAACGGAATGAGAATCACCATCGTGTTGACCAATTAATGCTGTAATATTGGAAGGATGAAGCTGAATATCGCCGTTAACGGAGATCCCGCTAGAGAGAGTCGCGGCTGTCGCTTTCGGTGGTGTATTCAGCCTCTGCATCCAGCTAGAGGAGGTAGTGGAAGTTACAGAGTTCGTTCTTTCTCGTGGCTTCAGTCGTGGAGACATGTTAGCTCTAAGTTGCTCTTTGGAAACTGATGCAGTTCGACTATCCGCGGGAGAATCGGATGGAAGACTATCCTTAGAAGTTGTCACTGTAAGTGAAGGCAAATAGTGAATAGCTGGATCGAAGCCATGGTATATCAGATAAAACTGTCATAACATACCCATTTTCTCAGGTGCCTTTTCTGTTAAGGTGGATTCTATTGTAATGGTAGAGGACAACTTAGAGCTCTCCAATGGCAACGACGCTCCTCGCTTTTGGTGGTTGGCCAAGATCTTGGCATTCAGGCCTCGTGCCTCGGACAATTCAGTCGTGGTGTCATCAAATGTGTAATCCTCAGGAGACGCAGTGAGCGCCGTCGACTCTACAGTGAAGGCAGCTTTGGGTGATGGTCTACTGGGGATGGTGTCCATAGTGCTTTCCTTGACAATATCGGAAGCGCGGTTTGGCGCTTCGACTATGACAGAATCTTTGGTATCAGGGGTAGCCTCTTGTGTATTATTAGTGTAGCCAAAAGTCCACCATGAGAGTGACATTGATTAGCACAATGACTCTCGAGCAAACAGTGTAAAAGGTGACAGTTGGACTAGAACGAGTTCACGACCCAGGTCAAACGCTGGGGCAAGGTTTCGTCACAGGACAAACGCTGAAGCATGTGATGTTCCGGTATAATATATATGTTTCGGCCAAACAACTTGAAGCATTCTAATAAAATAATTAAATTGTGACATTGCAGCCAAACATAACAGCTATCTTCCTTATGTTTTAATTAAACTGGTACCAACCTTTTTGACGCAGACTGTCAAAAACCAAGTTTAACTCTTGGAAGAAAAAATAGCCAAATTGGTAACCAAAAATTAATTCGAAAAGTGAAAAAAATATGCGCTCCCGGGAAGGCTCGAACTTCCAACCTCCTGATTAACAGTCAGACGCGCTAGCCAATTGCGCCACGGAAGCTTCTTATTTTCTCTGGTTTTTGATAGTTATCTTATTCAAACATAAAAATATTGAGGTATTGATCACGTACATGCTATTAGTTGTCGGCTAGTAAGTTATATACGAAGCATTTGCCTTGCTAGAACTTTATAAAGTTACAAAACATAATGTCTGATGTAGCGAAAACAATTTTTATCTGTGAATGTTTCGAAGGTTATGCTTGAGAGATGATTTAAACGTCATTCTGAAGTACTTTTAACACAATGGCTTCAATAGAAGAGGGTCTTTCGCCATATTCAAGCAGTATAACCGTTCAAAGAGGAGAATTATCATTGTTCAGGCGTTATTTTATAATAGTCATAAAATTGTAAGCTTTATAACATGCCGACAAGATGGATATTCAGACAAAATAGTGCAGGTTATTAACATAAAATGCTCCTGGGGTTGCCCTTTGCAGTATGTAATAAGTTTTGAACCGCGCATTATTTGACAATTTTTTTCTTTTGGATCTCGTGGCGACTAATTTACATTTTGGCACAGTTTCGTTGTTAAAAAAAAATATCAGTAACAGCCTTCTGTAACTTTTTCAGGTCGAACATGCCTAGTGGGAACCTCTTCTCATATCATCCATAATAAAAGCGCGAATTATAGCGTACACCAAATTGCCTAGAACTTCATGAAACTATTTTTTTCCTTCACCTTGTATCAATTAGTCGATAATGAAAACCTTACGCTGTGTGTGAACTGCTCTGGTGCTTAGCTTCTTGGGCAACTGATTTCTCCCCAGCAAGCTTCAGTGCAAAAGGCGTTGTCCCTCGTGTTAGCCTGCTTAAAGCTTCTTGTACCAACGAATAGGTTCTTTGTCGGAAATAAAAGCTCTTAGAATGAGATGAATCATGGATGTTGAATGGAGAATCTTACAGCAAGCACTCTACGACTTCCACTGAAAGTTTACGATAATACAAGTTTACATTAATAATGAAAGACGTAAATTTCATGCTTGGGCTATATTGGTGGAGTAGAACTGGAAAAAAAAAATTAGTACAGATCATTCCATGGATGCTTTCATAAAAATGAAATGTTGATTTTAAATTTATAGTGGTGAATGTTGAAAGATTAGTGTAAGCAGGCGAGTTGACTTTTGCCGAAATGAAAGGGTGTACAATGACTTACCGGAATTTAAATTTTCCACTGCCGAGATAAAAAAAGTCATTTGGCGACAAGAACATGACAAATCTTTTTGATCATGTCCTTATCAGCAGCTGAGCAAGGTCAAACAGAGCAAAGTACACTCTTGCCAAAGCAATTGGATTCTCGCAAACCTCTTATATCCAAAAAAGCGGGTGCCTTGCTGCTCGGTATCGCTGCTGTGGTTGGATTGAGCACTTTCTTTTTTTCGACCGGTAAGTAATATAGCAAGTTGAACCGATCTTGGAATTTCACAAACTGACGCATGAACGTAAAGAAATCCATAAACCAGCATCCTCTAGTGGCCTTGTTGAAGGAAAGAATGGTGCTGTTGCTGTTGAAGCCGAGCAATGCTCTAATGTTGGAATTGAGAGTAAGTGGTACTGTATGATTGCTAAGCATGGTGGTGGGATTACTAACCATTGTCATTTGCAGTTTTGAAAAAAGGCGGAAATGCTGTTGACTCGGCTATTGCCTCTGCACTATGCATTGGTGTAATTGATAGTTTTGCAACTGGTATTGGAGGGTAGGTTTGTCGACGAACTGGAGCTAAGTTTCGACATCAATACTAAACTTTTTCATCACAGTGGCGGATTTATGCTTATTCGCTCTCCCAATGGCACATATGACTTTATAGATTTTCGAGAAACAGCACCTGGAGCTTCACACAAAGACATGTTTGTAGAGGATCCATCCAAAGCGCAAGTCGGTGGGTTGTCAGTTGGTGTCCCGTAAGTTGATTGTATACATCATATATAAGACTGTCACCGTTTCTGACTCTTTTTTATATATATTCAGCGGAGAAATTAGAGGCTTTCAGCTAGCTCATGAACGACACGGAAAGCTCCCATGGGAAGAATTGTTTACTCCAGCAATTGACATGTCTCGAAACGGTTTCAACACAACACGGCTTTTAGCTCAGCGTCTTCAGGTAGGTTACTGGACAACCTTGGTAAAAAGATTGGTCGATGGCTGACCAGTGTGTTTTTCTGCAGTCTGCAAAAGAATGGATCATGCAAGATGCCACATTTTCAGCTGTGTTTGCTCCCAACGGTCAATTAGCAATGGAAGGGCAGCTTATAAAGCGACCATCACTTGCTGATACTCTAGAAATTATCGCCAAACAAGGTCCTGATGCCTTTTATGAAGGGTTAATTGCCGCTAGTATTGTCAATACCACTGTAAACAATGGTGGTATTTTGACCATGGAGGATATGAAGAATTACCAAGCCGTCGTACGACCTCCTATTTCGACATATTACCATGGGCGCAAAATCGTTACCGGAGGTACTCCTACTAGTGGGCATGTTTTGATTAGCGCTCTCAACATTTTGGAGAGATTCAATTTGCGTCTACTGGGAGAAGTTGGTCTCAATGTCCACCGCTTGGTAGAGGCTTTGAAATATGGATTTGCTTTCAGAACCGAATTGGGAGATCCTGATTATGTTGACAACGCCGATCGATTGGAGGAAATCATCTCAAAAGATTGGGCTTCACTTGCTCGTGCCAACATTTCAGATGTAAGCTTGTCATTTGCAGTATCATAGTTTGATGAGAATGGCTATTAAACGAACTTCACTCCAATAGGATCACACTCATGAGCCCACTTTTTATAACCCAAAGTTTGACAACTCGGAAGCACATGGTACCATGCATCTTTCCGTCGTGGATGAGAATGATGGTGCAGTGGCCCTTACCTCTACTGTCAACTTACTATTTGGTGCACGCATTATGGACCCGGTAACCGGCATTATTTTGAACGACGAGATGGATGACTTCTCAATCCCTGGGTAATTATTCCCTTTTTTTTTAAAGCTTGTGAACCTTTTGAACATGTATAGAATCTCGTATACTGATATGATTTAAATCGAAAAACAGAATCCCAAATGCTTTTGGCTTGCAACCTAGCGTTTACAACTATGTCTACCCTGGAAAGCGATCCCTCTCGTCTTGTGTCCCTACTATAATTGAGCGGGACTCCAAATTTGAAATGGCTGTCGGTGCCTCTGGTGGCTCCATGATTATTACTGCAACTTTGGGCGTAAGTATCATATGTGATACTAAAATGATATCAACAAAGAGCTGACAAGGAATTCATTATACAGGTCATTCTGGATGTGGTCGACTATGGCAAAAACATTTTCGACGCCATTGTTGCTCCACGACTTCACCATCAATTGATGCCCAATACTGCTATTTTGGAGGACGGTTTTTCTAAACAGTACATTGATGCTCTGCAGAGCAGAGGACACGACGTAAGTTTCTTCCAATATTCTTTCAAGGTTCATTACCATGTTGTTCTCACACCGCTTGTCAACCAGATTGTTGTGCTTCCCAAAAGTATGAAAATTACTGCCGTGCAGGCTGTTATGCGCAGTCCTGATGGAACCGTCTATGGCGCCAGCGATATTCGAAAATACGGACAAGCCGCTGTCTACTAAATGCACTTCCCTTTTTCTTCAGGTCCACCTTATACTCTGTGTGTGGCCTTCTATTTTCATTGATGGCCTATTTTTCACTATGTAACCTATATTGATGCAATCAATTGTACCACCTTTTGCTACTACCATCTAGACATTTCAATAAATTGATAGATACAAATGACGTGTATGAACTAGTTTGGTACATGTTAAGTGAAAAGACATAGGTAAAATTGAGAAAGACATAGTTCAGCTAGAGGTAACGGCTTGCGCAAGGTAATAAGATGAAGGGGAAAGAGGATTGAACTATAACATTATAAATGGCATACGAGGTGAGTTACAATAGGTAGGGCATAAACAGCCACGAATAAACACAGCTAATTGCAGCTGTCTGGCTTGAAATTTAGTGAGAGGTACAATTAAACTAGCTTATGCTGTCCTTTCTTTTTGGAGTTGGAACTGCTGTCGGTAGGTTTAGCCTTCGTAGATTGGGTTTTGCTAAGTTGCGCGTTGAGAGCAAGTCCTGTAAGAAAAGGTCAGTAAGAGCGTTAGTTTGGCCGCTAGCTTCTACAAATGAATCAAATGTCATATATTACCAATTCTGTCCTTATCTCCATCATAGATGGAGACGTAGTTTTCCAAAAACTTTTGACCAAGCAGAATGTCATATCCGGAATAGGACATGTCTGTGCTGTATATGAAACTCAGGCACAAATCTGGATTTCGTGCTCCCCAGTAGGTGTTCTATCGTGTTTTCTAGTCAACATCCTATTCTTTCTCTTTTTTTTTTTTAAGCTATAAGCCATTTCCATGAAGTATCAAGCTTACCAGATATTTTGGAAGTATGTACTGCGATGGTGTCAAGTTGAAATTCTTGCCATCCATGACGAAAGAAATATTCGGCAGTGTACCGACAGCTGAACAAGGAATGCTCCACAAATCAGAGGAGGGATCGATCTTGGCATCTGGAATGCTTCCATACACGGCATCTGCGATTTCATTGGAAACGATAATCAAAGTGGTTCCTGTGTACGTGGCGTTAATAGATACAGCGATAAACAAAATAGAGAATACATCGCTTACCAGTGTCAACAATGGCTGAAAGTCTCTTGATGACAGGCTTATCATTAACGTTGATACTGTCAACACCAACACCCCAAAATTCCTGCAAAATGACGAAAAATTAGAATTGTCGGCATCTTTGTACACCCCACAGTTATTGCAACTTACTGCCGCTCGAGAGGTCTTGATCCTGGGAATCCACTGAATGTCTCCTTGATACCATTTGGGATCTGGAAGACCACCAATGGCCATCTTCCCATTCATGGAAGAATAGTATCCACTAGGTACAGGCTCGAATTTAACACCAAATACGTAAGAATAGCCTTTGTTCTGCTCGATGAGATTTGTCAAAAGAGACTTTATAGTGCTTCTCCCTGAACAGAAAAAATTGTCATTGCTTGCTTAGCAAATGTATCTGTACTTGTCAATATACGAATGAGCTTACTGGTGTTGCTGTAGATGCTTAAGGGATCAGGACCAAAGCCAAAAATGCCGTCTTCAAGTAGTATACATATCTTATCATTAGTCAAAGTACCCAAACGCTAAAAATCCTCATCATTAGCCATTCGTACTCACCAACACCGTTATTGGTAACTTGACTTTGGGTAGTGGCAAGACCAAACTCTTGCTTTTGGATCTTGAAAGCCCCTCCGTTGAGGGATAGGGTATCTACTCCCATAATACCGTGCGCACTCCCAGAGCCATAATAAGCTTGCAGGTTAGTGGACTTGTCTTGTTTAAAAGTCGATGACTTTTCACTTTTGAACGAATCGGGCGCTCGCACACAAACATTGCCACAGGTTTGATCTGGAACCCACAATACGGATGATCCCGTATCCACTACAACAGAAAAGTTTTGCATAGGGGTACCAAGACTAATGGGCATATAATAGCTGAATTGAGCATTTAGAAGTGAAAACGTAGGAAGTGCATCGCCAGCAGCAAGACGTGAGCCTTTGATGCGAATAGATGTTGCTCGATCATGTGCAGATTCTGATGCTTGCTTCACTGTCGGATGCTGCTTTCGGGCAATATCCACGTTGATAGTTTTACTGGATACTGTACAAACCAGTAAGTAAATGGATATTGCAATATTGAAAAATTGAACCATGAAGAATCGGTGAATAGAAATATAGGAAATGCGATAGGTAAAAAGGCAAGTCTATAGTTCAAATGTATCTACCACAATGCACTTTTATAACAATAGCCATTCGCCCTTCGCTTACCATCCTGTTTAATATGATCGACGTAGGCGCAGAGCAATATTTCTAGAGTTTGCCGAAATAAATTATTTCAATTGCAACCAAAAAAAAAAATTGCACAATATTAGATACCCACAAGCTCTCCCCTTTTTTTAATTATCCGCATTAGACACTAGTCGTCCCAGTGGTCGTGTCGATGATGTAGTGCCAATGGCTGGCGTATCGAGCCACAAAACATGGTAGATTTCGATCGACTACCAAAGGGAGAATTTTGCTGCTCACGGAAACCCCCATTTGCCTCCTCAAGTCATATTTACGACCTACTGTTTACTTTGCCATCGAACATAAAAGAGACAGAACCGACCATGGGAGAGGGAAAAAAAAGACAATATATTCCGCTATTTCTATGTACAAAATCATCTTATGAATCAAGTTCAGCCAAAAGTTTGGCTCGTACTCGTGCCAGTTCTTCGTTCAGTCTGTCTATCCGCTTCTGACCTTCCTTCCGAATTTGCTCAATTTTGTCTTCATAAATGGATCGCATAAACTGTTCTACAGTCATGTCAAGTTGTTCTGGTGTCAAAAAGTTCTCAAGTTCCTCATCAACATTGTGATTTGGTTCGGTTGAAGCGACTTGCGATTGGATGCTGTTGCCAAACCATTCAAATAGCCCTTCTGGTATCGTATTTTGTGTGTCGGACCGTTGTGATTGACGACGAGCCATTTCAATAGAAGGTGACCTTGGCGGTGACCAGATTGGTTCATTGGAAGCATCATGCAGACTAGGCTCGGCTATCGAGGCCTCTATCGCCTTTCGTTGCTCTTTAAGATTCGGCAGAGTGTTGGTAGGCTGAGGTAAAACCTCGGATGTCGCTGACGCCGGCGCCAAAGTGTTATTATCAGGAAGAGCTTGTGAAAGAGTATCGCCGCCATCCAGACCCGTCGGCGGAGACACTGGTGCTTGCAAATAGGTTTCTGGTACTTTGTCAGTAAACACACTTGTTGCAATATCATCTGTCATATTGTCGTTGTCATCTAGTATTTTATCTTCAATATCGATATTGGCCTGCTTTAAAGATTCCGAAAATGATTTCATCGGTTTCGATACATGACGTTGCTGTTGTATCCTAAATCCCACTGGAGTTGACGATACGATACGCTTAGTAACTGGATTGATGTTGCCTATGGGTGACAAATTGAGACGATCTAGGCTGTCTTGAAGACGCTCGAACCCGAAACCGGCTTCGTCTGCCTGCGGTGTCTCCGAGTCTTGAGCCTTCTCATATTGGTTTACTTTTGCTTGTTGTGGTGTCTTTGTATGGTCCATCTCGCCACTGTCTAAATGGCTTGCCGTCCTCTTTGAACTACTTTGTATATCGACCGGCTCTTGCAAACCTTCATTTTGATCCATTTCCATTCGTTTTTCTCTTCTCGTTCGACTGATACTGAGCGATTTTTTACTGCTGGCCGACTTTTTACCCACAGCTGCTTTTTGCTTTCCCGCTGCAACAGAAGAAGATGCTCCTGTAGCATCATCATTATCGATATCAACGATGATATTGTCATGATCTTGATCAATCTGTCAACAAATAGGAAGTTAAATAATGACTGTCGGATGAATAAAAAAAAAATGGGCTGTACACTAACATGGTCTGTGTCATTTTGTGTGGACCTGATCAAGGTTTCTGGTTGCTTATCGTTGCGTGGCAAGATTGCAGTCGTTGCTGCCAGTGTTGCTGCGTTACTCGCATCACCAGTGGACAGTGTTCGACTCTGGAGTTCTTTAATCTCTTTTAATGAAGAGCTGTTGCTCACTTGATGGTTCGCATCTGCTCGTTTAGGCTGGTTGCTTCCTTTGGCATGGAAACTAGTAAGAAGGCTGCTAAGTTCGGGTCGTGCTTTATACTTTTTTTTAGAGTAGGTGACGATCGGTTTCTTGGGCATTATTTTATCTGTGCTGTAGACAGCACCAACGTCCCATATATCTTCTGTTCCCTGCCTGACCTTTTGGCTAGTTTTTGGGACACTTGCTTCGATCGGCTGATCTTGATCCTAGTCAATGCAAAACAACATTAGCACGAGCCAAATTTCAAATTCATTACCCAAAAGTGAAAAACTTTCTTCTACTTACATCTCTATCGCTTTTTTCTACATCGTTTTCTTCTGTAGCTCTTTTGAAGCTTTTAGACCGTGTACGAGAAACACCCATTAAACAGAGAGTTCCATGTCACAGTAGAAAAGTCAGCCTGCGCGACGCGTGTCTGTGCGGCTAGGAAATTATTTTTCACAGGTACAGGTTCAGGTGGTTTTTATTGGCATTGAAAGTCAGACGGAGTTGCTTGACCATGCTTTTATGTATGGCATACTGTAAGCTCCTGGTCTATGGCATTAAATACACATTATATCTATGTAGAAGTAGTAGTGACAGTCGTTGTTACGCTGTTTTGTCTGGCAAGAGCAGCTTGAAGACTATTCATATACCATTTGTGTAAGCCTAGCGCAGTAGTGCATCCCACAATCAATGTTGCTCCTAAAATGCTGGATATAGGTGGGATTTCATGGAATAGTAGTATACCAAACGCAAAGGCAAAAACAATATCGTTCATCCTCATCAATGTTCCAGGTCCTGCTGGAGCCAGCTGCAGTCTGTGGGGTGATACAAAATAGGTGATGTAATGAATACCAATGTTCATGCCTTTTCCCAAAGCAAGAAATATGTCTTACCCTTGATTAAGTAGACACTGTCCAAGGAAAGCAAATATTCCGACCAACAATAGTATCAAATAATCTTTCCATGTCTCTGGAATAACAAACTTTTGTAGGCCGAAGATTCCAAGCGGGCTGAGAACAGTCGAGATGGCTCCGAAGTAAACAACATGAACCATAAAGTGAGCCCCCTTTCCAACCTTGCGAACCGTGACATAGGCTACGGCAGACAACATCGCACCCATAACAGCGCATATGATGGCAAATATCCGCTGCGATTCGTTATCTTCTGGTTGGGAGCTTCCACCTTCCGATCCAAAAAGGAACTCTGGTCTAGAAACAAGGACGACACCACCAAAAGTTAAGGTTGCGCAAATTCCGTCAAACAAGGTAAATCTTTCCCCAAGAGCAACCGAGGCAAGAATGGCAGTAAATATAGGACCAAGGAAAAATACCACTAAACGGAGGTGAAAACGTCAATCACTAAATTGCCTCTCGATGTTGCTACAATCTCCTCCAAACTTACCGGTTGCATCAGCGAGTGGTAAAGCCGTAAGACAGTAGAAAAATAGAGCGAGACCGACTGAGCCAGCTAAGCCGCGAAGGACCAACCATCCTCGAACCTTTTTATCTCCAAGGGGATTCACCTTGAGAATGAAGCAGCCGACAAGTCCGAGCACAAGCTGCACAAGCGATCTTGCAAACACCATTTCAAAACTGGGGAATACAGAACCTCCGAGCTTCACACATAGAGACATTACTGAAAATCCCAGAGCAGAGAGCGTCATGAGCAACAGTCCAATAATCTCCTTCCTTCGCCGAGCGTGGTCATGAGAAAGCGACAAAGTCGACGCTCGTCTCCCGGTGTTAGCATTGATGCGGTTGGAAGCACTGTTCGATTGAGGTAACAGTGGTGTTGCCTCATTGACGATCGTCAAGCTTGCCGGGATATCTTGTCGAGGTTCTTCACTCTCTGGCATTGCGCAATATTATATGACGATGTCCAAAATGTGAACGAATGTGGAATTTTCGAAAAATTTCATATGCTATCTAACGCAGTCACGATGACGGGTTGGCGGCAGACAAGCAAAGTATCCCATGGCCACATTATTAAAGCTAAGCTAACGTTCGCTTTGAGAAGTGCCGATTAGACAAGGTTAACACTGTTTTAACCCATCTGCATTGTTCAATTATATATATGTGTCATAAAATTAGGAATATTACGTTGTCGTTGGTCGTCTTTTAAGGTATGACTTTATATTACCTAGTCATCATTTCTTGGCCATTTAGGCCATTTAGGTACTTTTTTTCATGCATCACTTTACTCTTTTGTTTTTTTATGACCAGTATTCTTTCGTTAGAAATCTATTTACATAAAACCTGAGTTACGAAGCTCGAGTCTTAAGCGAAAGCTTAGTATCCATCTTTTAATGATGTTCCAGTTCCAATCGTAGCCTACCATTACTTGTTTTATCGCAAAAAAGAGTTCATAATTTTTAAAACTGATAAATGCGCTTCCAAAAAAAAAATCACCTTCTAATAAACATTTACTATACCTGCTATTCTTCCCTAAATGTTTCATCTTCCAACCAATATGTGGATGCAGTTCAGTTAATCATACCACAGTGACATAAAAAAAAAAAATTGAAAGCGATGAAGGATACCCAGTTTTCTATATGACTATCTCTACCAAAGGTCTGCAACATACATCTTTTAATACGCTCATGTCATAAATTCAGTCAGCCGCACAATACGTATTTAACTAGAACTAGATAGTACAGTAATCCAAAGTACTCTAAAGGTACAATAAATGACGCTGAAGTTATCAGCATAAAAATTTTCAAGACAGTTTAGCCCATATGTTTGATCTTCCTTTAATGAAAGCACTAATGCTGCATAATGAGATAGGTAAAATTTCAACTTGACAATCAGCAGTAGTATGCACAAGATATATAGATGCATATTCAACTCGCACCAATGTAATAAAAAAACCAAATTGGTAACAATATACAAGATAAATAAAGCCGCACGGTTATGTCATTGGCAAATAGCATTAGAAAGTAGTTGCCAAGTACTATGATTCGTTTATTTTTCTTGGAAATAATTATTCATAAGCGGACCAACTTCCAATCAAATCCGAATTGGTCCAGCGGTTAGGATTCCTCGCTTTCACCGAGGCGGCCGGGGTTCGACTCCCCGATTCGGAGAATCTTTTTGATTAAATTCTCAATATTCAAAATCATCTCTTTTTTTTTTTTTTTGATCATCCAATCACGTTCTTTCTTTCCAGTTCAATTTTTGCAACTCCATTGGTTGTCCAGATTCCCTCTTCCCGATTTTGAAGAATTTTTTTTTTTGGCCTCTAAAGCTGAGGTCGCAGACGGAAGGCCTGTACTCATTTTATGAGGATTAAATGGATCCTGGATTTTCCACCCACTTCACTCAACATAGACCAGTCTCGTGAGACGATGATATAGATTTAGTATAAAAGCAAAAACTATTCTATTGTCTTGTTATTATAACACAAAAAGATGGAACACAATCCAGGATCCACTTAATCCTCATAAAATGAGTACAGGCTTTCCGTCTGCGACCTCAGCCTTAGAGACAAAGAAAGAAGAAAAAAAAAAAAAATTGAATGCATGTTGAGTAGCCAAACAAAAAAAATCTCCGAATCGGGGAGTCGAACCCCGGCCGCCTCGGTGAAAGCGAGGAATCCTAACCGCTGGACCAATTCGGATTTGATTGAAAGTTGGTCCGTTCATAAATATAAGTTTATACAAAATAAGTTTATACAAAATGTTAGGACCACTACGTCTTCAGCTTAGTCGATACTATATTTCAGCTTTTCGTCTAGTAATACGATAAGATAGCTATAAAAATAACTTTTACTAACCATCAACAGTTGATGGCACTTTTTGTTAATACAGAAAATTTAGTACTTGTAATGGTGTAAAGTTGATAGAGAATTAACCTCAATCACCTCAATGTAATGGCTTTCCTTTGAACGCTCATTGATGCTGCAGGGCATATTTTAATTTTGACATCTTCGCTTGAGCTTTAATTTTTTTTAAAAAAAATTGATGCAAGATAACATTTATAAACTTTTCTTTACATAACGGTAATTTTCTTCAGATTGTGTCAAATTATGATGAGGTACACCACAGCTGTTACTTGGCTTGCAAATAGCTGAAGTAGTCCATTATCATAGCTATTTCTATAATCATGCAAATTAATTGTCGCCAATTTATTTTTTTAAAAAGGGAAGAAAAAAGGAAGCAAGAAAAGAATAAACGCATGACTATTTCTATTTTATTTTTTTCTCAACTTCAACAGTGTGGAGTTTGTATGTTAAAAATGTAAAATTAGATTTGTCTATTTCACTAAGGCTTGGCACGCATTGTTTGAAATAGTACATTGCACTCCAATAGGCATCCATTCTATATCATCGGCAAACTTAGCGTCAAAATGTCACTTTTTGCAGTAATGCGATTTTAAATAAAAGAAATAGAGAATCAAATCTGCGTTAATCTTTTAAATCTATACAGCTTAGTACAATATTCCATTTAATGTTCGCACTTTATTTTCATTTTGTATGGGAGCTATTTAAATAAAGACTTTATATGCATTTGTGCCGGTGCAATTTATTGGACATGACATATGGCTAGGAAACTGTTAACAGCTTCAACATATAATTGGCGACAGAGCCGAATCTTATTACCGGTTTGATTCTCAATAGCCAACATATAAATATGAAAAACCAAAAAGAAAGAGAACATATTGAAGTAGCTAGAAAAACACTGTTTAGTACTTTAAGGGTCTAACATGAAAAATTGGAAAGTTTGTGAACAGCCATGAAATGTGCTTAAGCTCCCATTGTAAAAATAAAATAAAATGGCCATCTAGTAGAAGCCAGCGCAATATAGCTGCTTGACTGATGTCAAATATACCAAAAGAATCTTTGATTCAGTCATTCAAAATAAAAAATAAAAACCATATTCAATTGACCACTGCGTTTTACGATGTAATCAACCGCCAAAAGTAATTTTATGATGCAAACATGTACGAGTGAATTTACAAAAGGTATATTAGATGACGGTAGGAAAGCCCTGAAATTAGCCCTTTATGTATAATCCATACCTATTTTGCCATTAAAACAGCTTAAAACAGCGAATATTACTTTGTATGGGCCATTTTTCTGATGCGGTTTTGCAGATTGGTATATTGCTCCAAAACGAAATCACGTAGAACTTACCTGTAAGCACCAATGAAGTGGCCATCGACAAGGTTCAAAAAATCTGCCTACATAGCCTATCTAAGACTGCCTTGAATTTTAATTACAGGTATCGGCAAACATACTAGCATTTAGCAAAAGATGAGAGCCATTCAAGTTGTCGCACTTTGAGATATCTGACGACAAATTGCTGGAGCTGACTTTCCACTATCGAACCACTGTGAGCACACCGCGTGAAGTAAAGTCCCTTGGAATCAAGAGATGGAGGTATCATCTTAAGAAGAGTGCGTGTGTTCTTCATCATGAAATGCAGATTCAAAAGATAAAAAGTGGCATGCAATATGTCGTAAGTTCTTGAGGTGTTGGTATGAGTTTGGACTGACAATCTTTGGGTTAGGTCGTACTCGACTTGCAGCAATTCTTAGGTGTATTGTTTAAGTGGTTTGATCGATATGACAGTTCAGTCGATCTGTCGCAGCCACATCATCACTTTGGGTAGCAAGAAATTGACCATTGCAAATTTCCATCGATACGTCACAGTCAAATTTTCGGTGTTGTCTGTTGAAACACTGAGACACACCAGAAGTATCTACTCATCATAGGAATACGGACTAAAGGAAACACTACCTTATGTTCCTACAATCCGACAAAAGTACCAAGAAGACAGGGCTGTCAAATATAAGATAGCGTGGGGTCAAAACAACCAAGGCATAGACGATGAGGTTTCAAACTTGGAATTCCAGAAATTACAGAAAGCAGATTAGCATATAAACTGGTCTGGAACGATGCATTACAAATTCACACAAGCGGTGCCAGTAGGACTACGCAATGTCATCGCTGAAGTATTATGTCACGTTCACGACTGAAACGGCGGGGGACACTTTCGCATTAGACACGACCATACAATGTGTCGAAGAAATTGATTGATGAACCTCCGTGACGGAAGACGGTTGCAACTGCATCAAACCTTGCGAAGATTCCAGAGATTTCAAGTTCATATCAATTCAAGGGTACCCGAAATGAATTCAGCTTTATCGATATTCTTGGAAGAGATATAGTCTGGAGATATTGCATAACTACCAGAAAGGTCGAACGGAAACAAGTATCTTTCGATCCATGCATAATGTATTAGCGCATGGATAAAAATGGCAGCCATAACGACCCAAGTGACATAACAAATCGGCTTGACGATATTATACGAAGTTGTGCTGAAGCTAGGCATTCCAAATGGATAATAGCGGACAACGAAAGCAACTTTCATCCTGTTGTTCTAACTCATGATAAGGGAGCTACCGACAATGGATGATAAGTAAAGAGATAGTTCAGCGATATTCAACGTCTGCACAAACCCATGAAGATAGTAACTACCTATCTCAGTTGCTGGTAGCTGCCCCACCGTCAAAGTTACCCTTATACGAAACCGTCATAGGGGGAGAAACCTTCTCCGTAATGATTGACAGTGGTGCTAGTGATAATTACGTTGCGTCTCGAGTAGCCGTATTTGCCTCTCAACAAGACACAGTTCATGGCAGAATTGTCGAGACGGCGGGCGGAGAACGTATCGCCATCGAGAAAGAAGTGGAAGTCACTCTACATTTCCCTGGTTTCCACAACATCATCAGAGCACAAGTGTTCGATAGCAAGTTTGATGTAGTCCTAGGTCGAACATGGTTACGACAATATCAACCCGTCGCAAACTGGCATGATAATAGTTGGACACTATGGAGTGAAGGAGAAAAACATCAGTTAAGGCCAACAATTCCCAGTACAACCGAAGACGAGTTGAATTACCTTTTGTCGGCCAAGCAAATGGAGGATCTAATCAAAAGGAATAAAGATGAGTGTTACCTGATGCATTTTTCTGAAGATGTGATTAACAACAATAGCTCTGAACAGTGGGAGATACTCATGGATGATTTTCAAGAGGTCTTCAAGGACACTCTGCCAGGTCTCCCACCAGAGAGAACGGTACAACATGTCATCAACACTGGAGACGCCGCACACATTACGCGGCCGCCTTACAAGATGAGTCCATTGGAGCTGGACGAGTTACAAAGACAATTGCGGGAGATGTTGCAACTGGGATGGATACAGCCGAGTTCTTCCCCATGGGGAGCTCCAGTGCCATTCGTAAAGAAAAAGGACGGCAGGATGAGAATGTGTATAGATTTCTGTGCGCTAAACAAAGTAACGATACGCAACAAGTATACACTACCACGAATTGATGAGTGCTTGGAACGTCTTCAAAGAGCCTCCCGGTTCACGACGCTTGACTTGGTTAGCGGATACCATCAAATTCGTATCCAGTTTGACCTGAACGCCAGCGACTGGACTAGCAAGACGGATCGGCTTCATTTGACGGTGGTAGCACCAAAAGAGAAGCGGTTTGGATGTCGAATCCGACGCCAAGTCACTATACAAGCCCACAGTGATACCAAGATCTGCCCAGTGGCCGCGTTCCGTGCGTATATAGCACGACATGCTAGTTCACCTTGTTACGCAAAGCATCAAGCCCTACCACACGTCCAGATAAACGCCTTCCTTCGAAGTGTTCGCAATAACGGCAAACCCATCCTCGCCCAACGGATTAGCAAATATATCCAGTCAGTGATGGTCCACATACCGAATGGCGACAAACTCAACGGACGGGCGTTGGGTTCTACCCGCGCCCTCGTTGCTGGGGCATATATAGACGAAGTAGTGGCTCATGGAAATTGGGCATCTCGAGCCACGCTTGAAATGTTTTACAGGTTGTCCACGGAACATCAACCTTTACTGAATCAAACGATTACATACTACTCTCTGATTTTATGGTTCCTGTGTTTGAAAAACCTGTGAATTTTTCTTATGTCTCCTGTAGAACCCATTCATAAGCACAGATTTTTTTTGGGAAGCTTTTTTTTTAATTTTTTTTTTTTTTACGGACGAACTAAGATGATTCCTCAACACCTAGCCATTTATCTACTTATTTATATTATAAATTATTATATCACATGAAAGTTTATCCTTGCACTTTGAACTCCACCACGCTGTATATAGCTTTGGTATGACCAGTGCTGATTCTAAAAGCATAAAACGTAGGTGCTGATATTAAAACAGGCATAAGCAGGTTGTGTCCGGTATCGGACAGTCCTAAGATTAGAAGGAGGTTTAATTAGGCACCATTGAGATATTTCAATCAATTGGGAGTACGCTTATCCGAAAGTCCAGCACAATAAAAAATAGATGGCTTATCTACAGCGAATTTTATTTCATATAGTACCGGAGAAGAACGAAGGCCGGCTTAAATCGGTGAAAAAAATATATATGCTGCATCGTACATGATTGAATATAATGGAATAAGGAGGATTAGCTTTGAACCTGGCAAACAAATTAAATACGACAGTAATTTATAGCTACCTGGTAATTTATATGTCATGTTTGTCGCTCAATGGGAAAAAAGCAACACTTAGGACAAGAGGCTGATCAAGCTCGAAAGTCCTGTTGAGACATAAGTTTGGTACCTCGAAGTGGATTTCATCAGACCCTAAAAACGTAGGATCTCCAAACAAAGCTTAATGTTTATTTGGTCTTATCAAATTTTAAAATCAAGAATCATGTCTTGCATCTTGAAGCCAAAATCATAATTCTTTCACTGTTTTTATAAAAGTGACTTTTTGATTTATGTATAATTATTACTTGTCTTGTCAACTTTCAACAAAATCCGAATTGGTCCAGCGGTTAGGATTCCTCGCTTTCACCGAGGCGGCCGGGGTTCGACTCCCCGATTCGGAGATTTTTTTTGTTTGGCTACTCAACAAGCATTCAATTTTTTTTTTTTTTGCCTTTGGCTGATCCAGAGCTTTTCTGCTGGTGGCCGAAACGCTGTAGCTTTTTATTTCAAGAATGAGTGATAGCTCTAATTGCATCCCAGCTTTTCGATCAATGCCATCGCTCAATTCATACGCCAGATCAATAGTGTCATACAGCAATTGCAAAAGATTCCATATGTTGCCGCTAGGTCACGGCCAGTGTATAAAGCACGACATTCATCGATCATTCGTTTCTATCTTACTACTCAATAACTTTGCAATTCGTGATAAGCAAGCCTCGGCAGACATGTTCTGCTGGGATATTCCAGGAAACGTTGTTGTGAGCATACCGAACGTAAAATTCCAGATTCGTTCAGACCAGACTCAGTGCTGAAGGCGCCTTTCATAAGCTCTCTTTTCCGACAGACCTAGTGAAGTAAAATTCTTCAACTTGAGCTTCACTTTTTTGCAGTAGGCGTACTTGAGGGTTTAATCAGTATACCTGTAGCAGCAATTTATCCACGGGAAGAGTGCTTGCAGTCGACCACGCCGATATTGGCTGGAGTACGGCTATGGAAAATTTGGGTTTGCTTAAATGTAATTTTATTCGCCACGAAAGATATCTTCTAAGTTGGAGCACGCCATGGGGTTAGAGATATGGTAGCTTGCTTACTTCATCCACTTAAATTTGGCGGCATAGCTGCATATGCTGCAAGCCGCAATCGGCCGCCACTGCAGCAGTAACTTGAAATTTTTCTGTTCTCGGCCAGCCCAGACATCGTCAAGTCGGTGGCATAGCTTGCTTACGAAGTGCTGTTCCTGGTGGACCGATTATAAAATGAGTAACACTGATGGTGCAGCATTGCATTCTGCTCGTTGTCGAAATTTCGAAGCTGTGGAGATGCGCAAAGTAAACAGCGATTCCGGTTATAGTGACCGTAAAGTCTTTGTAACTGCTTTCACATCGCAGGTACAAAAAATAATAACAGGTCGCTGATCGTTCCTGTTAAACCAAAAGGTTAATTTCGGATAAACCGCAGTAGCATTGCTGAAACAGCATAGTGTTGTTGTTGAGACAAAGAATTCAATTTGAATGGCTGCAATTTAAAATGCACTATATCTTTGCGAAATATAGCGAAGTAATGGCGTTGTCTAATAATATGATAGAGATTGACCACATAATACACCTTCCCAAGGTTTTGCTTGTCAAACAAATGTGTATACAGGAATCGACTTTCGTTCACCATTCACACTGAGTAGCCATACATTCGAGAGGTTGCATGTCGTATATTCACCAACTGGTAGCCTGTAATTGATCGTACAAAAAAAAATAATTGGGTCTGCAGACTTTATTTCTATGAAAAGGGTGTTTTAGCGACAGTAAAAACAAGAATATGGGCATGGAGTTGAGATGGAATGTTTTACAAAAGAAGGTATTTTTTACTCTTTCGGCCAACATCTTCAAGATATTTACTAGCCTTAGGTGGCTTGCCAAAGACTGGTTCTCGTTCCTTGAGGATATCAGCATAAATACGGCTAACGTCTTCGTTCCAAACCTCGCGGAAGAAGCTAACGCCTCGTGGTGATAGTTGATACTGTTGAATAAATGAGCGAGTGTCGAATCGCTTGTCTTCTACAGAAGGGACCTCAATTTTGCCACTAGGCTGTTCTAGTATTAAAATGGTGTAGCGATGGTACTTTGTACCTTTCTGGGGATGTGGTGGGACATAAGGTAAGATAGTGTCACCGCCACTGACGACAGGTTGAGTGGTGCTTAATGGGACATTAGTGTTAAGCCAAAGGCATTGCTGTTGATAAGTTTGTCGCTCTTGGTCGGGAACATCTGAGGCAAAAGATACGTTAGTTGTTGTCAGAGACTGTAAGATTAACTATTCCTTTTGTGTATTTTTTTCCTTACCTGGATCAATCATCATGACAGTGTAGAGCTTGGTTTCTTCGTGGAAATTTACAAAGGAAACCGTAGGAGGCTTAACGGTCTAGTGAAATGATAATCCATCAGTTTTTATGGCCATGCAATATTCCAATGGTTCGGGATATATAAAATGAAAACACACCTCTCCAGGTTGAAGGAAGATACCGGCTTCCTGAACACTGTTGCCATCGTATTCCACAATGACTTGTGCTGTTGGATCGAATTGCTCCAAAATATCTGGGCATACTCGCATTTGCAAGACTCTTTCCAACAATTTGCTCTTGCGATCTTTCTGGAATTCCCTTTCCACCATGTAGCGATGGACAGGTCGGTTCATGTCACGCATGCCGTTACGAAATCGCCATTGAACTTCGGGGTCATTCAACTCTGCCTTGACTTGGAGGTCAATGGCGAGTTGTTGCAAACGGGTGAGTTGTTGCTTTTGTGTAGGAGAGTTGTTTGCTGGATTGGATTGAGTGGATTGCAGAGTTTAGCTTCAAGTATATTTAAGAGAGCAACAAGTATGCCTGCTTGCGCAAATCCTTCTCACCTTTCTTAACTTTGGCGAGTTCTTTCTCCACCTTTTTCAGCATAGAATATCTATATTCTTTATCCTGAGCAATCAATTTGAGAGCCTCGTCGTATGCTGGATTGACATTTGTTTTTGGAGCAGCAAATGAAGGAGTAGCTTCGGTCGCTAATGTTCGGTTGAGCTATTTGAACAGTGGTAATGATTGGTCAATGTGGGGATTGGTAGTGGTGAGTACTAAAGCAAGAGAAGTCCATTGGATTTCGGTTCAATATCTTTACCTTCAACGTTGACCTTGCCGCGCTGGACACTCTGTGAATGGCATTTCGAGACAGCATGGCTAAATGTGAGTTTCAAGCTGAAATGTGATTTTTTTTGCCAGGCCCCTTTGTGTTAAAAAGCAGCAACAAAAATTATGACAGCAGCTAAGCCACTGAATTCTTGTTCCCTCGCAAAATTTGACCTGCAGCAGCTCGTACAGTCAGACCACGAGGTTTTGAGAGTCGAGGTCACGAGACTGATTGCTCGAAGGTCGGGAACGCTAAAAATATCTTTTTCATGTAATTCACTAAGTGGTTTTCAGTGGCAAACACGGAACTTTTGTTGCTCTACCGGTATGTTGTTTTTTTGTTTATATAGAAAAGTTGCTACTGATTACAGTTATAAATGCATATGATACAACCAATGAGGAGGAAGAATAGTTGAGGGAAGGAGTGAAAGAGTAAGATTAAGCTGTCGCCGTTAGATATTGTAGAAGGAAGGATTTAAGTGGAAGCAAGGTTTTACAATTTTTCATGGGGTTTGTTCTCGACAACGGCAGCATCATCAGGCTTATAAGTATCGGTAGCTCCATCCGTCTTTTGCTCATAGTAACCTCCAGCGGCACCAGCGCCATAATAATTCTGATCGTTGTAGGTGGTATCTGAGAAACCGTGGTCACTACCAGGGTTACCAGAATAGTTATAATATTGACCTTGTTGTTGGTTATAGTAGTCAGGGTGTTGTTGAAGTTGTGGTTGATAGGATGGAACAAAGCGACGAGCCCCGTTGTTACCATATTGGTCATCATAGTATTGGTCTCCTCCAAATTGAGGCAGGGTAGGTTCTTGGCGAGCTCCGGAGGCCATGGCACCTGCACCTGCAGCGGCGGCAGCGGCGGAAGCTGTACCCATAGGGCGAGCAGGGAAATCATGGTCGTCCAAACCATAGTCATCAAAATCTGCGTCTCTTTTGCGTCTTCGAGTACATCCTCCCTTTCGATTGATCCAAGTCAAGATACCAGCAATCAGGGCCAATCCAACTGTTTCAGAAATATAAAAATAAGCACGCAGGAAAAACTGACTTTGAAAAAGTTTATTAGAAAATCACTTACCGATACCGCCAACCGTGGCACCTGCAATAATACCAGTTTTGTTACTGTTATCGGAGGAAGGAGGGTTGGTAGGTGTAGGCGTGCCCGAGATGGAGGCAGTGGTGGAAGCTGATACCAAAGTGACTGTGGTCGATGGTGCGATGGATGTAGGCGGCTTCGAGTCAGACGTAGTGGGGGCAGATGTGGTAGCAGCAGAAGAAGTGGAAGCTACTGAGGAAGTCACAGGAACACTGGATGACGAAGATGGAACAGAAGATGATGCGGGAGGGACGGATGAGGTTGTAGGTTCACTCGAAGTCGTAGTAGTAGATGTGGGTGGTGGAGGAGCTGAAGTGGTAGAATCAGTGGTAGTGGTGGTGGTGGTGGTTGCAGCGGCGGATGAACCAGGATCGACAATAGGCAATTGAGCAAGTGCCGTGCCTGACACGGCCAGCAAGGCAAGCAAAATATTAACTTTCATTCAGCAGAAAGCTTTGAAGAAAATTTTTTAGAAAATAAAGAAGGGAGAAGCAGAGTGAAAAAAAGGATTATATACAAATTTAAAAGGGTGATATGGGCTACAAATAGCAGAATGGGTAGCACAGTTATGTGATTGGCTACTTTCGTTTCTCAGCTGCCTTCTTGCGACGTTGCTCCTCCAGTTCTCGATCAGACACCCGCGCCACGAAATGTCCGACCGTTTCAGTAATTAAACCTTCCACTGGATGACGGGTCTGACCAACTACTGCTATGTTTCGAGTGCTAGGAATACGCAGTTGGTCTTCGTCAATGCTGTAACCACACTGAATAGCGATGTTCTTGACATAGTCGGTATATTCACGGTATTTGCCACCCTCCAATCCACTCAGGCCCTTATGCCGACTACCATCCAACTGAAAATAGCAGCATGGAATAACGATGAATCTGGAAAACAAAAACGGTCGGTCAAAAAGTTTCCTACTCCTATATTTTTGGGTCTTGGCAACATACCTGCTTTCAGTTCTAGCTGCCATGATTGGTGTCCTGTATTCCCCCCGCACGTGTGTTACGTCAGAAGCACAATCCTTTTTCCTGCTACAGATTAGCACGGTACTCACCATGGCACCAGTTCGTCGGCATGGTTTGCAATAAGCCAGTCCACATTTGGATAGGACGCCGTTGGAGGGTGTAAGCTTTGCACTAATGACGACATGGTATTGAGCTTTTTTGTAAATTCAAGTGGTTTCCTTTGTTCATAACAGGAATTTACCTATCAGGCAATCGTCTTTGCCATCACAGAGTTGATCCCAGATTTTTCGTTTGGCTATATCGACACCTTTTCCAGGATGCCCTTCGCTCACCAGAAGATGAGTCAACAGGCCGTTGCCACAACCTAAATCAACAAAGGATTGGAGTCTGTGCGCCAGCCAAACCAATCAGACCGACAATTTTGATTCACGGGAGATCACGAACTAAACCATGTCTTACCTAGATTGTCCTAAACGCTGTCGTTCTATCTGCCATAAGCAGATCAAATAGCTGGCAATTGCGATATCTTCAAATACAAATTTTGTTGGGTCGGTTTTTTCTGTCCATTGGCTGGTCCCAGGAATTTAAAAAAGATTTTTAGGGCTAAGCAAGTTGGTTCCCCCCGCCATACTACCTAATTTTTAGCATACCTGATAATCTTGTCCGCATACTTGGCCTTGATACGCGCGTACGTTTCATGGTACATTTCTTTAGGAACAAGCACATCGTGATTTGCTCGCTTCTCGTATCCCAACGAGGTATGTATGCACCACTTGTACAGTTTATGGAACACTTCGCTTAGTGCGTAGATCTGCCACAATCAAGGGTCCCCAAACAAACATAACAAGGTTGTTTTAGGAACCGCTTTACTAAAAATATCGCCACCGTCACAGGAGCTTACCATCTTATCATTGCTGATCCCTGTCTGGGTTATACTGAATGGCTTAATCTCTAGCCTAATAACCGCTTCACTACAAAAAATGAGATTGGTTAGAGCAGAATGTCGAAAGAGGCAATCTTCGTAACACCTATTGGGTCATAATAGTCCCAAATGATACTTTAGTCTTACGTATCATGCTGATCGTCTGTAATACGACTGTCAAACACTAGACTGTATGCGCGAACCTAAGATGGGTGGGGGTCATCAAGCAGCGGTACTATTATTCCACACCAACACAATTGTACGATACCTTTGGGTAATAGAACGGCAGTTGATTTTCTGATACTACATCAGGGGCGAAGGTCACGCGAGCTGGACGTGTTTCTAAATAGTGAGTGGCGAGCTGTAAGCACATGTATGCCACACAGGATGGGAATAAAGAAATGTAACAAACCATTGCTAGCATGATATTCGACTAGTTCCTTCAAAATTGGATCTTTTGATTTTCGTTTTGGTATTAAATTTCGAGTGATACGTTCGTTGGGCAATTCAACTCGATCGATGATATCGCACTTGCGAAGAGGAGGAATAACGAGTTCAGGTTCCAGTGTCCATTTTTTCTGCACACAAGTATTACAATTTGTTAACGTAGGAATAGCATATGGGACTAGCTCAACTCGTGACTGTGACAAATACTCACAACTACAGCCCAAAATGCCTCCTCATCGACCAAGATGCTTTGTTCTGCAACAATGAACCAGTCACTATCAGCATACTGTCTTGGTTTGTCAAAGTAGTACGAAGGAGCAAAGAGCTTGAAGAGATCATCGCTGTCGCTCATGGTAGGTGTCAACTGCTTTCTCAATTTTTTTTTCTTGAGCTGGTAAAATTGAAGTAGGTATTCCAAGTCCGATATAACTAATGGTTGTACGGGCAGACCAGTATCAAAGGCTTTGAATACATACTCTACCCTATGATGGTAGATTATTGCTTGTCAAACAAGCTGTATTACTGTAGCAGAAAGTATATGCTTGGAACCATCCTTTACAAAGTGTTGAAATTTGTCCCTGGAGTAGCGTGGTGTGGTGTGGTGGGGTGAACGGGCAATTCACGTGACTCAAAGCCACCCATTCCAAAAGGCTGCAAGAAAAAAAAAAAGAGGGATTTGTAGACACAAGCATTGACAAAGGAATGATTGCTCGAACATTACCGCGCATGCTCGGTAAAGGAGCACACCTTTCACGTTCATTCGCCACCTCAATACAGGCACGAGCACCTCTTGTTTCTAGTAATTATCGCATTGCGTCTGGCATCGTCCTTTCACGCACTCCACAAATCACTCGAGATTCCACTCCATTTGAAAAGGCTTACTTTGACTATTCTGAGAAGCTCGAGAGACAATCAGCAATCCCTCTCCCAGCAGACTTTTACTTCAAAAAAGGTTCGCTTGCTGAACGCAGGTGGAAGGAAGATGAAGCCGCTCGCATGAAGGCGATGGCTGATCCCAAATTGTCCCTTAGTGAGGCTGTCAAGGAGACTCAAGTCAAACAAGAAGACGCAGACGTTACTACACAAATGAACAAGTTTGAAACCGGAAGCAGACTGAGCGAGGCCGATAAAAAGAATGATATCAAAAGCTTAAACCGAGCATTACAGCGAACCTTGTACCTCATTGTCAAGAAACCAAGGGACCAACATGCTTGGCAGTTCCCTCAAGGTGCTGTCGAAGAGGGTGAATACCTCCATGATGCAGCAGAACGAGAGCTTGAAGAGGAGTGTGGCAAGAACATGGATGTTTGGTTTGTTGGAAGACAACCTGTTGGTCACTATGCTTACAAGTTCCCTGAAGACCACGTCGCTAAGTACCCTGGAGCCACTGGAGCCAAAGTTTTCTTTATGAAGGCTCATGTATTTGCTGGTCAATGCAATCCCGACAACAAGGAAGTTGTTGACTTTGCATGGGTTACCAAAGACGAACTACCCAACTATGTATCGCCAGAATACTTTAACGCTGTTAAGGATATGTTGAGCGATTTGTAAATTACCAGAAATAATATTTCTCTAGACTTTTTTCCCCCCTTCTTTCTTTCATTTTTCCTCAAAAGTAGTTATCACTATTGGTTGGGTTGCTTCTATAGTAGCTATGCAAATGGATGGTCATATAAGAATAAAACAAAACAAATATTACACCACAAAGGTCTTATGCCAATTTTTGTTGGCCTTTTTCTTTTCTTGTTTCCCCTGTCATTTTGGCGGTTTTAGCTCCGAACTGTATAGCACGCTTCCAATTTCGGCTGGCTTGGTGCATGCCCAGACGTCGACATAAGTGTCGTAACAAAAGTTTCTCGCCGACACCTCGCGGGTAACGCATGTCCATTTTCAGATCACATCTTGTTGCGCACATCCACCGCACGACGTCCGTACTGAGAAAAGGGAATCGTACTTCCTTTCCATGGTCAGATATGATGCGGTCATCACGGCCTAGTAATAAACAGATGATGTTAGAAGAGAATTGGCGGTTTGAATACAGTTCATTGGCACTTACCCATGTTTCGAGATGATATGCGGTCTATGTCGACTTGAAGCTGGAAAGTGACAATGGAGAAAAAGGAAGAATATCAATACTAGTCTAGCGCACAGGCAACATGCATCGAATCATAGTCGTCTAACCTCTTTAATCATTTGGTGCCATCCACCTTGTCGATATGCCTCTCTATGCCTAGAGTATCCGCCCAGTTGCTCATCTGCTCCCAGACCAGAGAGAAGTACTCTTGCTTTACTGTGATATTGCTCCTCCTTACCATCAGATTGATTTATTATGCCTGAATTAGCGCAAAACGTGTTGAGTATTATGAATGCATGCCACGCCACACATTATCGCTACCGAGTTTTTACGTACCTTCTCCTCTCGCTGCGAACCAAAACGCCATGGCTATGCTCTACAAGCAAGTGTTACAAATGTGGACGTTTGATGGTGAAAACATCGTGCTGTTCTTACCAAATCCATGACGGTATCTAAAGGAACTATGCGATCAATGATCTGTTGACGACACCGCATTGCTTCTTCATAAGGTACATCAATTTCCACAAAATTCCAAGTTCGGTGCGGGGCAATATTTCTGGGTCATATTGGTCAGAATGAGATCTAGACAAAACCTATCCCATTTCTTCAGACTTACCGGAGCTCCTGCACGCTAGCTCTGCCTGTTTTGCGATCTGGGACATCGTAGTTTGCTGGTGTCTTCTTATTTTGATTAATGCGGGGATTCTCGAACGCAACATTGAGCAAATCTATGTTTTGGTCATGTGGAAGATAGCTATCTACAAGAGCCGCCAGACATAAGCAATCTAGACCACCAGAGAATAAAATGGCTACTTTGGTTGTTTCTCTAGATCTTTGCCGTACGAAATAGAAGCGTAAGTGAACGTCTATGGTGATTGTCTTGTGCAAAAATCAAGAAGATACTTAGCGTGCACTTACATATGATTTGGTACATCAATAACCCTTCTTCGAACTGAATCACCCAAGACAGAGTGTAGTTCATCTATCGCTCGGTCCATTTCGTCTGAAATTGCAGGAACAAAGTCCTCAGGTACAGCTATATCCTCAGTCGTCAAGGTTTCAGGCACGTCAGGATTAACTTTGGAAAATGGTAGTGCCTAAATTGCAATACTATGTTACAATCATGACCTTCCAGTGACTGTAATTGCTGTAACATTTTAACTACCAGAAATCGGCTGCTATAGCCATCGCTGCTATCATCTGGATGGCGCCACTGGAAATGCGATATACAATCGGATATCTGCAAAAGAGTATAAGAACCACTAGCAATTGTCAAACACCCGAAGTCATATTAGATCACTTACACTGTTTGTACCAGAAGATCCAATCAGTTTGTCAATGTGAATACAATATACGCCATCCGCCGGTACTTCTTCCCAAAAGTTGCCATTCTCTGTAATATTTGGTGAGGATGACACTGACGACAAGTAAAAACTATCGTCAAATTCTGTTGGTTTATGCCAAAGCAAAGATCTTCTACCAAGACAGTCTCTAGCAAACCATAGTCGGGCTGTTGAAGCTTGCCAGAACACAATGCTGTACGGGCCTTCAATTCGTTGTAATACATCCAGTACTTGACTGTCAGACCAGTCATCTTCAATTTCATTGATCTGCTCAAGTTCTCTCATGAGCATTTGGGTATCATTTTCTTCCGGTTTAACCTTGCAAATAAGCTCTTAGAATGTAGTACAAGGGTCTTCTCTTGACACCTATTGATACTTACCTCGATTCCACCAAAGATCTCTCCATTCCAGCACAAGACATCTTTCCTCTCGTCTACCAAAGGCTGTGGCACATTTTCTTTTCCACGCAAATGTAAAACAGCGCCAAAGAATACCATTTGCACTTCATTGCCGGTACTATCCTGGCCAATGGGAACAGAATGGGAATTTTGAGCGTCCGGGCCTGGTCAGTCAATATGGGTATCAATAGTTGAAACGATATAACTACATCTAAAACCAATTTATCTACCTCGCTTTGTATTCAGCTCGCATAGTTCTGACCATATATTACTCCTCTCGGAAGGACCATTAGAGCCTAGGACGAATGCAATGCCACACATGGAAGAAGGCAAATATCTGAGCTGACAGGCAAAGGCAGTCCCAATTTTTTCGTTGGAAAAAAACGCGTGCACGTCGCGTCGGCAGTAAAAAATTCAGCTTTCTTTTTCTGAATCGTCTCGAAAATGCCAATCTCTCCTGACGCGACAAAACGGAGGAAGCGAACCGAAAACAAGCCGCAGGACAAGTTCAGCGCACTTAGAGATGCGCGAAAAAATAAGACTCGTCTCCAGGATTTTCAGGTACCTGGCCATATCCGCTCTCTATACACCTCATGACGCTTCATTCCTTAACCATCCCAAATTTTACCTTCGTAATCCACTCTAGTTCCAAGATCAGGGCGAAGTATACACTGTTGTTGAAGAAGGAGATTATCAGATGCTAGCTCGTGACAGACAAAATGAGGATTTCGTCGACGACGACGATCATGCTGGATATGCTGATGGTACCGAAGACTGGGACGAACAACGTTTTTCTGATGAATATTCTGACAACGAAGCTCGAGCATCTGGTAAGTAAAGAGAACTTAAGGAAAGGGAATAGCTGAACGGTCAAGCTGATCGTAACTTCCAATAGCAGCTGACAGAAAAAGAAAGCGCAGCAAGAAGGAGAAGCTGTCCCCAACTAAACCGAAAAATTCGCTCGATCAATTTTTCTCAAGAGGCATGGCAGAGCGCAAACCTCTTACAGAAAAGAAGAATGAAAAGGTATGTTTGGAATTGAAATGGTAAACCGGAGATAGAAGAAATTTAATGACGATTATGACACATAGACGAAAGCAACGGAAAATGACGACGACTTTATGGACAATTTGCTGGGTTCCTTGGATCAATCTGATGAACAAGAGAAAAAGCCCGAGTATGAACAACCAAGTGTCCCTGTACCTACAAGACGTGGTCTTCATCCCAACACACTGCAATCTCGTAACCCAGCAAGAGTCGTAGAGGTGCCACAGATAAAGAAGGAGGAATCGCCAGAATTATATGATGATTATAATATCGATGACTCAGATTTGCTATCCCCTGTACCGATGCAAAAAGCTGAAGAGGTTCTGGATGACATTAATATCGACGATGAAATTGATATTAAGGCAGAGGAAGCTCCCGCTACTACCGAAAACGATGACGAGGGCATGGAAGAGGATGATGATGATGATATGCCGGCGCTCAAGATGAAGCCACTACAGACCAAGGCTCGTGATCTTAAGGCGCCCGGTGTACTGATTAATGCTACTGCAAAACGCGAGGTTGCTCGCCCACCACCACCAGCCAGTATCCCAAAGCCTCTGCCGGCTGTTCCAAACACTGATTTGCAAACTTGGGAAAATGTTAAAATGACGGACGCGCATACAAAAGATGATGCAGCCGTCAATGCAGCCAGTGACAAGCTTGATGTTTTAGAATCAGATGGATCTCTTCGCATGTGGTGGTTCGACGCTTACGAAAGGAGAGAAAAAGGCCAAGTCTATCTTTTTGGCAAAACTCTGAACAAGGCTACCAACACCTACATCAGTTGCTGTGTCACCGTCAAAAACATTCAACGAAGTGTCTTCGTTCTTCCTCGTCAGTACAAGTTGGACAAGAGTGGTCATACAACAGATGAAGAAGTAGATCATGGTGCAGTGTTCTCAGAGCTGGAAGCTGTCCGCACTCGCAGTCGCATTACCAAGTGGGCTTGCAAGCCTGTTACCAGAAAATATGCCTTTGAGGAGCAGAACGTACCGCAAGAGTCCGAGTACTTGAAAATCAAATACAGCTTTGAGCAACCTCAGTTACCCCAAAATCTGTCTGGTAGTACGTTTAGCCATATCTTTGGCAGCAACACCAATCCTTTGGAGCTACTGTTGATCAAGCGTGATATTATGGGTCCATGCTGGCTGGAAATCAAGAATCCTATGATTGCAAGCGCAAACGAGACCTGGTGTAAAGTACAAGCCGTGATTGATAATCCCAAACGCTTAAATCCATTGAAGGATGCGAACGGCAATGCTCCCAAGGAAATCCCCCCTCTCGTCGTTATGTCTCTCAGCTTACGCACCGTCATGAACCACCAGAAGCATGTCAACGAAATTGTAGCTGCAAGTGCTATCATATGCAAGCAAGTCATGATCGATGAACCAACGCCGATTGAAAAGCAACCCAAGGTCAACTTCAATGTCGTTCGCCAACTCAACGGTGTCCCCTATCCTGCTGGCTTGAACGATCTGATCAACAAAGAGAGACAAAAAGGAAACGCTATTCATGTTGAAAAGACAGAGCATGCTCTGCTCAACCTCCTGATTGCAAAGATGCATATGCACGATCCGGATGTCGTGGTTGGTCACAACTTTGCCGGTTTTGACTTGGACATCCTGCTACACAGAATGAAGGCTCTGAACACGCAGCATTGGCATAAGTTGGGTCGACTGAAGCGATCAAACTGGCCCAAGCTGCAATCAGGCGCTGGTGGATCAGGAGAATCGACGTTTCAGGAACGTATGATCATGAGTGGTCGATTGATTTGCGACACATATCTTGCCGCCAAGGATCTCATTCGATCAAAATCGTACCGCATGACAGAGCTGGCACAATCTCAACTTAAAATTGCTCGCGAAGACATCGAATTTGACAAGTTCGCCAACTACTATACATCCGCAAACTCACTAGTCCATCTTATCAAACACTGCGAGTTCGACGCATTCCTCGCAATGGCTCTCACGTTCAAATTGCAAGTCCTTCCGCTCACAAAGCAACTGACAAACTTGGCTGGAAACTTGTGGTCCCGCACCATGACTGGTGCTCGTGCTGAACGAAACGAATACTTGTTACTTCATGAATTCCACAGGAACAAGTACATTTGCCCGGACAAGTCGTTTGGCCCCAAGCCTACTGCGATGATCGAAGCCGTTGAACACGACGATGATGGTAGGTGTAGCGAAAATGAAAGGTAGCATTTGTTAATGTCAAGGTTTCTAATGATCTGATAATGTAGATGGAGAGCAAGTCGTTCCGAAGAAGTCATCTGGTCGCCGTAAACCAGCCTACCTAGGTGGTCTCGTCCTGGAACCAAAGAAAGGCTTTTATGACAAATATGTGCTACTTTTAGATTTCAACAGTTTGTACCCTTCCATCATCCAAGAGTACAACATTTGCTTCACAACTGTACAGAGAGATCCCAGCATGTCAGACAATGTGGATGTAAGTTATTATTTGTCTAGATATAATGTGTCCTAAAGGGTGAATTTGCGCTAATGTCAAGTGGCTACAGGAGGTTGAAGCCCAAATTCCAGACGTTCCTGAAAAGTCACTGCAGCAAGGTGTATTGCCCCGCCTAATTAAAGCTCTGGTCAACAGACGTCGACAAGTGAAGAAGCTCATGAAGGACCCCAAACTCACAGCGGCTGAAAGCATGCAGCTGGATATTCGACAGCAAGGTCTCAAACTCACAGCGAACAGTATGTACGGTTGTTTGGGTTTTGCCCACTCTCGCTTTTATGCCAAACCTTTGGCCATGCTCATCACCTCCAAGGGTCGTGAGATTTTGCAAAATACTGTGGACTTGGCCGCATCTCAAGATTTGAACGTACGTAACCTAAACCTACTCTGCCTATTTATACGTTATTCATTAACATTTCATGCTTGCAGGTAATTTATGGTGATACTGATTCTATCATGGTGTACACGAATGAAAGCGATATCAACAAAGTCAAGGAGATTGGATACGAGCTGAAGAAGAAAGTCAACGAGCGATACAATCTACTTGAAATTGATCTCGATGGTTTCTTCAAACACATGCTGTTGCTGAAGAAGAAGAAATACGCCGCACTATTGGTTGAAGAGCGCGATGGAAAGTTGGTTGAGTCTGTGGAAACCAAGGGTCTCGATCTTGTCCGTAGAGATTGGTGTGATCTCAGTCACGATGTGTCTTCGTAAGTGTAAAAGCAATGTTGTACGCAGATCAAATCCACACTTTCTAAAGCCAATATCAGGGACGTTTTGGAGTCGATTTTATCCAGCAAAGATCGTGATCAGGTTGTTGATGATATCCATGCCAAACTCAGGATCGTTGGCGAAAAAGTTCGCAAGGGCGAGTACAGCTTGGAAAAGTTTGTCATTAACAAGGTAAAGCTGAACTTGCGAACGTCGCTTTTTTCTGATTGTACCTTGACTAACCCTATACACCTTTGGATAGCAACTGACAAAGTCACCACAAGACTATGCGGACGCCAAGAGCCAACCTCATGTACAAGTAGCTCGTCGTATGAAGGAAAATGGTCTGAACGTGAAAACCGGTGATACCATTCCATATGTCATATGTGAAATGGAGGGCGTTGCCAGTGGAACATCTGTTGGTTTTGCCGAAAGAGCCTTCCATCCTGATGATGTCAAACGAGGCGACAAGGGATTGCGTATAGGTGAGTTTAGTGGACTAAAGCTAAAGGACATTAACGGGTTGCTAATGACGCTTTCGATTATTAGATTATGACTGGTATCTTAACCAGCAAGTTCATCCTCCTGTAGCGCGTTTGTGCGCGCCGATGGATGGCACTGATGTAGCTCGTATTGCCGAATGCCTTGGATTAGATGCCAATAAGTTTCATGTTGGTGTTACGGCGGAGGCCGCTGAGCAAGAAGAACTCTACACTCTCGATTCACAAATCAGTGACGAAGAGCGTTTCAAGGACGTCGACAAGCTGAATGTACGATGCAGAGGATGCTCGCAGCGGTTCGACATTGTAGGCATTGGTCGTCTCGAAGTAAGGCTCTGCTTTAAGAATATGTGCGTACTTGTATGAAAAACAGAGATATTAAAACCTCTGAAATAGGACGAGACAATGGTATCTGGGCTTCAATGTCCCAATGGACTTTGTAAAGAAGTCATCATGTTCCATTCCTTGAGGACTCAGTTGATGACTGCCATTCGATCTCATATTCGACGATACTACGACGGCTGGCTCGTCTGTGATGACACCTCATGTGGAAATCGGACCCGTATGATGTCTGTCTTTGGTCGCCGATGCTTGAATGAGGGATGCAGAGGCTATATGACACCCGAGGTAAAATTGATCTACTTTTCTCTCCCGTATCTTATGGTGCGTTTTTAACTCGTGTTTTGTTTTGTTAGTACTCTGACAAGATGCTCTATACCCAATTGCTATACTTTTCTTCAATGTTTGATACCGAGAAGGCAAAGGCAAATTCTGCCGATACTACCAGAGCATGTAAGTCAGATTTCTTCAAGAGCTTTCGTCTTGATGACATTGTACTAACAGTTTGTACCTAGTGGATATCGCTGAGCTTGCCAATCGCTACATCACCGAATATGCGGAATTGAAAAAGACGGTGGATCAATATCTCGACCGGTCAGGACGACGTTTTGTCGATCTGTCTCAACTGTTTTCATTCTGTACTATTTAATGACGACGCAAAACCTAATGACCCCCAACCTTTGCACATATATTTTCCTCAGTGTTCATTTCATCAAACCACACCAAATGAAACCAAACCCAATCCAAACATTAGAATCTCATAAAGTCGATATTATTTTATATTCTTGAATAGCTATATTATTGTGTCAATGTGTCATGTAATTAATGGTGGGGTCGTTATTCTCTTGTCTTGAAATCGACCAAGACTCCATGCCGTGGCTTGGTGGTCAATACTATTTTCGTATCGATGACATGCCCAGGCTTAAGCGTGCAGACGAATTGGTTGACAATAGAAGCTATTGTAAGGCGTAACTCCAAAACAGCCAAATGTTTACCAAGACAAATGTGGGGACCAAGGGTGAATGTCAGGTCAGGGAAAGCTTGTGCTCCACCAGTTGAAGCTTCGGTGCAGTATGAAGGCTTATCGCTGCCATTGTGTTCACTGAAGTCTTGATTCTTCAACCACCTTTCAGGAATAAACTTTTCCGGCTCTGGAAAGACTTCTGGATTCATGTGTAAGCCGCGTACATTGCACCAAATCTCTGAGCCTAAAGATCATAGCTATATCGTGAGGAAATGGACGGCAATGTGAGGACAATCTTTAGGAAGACATACCTGCAGAAATCAATTGCCCGTCAGCAATAATGTCTTCATTAGCATGAACTGGAATGAAAACAACAGCTGGATACATTCTCATTGCTTCTTTGTAGACTGCTGTAGTATAGTGTAGTAGAGATAGTTTTTCACTAGACATACTAGCCGGATCAATAGGTGGAGGACCGAGAACGAGTCGAGCTTCTTCGAAAATTCTTTGTTGAACATCGGGATGGCGCGAGATTTCTGCAAAAGTGAAGGCCAAAGTATGAGCTGTTGTATCATGGCCAGCAAAGGTGATTGTCAAGAAATCGTTCAAAAGATCTACACGGTCGTCTGCATATTTGCCGCTCGAGACTACTTCAGCAGCAAGTGAGTGAAACTTGTCGTCTTTGACCTTGTCTTGATCTTCAAGCGCTCGATCGATAGAATCATTGATGAAGTACTTTAGCTTATTCCTTGCAGGAGAGAATGACCTTTGTGCCCATGAACTTTTACCGATGCCAAAAGGTAACCAGATAAGAGGAGACATAAATCCGAGGCCAAGATTGGTATGTTCGTTCTGAGTACGAGACAGCGTTAGTTTTATGTTTATGTTGCGATCTTCTATGCTAAAATCTCACCTACCTTCAAATTCGACTTGCCACCAACAATAGAGTAATCCAGCTCGTTATCAGCGCTACGTCCATACAGATACTGGTTAATGACATCCATGGTAAGATCAATAAAGATTTCATCAAGCTCTAGGGTATTTTGCTTTTTGGCTGCAGTTTCAATGTCGGCTAGTAGCATGCCCACCCTCTTTGCTATGAATGGAAGATGAGAATCTGCCAACACACGACGGTTGAATGGACGATTCATAAGGTGACGACGCCAATGCCAGTCCTATATGTAAGAGGGAGGTCTGGAATTTTATGCTGCTATCTAATAGAATGAAACACACAGAGTCTACATGTTTCTTACCTTTCCGATTGTATTGTTGATATTCTTTCCTCCAAAGACCACATTTTGAATTTTACAGATAAGCTGACCTCGTTCGGCAGCTTCTCTACCTTCGCTAGTTTTTTTCATTTGAGCATTAATGAGAACGTCTTTGATGGACTGTAAGCTGTTTAAAATGACCAATGGTGTTCCAAACATAGACCAGCACACGCTCCAAGGTTGCTGTGTGGGATCTTGGCCACATTGCACTAGAAAGGCCGAGAGGTCATCTGTGGTGTCTTGATCGTTGGGTGGAGGAGCAGCTCCAATCTTGGAAATCCAAAAGTTATTGGTTCTTGCTATAGCTGCTGAACTCATAGAGCCAAAATAACGATGATAGGACCATTTGGTAATGAGATAAGGTGCTATGAGAGCGGGTATTCCTATAAAAACGCTGAATCTGTAGAGTACTAAAGCATCAAGTGCTTGGAGGGGGACACAACGAAGCAGAAAGTCGGTCAATATTGCGGTATAAGCCATTTTGGAGGATTTCTAGAGGGTACAGCACTCTTCATATTGAGGATTTTATATTTCGAAGGACCTCTTTAAAAAATTTGAATGCTGATTGGCCAAATGGTCTTAATAGATTTTCTCCTTTCTTGAGCATATCATGCTTCACGCCGCCAATAACTTTGTTTTGGAATACCGAGTGCCTTTTCGTCTAAATGCGAAATATGAAGGAAACGATAGGAATAATAAGAGGAATATCTGGCTTTGCATTTGTTAGAAAAATCCCATGTCTAGGGTGTCTGTATACCGTGGTGAAATTTACAAGCAGAATGTCCGTTATGCGTATAGGTACAAGCATTAAATTTCTCTCCAGGTAAGCCAAATTCAAAGCCTCATCCGTTTTCTGAAGCTGATTAAGAATCCATAGGATGTACAAGTGGCGCCAGGCCGGGTGCTGCAATACCAGCTACCCATCAAAAGCGGTAATCAGGTCGTACCTCTTTATTAAATTTCAGTAGGCTCTCAGCGATACTACCACCATAAGATTTCCATTAAAGCACTATTCTATATCTATGATTTTCGTTAAAACACATGGCAAGGTCTTGAGTAGTACATCACCACTTGATGTCTGGATTTTTCTTGTACTCTTCATAAGCTTCGAAGTTGAAGAATGAAACTTCTGTCTCGTTTTCTGTTCAGATCCCAGCACTTATTAGTCACAGCAGCATAAGGTAGTATTCTTTTCTCTCTCTTGCCACTCACCAAAACCTAGCCATGAAAGAGTTGCGCTGTCATCCTTGAAAATCAGCTTGTCATCGTCATCCATGTTGATGATGAGATTTTGTGTCTGTTTCATTGAAGGGTAGCTATGTTAGCGATAACCAGCTCAATTGATGAAAGTCGTTCAATATGCTATACCTTATGACCATGTGCAACAGTGTAAAGCTTGAGGGTATCTACGATATGAATTAGCGAAGAAATTGCACCATCATCAATCGATCTTCAAACTAATTTACCAAATTTAACGTTCAAATAAGGCTTCCAACCGGAGGTAGTCTTGATTTCTATAAAATTCAACCGAAAAGAAAGTCTGGTTAACAAGTGAAGGGGTTTCTTGAGAAATGCGTTTATGAATTTCAATTGAATGCGCAAATACTTGCTTTCTCTGATCATATCCTTCAACTCTCCTACGGTCATGACTTCCAGATTGACGTGAAGAACGAGGTTTTTACAAGTTCTGTATTCGAAGGACTTTATGCATCGTACAGTGAGGATGGCATCAGTGGTTGGACGGGAGTGGTTTGTGAGATTGTCTGAATCCATGGCTTCCAAAGTCTGAATAGTGAAGGTCAAAATTTACAGCGCAAAGAAATTGTTCCAAAGAAAAAAAATAAATTGGGCATAAGCTCTGGCTGTCCTGCTAATTTTTTCTTCCCTTCCTACTTAATCTTTTAACCATGCACGGAATCGATTCTCCAGTGGGTCTAACCGAGCGCATAGATATTAATACCGAGAACACAGGTATGTTAAACCTCTTGTTGAATACTGTCGTGGATTTCCTGCTGATTCTCCTTTGCAGCTCCACAAACCAACGACAGTTTCTCCCAGCAATACTATTCCCCCATCTCACCCCTGGATAAAATGAGTGCTTCCAACAAACGATTCTCTTATACCAAGCGACTTTCTTCTCCCAATCTATGGCGTATACGCGAATCACAGATTTTAAAACCTTTAACCACCGTAGAAAACTCCACTTCTCCTTTTATCGCTACTTCAGCATTGGCTGAGGCTGAAAATGAGCCGATTGCGCGAAGCTTGAATGGCAAAGAACGAACATCTACCAAAGAAGAGGAACAGCCATCACAAACAACCAAAGTCGAGCCTGAAGAAAAGCCAATGACGCGTCAAGTCGACAAGCCAGTAGCCAAGGCTACGTCTCGCACTCCTCCAGTTCCTTCTTATATGCGATTTACAGAAGCGTATAAGCGATCTAAAGGACTATTAAAGAATGGCGAAGAGCGTGAGATTCCTCATCATTATCGCGAAGATAAAATGAATCTCAAGAAGAATGAACGCGCTACAAACGCGAGAAACAGACTGACATCCACGAAAGCTTTGCTCGGTCCAAAAACAGAAGGCATCAACGTGAGCTCTGAGAAAGGAAATGAAAATATCCGATTGCGACCAGCTTGCTTACAATTTTTTACTTTATAGAAAAGAAGTACCATTCCACAACCCTTCCATTTTCATTCTTCCCTACGCTCACACGTTATCGAAGAAGCCAACGATAATGAGCATGGTTCAGATGAGCCTTTTGTGTCTATGGCCGTGCGCATTAGACAATTTGAGGAAAATATAGCGGGCAGAGGATTTGAGCATACTTCCAAGCAGAAAGAGGTACGTTCATCAACCAAACATTATTATGCATTTCGATACAGGTTCTCACATTTATTTAGGCCAAGCACTCAACAGAAGAAGCTCATAAATATGTCGTTCCACGATCACCGAAGTTGCTCACAAAAATTAGGCATGAGCAAGGGTAACAACCAGTATATTTTAAAAACGACCAACCGCACACACCATTTTACTGATAATAACTGTTGGTTTCCAGACCTCATCATAACCATGAAAGTACAAATGATCATCCATCGGAACGACAATCTTCTCAAGCATCTACGGCGAAGGTAGGATACTATAGCAATTACATATTCATTTGTAGCGACGCATGTTATTTTATTCTTACATTCATATATCCCCTTGATAGCCACCTCATGGCCAACATTCCAGCAAAGATTCTCGCTCCAATGTAAAACTTGACAGTAGACCTCCAAGATTTCTTACAGCAGCTCGCGCAACGCGTATTCCATCTCTCAACGCCGACAACAGCAAGTCCTCAGAACAGAGCTATGCACAAACTGACTCTTTGAAGTCGTTGAAGAGGAAAAGAGAAGGAAACAGTGATGTGGTAAACAAGCGGTTGCGACCAGTAGGAGAGGCATTATCGAACAAGAAGCAAGCTACTAAAGGATTCACACCTACGATACCCAAACCTTTTTCGTTCCAAACCGATTTACGTGGTCAACATTATCAAGACCAGTTCCTTGAGAAACTAGACATGTGGAGAAAGCGCGATCAAGCTCCGCGTGAATATCATGCAAAGCCTGCACCCCACTATCCACCACCCATAGCCATCAAGCGATCTGTCAAGCCCTTGACGGCGGCACAGGATCTAGTTTTGCATAGTCAGATTAGAGCACTGGAGAGGAAAACAGCAGAAGATGAAAAGAAATTGAACGAAAAGCTAGCTGCTATTAAGCAGAGCGTGCGTCGACCACAACAGGTAAAAAAAAAACAGAAAAGAAATAAGCTGGATTATCTTTGCTGTTTCACCATAATAACTTGAACACTTTTATCTTAGGAAACCAATGCCAAATCGCATCTTCCAGTTCGTGAAACAAGGCGTGCATAATAGTCGCCATGACTCTTTCACCATAATCCCCATCTTGACCTCCTTCTGTTTGTAATTATCTCTATACCTACACCTTATGTGATGCCGCACACACCCAAATACCATTATTATCAATAAATACATAGCCCTCGAAATAGTTAATGCCGAAATAGATTAGGATCAGCGATGTATTGATAGAAAGACAAAAGTATTATTTACAGGCCTGCAGACGGCGGACACGCTAGTGAGAGTGCCGGGATAATGTATGGAACGCAGGCGAGTGGGCGATGGTGGTGGGCGATGACTTTGCCTCAGGCACACCCAGATGGCCCTTACTTTCCAAAACACGTCGGTTCACGGGATGAGCCTTAAACTGATGTTTACGAGCTTCCTCCAATTCGCGGTCCTCTGCACTCATGACACTGAAGGAAGATCATGAGAAATCATTCATTCAGGATTCCAACGTTGGGACACTTACTTGCTGTTCTTTACACGTTTGCTTGTTTCCAAACTCGGGCCATTAGCAACGGTAGGCTTAAAGGGAAGGTATGGTGACTTTGGAGGAGGCAAGCATGGTCAGGCTAAAGTCAATGGAAGTGCAGCAGCTCTTTACAGTACGTACCCTTGGTCGCTCTAACGATTTAATCTTTTTTGGAGAGTGAGCAAATTCTGCTCGCCGCAGTCGGTCATTGAGCGAAGCCAATCGTGCAGAAGTACTTCCAGTCTTATGCTCCAGAGGTTTTTCCCAAGATTCCCGTTCAGCACCGTTCACTTCAAAAGGGTTTTCAGTTTCCTCTCGTCGACTTGATATAAAGCTGGTATGAGGCGATCGGAACAGAGACGTGCGGCGATGTTCAGGGACGTTGGGCTCCCGTGGTAGGTATACTGTGATATAGCGACGCTCTCCGTCAGTGACGATGGGAGATTCCTTCATATACATGGAAGGATCTGTCCCTCGAACTATTTCGCGTTGTGTTGTTGAAGAAGGTATATTATCAGTGGGAGGGGTATCGTATCGTTCGTCGTCGGAAGGGCTATCCAAAATGATTGATTCCTGCTCTCGAGCTCCTTTGATAGCTTCCTTCAACATAGCCAGGGCCTCAGTTGCATCTTTATCTTCTTTATCCACAACCTCGTCTGAACGGCTTTTTAGATCCCGCAATAAAGATCGTCGTCGTAATGGTGTCGTTATGTCACGATTGGTGCATTTGAATACAATGGTGGATATTCGTCGCTTAATGTTATCGATGACGGGTCCGAATTCCTGATTCTGTTCATCTCGACCCATATCATCATTCGATCTCTTGGTTCCTCGGGGAACAGATTCGCTGATTTCCTTTTCACTTTCCTCATGGTGCTTCTGTTGTCGATCTATAAACTGTTGTCTCGATGTACTAAACGCTGTTGCGCGAGCAGGTAGTGTAGGTATAGCAGCTGGTTTAGTGGCTGGAGTCGACGAGGTAATAAGATCAGCACTCAAAAAGGGAGAAAGTGGTATATCCAAATCTGTGTGATCGCCTTGGGTGGGTTTCCCGGCAGTAGGTGTAGCATAGTGAGACGTGCTGTGATTCAAAGTCTTGGACATGAGTGGAGTGGCTGGGAGATCAAAGAAGGTCATGGATTCTTCACTGGCTTGGTGTTGGTGGGGAGGGGTTTTCATTAGACGCAAAGGTGAGCCTTTAACTCCACTTCGACGCGGCTTTCGTTCGCTAAACGGCCGATGCGAAGGCGATGCGGTATTTGGCGTTACAGGTCGTCGAGCTGGAAGAAAGCGAAACGCGTCAGACAATGTCTATCTCAACCTATTTTACAACCAGCGACTTCTGAACCTACCAAACCATGTATCATCAAATCCGGTTCCTGCATCAGGATTGTTCAAATCCCAGAACCGAGGAGCGTCAAAATCCCAATGAACGTGGTCTGCGGAATGATTGTCTCTGCCAGCATCGACAGAAGTTGAATTTTCATCATCCTCCGTATTTCCCGGTAACGGTGGTGTCTGATAGGTTTGAGACTCTCTGTGAGCCATGAGCAGCGGGAGGGGTTGTCGAGAAAACGGTTCTGGCCGACATTTTGACTTGAAGGCCGCTCCTTGTTTCAAGGTATAAATCACGTGGTTTCTAGCCGTCTGTATGGCTGCAATCAGGCTCAGGCCAGGCCAGATCGCTCTTTACAGCAATGTATTCACGTACTCCACAAAGGTAGTTTGAAACACGTTTATGGTGTAGCTATTCGTTCAGTTCATAATAGAGTATTTATGGTAATAGTAGAAATGAGCCTGTTATTTCCCGTTTACCGTTTGGTCCGCCAGCTAAAGAGATGTCGAAACTGATTGATGAGGTGAATGAGCTTATGAAAGTGGCTAGCATGATATCCCTTGTATCTCACTAATCCGCTTCAAATCAGAACGTTCGTAGGCATGCAGAGGAGAACAACATGAAACAAAACATGAAAGCGGTTTATGCCCAGTCGCAGGCCACATCTGCTGGGTTCTATGCTCAACGTCTATCCAAGAACAACAATTACATTATACCAGCTCTCCCTCGCCCTGCACCACAATAGATTTTGCACCTAAGAATGCTTGGAGAGACTTTCTGTAGCCCCGTACTTCGATAGACGCGGCTCCACACAGCTAATGGCTTCTATCAGTACCCTCAGATCCACGTTTTGTGTATTGTCCCCCACAGTGGCATTATGGAACTGGCTACGTGCATGTTGGAGACCGTATGCCTTCTTCATGCCAATCCCGGCGGGTTAGCAGGAGCCGTCAGAAAACGATCTCGATGTTATAATATTATATTTATTTTTTTATGAACTTTCTGTTATATTGTTTTTTTTGGGTGGGACTTTTCATCTGCGAGATAGTAACTAGAATCAAATATTAGATACCTGTCTCTAGGCAAGAAGGAGCGGGGACGGTGTTGTGTTGATGACATGTATAAATTTACAGTGACTTGGGAGCAAAGATAGGGAAGTTATAGCTGCAGCAAATACGCTTAAGCTCTTGGAGACGTTGCATTAGCATTAGACTGGGGTGACATGGTTGGAGTTAAATTCTGGGGAGAAGTGTAGGGTGACCTGCCTCCGCTTTCCATACCAGAGGGTCGTTGTGGCATGGGAGCTTGTGGGTGCATTGGTGGTGGAGTGGAATGTTGTTGGCCGGGTTGCATCATGACGGGTGTTGGACTCATATTAGGAGAAACCATCTCAGGAGGGTATCTCATCATCATTGGGCCACCTAAACCAGTGCATGAGCGTATGGACTTTCTCAAAAAGTTTTGACGAATGCTTCCTTACCTCGAGGTCCGCCTTGATATTGATATATCTGATGAGGTGGCATGCCTTGGGGACCCATATTGTTACGTTGTGGTGAATTAAATCCTTGAGGGTATGGTTGACCATCTTTTTCCAGAACACATTATTAAAAAACGCGCCTCTCACTTTTGAATTAGTCTCTCGTTTACTTACGTGCAGGCACATTGGCCATTTGAGGACTGAAAGATGGGGCGGCATTTGGCATACCACCGGTAGAATAGGCCATATTGGGTGTCACGAACTGGAGAAAGAGTAAGCAACATAGTTTATCTGTTGAGCAAGTATATGAAGAACGAAGTAATAGTTACCTGAGGATTCATATAAGACATGCCTGGTTGTTGAACTGGAACAGGTGGCATACCGGGAACATACTTAAGATGTAATGTAGTGTATCAATAGCCTAGTCAAGTCATGTTGAATGATGTATGAATTCCTACCTGAGCATATCTGTAAGGATAGTTGTAAGGATAGTTCTGTGGTGAAGCACCTTGATACACATCCTCTTCATATCCAGAATACTGATGCATTTGGTGCGTATAAGACTTGCTACCGTATGGCCAAGTAGGTCCTAAATGCCTATGTTAGTCGATTGCTTTCATTTAATGTATTTGCTCCGAACACCTACCAACAGAGTCTGGTTTGACATGCTTGTCTTTTGCTGATGGCGGAACAAATGCCTCAGTGAGCGTGAGTGAGCTAACATGTACATGTTGTTTTTTGCTTCCTGGCAGATCATTTGATGCTTTGGCAGCGCCACCCTATTGTGCATAGAGAATGTTAACAATCAAACGTAGCGTTATATAAGGCACAACCAATAACTCGTCTACCACATACCGGAACAAAAGCTGGTGCAGAAGGATTGGGCTTAAATTCTGATGCCTTGACATTGAATTTGAAACTAGAGGTGGATTTGGGTTTTGTTTCGGTAGTTGGCTTGCTGGTTTCCTTCGCGATAGGTGTGCTGACAGCTTTCTCTGCAGGCTTTGCAACAGGCTCGGCGGGGGGACTGACTTTGGCAGCTTCCTTCACAGGCTGCTTTTGCTCCGCTTCAACAACCTTAGTCTCTTCAGCAACAGTTTTTTCTTCTAACTTTGGACTCTCTTCACTGTCTGAAGGAGATACCTTGGTCTTCGACAGCAAAGGTACAAGATCAGGAGGGACAGGTACATTGAGTTTGAACGTTTGGTGGAACTTCATCAAGTCGGCAAGTCGACCATCCTTTTCCTTCTTTTGCAGAGCCTGCTTCTTAGCATTGAGTTTATCCTTTTCTACCATAGCGAATTGGCGGAAAGTGTTGGCAATCTCTGCCTCGATAGGTTTACGGTTTTGACTATTATCACCACCCTGTTTCAAGAAGCAAAAAGTCATCCGTTAGCATAGTTAAGTGATACGTGCTACTTTGATGTTCTTGCAGAATGTAATACCGTACCTTGTTATTGGCTGATACCTTTCCACGAACACCAGCAGCATCGGATCTCATATTTCCTAAATTGCTGACAGGCGAAGGTGACGCTCCAGTCTTTGGAAGATTGCTAGTAGACAACTTTTGCAATGGATTATCGCTACGAGTCTTCTTAGAATCTGATTTTCCGTCAGGAGATTCACTTCCAGAAGCAGTATCGGTCTTGCCAGCCTGTTTCTGTTGTTGCATCTGCTTTCGCAGGGCAGGAGGCATGTATTTGTTGGGATTGATATCGCGTACAACTGCACCATATCGATCTTCCTCATCCATTCCGCTGTCATCCATCTGAGCGCCTCTCTCTTCCATAACGTGAACATTGGTACTTGCGCTCTGTCACGTACAGAAGGCTTAATGACGCGGTTCAAGTATAACGCATGATCGACCTTAAGTGTACTACATACCTTTTGAATTTCAGCCGCCATTTCCGCTGCGCGTTTCTCACGAGTCTTATAGTCAGGAGCTGATCGATCCAATCTAGTCGTGTAAATCTCTTCATCAAAGTTGGTTTTCAATCCAAACAGCTTCTCGTTGGCGGCAAATTGATCCCAGTTGACAGTGGTAGTATCTCCAAATGTATCAGCATCCTCCAATCCCTTCAAATCATCGCTGGAGTGAACTTCTGGGTTCCATCGGTGTAATTCGCGCTCGCGAATGTCAGATCCTCTTCCACTGATGTCAACATCGGTCTTGAAGGCTTTTAGAGCGGCGGCGGGGAGAGGAAAGAGGACAAGTAGAGATTAATGAGAGGGATAATAGAAGTTTTGAGAAAACTTTATCTTATTTGTTACTTACTGTCTTTATCAACCAAAGGTTTAGTCGCGGCATTGAAGTCAACGTCAACAGCTGTGATTTCAATCAAATCCTTGGCTTGAATAATCATCGTGGTAACGGTGGCGTTTGGGTTGGTCTTATCAGTCTCTGCAGTTTTTTGGCTAGCCTTGTGAATCTTGCGAGCCAGCTTAAGGACAATAGCCAATTCACTAGAAGTAGTAGCTGCATGGAATAAACCCTCAAATTCAGTACCGTCCTTCGTCTTCACTTGCACGTTCAATCCCTAGGATTACGGTGTTAGGCAGTCCGTGCGAAAACCTGGGTATACGAGCGGTAGCGACCATACGCATATACTTACAACTAAATTAGCCAAAAGGAAAAGCATCCTATCGTGCATGTGATGAGAACCAGCATCGCTTTCACTGGGACCAGAGGTATTAGGTCGAGAGTCGGCTATCGACGGTGAAGATGGGGCAGGGGAGACAGGTGAAGAATGACCACTGGTATTGTTACTTCCGCTTCCCTGAAGTGAGCTGGCGCGACTACCACCAGGGCCATTATTGTTCCACTTCTTACCACCTCCACGGCTATATTAAGGATTTCAAGTCAATAATGCTGAATCAACCATGGTAGGCCATGCGCGATGGTAGGTTGCACCATTGGGACCATCACGTTTGCATCGATCAACTAGCCAAGAAAATAAATTGAACAGAGTTAAATGATCTACCTCGTGTTTTGCTTTTGGAAGGGCATGTCTTGTTTTTTGCCCTGTTGCTTCACGTTGTTGAAGGCCATGTCGGACTTGCACGAAAGAACAATAGAGGTTTACGATATGGTGGCTTTGGCTGAGTTGTATGAAGTCCAGGCACAGCGTGACCGAGATCCCAAACCTGTCGTATCCCAAAAATACCTCTTTACTTTAATGAATTGCTTTGATTATCATTCTAAAAGACTTCCTATCTATACAATATCCCTCCATTCAAAATTGAGGCAATTGCTTTCTCAAATCAAGAAGTATGGAGTGCTTCTGTAAAAAAGAAGTCCTAATGTGACGTCACGTACCAGCCTACATCAAGTTTGCTCTTTGAAATGTCTTGAAAATTTTTGCTCAACTTTGTGAGGAGAGGAAAAAAAAAAAAAAGTTTGTTTCCTTTATACTTCTTCGCGGTTGTCAAATGGTAAATACAAGAACATTCAACAGCAAACTCATAGTTAACCAACGATCAGTTCAACGCTAACCTCTTCCATTCCAGGTCAATTACGTTCTTTTTGAAACAGCTTCAGGCTATGCCTTGTTCGAGCGTTTGCAATCCGAAGAGATTGGATCTAAGCTCGAAGAGGTTCAACAAACTGTCCTTGACCTCCCCAAGTTCGGAAAGATGATCAAGCTCAAGTCTTTCTCACCATTCAAGAACGCTGCCGATGCTCTCGAAAACGCTAACGACGTTTCTGAAGGTATAGTTCACCCTGAAAACAATGGTCACTTTCGTCTGGCATAGATCTAACCCGTGGTGCTTCAAATTTTTTTTTTCTAATAGCCGTCGTCAACCCTTCCTTGAAGGCCTTTTTGGAAATGAACCTCCCCAAGCCCAGCAAGAAGAACAAGGTTGAACTCGGTGTTTCCGAGAAGAACTTCGCTGGTGCTATCAAGGCCGAAATGGGCTACGATTGCAGCTCTGACGAGATGGTTCAAGAACTTGTCCGTGGTATCCGTTTGTGGGCCGACAAGCTCCTTGCACAGCTCAAGGAAGGTGACTTGGAGAGAGCTCAGCTCGGTCTTGGTCACAGTTATTCCCGTGCTAAGGTTAAGTTCAACGTCAACCGTTCTGACAACATGATCATCCAAGCTATTGCTCTTCTTGATCAGCTTGACAAGGACGTCAACACATTCGCTATGCGCGTCAGGTAATTACAGTGATCCCAAGTAGCACATGAAAGGAAGACCCTATTCTTACACTTCTTATTCACGCTATTGCAGAGAATGGTACTCATGGCATTTCCCCGAGTTGGTCAAGATTGTCAATGACAACTACCAATATGCTAAGCTCGCTAAGCTCATCCGTAACAAGTCTAACTTGAGTGAAGAGCAATTGGACAGTATGGCCGAACTTCTTGATGGTGATGAATCCACTGCCAAACAAATTCTCGACGCTGCACGAGCGTCCATGGGAACTGACATTTCCGATATTGACATGATCAACATTGAGAACTTTGCTGACCGTGTTATCAGCCTTGCTGAATACCGCAAGAAGCTCCACGCTTACTTGATCACGAAAATGCACTACGTTGCCCCTAACTTGTCTGCTTTGATTGGTGAACAAGTTGGTGCTCGTCTCATCTCACACGCTGGTTCCCTCACCAACCTCTCAAAGTACCCTGCTTCCACTGTCCAAATTCTTGGTGCTGAAAAGGCTCTTTTCCGTGCCCTCAAGACCAAGGGTAACACCCCCAAGTATGGTCTCATCTACCACTCATCCTTCATTGGCCGTGCTGGTGCCAAGAACAAGGGTCGTATCTCTCGATTCCTTGCCAACAAGTGTACCATTGCCTCCAGAATTGATTGCTTCAACGACAAGCCCACTTCCAAGTTTGGTGAGGCTTTGAAGCAACAAGTTGAGGACCGCTTGAACTTCTATGACACTGGTGCCACTCCCAGCAAGAACTCTGAAGCCATGCAAGCTGTTATGGATTCCCTTGCTGATGAGGATGACGATGATGAGGAAGTTACTGATGCCAAGCCCGCTAAGAAGCGTTCTGCTGATGATGCCGATGAGGCTCCCAAGAAGAAGCAGAAGAAGGAGAAGAAGGAAGAAACTGAGAAGAAGGAAAAGAAGGAAAAGAAGGTAATTGCCGCTTTCATGATGTGATTTAGTAACCAACAGTATACTGACCTTTTTACTCTTACAGGAGAAGAAGGAGAAGAAGGAAAAGAAGAAGAAGAACAAGGATTAGATTGAGGATTTTCAGTCAAGTCACTCCTCTTCGCATCCTTTCACCAATCTTTTATTCTCATAATTTCGCTTATTTTCCGTTGTGCAATGTATAAAGCTGTCATTTCTCTTCTTGCCCTTTCAACACAAAAAAAAAACCCCATTAGATTCGAATTATAAAACAATAACCTGTCCCGTTTTTTACAATTAGTATGGCTGATGATGTTGTGGTTATCTGGTATACTGTTACGCTTTTAGCACATGAAATGCGAAGCGGTGCGGTAGAGTTCACAAGTATGTGATACTGGAATCATGTCGAAGCCAGTAACAATCAATAGTTTGATCTATGGCATCCTATTTGCTTCAACTGAAAGTGATGCCGGTTTCAAAAAACTGACAAGACCCAAGCTTGGGCTTTCATACGTGCGCGGGGTTTCAACTCACTGCTAATTTCAGCTGGATACCACGGCAATGTATGGATCCCTCTTTTACCGTGCTCCAAGGTATCGTATATCCATCCATTGCATCCAAGCGATGTCACGGCCATACTGACATGTTCCATCCATTAGATGCCCCCTAAGGTCGACCCCACCGAAATAAAGATCATCACTCTCCGTGCCACTGGTGGTGAAGTACGTAGCATTCGACATTTTTTTCAAAACCGACATTCAACATTGCATTTCCAATGACATTAATTCATCCTCTCTTCAACTTTCATTCATTCTTACGCTTTATAGGTTGGTGCTTCCAGCGCTCTCGCCCCCAAGATTGGTCCTCTCGGTCTCTCTCCTAAGAAGGTCGGAGAAGACATTGCCAAGGGCACTGCTGACTGGAAGGGTCTCCGTGTCACTGTCCAATTGACTATCCAGAACCGTCAGGCTCAGGTCTCCGTTGTTCCCTCTGCCTCTTCCTTGGTCATCAGAGCTCTTAAGGAGCCCCCGCGTGATCGCAAGAAGGAGAAGAACGGTATGTACTTTGTAATTATACGATATGATTTGTATATCTTGTATTCATCCCCTCGTCTCTTTTAGTCAAGCACTCTGGCAACATCTCCCTCGATGATGTTATTGAGATTGCCCGCACTATGCGTTACAAGTCTCTTGCCCGTGAGCTTAAGGGTACCGTCAAGGAAATTCTTGGTACTGCTTTCTCCGTTGGCTGCACTGTCGATGGCCAAAACCCCAAGGATCTTGGTGATGCCATTGACGCTGGTGAAGTCGAGGTCCCCGAGAAATAAGCATATTGTAAAAATAAGGCTCTCTAATGGGGGGTTTTCATTTAAAATAAAAATATATACATCAAGAACTGTGTTGACTTTATTATTTTATTTGGCTATTCTGTGTGATTGTTGCTCTCATCATGTTGCAACTTGATCAGCAACTGCTAACCTGACGTGATTCGGCTCTAACTTTGACTTTTGGCTAGCTTTCTAAGGGTGTCGTTGATATAGGGGCACGTCGTTGCTTGAACGGGGTTTGTTCTGGCATTATATAAATTCGCAATGTACACGTGGACGCATGAAATACTGGGTCCGAGCGTTCGAAGTAGCCTAGTAGAAAAGACGTGTACTGATGGCTCAGCAAGCATCAAACTTGCAATGAAACAACAAAAACATCCCTTCGTAGCTTTTAAGTTGATATGGCGTGCATGATGTTTGCATGACTTGTTAGCCACGCGCAGGTGGTGGCTGGCGGCTTATCAAGGAGCGTGGTTCATATTGGAACGAAAGTACAGAACAAGAACCAGAGTCTGGATGAATTCCATTGCAATGGGCTGGAGTAGAAGTACTTCAAAAATACAGCGTCCTTTGCAGGCGTTAAAAGCCAAATGCTGGGAGGAGGCTGGACTTGAATCTGCCTGCCAAAAAAACCGAGCAGTATTTTCGAATTTTGTGCAACGTTGTTCTGAACGAATAGCGTTTCTCGTTCTCCTGACACATCATGGCGGACAGGCAGAATGTCATGGTCCAATCGGCTGGCTACCCTGGCGGTAACGGCTCCAATGTCGTGAGCAGAGCCGTTGCCGCTGCTGCTGCCAACAATCACCATTCAAGTCGAAAAGGTGGTCGCTCATCCAAGCGCTACTCTGTTTCAGCTTTTTACTCTATGGCCGCTGAGCAAGATGTCGAAGTCGAGGATGAGCTGGCAAAAGGTAATGTATATATTATATTGGATCGAATCTTTTAAGAACCTTACCCACTTATTGATCCGCTCGAACAGCTCAACGCCGTTTGCGAGACTTGAAGTCAAAGATCTCTGGTCAGTCAAAGAAGAACTTTGTGTTGGAGCGAGATGTACGTTATCTCGACTCTCGCATTGCTTTACTTATTCAAAACAGAATGGCATTGGACGAAGTGAGTATTGATTGTGGATCAGACTTCGCTTTGACCTGTCACTGATGTTGCATTTGGCCGTTTAGCAAAATGAAATGGTGTCTCATTTGGAGGAACAATATGACGAAGACAATGGCTATTATCCAGACGACCGAAAAATGCAGCAATATGCAAATCTGTTTTTCTTACTTCAAAGTGAACCACGACATATTGCAACTCTGTGCCGACTGGTTAGCTTATCTGAAATCGATACCCTTCTTCAGACGGTCATGTTCACTTTATACGGTAACCAGTATGAAAGTCGTGAAGAGCATTTGTTGCTCACTATGTTTCAGGTAAGGCACTACTCCATTTGAAAAATTACGGCAATAGCAAAATGTTGACTTTGGGTTCGCTTTTAGAACGTTCTTGCTGCGCAATTCGAAACTTCCACCGAATTTGGCTCGCTTCTTAGAGCCAATACCCCAGTCTCTCGCATGATGACCACGTACACGCGACGTGGCCCAGGTCAATCGTACCTCAAATCGGTTTTAGCAGAAAAGATTTATGGTTTGATTGAGCATAAGGATCTCAACTTGGAGATCAATCCACTCAAGGTCTGTTTAAGTATACCATCGCCCAATTGTTTGTTTTGCGTGCATGACTAACAATTTCATGCAACAGGTGTATGAGCAAATGATCAACCAGATCGAAGAGGATAAAGGTGAACTGCCACCTAACCTTCCCCGTAGCGTTACCACCGACGTAGCATCCGCCAATCCCGATGTGCGAGCTATTATTGAACCACGTATTAAGATGTTGATGGAAATCGCAAACTCCTTTTTGGCCACCATTCTGGACTCCATGGATAAGGTTCCCTATGGTATTCGATGGATCTGTAAACAAATTCGATCTTTGACAAAGAGAAAATACCCTGAAGCAACTGATTTTGCCATCTGCTCTCTCATCGGTGGTTTCTTCTTCTTGCGTTTCATCAATCCGGCAATCGTCACGCCACAGGCTTACATGCTCATTGACGGCGTTCCTGCCAAGCATCCACGAAGAACTTTGACAATGGTAAGGGGATCATAAAGAGCAGAGACGGAAGGAAAAATGATATTCAACACATTTATCCTACAGATTGCCAAGATGCTTCAGAATCTCGCCAACAAGCCGTCATACGCAAAAGAATCTTACATGTTGCCCACCAATCCGTTTGTTGACGACAATAAGCAGAGGATCAACAAGTTTTTAAACGAACTTTGCGAAGTTGGTGACTTTTACGAGTCTTTGGAGATGGATCAATATATGGCCTTGTCCAAGAAGGATCTTTTCCTTAACATCACTTTGAACGAAATTTACAATACGCACGCCCTTCTGCAACAACATGTTGAAATCCTTGCACCAAAGGAAAAAGATCATTTAAGAATTCTGTTGGTCGAAGCTGGCAATGCTCCGGCTCAAGTGCCTCGAAAAGACAACAAGGGAATTGAGCTGCCACTTTTCAGTCGATGGGAGATTCCCATTCAGGGTAAGCATCGGTCATAGCGGTGGATGCTCTTGGAACAGCGTTGGCTAACGTCTTTTTCACCTTGTAGATTTGACAACGGCGCTGATGTCTGAAAACAATATCACACAGAATGACATCCTCTACATGGAAACCAAAGCCATTTATGTCCAACTTATCCGATCCCTACCGCATTTATCGCAATCTCAACTTGATTTGGACTACATAGCGGAAACAGCTGCTACAACCAAAGACGCTCAGCTGGTGCGAAAGGGTATCAAAGTCAAGGATATGTTGCGCGAACTGGAAGATGCTAGCGTGGTAGATCATCGTGACGGGTACAAGCTGTTGGTGGAAGAAATTACACAAGAGTTGGCACATCTCGGTAACCTGAAGGAAATGATCATGCAGGAGATCGACTCTCTTGAATCCGTTTTCAAGAGCATTCTTGATCACAACAACTATCTCCGCATTCAATTGGAGAGCTACAAGGCCTATCTGCAAAACGTTCGAATGCAGAGTGGAGGAGGAGAGAAAAGTGGCAAGGGTTCAGTTGGTATTGGTGTTGAGATTTATGGCCAACCCAAAAAGCCCATCAAGACACAGTTCCAGGGCCCTGTGAAATTCAGCCATAACCAGTTGGAACGTGATGGTGTTATTGCCGAAAGCAACGTCCCAGAGAACAGGTAAGTATCAGTGGGAAAGTACATCTAAGTGTGTCAACCACTCAATGTTTCTGCCTGTTGTATTTTAGACGACCCAACATTTACTTCGCCATCACATCCCCCATACCCGGAACTTTCATTATCTCATTGCACTACAAGGGACGAGACAAGGCTATACTTGAAATGGATCTCAAGCTGGATGATCTTTTGGAAAAGGTATGTCTGGCAAGCCCCATATGATATTTCCTTTAACCCGAGAATCGCGCAAACAAACTCATCTTCCTCTTTTTTTTTTATTAAAAAAAAGCAACAAGATAATGTCCAATTGCTTGACTTGGAGTACGTCCAACTGGACGTCGGCAAAATCTTGCAATTACTCAATAAGACGTTTGTGACTAAAAGCAGGTACGTTGGTTCCCAAGCATCGTGGTTTCCATGTCTCAGTCCTTAACCTCGAGCATTCCCTTTCTTCAATGAATTGGTTCTTTTCAATTTCACAGAGGCGGCTTATTCTCTTAAAGAATCGATTGTGTGGTGTTATTGTTGTTTTTAGCAATGAATCCATCATATTGGGCTGGTCCTTGTATTGGTATTATAATATATAAATATTTTCTTTCTTATTCTCTGCGATCCGAGAAAAAAAAAACAAAGAAAACGAACCTTTCACCACAACAGCTATACGAAAAAAAAAAAAACTACTTCTTTCATCACGGCCAGAACCTAACGTTTCAGCCCAACATAGAATACCAAACGCGTAAAGAAGACAAATAAAAATTATTTACAGTGTGTAAGCGAAATCCGATAAATTATCCTTGCTGCTGCTCAGGTTGGTTGGGTGGCATTGGGCGAGGGGCAGGCAATGGTTCTTGGGGCGGACCGTACGACGGGCGGTATGAAGCCGGCGCTTGATGATGAATGGGTGGTAAGGAAGGCGGAGACGACGCTGGCAGAGGGGTGAATGCACTATGCTGCTGTTGTGGCCGTTGTTCCACTTGAGGTGGGAAAGGTAGCTTGCCAGCAGAGGACTGAAGAGCATTCAAGTGTGGAAGTTGGTTGTGGGTCGGTTGAGACGGTGGCCGTGATTGAAGCGGTGGAAGCTGAGAGGAGAAACCAGGATGACTAATAGGAGCCATAGGTAACGGATAGCCATGATGACTTGGTGGTGATGGATGACTAGGTGATTGATGATGGTGCTGAGGCCGCGGTGGTCCTGCAGCGGAAGGTGGACTTGTAGCATAGGGAGGTTGCCCGTTATGACCGTTTTGATGACGGAATTGAATGGGTTGCTGTGGGTACCTGTGCTGATTGACTTCAACTCTTGGTGGTCCATCATGTGAGTATACGCCAGTACCAGGGTGGTTATACACTGGAACGCGTGGGGGACCAAAGCCCATGGTACCTTCGTTTGGCTTCGTAAACTTGATGATAGGGTTGGCTTGGTGATGATGAGGGCTGGCAGACTCCATCCAGGGTCGCTTGTGCGTGTTATGCTCTATAGTCCTTTCTTTATCATGATCTATAGTGAAGTGCGTCACAGCAGGTGGTTTAGCAAGACAGTTGCGACATGTATAGTCGACGTTCTCCCAAGCCTTCATCAATTTTCGAGTCTTATCGTGCTTGGCAAGACAGGCAATATGAGCCCATGTTCCACAGCGACCGCAGGCAATCATAGGTGTACCATCGTCCTACAAAGATAGTGAGAAGCTGTTATAAATATGAATCAACGACAATGATTTAGAAAGTGCACTTACCAAATTTTGCCCTTTTACACCGCAAAGACAATCAAAGGTCCAATTGTCTTCATCAAACTTTGGCTTCTTCTTGCGAGGACCACGTTTCTTGACAGGTTTTGGAGCTTGCGCTTTGACATCGTTGTCATTCGGTCCTAGTAGTTTCCGTTCGCCCTTTTGCTGTTCTTTCAATAGCTTCTCTTGTTCACGAGCTGCTTCACGAGCTGCCTCGCGTGCCGCCCTTTCCTCCTGACGAGAGATCGCCTTGGCTTTGTCCATTTCACGCTGTTGTATGCGTTGCTCTCGTTCGCGCAATCTGTCCTCACGAGAGTTTACTGCAGCAGCTTGAACTTCAGCTTCCTTCTTCTTTGCCATATCATCTTGACGTGTTGTTCTAAGCCTATGCTGGTGCTGAAAAGCTTGTTGAGCCAACGTCTCTTGACGAAGTCGCTCTTGATGCTGTAAATCTCGAATCTGTATACGACTGCTTCTCTTTCGACTGTTCAGAGCTTGTTCCAGCTTCCTCTCCTTTTCGCGTTCCTCTAATATTGGAAGAATTTGAGGAAGGAGATCCTTGGTTAGATACTGGTGCATCTTTTGTTCGTCGCGATTCTTGCTATTTTCAAACCGGCTTGGGAATGCTTGCCAGTCAGTAGCCGAGATACAGAGCTAATAGGAGCTCGTCAGTATGGACAATAGACATGGTTATCCTGAAAAATCAATGACTGCTTATTACCATCTTCCAGGGTTTCCATTCCTCATCAGCTTCCTCCTCATGAGTAAGAGTAGGCGGTTCTTCTTCTTCTGGAGGTGGGGTGTCATTTCCTGTCGATCGAAGACCACGCCTTGTACCTCTACGGACCGGAGGAGGAGGCGGTGGCCGCTGTTTCTTCTTCTTTGCGGAACCTTTGCCTTTTGACTTGGTCTTGGACTTGGGAGGAGCTGGAGACTCTCTGTACAGTCGATTATCTGACAATCAAGAGTGAGTTTCCCATAAAACACCAAAGTATATGCGAAATGGAGAACATTTGAGTCAAGTAAACCTACCATCAAAGAGCCAATATGTATTCCCATTTGCATCGTATCCGACAGGATCAACTCTCTAGAAATCATGAATGAGCATGGTTGGCAACAATGTGATTGGCAATATCATTATTTCTTACCCAATGAGCTGCATCGTCCTCGCTAGGAAGATGTTCTCTCATTCTTTCTGGGTCGTCTAGTTGCCACTATCAATAACGGAGAGTTAGCTAACTGTTGTTCCCGTACGGTATATTTTACATCTTTAGAATCACAAACCTCGCAAAGAATATAGAGCACATGTACTTTGGTATCAAGATCAAGGTCGAAAAAATTGATAGGGTCAGGCTGCTCCTCTAGAGGAGCTTCAATCTCTGGAGTTTGTTCTTCCATCTTGATATTTGATTCCTTCTTATCATCTGGCTCTTTTGAATCTCGTGGTTGATCATCCGTCTCTTCCTCCGATAGTACAGAGCTTGCAGCATCATCGTCTGCATTCTCTTCTTTTGACGATGGGTCTATTGGCTCATAGATGATCTTTGTCTTTGACATTGGAAATGGCCAATAGTTCTCTTGATAAAATGGATTATTTTCTTCTGGTTCGCGTTTATAGAACTCGCGGATCAAATAGAGCTGCCAAGTTTCTGAGCTATTTAAAGACATCTGGTCAATGCTAAAGCTCCTTTGATTGACAAGAGCCATGGCGACAAAGACGTACCTGACAAGTCGGTTGCGCGTAAGCACTTTCAAAAGTCGTATTATGAGATACTCTAAACGGTATCGTTCACCATCGTCCAGAAGCATTTGCTCAAAGTGCTACAGCCACGATTAGCCAGATGGAGTAGATAAGAGTGACAACAAAATAGACATACCTCAGTGTCAAACGGGCCCTCTTCTATCAACGGTGTAGCTTGACGAGACCCTGTTTGGCTGGAACTGCGTTGAGCATATCGCGACGGTTCCAAAGCAGCCTGGAAGGTATGAAGGAACTGGGACACGGATGCGAATTCGACATTATTCCGAAGCTGGTTCAGCAGTGCTGGATCTTGGCTCGGCATTTTTTAGAATGGTATTATGCCCACAGGCGGAGAATGTAAAGTGACAGATGCTGGAAACAAAAAAAAAAAACCAAAATCTATAGATTGGTTCAACGATGTCTAAGTGACGGCCAGTCAATTGGAGGAACGCAGGATGTAAGGGCTTGCAGAGGTGTCGCAGAGTAGTAGTCGATACTAGTAAGCGATGCCTTCAGAGTGACGTGAGGGCTGATAAGTAGAGCTGTGGTAATTAGGATAAATGTAAGGTAAACCCGTCCCTCTTTGGATATGCAAGCTTGTTGTGCAGTCCTTTCTGGTTGCCTTCATGACATTTCTAAAAATTTCAAAGTGCACGTGATTTATATGGTCAAAATCAAATCATTAAAAATTGTTCAATGGGATGGATTTACTGTAGAGAAATGGATTGGATGGGAGGGAGGGGAAAATGTGCGCAAAACAAAATGAATTTCTATCTATTACAATTCTTGAGCTAGTCGGTTAAGGAAGCTACTGACTTGTTCAACATTGGAAATATAAGATTGGGCCTCGGTCTGCTTCTTTCCAACTGTACTAGTGATAGAGTTTGGAATTTCATTGAGAAGGGAGAACACGACCTCATCAGTCTTGCCGTCACCAATACACATCAAATAGTCAATGTCTTGAAGCTGTATGTCCTTGAGGATAGCACGAACGGCAGTGGCCTTATCGATGGCGGAGGGTCGAAGTTCCAAAGTCTTGTTACCAAGGACAATCTGGAAAAATGGCAATGATGATTCAACAAAATGAAAAATTAAGGTCACGGGCATATAAAGTTATACTTACGGCGAGGGCCATATGACTCAACAACTTTTCAAGGTTAACCTGAAGTTCAGTTGCTTGCCATGATCCAAACTCAGGATCGGCATTTCTGTAGTGCCAGGTAAGGTTGATTTCCTTTTCTTCAATGAAGGAACCAGGAGTACGCTCGGTATAATGCAAAAAGAGAGGGCGGATAGTTTCCTTCCAGCTGGGATCGATTTGGTCTACCAAGCAATACCATTTATGATCCTCCTCCTTAATGACCTTACCCTCAGCAGCTTGAGTGGTGGGATCAATCTTATCGCGAATGCTAGCAGGATGCTTATAGAAACAACCGTGTTCAGCAGAAAGACCAACACCAGTTGATTCAAACCAGGCATCCAAATGTTGACGGCCACGTCCAGAAAGAATATACACATAGGTGTTGGGCTTGGAGGAAAGGTTCTTGAGAGTATCAATGATAGCTTGCGATGGCTTGGCAAACTCGGGAAGCTTGTGAAGAGTAGTAAGAGTACCATCATAATCCAAAAGGATGACACGCTTCTTGGTGGATTGTTTGGCCAAATCAATAGCCTTTTCGACGTTCAGTTCGGGAATCTTTTCACGATGACCGAGCTCTTCGCTGACTCGTCGAAGCTCATTGACGAAGCTGAGACCCCAATAAGCAGCAGTGTACTTGGTGACATATCTAAACAGCTTTTGATGGTTGGACTTTCGAAGGTCATCAGGCATAGTGACAGCTTCATGAATAGCATTAGCCAATTCTTCTGTGTTCCATGGGTTGACAATGATGGATCCTGTGATTGAGTAAAACATGAGCACGTGCTATATACAAAAGGCCAAACAGACCGGACCAATTTTTTACTTACCGTTAAGAGACTGAGCGGCACCAGCGAACTCGGAAAGAATCATGACACCATGGTTGTTCTGTTGGGCAGAAATGTATTCATAGGAGACAAGGTTCATACCGTCACGAGTAGAAGACACCAAGCAAACATCAGAGACAGCATACAAAGCGACCAGTTCATTGAAAGGAATAGATCTGTGCATGAAATGGATGGGAACGAACTCAACGGTACCTGCAAAAATGACGATTTAATGTTGACATTCATCTTGATTCCGACGATTTTTTCATGCCCGCCTATGACTTACCATATTGACCGTTGATACGACCCACCAACTCGTTGACAGTACTTCTCAATTGTTGATATTCATCGACATCTTGTCTTGATGGAACAGCGAGCTGAACCAGGACAACCTTACCAACCCATTCAGGATGTTGACTCAAGAAGACCTCCATAGCATGCATCTTCTGTGGGACACCCTTGATATAATCCAGACGATCCACACCAACGATGATCTTACATCCTTGGAATCTCTCCTTGAGCTGAGTAATACGCTTTATGATACCCTCATCACGCAAACCTTCTGTGTAGATCTCGGGATCGATACCGATAGGGAAAGTGCCAACATGCACGTTTCGACCTTCAAACTCTACAGCGTTGGGCATAGTAGACAGGCCCAGGATACGAGTGCAAGAGGAAAGGAAATGGCGAGCATAATCGTAAGTATGGAAACCAAGGAGATCGGCTTCCAATACACCCGTCAAGATTTCCTTGCGGACGGGTAAAATACTGTAAAGAAAAGAAGTGATTAGAATATTTCGTCATGGCTGAAAATGTTCCAGTCTCCGCCAGAAAGGAAAAATTACCGGTAGATTTCACTGCTTGGGAAGGGAGTATGAAGGAACCAGCCGATCTTGATATCCTTCTTGGTTCTCTTGCGAAGCATAGAGGGCAAAAGCATCAAGTGATAATCCTGTACCCATACGAGATCACCATCCTGAACGATTTTATCAATGGCTTCGGCAAACAGTTCATTGACCTTTTGATAGGCCTCCCACCATTGTTCATTGAAAGAGATTTCACCAGGGTGGTAATGGAACAAGGGCCAAAGAATACTATTATAATAACATTAGTCATGAGCAACCGACGACAATCCCAAAACGTATTTATTTACCTGTTGGAAAAGCCATTGTAGTGGTCTTCAGCTAGGTCATCCGAAACAAACACTGGCAAGGAGGAGTGTTCATTGAGAAGACGATCCTCCATATGTTTTCTCTCGCCCTCTGGGACATCAATACCGGGCCATCCAATCCAAGTAAAGCTCATCATTTTCTTGAGACCACTCAAAGCACTGACCAAACCACCGGACGACATTTTGAAGGTGAAGTCATTGGTCTTTGCGTCTCGACCTACGGTGACAGGAAGTCGGTTGGAGACAACCAACAAACGAAGTTCTTTGTTATCTGAGGATTCTTCAGACATGTTTGACGAAATGACACTGGAGGGAAGAAAGACGGGTTTTAAGAGAAGAGACACGCACGCGGACACAAAGCAGGAAAAAAGTGCGCTTTAAAAATCCTGGGCTGGTAACTTCGCTGGCTGGAGCGGGGCGGGGGTGGGTGTGCCAAATACGTCATTCGGAAATTCAAACCACTTGGGTTTTTCTTCTGCGCACAATCAAGCCCTTCCATCAACAACCAACAGTCCCGTGTGCAGTATAACTATTTCGTCGCACCGCATAAATAGATCCTATAGATCCGCCGCCGCCTACTCAAGACACCTTTGATCACTATCTCCCAGTGTTACCTTGTGAGTCTTTTGTTTGCACTTAGCTGGGGTCTGCTCACGAGGAGGCATTGCTGGTTTATTAGCCGTCATGGGTTATTTTCAGTGGAACATAACCTGTTTATGATGTAAGCAACAGAAAGTGGATCTCATCGTGGGTTTATATAATCGGTATATTCCCCTTCATGGTACCATCAAAGGATACTCTGCAGGTACACGTTGGCTTGATCGATAGAGATTAGGTGGGCCATGTGATACTTTTTTGCTCAGGCACCCCTCCCAATATAATAATGTCCATGTCACAAACTGTAGTCATATAATGCTTGTTTTAGTAGAAGTATCGTTCGATGTTTCCATCCTTCATGGCGATGTTAAAGCCGAGACACCTTGACTACTATGCATGGCATCGAGGATAAATCAAACGAACCAAGTAAAATTGAATCGTGATGGTGCTGAATAAGGTTATTCACATAGGATTAGATGCGCATGCAGTACTGTGTGTGCTGTTGGAATAGCATGAAAATAATAATAATATAGAGGACGAAGTTGTATCTGTGATCCATCCGGCAAGCAAGCAAGCAGACGACTAATCATCTGCCGGCAAGATGATAGGGTTTATATCATACAGCCAAGCTTTATCATCAGCACCAAACGTGTTTCTACTGAAAACCAGCAAGCGACTGGCTGTGTCCAATTGTCAACACAGTGACAAATGAAACGCAGTGTAGGTTTAACACCAAAGCTCACCTGCCATGTCATATAATCTTTTATTTACATTACCATGTGCAACAACCCGTCTTGTACGAGCAAGGTGACACTTCAACTATAATCCACCATCGGCAAATATGGAACGCTATAGACATCCAGTTTATAACTCTTAGTATTTGATCCAAAACAATCCCCACTAGAACAAACCCATGCCCGGTATGATTTAGAAAAGACGTGTATTAACGAAAAATGCGTATGGATGAAAATGTGAAGAGTCAATCACGGTTATTGGTAAAACGAAAATGAAATCTATACCAGCAACGGCTTTTTGTCAAAGAAAAATATACAAGGCCATGGGTCGGCGTAGCTTTTCCAGGCTAAGTCGACGAACTTTTTTCTTCCAGGATTGATTTACAAGGGCTTTGCGGGCAATTGGGTCAAAAGGACATTGTAACGCTTCTTCAAGGTGACGCGGTGTCGTGAGAACTTATCGTCAGGTGAGAAGCGAGCAGGATGAGCCGACTTTGTGATCTTGCCTTGTGGGGTGATTTTCTAAGAAAGCCAAAACAGAACATGACAATTAGTGGATCATTGGCTATATACATCATAGCCGACGGGATCATTCATACCTTGAGAGTATAGACTCGCTGGCCCTCGGCATCCAAAGTGTACATCAAATGCATGGCGAATAAATTGATATAGTTGGAGGGGCTGTTGACGGCCTCGAAGGCTCTGAAAAAGAAAAATTATTCGCGGTCACAAACAAGCCACGCTCACAAGCGAGCAGTCTGCCATGGACTTTTTTTTTTTTTTTTTTTCTCACTACCATAGTCAAATAGTCTTTTCACCAATGTCAGCTAAAGGTACAGACATTTATTTCACGAGTGTATGGACATGCAAGCTAGAACTTGATACTGATCGTTTTGAAATCAAAAGCAAAGAAATCCTTGGCTGAGCAACTCGCAGATCTAGACACCACTGCTCCAGCAGGTAACCACCATTCGATATCAAAAGTTACCACATATGCTCACCCAGTCTCATTAACACACTTTGAAACCTTTAATTCCAGATTTCGACCCGGAACAGTTTGACGATACTTTCCAAGACCAAGCTGGAGAAGACGACGAAGGTGACTTTAGTGAAGAAGATACCAATGCTCGAGGTCACTATGTCGCTGTTGGCAAGAGTGCTTTGCGCAAGTCGCAATTTTTAATGGAGGATCCAAAGTATGGCGGAAAGCGAAGCAATCGTAACGCTATCTTCAATGAAGAAGACGATCAAGAGATTTCTGAGGATGAAGTCGATCTCGATGAGGAAAGCGAAGACGACGAAGAAATTGATTCTGATGCTGGCGACGCTGAAGGTCAGCAAAGCAGTGATGACGATCAAGTGGATGGAGAGGAGTCCGAAGAGGGCGACTTTGAACAGACCGATTCGGAAGATGACGAAGTTACCAATCCCATCGAGAACGATGCTGAAGTCCAAGAAGAGTTGAAGAGATTGCGTGAAGAGGAAAAGAAAATGCTGTCAAACATGTCAAAATCTGCCAAATCTGACGTAGAGAAAGGTCAGCATGTCAAGCAGCAGTTGAACCTCTGGGATGGTTTCCTTGATACCCGTATTCGCATGCAAAAGGCCATGAACATTACCAATCAGCTTCCTCAGGTATGCAGAATGTCACATTGAAATCTACAGGTTACTACATCGGTACTAATACCATTCTTTTTTCAATATAGTATGATGTGTGGCCAGATTTTCTTATGAATGACACCGATGCCATTCCACATATTGAAGCATCGAAATCAAAGCTACGAACATTAATAGATTCTGTTATGGATTTGAGAATCGACTTAATTAGAGACAACAATGATTCCATTATCATACCAAAAGATGCTGCTCAATCCCGAAAGCGACATCTCGACGACGACGACGAGTATGTTGATAAATTATGGGAGGACATGTCACAATTGAATGAACTGTAAGTCAAACACTATCAGCATAAGTTTTGAGTTGTCGTTCCATATGCTTACGTCGATCTCCTAGCTTCACACCCTATCGCAATGCCACCGTTGAAAAGTGGGGTAGCAAGGTCCAAATTGCTTCTGGTATTCCTTTGAATAAGAAATTCAAAGCTTTTGATCAAGTAAGTGAATGGCTGGGTACATGACGAAGACGACGTAGTATCTGACTTGTACTCTACAGAGCATCATGACGCAAGTAAACTCTATATTGGGAGATGGTGATAGACTGGTGAAGCGAACACAATTAAGACGAACGGAAAATCGACCACTTGGAAAGGTATGTGGACCACAAGTTATCAACACTGGTGGTAACGGATGGTGTATAAAATTTTACTAACGTCACATCAAACTATCTTTTTTTCTAGGAACAACCTGAAGTCGACGAAGCAAAGGAGGTTGAAGTGGATGGACATCTTGCCGATCATGATGCAGAGATCTTTGATGACAACGATTTCTATCAACAACTTTTGAAGGAGCTCATCGAATCCAGAATGGTCGATACAGATGACCCGATTGCACTTGGTATGCGATGGGCTGCACTCAAGCAGAACAAGCAAAAGAAGAAGACGGTTGACACCAGAGCAAGTAAAGGAAGACGTCTTCGGTAAGTGCCTATTTTGCGGTGTATACAACGTTTGAAATCAGAGATCTCATCCATCTGCATTTTACTTAGTTATCATGTGCACGAAAAAATCCAAAACTTTATGGTGCCTATACCTGCTGGATCATGGCACGATGGGATGACAGACGAGTTGTATGCATCCTTGCTTGGTAGAAAGCAACGCGATTTGATGAATGAGGAGGAAGCACAAGAGGAGCAAGATGAACCAGAGAACGAGGATCACGAGATAGTGAACGGTGAAGCTGTTGATGGATTGCGAATCTTTGGATAAATGACACGATAGACTAGATGATATGGGGTGAACGCTTTGACTACCTACCCTTACTGAACCTCCATTTGTTTTTTTTAACTGTAAAACTGGAAAACCTTGTAATTAAATTGATCTAACTTTCCATATATCCCAAGTTGCTTACATTGCGTACCGTATATCCACATGAGGCTTCAATTGCTTTCAGGATGTAGTTTTGGCCAGTATAAAGGGAAATAGAGCACCATCAAGGTTCAAGTTTATACTGGCCTGACAGAACCTATGGTGCTGAATCTCGTAAAAGCCATGCACAATTTTTCATTGTCTCAATCATGCGGAGATATTTTTTCTCTCCTGCCTAAAATTTTTTTTTTTATGGGTACATCTCTAAATTTTATCACACAAACAGGGTGACGCAGCGCATTCGAGCGTGCAAAGGTAAACAGCAGGGTATCAGAGACGAATTCTCCTTGCACCGTTCGTTTTAAATTCGCAATGTCTGAAGTCGAAGAAGTCAACACCATTAAGCTCGCCACCGGTATGACCTATTTTTTACGCTTTTCTGTGCCATCTAACACGATAATCGCATCATGCTGACTCCTTTAATTCGCATACTTCTTTATCTTTTACCTGGGTTCATTGTTTTGGTTCATTCTGTTCCGCCTTATGCCAAATGCTATTGCACCGTATCGCCTTGTAAATAGCTGGTTTCGATGCTCGGTAAGATATAATGAACTTGTGAACCTTGTTTTTGTGACCTACGCACTCACATACCTTCCTATGCAGCTTCCCTAACACCAACCAGACCAAGCACTGCTGGCAAAACTATGTTGATTACCACAAGTGCGTCAACGCTCGTGGTGAGGAATTCGCTCCCTGCAAGCAATTCTTCCGCGCTTTCCACAGTCTCTGCCCTAACGAATGGGTAAGCCCAATGCATCCATTTTTACGCATTTTTGTATTTCATCATGGGCTAATATTTTTGATTGTTTATAGGTCAGCAAGTGGGACGAACAGCGCGAGAGCGGTAACAACCCCTCCAACTTTGACGTTTAAAAACCTGCGGGATAGTTGTCCATAGACTTTTTGTTAAAACCGATCATTTCAATTAAATGTTTTACTGCCATTTTTTTTCCACTTTGGAACCAGTTTATAAAGAGAAATTTGCGGGAAAGAAAAATGAATGGAGGTATGGTGTGGCCTGATAGCAGGAGAGAGCTGGATGTAATAAGACGAAGGAGGCCATAGAATTCGTTGCTCTGCGTGATGGGATCCGCGTTTGCCATAGGCGGGAGTACCTGCCGCATCCCAATCCTTTTTTTAGATCAGAGTTGTCTATTGGACGTTGGCGAAATCTAGTCAGAGAATGTGGTACACCCTCCCAATATCAAAAGGCAACCCACGGCAAGAAAGAAAAACATTAGAATAGAATAGATAGAGAAACTATAGCCAGATAGACAAGGCAGCGACCCAGCCTGGAAGTGGGTCTGTACCACAAGCACTGACTGATGTTTGAGCAAACAACAGTTTGTGTAGGAACGAAGACAAACAGAATTTGACTTGGTACTAAAGGGTGCGGGACCACCGTCCAATAGGCTAGGTGCGAAAATCATTATATAAAAACTATGAGTGCGAAAGTCACCTACAAAAACTATCTGTAAGTTCTTCCCTTCGTAAGTCCTTTTCGTAGTCTATAGCTCACCATCATACTTATGTTCAAGCTGCGGGTTCCAAGAACCCGTGCTTGTCTGCGCTCCGGTTCTCAGCGGGACTCTACCTTTACGGGGTAACGCTACCTCTACGGAGTAACGCTACTTCTACGGGGTTAAGTGCATCGTCGCAAAATATCGTAGTTGTTCTTTCTGCTGACTTGCCTTGCTTTACAAATGAATTCTGCTGATTCCCGCGACAAATGACATACCTTCATTGTGCATCACTTTCTTTCAATGTTAGATTATTTTTTAAAAAAACAAACGCAAAAAAGAAAATTATTTTTATCTGCGCAAATGATTATGAAAAATAAAAGGATTCTTGCAGCAATGACAGCGTCAACGTCTCCTTTCCTCTGTTTTGCACTTGTCTACACACAACTCGCTTCAGCTCACTCTTCATGCGTCTACTTTTGTGTGTGTTATTTTGCGTTGTCGCCGTTCATGCACAGCTTATTCAGTTTCAGCAACCCAACCTTGGAAAACTTGGTAACGGTGATACTGCCCTCCTTTCATGGACTGTTGTTGGACAACATGCTGGTACGTGACAAAACCGACTTTAGTAGCTAGGCTTACAAAGGGCATTTACTTATCAGCGTATCGAGTGGTCACACAGTCAACCCACCCTTGACAGACCATAATTACCCTTCGTCTTTGACACTGTTCTACTCATGGACCAAGAATAGCGACCCCAGCGCAACCTTTCAAATACAGGCATCAAGTGGCCTTAGCGCTCGCCCAAGCGCTAATCCAGCTCGCAACTTGACTCATACCTCCACCTGGAAGCTACCCAACTGCAGATTGTTTTACCGATACCCTCCGGATGAATACACTTTTTCATTCATCGCTCAACCTGTGTACCCTTCAACCCGTAGCAATACCACAAGTCCTGGCGTCGAGCCCATTCGAATCCAAGTATTCATGCAAAACAACATTGCCACTTTCCCAAAGTGCTAGAGATCGTTGACACATTGAATAAAGTATATTTTGAGGGTTGGCCCCAATGACTTCTGTGACACTATCGTGAAGGCTAAAGCATTACTGGCCACGTGACTCTAATCAGCACAGCAGGGCATGCGGTGTTCCCACCCCCATATTATAACTTTAACACTCTTCTGCCCCACGTACGCTTCTTTTCCTTCTTTCCTTGTCTATCATCATGTCTGCCGATACACTACAACACCACCTTGTACAGCCCTATAAATCACTTGCCAATAAAGCATCCGAAGAATACAAGCGAAACTATGAAGAATGGCAACCTATTGTCGCTGAACTCCACGAGCGACTTGAGGAAGCGACGGCCGAAGGCAAAGAAAAGCACATCAAGCTACACAAAAAGCGTGGACAGCTTCTTGGTAGGATTATATTTTAGTCACTTCGAAACCAGTGCGTTACTGACTGATTTTCGTTCACTTTCAGCTCGTGAGCGTGTCGACCTCCTTCTTGACGAAGATTCGCCCTTCTTGGAATTGTGTCAGCTTGCTGGATATGGACAAGACGACATGACGCTAGGTGGTTCGATCGTTGGTGGTATTGGTCTAGTCTGGTAAGTTTGAAGACGATCCTTACATATGACAACCCATGAAAAATTCGAGAGAGTAATTCCAACCCCGTCCATAGTGGCATCGAGTGCATGGTCATTGCCAGTGTCCCCACTCTTGCAGGTGGCTCTATGAATGAGACATCCGTACTCAAAGGTGGTCGACTTGCCCAAATTATTCATGAGAACGGTTTACCTGTGATCAACCTGACGCAGTCGGTAAGCAAGCGCTGGAACACAGTGAGAAGCATGTGACACTTCAGCGGACCACTGACCCAACAATACAATCTTTAGGGTGGAGCCAACTTGGAGCAACAATTCAAAGTGTTTCATAGAGGTGGAGGCGGCTTCCGCAATCAAGCTATCTTGTAAGTAAAAGACATTCAAGGGGAAAAGGAAATCTTAAGTACATTCCATTATGCTGAGGATGCTAACCAAATCTCCATCAGATCGAAGAGTGGTGTTCCGTCGTGTTGCGTTGTGTTTGGAAGTTCAACAGCTGGAGGTGCTTACACGCCTGGCATGAGTGACTGTGTCATCATGGTAAAGAAGCAGGCTCAAGTATTTCTGGGTGGACCTCCTCTTGTGCAAATGGCCACTGGAGAGGTAACGGATGCTGAGAGTCTTGGAGGAGCTGATATGCACTCTCGCATTTCCGGTGTGAGTGATCAGCTTGCGGTGGATGAGTTAGACGCCATTCGAAAGGCCAGGGAATGGGTATCCAATTTGAATTGGACTAAGGTTGGACAGCTGCCTCGACGCCATCTGCTAAGCAATTTCGAAGAACCACTCTATCCTGCTGAAGACATTCTCGGGGTTGCCTCTGCCAACATTCGTGTACCATTTGATGCCATGGAAGTCATTGCTCGCCTTGTGGACGGATCCCGCTTCACTGCATTCAAGCCTCTCTATGGCGTCAATTTGATAACTGGCTGGGCCTTCATCCATGGCATTCCTGTTGGTATCATTGCCAATAACAACGTACTGTTCACCGCCGAGAGTAACAAGGCAACGCAATTCATTCAGCTGTGTAACATGAAGTAAGTTGAGCTAGGTGAAGGAGGAAAGTGTCATCAGGGCAGTGTGAATTGGTTTAAGCTGAACGCATTTTGACTAGACACACACCGTTGGTGTTTTTGCAAAATATCACTGGGTTCATGGTTGGCAAGCGGTATGAAGAAGACGGTATTATCAAGGCTGGAGCCAGATTCATCAATGCTGTCAGTAACTCCACTGTGCCCGCCATTACCATCATGATGGGCGCCTCATACGGAGCTGGTAATTATGCTATGTGTGGACGATCCTATAACCCGAGGTAAAGCAGATTTGAATGACCGAACGAAGCTGAGGCCAGAGCACTCAATGTCACACGTCTCGTCACAACCATTAGATTCTTATTCTCCTGGCCAAACTCCAAGTGCTCCGTCATGGGTCCCGAACAGCTTACGGGTGTGCTGGATCTAGTGATGCGCCAAGCTGCCAAAAGGTGAGTACCGGTCTTGCTGAGTCGATGTTTGAACTGCACTGAGCTGACTGTCGGTAAATCATTTAGAGCTGGTATTGAGATCGACGAAGAAGTGGCCTCAACTCGAAAACAAATGTTCCAGTCGTTGGTAGAGAGTGAATCTGATGTGTATTACACTTCAGCCCGCATGTTGGACGACGGTATCATTGATCCTCGTGATACTCGTAGTGTGCTTGGATTCTGCCTCTCTGTGGTTTATAACAAGGAAGTCAAAGGAGGCAATCTATATGGTGTTAGTCGCATGTAGACGATCAGGGTAGATTAGAGAAAGCAAAGGATGCTATATATTTGTATTTATCTGATGAAAGAAACCCCATAATATACTGTGTAGATTGTTGTTCAGTTCACGCCACCACTCGGTCAATTGTGTGGGAGATGATATGGAAAAAATATCCGTTTAATTAAGCCACCAAAATGTTTCCCATGCAGTTTTTTTTTTCAGATACTGTAGTTTGCAGTACATCAAGTACGTTTTTTTGTATTAATATATTCACAAGGCCAATGAAAGATGATAAAAATGAAATAATAACAATGATGAGTAAAAAAAGAAGACTTCAGTAAAAGAGAGATAATGGTTGAGATAAACGAAAGATGATAAAAAAAAAATTTCAGAACAAAAACAAAAAAAAAATATGGTTCGTTATATCCGAGTGGTCAGGGCCTTGTGAGCCTCAATCAACTGTTGTTCAAGGCTATGAATGCGTTGCTCAGCAGCAAGAGCCTTGGCTTCCAAACCAGCCTTCTCACTATCGAGAACAGCGGAACGAAGCAACAATTGAGAGTTCATACGCTCCAAATCAGCAACGCGGGACTCCAAAGATTCCATACGCATAACCTTCTTCAATCGAGAGCGACGAGCGGCATCGGTGTTCTTTTGTCGCTTGACAGCAGCGTCATCCATATCCCCATCCGTCACCACTGAAGCGGCGCGCTTCTTGGTAGGCTTGGGCAGGGCAGCAGGGGTGGTTTGAGGGGTGAGGGGATGGTGTTGCAGCTGAGAGCCAAGAGAGCTCAATATAGCTTGCTGTTGAAGATCAGCAAACATATCCATGGAAGGATCGACCTCAGGAGAGTAGGTCTCGAGCTTGACTTGGGGGGTAGGCATAGCCGACATCACAGTAGTGGCAGGCGAGGGCTGGCCAGACAAGTCATCGAACAAAGGAGAGGCATAGCCATTATGTTGCGAGAACATAAGAACATCCGATTTAGCAGTGGGGGAGGTCAAAAAGACATCCAAAGGAGTAGCAATCTCTGGGCTAGAGGTAACGGAAGAGTCCGAGGACAGGAGACCAGTCTTGGTCAGATCCTCCGCCAACCACTCATCCAAAAGGGAGTGGGCATCTCCAGCCGAAGCAGAGGGAACGTCCGGGACAAGGGACTCAAAGATCTGTTGGAATACGTCGTGTTGCGAGATCATTTCAGTGGGTTTCTTGGTCGAAAGCTGGGTAGCAGTAGTAGTAAGAGTAGAGGCCATTAAAGGTAAAGGCAATAAGGTTCTTGGATTTCAAAATTTAGCAGGGTTTTCGCTTGAGTTTAGACAATGGTTGTCGTTTGAGCTTTTCGCATCGGGACAATGGAAGGGAGGCCATGTTGGGCTTCGGTTTCGTAGAAAAGGGCGGGGGGGGGTTGGGTTTGTTGTTATAAAAAATCTTCTTGTTTAAATTTTAATCGAAAACGTACGGGGGAGTACGAGCACTTTAAGCGAGGGGGGAAGCCATGTTCACGTAGTAGAATAGAAAAAAGGCAGTATGTTATGAGTAAGTAAAGAAGAAGATGCTGCGGAATGTGGGCCAGCCAGAACCCAGCTTTTATAAAAAGAAAAAAGATTTTACATCAGAGGGGTGTACACCAGGGCACAAGTTTTTATTGGCTGTTCGATGACTCACCATCAAAAAAGCCAGCAGCCAAATTGAGTCTCCGTACCCACGGCAATGGGAGAATTATTAATATTGTATAGGGGAATTCAAGCTATACCGTGTAATTATAAAGTATGAGCATATAATTTACCTTCGGCTCAGTTGACCGCACACCTTTCAAGCAAAGAAGCTTTTTGTCCTTTTGCTTTTGCAAGATAGGTGCCATGACATGTTTCAAACTTGTATGCCAGCTTAGCTTATCTCTCCTGCGTAGCTGGATTTAATAATTTTTTTTTTTCATTTTTATTATTTACTAGTTTTTAAAGCACAGTTCAGAGATCTTCTTTCAAGGTCTACTTTGTGTGCAGTGGGATGTGTACAGGAGTGGGCCAAAGGCAAGAAATTTTAGTATACAGTATTTTCTTTGGCTTGAAAGGTGGGGAACCCTTGTGCTCAATAGCAAAACAGGTCCGGGCGTGCGGAGATATGGAGTTCCCGTCGGCCATGTTGACTGCAGCTCAGCACCAGACATTCGTCTCGTCGATCGATATCGGCGTCATCACAACAGTAGCCGCTAGCTTGGGTATTCTTTGTTCGACAATCACGGCACACCATGACATTGCAAGCAGGGCATAAGTGTTCTCCCCACCAACTGTAGCAGGATGGCGCTTGACAGTGCCAGACTCGTCCCTTGCACTGGCTACATGGTCGAGACAGCGGAGTTGCTGTCGCATGGCATCGAGAGCACTTCGCATTAGGGATAATGGGTTTAGAACTTTGTGTGATAGTTCTCAACTGTTTATCAATGGTATAGAACGCATCGTCCCATTCTCGATGGATCGGCATCTTCCAGTCGCCAAGATATACGTATTGTAAATGATGGTGGCGCATGACACTATTCTCCAACACGGAAGCTAGTTCGGGCAACTTGATGTTTCGACAGTACCGGCAATTCAATGATCGAAGGTTGCTAAAGCTGGTCAGAGCCATGATCACCGCATGAACAGTGATAAGGGAGGCAAATTCGAAATCCACATGAACGATGTTTCGCCGGTGTTGCTCTGTCATGCTATCTATAAGATGAGCAAAGTACCGATCTGTCACGAGGTGACTTGTGGACAACCCAGAGAGGATGACTGTATTGGTCTGGGAAATTTTTTGAAGTTGAAGGGCATACAACGCTTTACAGGTTCTTGAGAGATGCAATCGATCAAATGGTGATAGGCCTGAGCAAATCGCCAGAATGATATCATATGGTAGTATCGAGAGGTTCAGCATGGTGAGAAAGGCGATGCTGGGTGGCAAGGCGAGCAGCAACAAACCCTGGTTGCGTATATAAAAAAGTGCCTGCACTCCACACCCTTGGAAGAAGAAAGAGAAAAGGAATACAAAGCAACTGAGCATGGATATTGATGTGAGGGACAGAAAGATAAATGAAAAAACGGGAGCGAATCTTTCCCGCGTGGCCAAGGAAGCGACTATGATTGGCTTCTTCAAGCCCTATTGTCGCCTGTAAAATTATTGTGATCCCTCATGCTCACCCAAATGAGCATGGCTGGCGCGTGTGTATTGCAGTGCAATCTCATAGCAGTGGACGACGACGACAAATAATTGCATTCATCAACAATGTCCAGTGGTATCTTGACCCCTTTGGCAGCCGCCGATTGCCAATGGCCCTGAAAAACACACAATCCCAGAAGACCCCTAAACTCCACCCGGGAAAACCATTTGTCGTTTCATAAAACACACTGGTGTTTCCATCCAGGCAAAATTTCTGACAGACATTCCACAAATATCCAAAACATTCACAACAAAACAAATAGGCGCGTGACGTAAATACTATTTTCTTTAATATGAATGGGAAAAAAAACAAGAGAGACTGTGTATTTAGGTCGATCTGTAACATGCTAGCTAAAGAGGAGGGAGGGAGAGGGTTTTGGACTATGAGAGAAAAGAGATAATTTTGTAACAGGCAAAGGGGAGGGATTGGATACATTGGGGGTATATGCAACACGCGATATAATTGGGCAAAAAAGTCCAAATGGATCAGTTTCGTGTTTTCACTGTGAGGGTGTTTTCGTTGTCTGGGAGGTCAGCGTTTGCGGGGTATCTTTGTTGGAGAGTCAATGGAGTTGCGAGTTCGACGAGTTCGCTTAGCAGTCGGTGTCAGGTTGGACATAGCTCTCTTTCGTTTCTTGGGTTTAGCTGACTCTAGCTGATCTTCGTCGTCAACAGCTTGTTCATCGTCTTCTTCATCCGAGTCTGGCACTTCTGGCATCAATAACGAGCCATCACTAGGGAATTCCAAAAGAGAAGGGGCAACGGTGGACGCCTGTAGGCTAGCTACTGGCATGTTGGGAGAGGTCCTTGGTAGGTTGGTAGATCGCTTCATAGGTTCAATGGCTTCAGTTCGCTCATACTGTCCGAAAAGAGAAAAAAAGGGGGAAAGAACGAGACAAATCGAGGTTAAAAAAAAGTTGGGAGACGATCGCCCATGCTAGGCTAAAAAAAATTACCTTATTCATGGCGGGTTGGTCCATGGATTGATGGGCAATCTCAATGAATGAACGCATTTTATGTTCGAAAGCCTCTAGATTATATTTCTGAGCCAGTTGTTCAAAGTGAGAACGCAAATCATCCTTGACATCCAGGAACTAAAACAGTGAAGGGTTGACGAAATGAAAATTAGTGAGATACTGCGTGGATCAAGTTTTTTTTTTTTGAATGCTTGATCAATGAGGGACACACATGGATGAATCCAAATTCATTTCCGTTGCATGGTATCGCCATCATAAGCTTTTCTGAACACGCTGCTTGAACCCTAGTACTCACCTCTTGCTCGCGCTCTCGCAATTTCTTTGCAAACAAATAAATGGTCCGAGTCTTTGGAAATAACAAGTGGTGATCGGCAGCCTTGACAGATAGCCAATCTTCTTCGTCATCTTCATCGTCAGCATCTTCATCGTCGTCATCATCATCGTCATTACCATCTTCATCCACATCTCCATATGAAAAGATCTCGAAAATAAATTCCAAGCCATGTCCTCCATCGCAGAGATACGATTCGATAGCAGCTTGAGTGAGGAGTTCTAAAAAGAGGTCGTACCAGGTGGCCGGCATGCCTCCGCCAATAACCTTTTCGCCAGCGACCACCAATGGTTCAGCACTTTCTTCTGAGCGATCCAACGTTCTTCGTAACATGCTGGCGCTTGTCTTGAGGAAAGATGGGATAGCGTCAATTAGGCCAGCGGATGGAGGGCTAGCCAGGGTCATTCGACGACGCGAAGTTCGGTCTCCTGAAGCAATAATCGTGCCAGCGCGACCTTCAAGTTTTTGTGGTTGTGGAGCCATCTTGGAGCGACAGGACATACATGGTTGCTTTCTGTGACGTCTGCAGAACATGGGAGCAATAGGCGCAGCAAACATGTGTTGTCGCTTGTTCATTAAGTCAGAGGGTGGTGACTGGTCAGCTTGCGACCATGGCTCTGGATGTTTTCGTTGTTTGGTGGTAGGTACGATACTGGAATCGAATCGGCCAAAAACAAAATTAGTCAATTGACATAGGTAAATGCGTTGCTTAAGGTCGCCATCGAATTGAAGAGGGATTTTGGATTGTGAGGTGGACTTGACACCTTGAGGGATAGAAAATTTAATATTAGTATGCCATTATAATTATGCCTGCTATTCCGAACCCACTCAAGTGACTCCTAAAAAAATTGCACTGTAACAAATTTTTTTTTCCTGCTTGTGTGGCCATAAAGTCGGGTTGTAATTTACACTCCGTTCTTACCGTGTATGATGGACTCTACTGCAATATGGTCTTTATTGGCTCGGATGCCTGCATCGGTCCATCGCTTGATAGAGTCTTCATCCTCTTGTGTATTAAGACCAATATCGGCTTGGCGGAGCCGCGATTGAATGGAAATGAATAGTAGATAGTCGAGAATAAGCCGGTTGGTGCTCGGCGTGGACGAAGTCTCGGTGTTCTTTACGTTCAAAGGGGCAAAGAGATACCCTAGACTAGGTCGACGATGCTGAGCTGCCACTGACAAGGTGCTTTTTGCAAGTGGCAGAGGGTGCTTGACGTCTGGAGCCGCCGAAGTCTGCATAGGAGGCTAAAGGTAAGATTGTGTGGAAAGAAGATAAGGTTTGCTGTGGAAGGCGATAAGGCAGTAGTAGCAAAACAAAAAAGTGAGAGATGTAAAAGAGAAAGAGAAAGCGATACTGCCTTCTCGCGAAAAACAGAAAAAGGGCAGGGCGATAAGGCGAATGGAAGAAGAATGTAAAGAAGAAAAGGAGTGATGATTGTGCCAGCCTAAGCAACAGAGATAGTAGTCTAAAAAAACTACCCTGTCATTCATGGTATCGGAACCGTGTGTGTGTGCGTAAAGAGGGAGAACTGAGGGCCCGGTGGCTTCCAAGCCAATCATTTTCCCGACCTCACCTAAAGCTCAGGTGCCTTATGCTATCAAAACAGGGGAGAGAGTGGAAAATGATGCTCCTTGACAATCATCCAAACCCCCCGTCTTTTCCGTATCTCACTTTGATGGCCAAGATAACGGCAGCACACTCAAAGCCTTACCGCTGCAACGTGGCCCCAAAGGAACCATGTGATATCCAGTTTGTGCTTGATGAGCCCATTTTGGGCCATACCTTCACCCGATATGCTTATCCAATCAGAAATTTCCCCTGGCGATAATGGGTCAAGTTTTGGCGTGGATTGAAACTCTTTACGCCCAAGTAGCTACGCTGCCTGGTCAAAACGTAAAGGTAGCAGACACCATACGCGCGCATATAAAGTCTCCCATCATGTCGGCAATTTTTTTTTCTGGTTTTAACACTAATTCTATGGGTTACTGTAAACGTTGTGGTGACTTGAATACCAGCGCGAAGTGCAGAAAATGCGGTGGTCCAGTTATGTGTAGGTTCCTTCTCTCCCCCCAAAAAAGATTTTTCTGTCACACATCACGGCAGTGAAATTTACCGTACTGACTATTGCCTTGCAGCCCGTACGTTGCATCATACCGGAGACCAACCTGTGGTTGACCGTTGGAAGTCCCGGTAAGTCAGCTTGTCCCATGTGGAATGAGATGGAAAGTAGGACGAGAAAAAAATAATAATAACTAATTAAAACTCCTTCAAGGTACATGGATAGCATCAACGGTTCGGAAAAGCTGAATGTAGACTCACCCAGTGTCCTCAGCACAAAAGGATCGTTATCGATGCCAACGAAAAACATCAATTATTTCCACCAACTTCGCCGTAACGCTCATACCACTGCTATTAGTCCTATGCCTATAACCTCAAAATCAACTCGCCCTCAACCATTCGTGGCTTCCACATGGTCCGATACCACCGGTGGTGACTGCAAGCACTGTGAACGAAAGATTGTCGATCGCAGTCTCACCCTTAGCACAGGAGCTACGTATCATCCCGGTTGTCTATTATGCCAGCAATGCAGCAAGGTGGTGACTGATAACGCATTCACCCTGCTTGATAGCAAAGTCTATCACCATCAGGTGGGGTGCTTAACTTGACTGCGGAACTAAATGACAGCATCCTTAACTTAATTTTTTTTTTCTTTAGTGTGCGCCAACAAGAGCTCATCATTGTAACAAATGCAGCCAACCCTTTCAGAATGTGTATCTAAATGTCAATCATGCCAAATACCATGTTGAGGTGAGTCGGTGGTTTCCTCGCAGTTAGATATAGACTGTTATCTCGAGTGATACCCGTATTGGAGGATAGACTGAAATTAACCTAATCATTCATTTGGCACACCATCTCTTTCTTATCATGGCTAGTGCTTTGGATGTACGAGCTGTAGAAAAGCACTACCTCCGTCATGTTTGTATATGGAAATGGCCAAGTCACCGTATTGCAAATCTTGCGCCGGGAATAAATTTGCCGACGATGGCAGCGCCACAATGAAAGTCGTGCCACTGCCTGTATCGATTATGCCACCCGTCATTTCAAGTGACGACGTCAAACCTTCCTCTCTTTTTACCTCTCGAGCACGACCCCTCCCTCGATTTGGCGGATCCAAAACCTGCCCGGCATGTCATCAAACCATCAATTTACTTGAAGAGAAAAATGGCCCTATGGCCTCCAAATGGCACAAAAAATGCCTAAAGTGCGAAGCTTGCAGCAAAGCACTCGATTCTTCGGCCATTATGAAAGACAATGGCAAATTCACCTCATTGGTATGCCGGTCATGTCACGTAAGACGCCATATTTATTAATTTTCGTGCCATGGTGAGATTTCTTTGCTAATGACAGAGAATTGCAGTATAATCGAGTGGAACCTACCAGCCAGCAAAAAGTAGGCCAAATGGTCTGAATGCCCAGCATTTTTTCGCAGTTCTGGCGCAAATGTCCGCTGACCACGTGTTTCGTCTGGGCCCAATTCAGTCTTGGCCTTTCTGTAAAAAGTTACCTGAGCCATTTTTATTATTTCTCTACCTTTTCTCCATTAAAACAGTTCTAAAACCTGTCCACACCACCAATCTTCTGAAGCATTTACTTGAAAATTCTATGACTGACTACATTCAATGTCGATGGGGTGATTGTACCCAAACCTACGACGATCCAGAACAGCTCTATGTTCATCTCACCAACGACCACGTCGGTCGCAAGTCTACCAATAACTTGTGCCTCACTTGCAACTGGGGTAGCTGCTCTGTTGTCACTGTCAAGCGAGATCATATTACTAGCCATCTTCGAGTGCACATACCGCTGAAACGTATGGTTTGACTTTTTTTGTCTTTTTTTAAAATAGACTACTTTCGATCGAACACTCACCTATGATGTGATCAAAACACCTACTAACCTATTGTTCTTCTCTTCTATTATAGCTCATAATTGTGAGGTAGGCATCTTTTCCATTCTATTATTTTTTAGTCACTGTCTTTTCTTCCTGCGGATTTACCCTTTTTCTCATGTGCGGAGATGCACTCCTTTGGCTTGGCTTGGCAAAATTTCTAATACATTTTTTATTGGCTATTCTTAGATTTGCCAAAAGTCGTTCAAGCGGCCTCAGGATCTGAAAAAGCACGAAAAGACGCATACACAAGAACACCAAGGTATCACATTGTTTTCTTGTCCTTTTCTTGGCATACATATGGCTTGCTAATTCGGTTTTATTCTACAGCAACCTTGCGAAGCAGGCAAAACACTGCCCGCGCTACCCGTGCAAACCATCATCCCCTTACACCACCACAGAACCCATACTCCAGTCGATCTCCTTCTGTCGTTTCTGACGGCTCTTACAGCACCAGTGGGCCATTGTCGCCTCCACATAGCATGACTTCAGACGGAGGTAAGCCAATGGCGGATTTTAAAAAATTACACGGTTATTGACAGAAAGACTCCTATATTGACCTGCATACACATTGTCACAAATTTAGGTTATTCCCCTTCGTCAGATGCTCAGAGCACATTCTCAAAGTTTGGTACATTCGATGTCGTTAGCGATGACACTCCATACAGCTCTGCTTATTCAAACCGAGACTTTGGTGGTGATGATATGATGGAAGACTCCCAGATCAACGTTATGGGCGGTGGACAATTTGGAGACAATGCTTTGGACGAATTATTTACTGATGTCTTACGGAATCAAAAGTTGAGTCCTGAATACGATACAGGTGAGTTTACAATTCATTGTATATGTTGGTATCTGTTTTCTTTTTTTATCTCCTCTGTTTATTAACCCATCTATCGCAGATATGGCCGATCGCCTCAACACACTCGCCACTTTTGTCGATAATGGCAACCTTAATGCTCAGTTGGAGAGCCCCGAAGAATTGGATCAAATGCAGCGCTGGTTACAGAATCTTTCCAATAATATCAACATGAGCAACACTTATAATGGAGCTATTAGCAATGCTTCATCTCCCAGCAACGGAGCTTCATTGCAATACCCCACCCCTTTCACTATGGATGATAAGTCCACTTACATGACCTCCGAAGCTGACATGCAAGCGGTTTATCCTCAGCCAATGATGGATGATGGTTCCTTCATGTACCAAACGGCCAATGCATTATACCCTGCCACCAACGATATGTATGTCCGCTCCCAGATGCCACCCCAGTACCCCATGGCCAATATGCAACAGTATGAACAATCTCCCTATGCTGTTAATGGTAATGTTGGTAATCGACAGCATTACATGGCTGCTCCATCCATCTCGACCAACTATTGGGGTGGTCCAACTTACCAGACCACACAAAACTTTACATCCGCCAATGGAGCGTCTCCCAAACCATCGGATGCCGTCGATTTTGAGACCAAGAACAAACGTCCTTCAGTAGGTGCACCTAGTAGCCCATCCGAGAAGTTGGTGGTAGATGATGACATGCCACGAATTAAGAAGGAAGAGATGACAGATCATGAAAATAAGAAGCAAATGGTCAGTATGCTGAATGTGTTCAGCAGCCCTGATAGCGTGGTTGAATCCAGCAGCTGTCAAAAGCCAACGACCACCTTCGACAAGGTTGATGAGAAGGCTGCAGTGCCAGAGGTCAAGATTGAGAAGCCGGTAAAGGAGAAAAAGGAGAACGACATTATGACACTTCTTTCCAGCGATATTTCTGGCCTGTCAATAAAGGAAACCGATGCGAAATCACCTTATGCGGACCTGAGCGAATCACTATGCGAACAACCACCTGTGGCTACAACAACAGCCAGCCAATCTAAGCCAGTCCTGGACCAACAAGCACGACAAAAGCATTACGAAATCGTCCAACGTCTTAGCGAAGCTTTGCAAGCTATGTCTCAAGATCAGCAATATGCAAACAATGCTAAACGGGTTGCAGGAATATTAGATAGTCCAGCAACCAGGATTCTGAGATCTAGAATTCCAGCAACTGGTAATAGCATCAATAACAGTGATTAAAGGCTCAGAGTCGATGGAGAGAAACCCCCGCTTGATTTCTCTTTGATCGGCCAATGCTTGTATTACATCTGGTTTTTTTTTTTCTTTCTTGTTTTCATCCTCCCCATCATGTCATCTGTAAAGCTATTCCTTTCTTTTTGTTATATTTGATTTGACCCTCTATAAAACATTCAAAATAAAAGGGCCCAATTCCAAAAGGGCAATGATTTCGCGTGTCTCTGTGCAACGGGATTATGAATGGCTGAAATCATGACGATTTTTTTTGGGACACTATTTTTTTTTTTAAAAAGGTTGGCACTCTCCTTCTTCCCTTCCTTTTCTCTCTTTATCATTTTATGACAGACGACCGCTCACCACGTCGCCGAAGATCCATGCCAACCTTACGCAAATCACCCAGTAGTCGATTCAACAAGCCTGCCAAAGGCTCCCCCTCCACCACCCTAGAGAAACCCAGCCTGATCCTATGCGATGCCACCAAACTAGTTCCTGGATCACTGTAAGTTGAGTTTTGCGTCAGGCGGTCAGCCACTTTCCGTGTTCTGACACCTTGTTCCTCAGGTACCTGTTCAAAACTCATTTTGTCAAACTCGTCCTGTTTGAAAAATACGAAGATGAGATGTGTCAGTTCTCGATGCTTCGTAAGTATATACTTCACCCCCTTTTTTGCTTCTCCATGTTTCCTATGCTATCCTACGCTTGACAACGCGGGCGGGCGTTCCTGGGTCCCTTCCTCCTGATGTCACACAAAGATATCAAATTTATTTATTATTATTATTTTTTTGGGTCCGTCTAGGCGAGAACGAAGAACCTATGCGGTGGTCTGAAGCCAGGTGAGTGGATTGCGTGGTGGCTTTTTAGATGGACTTTCATAAACTGAGCGCATGGCTTTTAGGTATTTCCTGGGAGACTTTTCAGTATACGAAGCTTTTGATACCAATGGTAATCCACCTATCGAGGTGTGCGAACAGGTAAGGTGCCTCCAAAAAAAAAAAAAATCAAAAAAAAAAAGTCAGGGTAGTAAGCCCATATGTACGGAGAACATCACCTTATTAACTGACCAACCAATGGGTCGACTAGTTGGAGTGGACAGTGCCCAAGAACTGGTTTGACTGCTTTGCGCTGGCTCGCGAGCGTCAGCGTCATTGGTTTCAGCAACTCAACGGTGGAGTCACCATCTCTCCACCGGCGCGTTCTAGTTCGTTGAGGAGAAAGCCTGTGGTCGTCGGCGCCGTCCCAGACGTTCCACCTATACCCGACCATATCAAGGAGGGCGACCATCGATACTCCTACCGATCAAGCATGTCCTCCTTGAGCGACCTAGATAGCAGTGTGAGACGACAGGCATTTGCAAAGGGTGTAGTGCGCAACCCCACTGTGTTCCACATGAATGGATCCGACAAGCAGCTTGAAGTTATTCATTAAACGCAGAATAGAACTCCCCAATTTTGCCGCTACAAGATTCCCCCCTGTTTTCTTTTTTCTTCTAATTTTGGCTTCCTATCTCTCGAATCCACCAGTTTATACACCTACTCAGCATACAGATCCATCAGACTTTATACAAATATACATATATTGAATTGTTTTTTACTATTTATTTTTTGAAGGGTCTTTAGGGATGGCCAAACATGGTTTACGCCATGTGGTGTGTTCTATAAGTCGTCGCCGCACTGTGTAGATCGCCAGATCGATTCGCTAGCTGGTATATCGATGGCGATTCTTCTTTGTAGTTCTTTTAATCGACTGGCAGCAGGTGGACCATCATTCCATATTTCTTCGGATGCATCCAGTCGAGGCACTCCAACCTGTTCGACGGTGAAGCCTGCGCTGACCGATCCATATAGGGCGGCTTCAATGATATCTTTGTTCTGGAGATACCCATACTGAACGGGGGGTTAAAAATTTCCATTGTCGTGAAGATAAAAGTGGAATGAGGTACTTACACAAAATCCACCGCAAAACGCATTGCCTGCTCCAGTCACATCCTTGATGCGATGGAGGTCAGGGGGCGCTTGCCAATAGGCAGGAACACACCAGCTGGGAGTATCTTTGCGGCGTACCACTGCACCACGCTTCCCCGCGCGAATAGCCACGCATCCTTGCTCACGTTGACCCACCCCTGCTTGTACAAATTGTTCGGCGAGGTACGCCAAAGCAGCCGAGGCATTTCCTAACTCTGACTCCAGTTTGTCCATCGATGTCCCTAACACCGCTGCAGCCTCTTCGTGATTTGGTGATACTATATCTACCATCTTCATGGTCTCTTGAAACTCGCCCCATTTCTAGCATTGTCAGGATTGAGTGCACATAGCTAAACCAAAACAAATAAAAAACTTAAAAGCATGCTGCGTTCAAATACATACCTCTGGAAGGCAATCCCAAGGAAGAGGCTCCCACATAAACATAGTATCGGGTATATCTTGGGAAGACACATTAAATTGATCAGCATACTTTGCTTGAAGAGTGTGCCATTCCTCCACAATGTCATGGGCTCTAGCCGCTGAGCAGATGAGATGTACGATTTGGGCGGACAGCAGCCATTTAGGAGGGAAGTCGCGCGGGAAAATCCGAATGACTGGATGGATATATTCAAAGTCTCTACGAAACAAAAAGTCAATTTTACTCGCACATGTCGACACGCACGTTAAGGGGGTTGGCCTACCGGTGATCATCAGCGCTGAATGTGTTTAGGCCGCGCGGGGTGTGCAAGTCAGGGTGGTCTTGGTTGTGCAGTGTTATATCCAGTCGGTCGAGCTCATGCTGGATATCCGGCACAAAGTCAAACCCGCGTTGAACAGTGTAGCCTATCTGCTGCGACTGAGGTGGAGCCAGCCAAACGCGAGCCCCTATGCATGGCATTGATTAGCGATAACAGCATGCCTTATCGTCCATTCACAAACAACCTACCATAGATGGCGAACACGCCAGCACCGCCCAACACATCCGTCTGTCGCGAGCCATCTTCCCAGTGGATATCGTCAATGATGAGGGATCCACATGATAAGAGGATTGGGTCGTGTGCAGGTGGCATGACCTGGAATGGTAGAAACTGAAATCAACCAGGAATCTGATATTTTGTTTTTTATTTTTGGCTTCCTTGGAATACAGCTAAATTGAGTTTCTTCTTAATACTCAAGGTCTGGCAGACCTTTTGCACAAACGCATCATCACTCCTTCACACAAAGGGTACAGAAAATTTTCAATTTAATGTGGTGCGCGGTTATTGTATAGTGAGAGGAGGAGCCAAACCAAGTTGGCGGACGTGGATACAATAATTGAATCGCATCAAACGCTAACTACAGTACTAGAAGGAAAACACGTTACTATTCAGAAGAAGAAGAATGAAATTTTTTTAAAAAAAAGAAATAAAATAGGACAAATCCACCCTCCATCCGCAAGCTTTTTACGTTATAACATGTACAAAAAATAGGAGAGCGAACCACCCAAGGAAAACAGTGTTGGAGTTGTCGATATTTTTTTGTTTTTTTTACGTGTGCTGGGGAGCATTCAAAGTGCCTTGAAGACGGCGGACGAATTCGCGAGACATGAGTGGGATTTCCAAGGTAAGAAGACTCCAAAGGGTCAAGGCACTGACGACGCCAGTGACAGCCAGCATCAAAGTGTTTCCAAAGTATTGTCCAAGACCCATTTCTTCAGCATACTCTTGGCCAGCTTGGCTCTGCAACAGTTTAGCAAGGAACAAACCGAGATAAATGAGGTTGAGAAGACGCCAGTCGAAACCGTTAAATTCCATCACGGCAAGAATCACCAAGAAGAGAGGGATGGTGGTGGTGTAAGAGGTCAAATCGTGGACAGCTTGTGTGAGAGATTGATACAAGCTCAAGTTATGCTGCTTTTCCAATTGGATATGGCGCTGTTCAGTAGCGGTGGTTCCAGTGTGCGTGGTAGTGGTCTTACTAACAACGGTACCTAGTGAAAAGTCAAGTTTAGTATGGGACCCATTCCCCAGTCAAATCAAAATGTATACTTACGTGTCACTCTCTTGCCACGTCGACCATTGACATCAATAGCACTGTCGGTTCGAGCAGGTCTCTGGGAGTCGCTGTCACTGGTCTCACCGAGATATTCGGCAGTCTCGATGAGGGCGTCAGGAGCATACATGGCTTTCATGTATTCCATAGTACCGTCGCCAACCCAAACCTTGGCTTCCTTTCTCTTGGACCACACACGAATAGCCAAATAGGCAAACCATATGGCAAACAAAGCTCCCCACGCGGTGGCCACAGGTGCGTATTGATCCCCAGGGTGAACGCGTTCACCAAAGGCACCGATGGCATTGACAGAGGAGTCCACGAAGTTTTCAATTTCGTGCGTGGCCTGGTGGTAAACGCCATGGACTCGGTCATAGACACCTTCAGCCTTATCATGGATTTTACCATAGGCTTGATGAATGTCGCCCTTAGCTTTGCTCTTGGTTTGACCCCATTTCTTATTGGCCTTGTTCTTGGCTTCGTCCTTAACCTCACGAAGTGAGCTAAGAGCTGAGGACCAGGCTTCGTCGACCTTGTTATCAGCCGATTCGAAGGCTTCACTGGCTTTCTGAGAGAGCTTCTTGGCATCGGTGGAAATGTTATCTTGAATAGCCTTGATCTTCTCATTGGCCAAGTGCTTCTTTTCTTCCAACTTGTCGGGAGCGGCCGAGCGGTATTCCTTGAGAGCTTGTTCGGCTTCGTAAAGCTTGATGCGAGAGTCACGGATGAATTGGTCATAGTCCTTCTTGACGGAATTCAAAGCATCATTTCTTCGCTTGCGAGCAATGTGAACGGTATCATCACGCAAATGGTTGTATTCACCCTTGAGTTTACCAGCATTGAAAATAGCCTTATCAAAGTCGGAACGTAATCGCTTATCCAACTTGTTGTACTTGTTTTCAATGTCAACGTATTGCAGAGCAAGCTTCTTGTTAATGTTATTGATGGCTTCATGAATGTGCAATTTAAGATGGTGATCGCTGGGCCTTTCAAAGGCATCAGCAATATCATGGGCGGCATGCTTGAAACCATGGTCGACATCGTCAACTGTCTTGTCCCAGTCAGAACGAAGTTCATGGACCAACTTGTCAGTGCTGTCACGAGCACCCTGAGACCAGTCAGCGACAGCTGAGCGAACCTTTTCGGCTTCATCCCGAGCGTCTTGCGGAAGACCAAGGATAGCTTGCTCAATTCGGTTCTTGCGATCAAGAGCCGACTGCTTCAAGGCTTCAGCAGTGTCTTCGACGCTGCGCCATTGATTACGTCGATCATCAATTACATCACGGATGGAAAACCATGAATCTTCATTGTTCACGCCGTGATCCGATCTCTTGGAGGTCTCCAAATCTTCCTTGACCTTATCGACCTTGGTTTGAATATCACTCTTGATGGAGAACAAATAGTTGGCCAAATCTTGGGCTTTTCCAACTAGTTTTTGAGCTTGACCTTGGAGAGAGTCAGTGGCATCTCTGCGAGCTTGGGCAGCAGCTTCCACGTTCTCATGGGCTTGATGCACCTTGTGCTCTGCACCCTCCTTGACATGTCTCCAAGCGTCTTCAGAGTCTCGCTTGACCTTGTCTTGGGCTGCCTTGGCACGATTGGTAGCGGCTCCTTCGGTATCTTTAACAGCAGTAGCAAAATCTGTCTTCAAAGTGGATGCATCGTCGCCCACTTTGACCCATGCCTCTTTAACATTGTTATTCTTCGTCATAGAGTATTAAAAAAAGCCTAGGGATGCATAAATACAATGGCGCGGCAATCGCGTGAAGCAAGCGTCAGTAGGCGCGTCGAAGCGTGATATTATATTTATTCAACGTCTTTGTTACCTTTTTGTAGCGTTTGTTCGGGTGAAATGCCGTGGTGTGGGGGGATCGATTAAATGTAGGAGCGAAGTAAAAAAGTGAAGCGTAGCTGTAAAGTCGACAGGGTTACATCATGGTTGCGGTGGTTTTTTTTTGTGTCATTTTTTTTTCGCTGCGTCGGCATTTCAATATCAGCGTTGCAGCCAAGCTCCATGTCAAGCAATGGCGCCAACGTGCTGCTAGTAGGCCAACTGTATCAAGACTTTATACTTCATGTGGATGAGTTTCCTGCTGAGGATGCAAAAAAGCGTGCCAGCAAACTCGAGATTCGATCGGGAGGCAATTGCGGAAACACGCTGATGGTTCTGAGCCAGCTACCCAGCGTCCAAACCTGGTGTATGACTTCCCTTGGACCCAAGGAAGAAGCAGGGTAGGACCAATTTATTTGTTTTTGGGGAGCGTTATTTTGAATGATTCTGATAGAGGCTCTGCCAACTCATAAGGAGTCTGCTGCTGGGATTGGAAAATCAAGGTGTCCATACTAGCACCTGTGTCTTTCATGACCATGGCGTGAACCCGTCAAGCTATGTGATCCATGCGGCCAATACGGGTACTAGAACCATCATAAGTTATAACGAGTGAGGATTTTTTTCTTGTCCATTCAAATCAGATCGTCTCACTTTTATATTAACAAACCGATCTCCCCATTTTCATTTAACAGAGCTCAAGATATTACACTAAGTGATTTCCAGCAAAAGGTGGAAACGGCCATGTCAGATACCAAGCAGCATTTCACGTGGGTGCACTTTGAAGGCCGAAACATAGATAATGCTGTCCAGCAAATCGATTGGATGCACAACAAGGCCATAAAAGAGAATTGGCGTGATCGGTTGACCATCTCTGTCGAATTGGAAAAGCCCGACCGAGAAAACATTGATACCTTTCTGGATAAAGGCGATGTGGTTTTTTTTTCAAAGCTGTTTGCAGAGAAGAGAGGGTTTAGCGATGCTCCATCGTTCTTAAAGGCATACAGCACACGATGCCGGCCAAAGTAAGTAGTGCGTATTGTCAATTCAGTTATCGGTAGGAAGATGTATAACAACCATTGTACCTACTAGATCGATTCTGTTTTGTACATGGGGAGCACAAGGCGCCACATGTTTACAACGAGCAACCAACCAAATATTGTCTGCACCAGCTTTAAACATTGATCAGGTTGTTGATACGGTTGGAGCGGGAGATACCTTCACTGCCGGTGTCATATATGGACTGAGTCATGGATTCAATGTTTTGGATGTGCTCACGTTTTCTTGCGAGCTGGCAGGGCGCAAGGTAGCTCAGACGGGATTTGATCAACTTAAACAGCAACTGGATGCTAGGTGGAACAAGGCGCTTGATGAAAGTCATCATAGAGCCTTTACATAAAGACGGGTGGCTAATAAAGTTATCGGAATACCATAGTACTTGCAATGTTGACAGTCACACGGCTGAGCTTTCTTTTTTTTTTTTT